AAGTACATGCATATCAGGATGTCATTGTGGCATTTGAAAACGGTGACGTGCACGCATTAATATTATTGAATAACCCGCCAGGTTTGTATGACCTTTATGAATATTTTCATACGCCAACGAGAAAGCCAAGTTAATACGAGATTTCTGTCATGATGTCAAAAATGCCAGAGTAAAAGTGCACTGCCTACCTGCGATTGTAGGCGTGCACAACAGGATCTCCTTCAAAATCAATAGAAAAGCAAAATGATATTAGAAGGTACATGCATATTCATATTTTGAGATTCCACACAAATTTGTCCGTATATAAATAGGAATACACATGCACTCAGAGCTACTATAAAAACATTGGCTCCTAAGTGTTTGCCAATTTGCCATGAACTTGAAGTTTGCGAAAATTTTACAAAGTTAAATAAACATGCAAGGCTTTCAGATGTTAAGTGGATGATAGGTTTTTTCGACCCACTTGCGGTAAAAGTATTATTGTTGGGTAAATATGTCAGTGGGGGCACAGACTACAGAGTGAAAATGAGTATAGGAGTAGGTGTGAGTATATGAACATACAATGTGCATACGTATTCATACCTATTTTGCAATCTGAGCAGTATATACCTGCAAATCTAGTAAAGTGACATGATTAGACGGCGAGTTTGTTCGTTTCCTTTAGATTTCCTTTTTTGCTAATAATTTTTTCCTGATCAATTCCAGACGAGGTCAAAAACGTGTAATTATAGCATCAAACTGACAACTAAGTAATTACGTAATCAATATTTCAACGCCCCAATTAATTCTCTGTGCATATTACGCTCAGTTACGCTACTCGATTGCTCAATTATTGAAAACTTTTAATAGTCTAACTTGAAAGATGATTTATTAACACGGGAAGAAATTTTGCTCGTTAAAACATCTTACGAAAGTAGCTAAATGGGGAAGATTTGTTTTCACGCTAAAATTACAAAACTTACATAAGACCAGTAGTAGCACTGATACTAATGCTACTTGCCTCTTCACCAAGGTTGTTTTGTCTCTGGTTTCTGTGGCATAATAAATAAGTTGCACATCACCAGAAATGGGAACTGTCCGTCTAGCTACTCAGATTCTTGAGAAACAAACTGCAACTCAAGTGTTGCTGGAGAAATGACGAGACAACAATGATTCGTTTAAATATCTACATTATTTGAACAACGGGTCGGACTTTCTCTTTTCGTCATGGGCAAAACCAAAACCAAGATGGGTTTTGTTCTGTTTGCATAATCTTGGTTCGTAATTTTGCACAAATCAGGGAACACACACCTCGAACACCACGTTGCTGCTGTGTTCACTCATGGAGATGAGGGTGTTCCCTGCTCTGTTACTCAACAGGGTTTGTTCTTCTGCAGCATCAAATAGACAAGGCACACATACCGACAAGGAACAGAAGGTGGATGTTTCAAATGTATTTATGATGTGGTTATTGGTGGGATACGGTTGAAGGGCAAAATCTGAAGCTAGTCATATTTGCTCAATACGTTCAAGTGCATACTACGACGGATTGTTGTCGTGGTGGTTGAGGTGATGACCGGTTTTGCGGTGCTATTCATTCAACCACTTCAGAAGAGCAAAAGCTTCAAACAAATCCTAAATTAAGGAATTTACTTCCTCTGCTTAGTACATTATTGCAGTTGGAATGAGTGGGCAGATTGAGTGGGTGGTCGTGGTACGTGCCCATATTTACAATTTGCGAATAAATTTTAAATTTTTGCAAATTATTAGTATTTACATACATGCGAAAAACTTAGGTTTTACCATTTTTTATAATATTAACCAACTCTAAAATCTCTCCGTTTCAATTTCAGTTATTTTTGCTTTGAAGTTTCTTAAAACAACAGAGGGACCATTTAAAAATTCTATGCATAATAATGTAATTTCCTAGAAAAAAGTTTATGAATGCATGAGAAAACTAAAGACAAAGTGAAGGAGGAAAACAACAAAGCTTTTTTCTTTCTTCTCTTCCATCCAAGCCGACCATTCTTTACGAAGGCTTTGAATTTTAGAAAGAAAGTGGAGAAGGGAACAAACAACAGCGAACAGGTATTGATTATGCATATTGATGTCGACGACAGTTTTAAGTGGCTCATTATGTCCATGACTGTGAATTGGGGATAGCTGAATAGAATGGCTGAGTAACGGGAAAATAGAAAAATTTGGGTGAAATTGACTGGAATTTCGCTTACTGTTCTCGCTACGCTTTTACATAATAGCGATGCACACCACTTCAGACAGCATTTAAGTAGGTTATACAGGCTACACAAACGTGTATATCATAAAACAACATACACACATATTTCATATTTATGAACTACATCTCATGTGATAAGCTGTAGTTGTACATAAACCTTCCAGTTACTTGTGAGATAGTCTTTTAATTATTAAGGATACGAGGATTATGGTGAAAGTAGTATTATTTTAATACCCCACCGTTACAGGAAGTAGGGGATTACTGAAAATTTCTTATGGTTAGAAAATTGTACATAAATATGGACATACAAATATGTATGCGTAGTGGATGATACTAAACCCTTTATTGATCTATTAAAAGACCAAAATGTTCCTATAACTTTGAAATTCTGGACAAATTTACGAAATGCATTATGCCCAATTTGTATGCACATATTGTACCACGTGGCACATTATAACAACATATCCTTCAATTCTCCGACATTTACTCGTCCCGACTAATGATTTGCATGATTGCCTCGATCTGATCTCTCCCTCTTTTCCGCATACCATGGATTTTCTGCCTGTTTTGCAAAGTACCTCGTTAAGATTCAGGAACTGTTTTGGCAATCCAATGAAACATAACTTGTGGGAAATTCAAGGCCAAAACCGTCCCTTTTTTTATTACCACTTGGAAAGGACAACCACACTAAGGGAAATGTTAACGAGGAACTGTACTCACACACACGCATATTGCAAAACACACGACCTTCTAAATGGTAACAGTTACTGTCATGCATTTAGATGGAAAACGGCTATCGAGAGATTTCTGATACTGCAGGATGCACAAAGGAGAAAGGGATATCGACATTTTTGTCACACATCTCCACCGGAGAAAGCAAGTACATAAGTATGTGTAACTGACAAGGGAACCTTAAGTACTGTCACCTCTCGATTTCCTTCCAAATGGCCTTAATCGACGGATAATTTAGTGAAACTTAAACTTTGTCATAGAACATGCGGTGCAAAATCACGTTTTCGCGAGAAATTTGGCGAGAGCTGCACCAAAACGTGCAATTTTTGCAATGCTTCGCTTATGGCTTTCACTCACCACACGTATCGCACTCAATCCTTTCACATGTGGGTGTGGTCAATGGATGCTGGATTGTTTTCTACACACAATGTGCTCGTCATACCCTAACTTATATTACGGAAACATACTTACATATACACCAGATAAGACATTGTGGTTCCATAAAACTCCTTCAGTAAAAAGTGCAATGCGAAACATCCTTAAAGCGGTTTCCTAGTGTCATCGGTTTTTGTATCAAAGTCGGATGAATAAATTTTGAAACAAGCACGATTATTGCAATGATTTCAAAACAGCAAGCATGCGAAATTAATAGCTCTGTATTAAATTTTATACCACCATTGGACGTATAAACATTACACCATAGTCGCTACCACTTATTATTAAAGCTTAACTATTCTGTGTACATTTACAAATTCAGTACTTCAATTTAAAGAACGTCCGGGAATGAATGGGAATGGTCTGAAAATGTGGTCATAAAATCACAATTAGTTATCGGAATTTTAAACTTTTTGCATATGTATAATACCAAATACGTACCTACATAATTTAATTAATAGCTAAGGCCGCCACACCCCCGTTGGCGACTAGTTCGATTTTCTTGCGAAGATTTTTCATTAAATTTTTTCCCGAAGTTTTTGCCACTTCCGAGGTGATTTTCTTCCATCGTCCTTTGAATTTTCGAAAGGTGTCAGGCACATCTTGAAGCCGGGAGTATACTGACTTAGAACGTGCCCAGAATTTTTCGATTGGGCGGAGTTGGGGTACATTAGGTGGGTTGATATCTTTTGGTACGAAATCAATATTTTTCTTTCTGAGGTACTCGGTCACTTTCTTTGCATAGTGACAAGTGGCGAGGTCAGGCCAAAACAAAACTTTATCATTTTTGTGAAACCTATTAATAAATGCTTCCAATCCAGCCTTGACGCAATTTTTCAGATAAATATCTTGATTGATATTCCCTTCGAGAACTACCGGGTCTGATACATGTCCGTGACTGGAGAAGCATTGCCAAATGCAATATTTCTTTGGAAATTTGTCTTTTTTTCGTACTTTTTCTTCATAAGCCACTTCAGAGGGATCCGAGCTATGAAAAAAATGACGCCCTGGAAGATTTGAAGGGTCAACCGGAACATACGTTTCGTCATCCAGGATCACTACTTTTCCACGCATTTTCTTCAACAATTTTTGACAGCAATCCTTGATCCGACTTTCTTGTACGGGCTTGTAATTTGGTGCAGGTTTTTTGGTCCTTGCTTTGATTCCTAATTTATGGACCTTAATTTCCCCCAGGTAGCTTTTGGAAATTTTGACTTTCCTGGCAGCTACAGCTACTGACGTTGATGGCTTGGTTTTGAAAATTTTTCAATTCTATTTTTCACTCGAGTGGTCGCTAGCTTCGCCGGACGACCAGCTGGCTTCTTGAATTGCACATTTTCGGAATCCTTGAACTTTTTTATGTAGGAATACACATTTGAACTTGGAATTCCTTCCTGCTTAAAAAAGTTCCAGGTCACCTTGGAGTCTCGGTTGGCTGTCGTGTTGTAGAACTCCATCACTCGTTTTGCTAACAGCTCCCTTTCAAACAAGCTTCTTCTACCCTTATCCATTTTTGAAATTTAAGAGTGATATACCAAATTGACCCTAATGAAGTGGGCTTTCAGAAATTTAAATTATTATAGTTCGCGGGTTTATTGATTTGTCAATATACTCGCTAGAGCGCGCATTCCCATTCATTCCCGGACGTTCTTTATATTATCACAATGTATTAATTTTAAATAATAATTAAGTTTTATGATAATTTTAATTAACATCCATTAACTCTTCATCAACTTCCGGTTCATGAAAATGATAATTTTCGAAGAAGTGGACGAAACATAAATACTTTCGACAATGCCCACATTTAATAAACTGAGCATTTTGGCAATTAAATTCACTGCATATTTCAAGTGATGATTCAAATAATGCTTCACTAACATTTAAAAAAGGCTCAGGCCTCTCCAAAAGATATCCAGATTTGTACCATGCATATACAACCACATATTTCTGAATATATTAGCTGCGAGCTGATTATGAATAAGCGAATGCATTGTAATTATGTTAATTCTTGATGTTAAATCAGTGCCAATTTGATTTAAAATTACATGAGAAAACATCTTACGGACACAAATTTTCCACTGCCTAAAACCATATACATCTAGAGGCTGAATTTTATCAGTGGTATTTTCGGGGATATACATTCGTTCACATTCTTTATCTTGGTCCTCACATAAAAATAACTCATTGTCTGTCTGACCTGTCCACGAATCTAACAAGAGAAGACTTTTAAATTCACTAGATTTATAGAGAATCTCATTTGCCCATAACTTAACGAGTGGTTTCTGTAGTTTTCCAGATTTGCTACAGAAGATGATTACATTTTTGCATTTAGCAGCCACCTCCGATACAGACTTTTGAACTATTTTTCCAAACTTACCATCTTGTTCTTGCAGGCAAATTAATAAGGCGCTAATTAATTTGCCTGACATAGAAACAATTGGTTGAATTGTGTAGGAATGAGTTTGTTTGTTTTTGGACTCTTTGACCGCTGAAGTGGATTTCTCGCCCTTAACTGATAACATCCTATTTGATTTTAGCAAATAGTTAAAACCGCTTTGATCTGTATTTAAAATATTATCATGATGGTAAATTTCCATTTTAACTTGGGCGGACTCTACAAAATTTCTTGCTGATTGAGCTATTACCTCTGCGTTTTGCAAACAAGTTTTTGTGACAAATTTAGTTATCTTTCTGGACACAATATTGTGGGATTTTTTAAATATTAGAATCCACGCATCACTTGCTTTAAATTGAGGTAAATTAAGCTCTTTAGCCATTTGTAGTGCCCATCGTTTTAAATCAAAATCATGAATTATTTCTCGTTTCATTAATAAAATTGAGAATTTTTCAAACAATTCTATGTGTAATTTTTGTAATTTCTCTGCGTTTGTTCCGTTTTGCTGAACATAATCACGAAATCTATAAATGTACTTTCTATACTTAACCCTTTTAAACCTCTTTTGCACGCGACCCCAACCGTGTTTATCGTAGCACTCTAATACTGATTTCATATAATCTAGTGTAAAATTTTCGGTGCTACTTTCTGTAACTAACGACAGTGTTTCCCATTCTTGAGAATTTTGGCTTGGTTCATCCTCATTATCTTCCTCTTCGACTGTGTCATGGCCATCCGTATCATGAGTCAAAGTCCAGTCAGTTTCCAGTACTGCTGTCCCATTGTCTAATTCAATTATAATTTCAAAAAGGTGATTGGCTAATTCTCTCTCTTCGTCAGTTGGAGGCGACTGATTGTCATCCCCAAAGCGGGTTCGGACCAGTTTAACTAAATGTTCCACAACGTGAGCCGGGTTAATCTGATTAATAAATAAATTACGTCGTTTGGTACTAACTTAATTTGATTCACATTAATAATAATGCATACCATTTCAAGGTGTAGCCGTTATAGTTTAGAAAGTAAATTAAAATCTCAGGAACTAACCAAAAAGTTTAATAAAAATAAGTTTTGATAGCCCAAATAAACATTTTACACAATAGACTTACATGCCCGTTTTCCTTTAAAATTTGCGGATAAAATAATTACAGCCTACTTCAAATCACATTTAGCACTGCAATTTATAGATAAATACTCAACAAATACCGATTTGAGGATTACTTCATGTAGTTTAAATTTTTTATTAAGACAAAATACTTTGTTGATTTGCCAATTCTAGCAGAACATGTACTGATTAAAGTATGCGTTTTTCCCAGATTACGCAGCATAGAGCTGCGAGTTGGTGAGACGAGTGCGTGGGCAGACGGAAAGCCATAAGCGAAGCATTGCAAAAATTGCACGTTTTGGTGCAGCTCTCGCCAAATTTCTCGCGAAAACGCGATTTTGCACCGCATGTTCTATGACAAAGTTTAAGTTTCATTAAATTATCTGTCGATTAAGGCTATTCCGAAGGAAATCGAGAGGTGACAGTACTTAAGGTTCCCTTGTGAGATGCCAAAACGCTGTATCTATGAAGAACGAGCTCTGCATAGTCGACATGCTATTTACTCAACTTTTCCAGAACCTGGGACGACTTTCTTCATTCATGCGTTCACACGCTGATTGTGGTGGGATCAACAGACAAAAACTAAAAATATGTAAGGCGGAAACAAGAGGCAACTGTAAGAACTTTGAAACATCTAGTAGAGTGCTGCATATTTACTTTTGCTCCAGAAATTGAAGGTATCAACATTTCAAATTCTCCAAAGTGTACTTACATGTAAGAAGTGGAGCAAGAGGGAAAAACATGGATACAGAGACAGCCAAGTATAAAAAATCTTGATAATGTGGGTGACTGAAAGTGCCCTTCATCGTAATGGAATTCAATAATATTTTGGATCAGCCCGTCTCTCTCCACGACATGACATGGTTTTTTATGAATTTCATGAAAATTCAATGCGGCATAGTTTATTGAAAATTTGTTACGAAATGCTCTTAGCTAGTTTTTTTGTACAATATAGACAGATTTTTTAGTCGTGGGCGGCGATGCATGACGAGATTTAAAGGTCAATCGGAGATACGTGAGGAGTCATAAGACATTCATACTTATTTATAAGAGTGAACATAAATAACGTAATGCTCTGTGCAAGAGATTTGTTGCTTCAATTGTAAAAATCTGAGGTACTTACCAAAAGTCTCAAGTTGCCTCCACCTCTAGTTTATGTATTTATCACGTTCAGTGGAAAACCTCACGATGTCGGCCTACTTTCACCTTGAAAGTACACGTAAAAAGCTGGTTTAGTTACTCCGTTCTTTCCTCACGGGATGATGAATTAACTGATTTTAGCCCGTGTACGATAAGTTATTGAGCTGTGGCCACAATTTCTGAGACAAACAAGGTTACGAGTATTGTTGGGAGTTGCGGATCTGCCGGAAGCTGAGGAGATTCTGAGATCCGGAGAGCGGGGAGCGAGGCATCTCCCTCTTCATCGCCATCATCATCATCATCGGCCTGGTGAATGAGAATGCTTTCACTTTCACTTTCTCCCCAAAGAGAAGGACTCACTCAGGATTGATTGCTTAACCAGGCATGAAAATGTAATGTTGGCCGCTTTACAGACATTTCAACCCTCAATTTTTCAAGAGTAACAATTTATTCTTCGTTTTATGTACTAGTGTGTTACTACTGACAAATGTATAATTTAATTGGTATCTAGTACTTGCCGTCCAAGTTGATGGGACGAGGACTCTCACGCGGATAAATGTGTTTATTCCTAAGCGAGAAGCTTCATATGTGTTTAGTTGAATTACGGTTGAATTCAGGTTTACTGGCATTTCCCTGGAGGATAAAAACGTATGGATGGATGGCTATATTGCTTGATGCAAAAGTGAATCAATGTTTTGGTTGTTGGAAGTCGCAAATTTGTATTTGGCAAATTAAATATAAAGGATGAGTAGGTATTTGGTATGGGATTTATTCTTTGTGTTTAGTTCAGGTTCTCGTAATGATTTGCAATCAGGGTTTTTGATGTGGTCGGCTAGAGGCTTATTTATCTGTATTTCTAATGTTGAAAACCCTTTGGAGCAATGATTCCTGGAAAAACCTTTGTATTACATGTTTGCTATTGGGTAATTTGTGGAGGGTGTGGGTGTGGTTGGTCTATCATAGTATTTCAAATTAATCATAAGCTTGGATCTATATATGTATTTATACAAGTTTGGGTGTGTGCAAATATGTGGGCGTGCACACTTTGGTTATGTGTGTACCTACGTAAGTGGTTGGATTTGTGAAATCCCTCATTACATCACTTTCATTGATCTTTTCGAATAATTGGGCTGAAAATAATTAGGCATATCACAAAGACTACTTAGATCCACAATTCCATTGCATTCGGCATTTTTAGTGAGAAGCACTGTGGGCCATATAAATTTAGGGCAATAGTGTTTTCGTTGAAGGAAGGCAGCATAACAAAGGTTAAGAGTTGTGTGTCCCCATTTATCCGCAATGTGAGAAGGCCATACTTCTTTACCTCATTAAAATTGAATCATGCCAATTTGCCTTCGTTTTTAAGATAAGTGGATTTCTAATCAGATGTCATCCATAAAACTTGCTCCGTACAGGGGAGAGACATTGACTGACATCAAACGTGGCAAATCCATTCTTGCGACTTTTGCACTTTCCAACATACGTATCCTACATATATACGTGCCTGGACTTTTGTTCACTTAACATCGACTTGGACATATGCAAAGGCACAGTGGGAAACCATGAGAAAAGTATTAAAACTAAAACTAAAACTTTTACTTTTCCAGTGCAGTTTCAGTTGTCGGGAACTGTAACGCCGTCAAAAAACGAAAATTACAGAGATTATTATGGGTGTTTCAAATGAGACAGAAAGTGCTTTTGTCTTTGACCTCACTTGGGACGGTATTGTTCACTTTTCCATCCAACAATTGCCACCCACCAATTGCCACTCGACAATTGCCACTCTTGACCAATTGCCATCCACCATTTGCCACTCCACAATTGCCACTCTTTACCAATTGCCATCCACCAATTTCCACTCGCCAATTTCCGCTCTATGCCAGTTCCCACCTTTGTATTATTTATGTAGCATGTCATACCACGAAATCACCCATTAAATTTATTAAATTTAATGTTTAACAAGGTAAGGAAGGGTAGAGAAAAATAATAGTAAAGAAAAACATCACCCATATCCATTGAAACCTTTATGCAGTGCCACACGATGAGGCATGTTACATTGTCTGAATAAATCTGGTTGTGTGGCAGTGAACAGCGTCTCTACTGGAGACTCCACAGCAAAATTTTTGTTTCGAATTCCGAAAAATTGTGAATAATTTGGCAAGTGAGTGCGTTAAATCCCATGAAAGAAGGAAAGGTAGGTTTTTTTACAACTTTACGGTCAGGGTAAAACAGTTTTAGGCCCGTACGGTCTCGGTCTGGGCTGGTCTTTTGCTGATCTGTTCTAATCAGTTGGCTGTACCGGAAGAGAGGAATGGGTCAGCTATTGTGGAATATTTTATATTCTACAACTTTGTTTTATCTTCTAGATAAAACTCGACACTGGGTGCAGACTTTGTCGGTAATTATGTTTAATTATGGTTTTATCAGTGATAACATTTCTTGGGCTAAACATAGCCGAAACCTTTGTTACAGGGGCATGAATGATTTTGTGGTGTTACATAAAAAATGCTAAGGTGGAAATTGGCATAGAGCGGAAATTGGCGAGTGGAAATTGGTGGATGGCAATTGGTAAAGAGTGGCAATTGTGGAGTGGCAATTGGGCAAGAATGGCAATTGTCGAGTGGCAATTGGTGGGTGGCAATTGTTGGATGTAAATTTATACCAGATGCGAACTGGATTCTGACGGCAAGTTTTATAATTTTTACGATGCAAACAGGTACGATACGAGTGGGTGTGATTTATGCTGGAATAATATTAAGCAGTTTTCCTAAGTAGATACTTCATATAATTCTGTCGTGATAAATAGGCTTTGGAATGTTAGAGTCTGGCTGTGTCTCTGTCAAGAACGAAGCAAACATTATGATGAAAAATGTGGTTGATGTCGTGTTTGGAGGTAAAATTATTCTGCGTAATCTTGCAGTGTCTTTCCCTGATTTTAAAATCATTTATACCAAAAAAGGTACTACATACTGGTTGTTTGGCTTCTCGATGTCGTTCGGAAATGATCCACCCTACTCGTCTCCGTTCCTTGGGTTTGGCGAATATGCAGTGGATGCAGATTTGAGCATTATGGGTCCTGTTTTTGCATCCTTCATGTTTCAACTCTCGTTTGCCACCACTGCTACAACAATTGGTAATCTGATTTCAGAATATTTACTATTTAAGCAGACGTTACAGCTAAATAATTGCTCAATTTAGTAAGCGGAACAATGGCAGAGCGATGTAATTTCAAGTCGTATTGCGTCTTCTCAATGTTGAACACCGTCGTCTATTGTATTCCCGCAAGATGGGTGTGGGGACCAACGGGATTTCTGCATGACATGGGTGCCATTGATATCGCCGGTTCGGGTGCGGTCCATTTATTAGGTGGGGTTTCAGGCTATGTTGCCGCCTACATGCTGGGGCCAAGACTTGGAAGGTTTAAACCTGAATACACTACTGTTTAATTTGAAGTTTGTAAATTAATATTCGTGGTGATGCTTAAACAATAGATATGATCGAGGAACAGACCCTTTACCGCTGGGAAACCCTACAAGCTGCATTGTGGGGTTATACATTTTATGGTGGGGATGGCTAGCTTTCAACAGTGGGAGGTATTACAAGGCAGCTTTAATTCAACCACTTTCCACTATTATTTTGTATTTTATGCATGCTAATGTACATTTCTATAGTACGTTCGGAATTAGTGGAGTAAAGTGGAAGTTTGCTGCCCGAGGTATGATAAATGTGAATTTTGGTTCAAATTGATAAAACTCTCAGAAATGGTATTTAACTTCTCCCTTTGCATTGCATCTTATTCTGATTACAAAATGTACAAATTCACCCAATTCAAGAGAAAATATTGGTAGTTCGATAGTCCTCTTCGAGCAACAATGAAACAACCAACTGGAGTTATTGACAATTGACATATGCAAGTATCATTTACTGGGTTTTATTTTGACACGTATTTGCTTTAGCTGCCACTTCAACAATGATTGCGTCAATTGGTGGAGGTTTAACTGGGGCTGCATGGACACTGGCAAAACCAGGAAAGATTTTCTATGTGATGGACATCGTCAACCCTGTATTGGGTTCGCTCGTTGCAGTGACGGCAGGTTGTGCTTTGTTCCACACCTTTGACGCGTTCGTCGTGGGTATCATTGGAGGAACGACCGTGTTGTTAACATCCGGTTTTGCGGATTGGACAAGAGTCGATGATCCAGTCGGGGCCACACCAGTTCACGGTACATAGTTAATTTCAACCTCATGGATTCCATAAAAATTCTCTAAATTATCAAAAATTTGTGCGTAATAATACAGCATTCGGTGGATTTGTTGGCCTCATTTGTGTGGCCCTGTTTGCTGAGGATGACAAGGGAGCTGGCTTCTCTAATGGGCGAGCTGGTCTCTTTCGTGGGGGTGGCACTTACTTGTTAAAAGTACAATTGTTTGCCTCTCTTTGTATCTCGGTCTGGGCAGCAGCAATCACATTCGTTCTATTATGGGTATGCATGAATACGCTAAAAATCGTAATTTCCAGTCCTCAGTCAAAGCAAATCCAACTAAATCCGTAAACCTATAAATAATTTCAGATCACAAACAAGTTAATTCCAATTCGGATGGAGCCCCATGAGGAATTACTCGGTGCCGACTTTGTAGAACATTTAGTTCGCAGAAGAAATGCCGGTATCTCAGCTGCATTATCCGTTGTGGGATCTCACCCAGAAATTGTTCACGTGACTGACGCAGCAGCAACAATTGGACAAACGAATCCCAGTATGTCGACTTTTACTAATTGGGCGTCCAATTTGCTGATTTTGATTTTCAAATATTTGTAAATAATGTTGTTCGTCAAATAATTGCGCAGGGCATGACCGCTTACTCAACAAGATGCAAGAACTTAACCTCCGACGCTGGTCTCGGATAAAACATGCCACCACGGCCATAAGCATTTTTAAGCGAAAAGCTAAAATCGCCAATGTTGTCAAACAATCAAACCAAACTGTTAAGGGAACCGGTGCATTCAACTATATCGATTATCTCGGAGTGCCAGATCCCGATGGGTGGATGGTGAACCCCATTCTTTGCCGTTCTACGGGCCATGAATCGATACAGTTTACAAATGAGACTGGCACGAGAAATGTCAACAGGAGGCTGCGAGTGTCACAACAAAAGTATTAGGACGACGATGATACTTGTGTATACGGACACTTGACGGAGACTTAAGTGTATACTTTTACGTATAACAGGATCTAAGTCAGGAGCTAAGTAGCTTTGAGAGTTGGGAAATATTTCTAGACTTTTTCATCAATATTTATAATATTACATGTAATTTATTGTGTACCAGAATTGGGCCAATGGGAATAAACCACTGCAAAATTGAATGTTTGAACTATAATGAACATTTTTATAATAATATTTAGCCCAGAATTCTGAAACCCAAACATTTTTTACTCAACTATTAATCATAAAGCAAGTACAGCTACTTGGTAATTTATTGTCCGTCTGTGCATACAACGGTTTGATGAAAGATCAAAGTACAAATTTTAGATTTAAATATATAAATCACGTGTAAAGACCGTGCATGACAGAGAAAACTGAAAAAATGACATACATAATAATATGAGAACAAAACCCTTGCTCAATTCTAAGAACCAATTTAACAATGGATTTAGCATACTTATGACGATGCTTCGCCTACTCCTGACACTTGGCTAAAACGATCAGTCCATCTAAATTGCACTGCACATTGGACTTTGTTCAAAACTTTGTTGTACATACTTGTACATACTTGTTGTAAATGAATCAAAAAATCTGCACAGAAATCATGACAAGTGCATTCTGTATAAATAAATATCAAGGGCGATCCTCACCTTAAATATTTACTCGTACAATTCATTATTTTCATCAAACGACAAAAAACTTGATGCGATGTTCTTCACTAGTCTTTGATGTATGTGAAGATGGGTGGCTGTATTTACTTATTGTACTCGTAAGTTTGTGCCATTGGTGCCATATATTTTTCTGCACGTGAGATGAGGGTTTCAATGTCCAACTTTTTGCTGGTCATTTATGATTTATGTCCAGGGGGAGCTTAATGCAGAATTGATTTCGGTTAGACGTGGATTTGTTGCTATCCTACTTGTTTCATTTCTCCGGGTATGAAAAATATCTTGATGACGATAGTGAACAAAGACCAACAGGGCTGGAAAGGGTATAAAATGCAGAAGCAAAAATGAGATTGGCAAGCAGTATTCCACTTTGACTTCTACAATTCCAAACTACAATTCCAAATTGACTCGAGAACCTCTTCAACTTTTAAAAAATGAGGGCCATTGTCATCGTTTCTACCATTTTTGTTGTCGCTGCCTTGTCCAGTGCAGGTAATTATTTTTCCCGTGAATTTTACTCCCCTTCGTTTGTTCGTCTTTTAGTTCAAAATACTTGACGTGAAATTATCTTTATAATTTTTTAGCCCCATCCGGCACCCCCGATTTGAAAGCCAGGGTCGCAGGGATTCAAGAAAGGGTTCGAGTCGTGTTGAACGAGATTGAGGCTGCTGCCATTGCCGATGATGCCGTAATTGGTCAGAGAATTAAGGAAAAGTTGGCCGTCCACGTACAAAAAGCTGGAGCCCTTCTTGAAAAGGCCCGAGCAGTCGAGCAACCCCCAACCAAAGCTCAAGCTAAGGAATTATTGGACAAATTCGTCGCCATCTTGGGAGAAGCTAGGAACGATGTCATTGACGATGTCAACTTGCTCAAGGACGACACCAAAGCAGATATTGTAGGAAGATTTAACACTGCCCTCACCAAGGCTAAAGAACTTAGCCAGAAAATTGAGGAATCACCAAATCTCAGCTAAATGATCAAAATTCAATAATCTAAATGCTTTATTGTCTTTCTTGACCACATAATTTGAATGTAATTCGCCTACACTAAACTTTCGAAACAAAATAAAAGTTTTCTCGAGCTAAAAAATCCGATACCTTCTATCTTCCTTATTTATCTACTTCAATTCATCCTCAGTGTATGTATCTAACAATGCGATGACGCCAGCGGTCTCGCCCCGATTTCGACGAAACGATGATAATTATGTAGCCTTAGATAAATAATTAGACACGTGTTTCAGGATTTTTCATAATGCTCAGCTTAAACGAAATTATGACGAAATCCGTGAGCGAGAATTCCCATTTTCACCGTGACATTTTTCTGGCAAGGAAGAAAAATACAGATTCTCCATTACAGAGTCCATCATAATTTCGTTTAAGCTTAAATTGCGTGGGCATGAAGTGGTTTTTCCGATTTTATGTTGCTTGTACAAATTTTGAAATTTTGAAAATTTTTGAAAATTTCCAAAGATTTCTGAAAATTTTGAAAATTTTTGAAAATTTCTGAAAATTTCTGAAAATTTTGAAAATTTCTGAGAATTTCTGAAATTTTGAAAATTTTCAAAAATGCAACAAACAAAAATCGTAGAAAATCACTTTGTGCCCACCAATTTTAAGTTTAAACGAAATTATGATGGACTTCGTAATGGAGAATCTGTATTTTTCTCCCTTGAGAGAAAAATTTCACGGTGAAAATGGGAATTCTCGCTCACAGATTTCGTCATAATTTCGTTTAACCTGAGCATTATGAAAAATCCTGAAACACGTGTCTAATTATTTATCTAAGGCTACATAATTATCGTCGTTTCGTCAAAATCGGAGCGAGACCGCTGGCGTCATCGCATTGTAAGTATGTGTGCAGGAGGGAAGTATTTTGGTCAAGATTTTCTAGATAATCGATACAGATTCTAAAGATAGCTTCGGATTGTTAATTGGGAAAACAGTGAAACACTGGACACCAGCATGCTGACCTACATATTTCAGTCCACCTCTAAATGAAATATTGTCAGATTGAAACATAAATTCATTACCACGTTTCAAGCTTACGAAGCAAAGATCATTAGATCAATTGAAGTATTTACAGTACCGATATTGCTTTACTTTCTACTACCTTAAGTTGCAGAAGGACTGCTCACCGAAAACAAAATTGCCCTTTGCCTAAATATCTGTAATCAAGACTTTGAAAACTTTTAAAGATTTTTTAATCATACAAATATCTAATATGGATCATGACAATACAACTTCGTAAATAAATACTAGTTTCTAATAAATTATCTACGAAAATCCCCGTCCTGAGGGGAAAGTTCACATGTCTGAAGTTCTAAACAGAATTCCGAAAGTTAAAGGAAGACTCGAGTGCGAGTCGGTAAAAGGTAACGCATCTCAAATATTTGCATTTCACCCAAAAGTATTGACTGACTAGATCACCGTTTGTTCTCCACACACATTGAGTGAGATATTGATTAATAAGCCCATGCAATATTATAAACATATTAAACAGGTTCTAAAATGCTTAATACAATACTTAAGTTTCGCAATTAATTGCAGATATTACTAAAGATATTCTAACATTGTAAGAAATGATGTAAATTACACCATGTAATTTCAACAGTATTTCTTTATCTACTTATTAAGCTATGTAGTTAAGATTTATTTGGGTGGATTATGATTATTCAGCATATCAAGCGTCATATCAAGTCAGGTCAAGCAGATTCAAACATCTACTCAAACCTTGCATCAATAAAAAGACGGGATTTTGCGCGTATGTTTGAGGTTGAGATGAGTCAAAATTCCCCAAAAATGGTTCCATGGTGTAATGGTTAGCACTCCAGACTCTGAATCTGGCGATCCGAGTTCAAGTCTCGGTGGGACCTTGCAGCATTTTGCCATAAATTTCTCAACTCTTTGTTGATGTAGGAGTTTTTTTTGATGCATTATCTTCGACTATAATGGAAAGTGTGTTAGTCATTCACCAACAATAAGTCTTGTTTCGTAGTAAATCCCTAAAACTAATAAATGATAATATTGTACGATGCATAATTGTTTCTAAGAATGCAACAAATTGAACCGAATGATTATATGCTTTTTTATAGAAAACTTAAAAATTTATTCACTATTACCCCTCAAATTTCATTCTACACAAACATCATCATTTACACAAAGTTTCTAACATACTGAACTCATTTAGTGGAATAATCGGTGTGCAGAATTAGCCATAGAACCCGCCTCGGTGGTGTCCTCCTCGGTGATGATGTCCGTAGCCTCCCCCGTAACCTCTACCGTAACCACCCCCACCGTAATACCCCCTGCCCCCACCGTACCCACCATAACTACCGTACCCCCCGTAATTTCCCCATTGTGGTTCAGCAGATCGCTTGGCTCTGCCCCCTTCAATCTCCACCACGGCGTCTAATAATTATTAAAACAAAAGATTTAGTCGGAGATCACTTCGGCACATTAAGATTTTTATTGAAGGAAACTCACCACCAGTTAATTCAAGTCCCACATCTTCAGATTCATCCTCAACGTCGTGAGCGGCCGCTTGTGGGGGAGGAGCAGCTTGGACCGCAATCAATGCAACCAGTACGCCAAACAGGATCACGATTTTATTCATGTTGATTTCTTACTTTTGGAGTATTCGACTGTTTGTACTATCGGAGTTTGTAAAATTGAGATAATGTAGGATTGTGTTTTTCAGAGAGATTTTTAAGCTTCAAATTGAGCTTGTTCTTTGTTCTCGCTTTGTGAACTGATACCTTCTCCACCCATTCAGCCTCCCTTTTATACAACATTTTCAAATGCGTCAAGATTTGTTGACTGTTTGGAGAAGACACGTAGTCAGAAATAAAACAGCTCCAAGAATCATTTGGAGATGAGCGGCGAAAATGGTAAATTTGTTTTGATTTTTAAACAATGGTGATGTCAACGCGTATGCGTAAAGGATCCATGGTCTTCCGTGCATTTAGGCAACAATAACAACAAATTTTACTGTTTTATAACAGGTGCAATTTACTCCCTTGTTGTCTAGTCCAAAAGTGGATTGTAGGATTTGGGTCTGAACAGAAGGCTTACATCTGCATGTACATGCGTAGTATCTGTAATTAAGATACTGAGTCAGTACTAGCGTTCCTGAAATATTGCATGGTTTATGTAAAAAGCGATGCAATTGATATCTCGTAACAAGAATGGCGAGATGGGTTTAAGCAGAATTGTTTACCAGAACAGTGGTGGCACACAAGTGTCAGGAAACCAGTTTGTTAGGCAAGAAGGGAATAAATATCTATAAAAATTTAGTCTACGTCATGATGAACGGAAACAATAAGATACGAATCTTGCACCTGTGACGCGTCAAGTTGAAGTTCACTAGATCAGGGATGCGAAAAGATAACAATATGTACTCCTTTTTTTTTATTTATTTTGTGATCATATTTTTAAGCGTTTTTAAAATTTCTAAAAATACGTACGTAATTAATAGGCCGACACAAAACCCTAGTTTTCTTAAAATAAGCAAGTGCTTAATTTTAATACTTGAGAGAATGAATTGGAGTAAAACCAGTTTTATCAGGTAGCCAGGAGTCACCACAAAGTGAATGTGTGCATAAGAAATAAAGCCGTCCATATTGATGACGCACTATAATTGGATTCATGAAGACACGTGTAATATTTATATAATATTAATTAAAAATGATGGGAAATATTCAGAGGGATAATTTTACGAAGAACTAAATACGTACTAGCAATTTATAGTTTAATGTGTTTATTGCAATTATGCATATGATTTTTCCAATTTTATGAAAGTTGAGTAGTATTTATGTTCCACGTATGTATATTGCGTATTTAAATATTATTTTTATTATAGATCACATACATGCGTAGTAAGTAATACATTTGACTTAATTTATGCATAAAAAGAATAGAAATGATTTCACTTCTTCTTGAGTCTGATATTATTTAAATTGAGAATTTCATCTTGTAAATGCTTGATTAAAAGGAATAGCTGTGGATCTTCCATGATGACATCTTCAATTCCATCAATATATGCGTCCTCGTCTGGCATGGTACCCCAAAATTCTTTCGGCAGTCTTTCCGGCTCCATGAGATTGCTGATGTGCGACATGTCGCTCTTCGTTATGTGTATCTGTAAACAAGTTGTACGATATGTTGTAGAAAATCGTTTCCACTGTTGTGTCCTATATCTTTTTTTGTTAACGTACCAATTTTCTAAGATCATCTGGAAGAACCCATTTAAAGATGTTGTAAGTATGCTCGAAAAGGGCGAGGCTGTTGATAGCAACGAGACCTTTGACCATGGGAGGAATCGTGGAGTAGAGTCGAATGGCCTTCATTAAAAGGTCAACGGATGCTTGACGCGCATGGGTCAGCCTAAATCCAGACACGTCTCCAATCACAATCATTCCTTGAAGATCAGAAGATAAAATATTAATCAAGCTGCTTCCCCAAAATTGTTTGAATCATATTGTTCAAGATTATATTCTGTTTTTGAAATGCTAAATTTTGGAAAGCTTACCGGTTCGTTGAATCTCTGGTGACATCTTCGCGACAGTGTAGATATAAAGTGCTCCAGTGAGGGCGAGTTGCTCGATATTACATTCGGACGGCTTCCAGTTTTCTGTGATTATTGATAAGCGTAATTAATTTCACCTTCTTTATGGCATCACTGATCTTGAATACTTGTAATAGTTTTATTAAAAAATTGTACACTTACTGACTCTAAACACTACAACGGCTGGACCTTCGTCTACAGGTCGTTTCACAACTTGAAACAGCTTTTTGCGGATGATAGGTTCCAAGTTGAGGGGGTCAATCTGGGCAAAAAGTTCAGGATAGGTTTGTGTAGCATGCACTTGCAATTTTTGCATCTACAAAATTAAAAGCAACAAGTTAGTTTATAAATATTTTGAAAACTAAATTTATTGACAGGACAATTAATAAATGTTACCGTTTTAAAGGCCAATTTTGCGTCAAGATTACATGCTCTTAATCCCACGATCACCAAACTTCGTTGCGCATACTTTCTCCAGGGTTGCATTTCATCGTCATCTAAAAAGTAAACATACAAAATTATAAAAGTGGAAATACAACAAGCTGCTAATTTTCGTAAATTTACAGAGAACGTACTGTCAATTAGTTCAAAAATTTCCTTGAGTGCCTGCTCTTCGTCTTCTGTATATTCTGCCGATTGATCCCCAAATTTGCTAATCGTGTTTTCAAAATCTTCAATTAAGAGAGTCATTTTCGTGTATTTTCAAATTTCAAAAAACCACTATGTTAAAATAATTCAAAAAATGGTTCCTAGAAATTGAAAAGTACTATGTCTGACACTGGACCTTCGTCTTCACCTCAAGGGAGCCTCTCTATCTGTCAACTGTTACCATTCTGGTGGTAGACCTACCCTTTTAAGAGACCGAGGTAGTAATTACGAACACAGGCGTAAAAATCTCATGTCGGGTAAGGTTACAGACTAGATTGTATCATAAAATTCCCACAGTTTCGTGTAAAATCCATTCTAATATCTTCATGCATTTTCCGTATGCTGGTGGACGACGACGACGACGTTTCACAATTACAAAAGGCGTTGCAAGAGGAATTACCCAGTCGCGGACCAAGCAAAAGTTCCCACGGAGCCGTGTGCTATTCCATGTGGCGAAGTTTTATTGCTTACCAGTTGACGTAGGCAATCCAAACCCTTGCAAACGATTGTCTTGCTCAATAGTTCCTGTATTGCGACGCATTTACAATTTACCTTAAATCTGACCAGTAAGGAAGCACTCGGCATTATTATGGTTTAGGTAATTATAGAGGAAATAGGCATGCATATGGCGGTTATTTGCATGTAGATACATAGGCTTTGGTTTTGATGAACCATTTATTTTTTTATTCCTGGTTTTAGCCAAGGTAATGACGTCGTGAAACGCTTTACATGCATATTTATATTGGAAACAATCAAGCAAGAGGATTTCCTATATGATTGTTATTGTTGTAAATATTAAGATGAGACTTTCGTTTACCCTTTTGAGATCATTATGAATAAATTACAAAAAGTAAACAAAGAATTTGATAGGAATTAAATGGACGCCTTAATTCTACTTTTGCCTTCAAATCGAAAACGGTAAGGAATCTTGGACACACATACATATCAATCTTGAACTTCAAAGCTGGAGTGGTGTGCATGACACACAGTGCAGTGCATGTTGATGACCCGAAGCGAAAACAATTCGCACCTAAAATAAATTGTAGTGTGCAATTTTGCAAATATTGATCTACCGTTAAAAATTTACAGCTTTTCTAAAATTATCGTACGTGTGCATGCAAGCAAGCCGAATTTCTCACGCAATTTGGAAACGAAAACGAATTTGACGCTTTGTTATTTCAGGGGAAACGGTATGCCTAAGCTATTCAAGTTCTGGAACATTTTAGCGCAATAAAAGGAAGTGTGTACATCTTGCGCAATGACCGCAGTAAGACTATTCATTTCCTCGACACAAAAGAATTGCGTATGTGTAATAATGTGACTCAGCATACACACAAATGTACATAAATTAATATATGTACATACATATACACATGTACATAAATACATGTAGTAGTATTACTTGCTTATGGTACTGGAATAGAGATGCATGGAATAAACATTAATGATATTTTTCTTAGTTTTTGCCGTTTTTTGCAATTTATCAAGGATTGTCCACGTGTCAGATCGTTTTTAATAAAGGCAGGTGTATCGTTTGATGAGTCACTTTATTGAACTACTTAATTGAGCAAATAAGAAATCATCTTTACTGCGTTTCAACAATTGGACAAGGAAAGTTTCATGACTGGAAGCTGCACATATTATAGTAAATACATGTGAAAAAACATACAGTGAAAAAACACTACTTAACCCTTGGGCTGGGCATAATAAAATAAGCAAATATTACAATTTTTACTATTTAACCACTTACTATTTGGTATTAGACGTATAAGAAACTCAATGACAAAACGCTGTTAATTGTTACGCTGTGTGGAATATTAACTGATTTTACTTTACCCAAATCCTGAATTTTTGAAGGAATACTAACTTTGATCCAGATCGCCGTAGGACGCGGGTAGCATGGTCAGCGTCAACGTCTGCTCTGATCCGCTGTTAATATGATTAGAACACCCACAGGTAGATGATTTCTTAAAGAATATATTTTGCTCATAAAATTGCGAATATGTACAAACGTAGTAAATATTGTATAAAAAATAAGTCACCTTTAGGCAACGACTCATTTATCACCCAATTATTTTCCATTTAAAATATAATTATTGGTATACGAATCAGGTTAATTAATACGTACATAAAAAGTGTATCAATTTTTCATATTCTTCACGTCTTGACTCCTCAGAGGCATAAAAATCCACCTCAAACATCGACCACTTTGACCATCTTTTCGCAGAAGTAATGACGCATCTTGTTGAACTTGACCCCCAAGCATTAGATACACGAACATATGTACATATATAAAGCAGGTATAATTAAGTATTATTATTGCGTATATACATGTGTGCACCTGGGCTTGCGAAAATTATAAAAGCTGAATTCACACTGTATCCGAAGACCAGTTCTTCTCCAGGATTTGTTTCATTTATTATACTTCTATCTTGCTATTTTCTTGGTCTTTCTTTAAAAAAATGGCCTCTCTCCATTTATGCATAACCGCTGTAGTGGTCGTCATTTTCTTCGCCACCGGTAATGATGCTCGACCACAACTTCCCAGTATTCCCAGGGAATTTCAGAATATCAATTTCGAGCAATACTTGAGGGTAAGATTTCTCAGTCTAGAATTTATCAATGTATAAGTATTTAATCAATTTTAACAATATGCAAATACTTTAATACGTTACAGAACGAACGTGCCATGAAATTTCAACTAAAATGTGTTATATACAACGGCCCATGCGACACGATTGGAAAATTTATTAAGCGAAACATTCCCATCTATCTCAAAACACAATGCAAGAATTGTGAAGATGAGCAGAAAAAGTTGGCCGGTAAATTTATCCTCTTCCTCCAGGAAAACTATCCTCAAGAATTTGACGATGCTATTGCCAAATATGGCAAAACGGACTACACCCCAGAAGAAATTGAGCAATTCGAGAAAGAATTAGGTTAGTAGCAAAATATATCCTGTCCCCTTTAATTTAATGTCAGGTATGTCCTTTAATTTACAACTACAAATTAGGAGTAAAAATCATCCGCGATAAGAACGCTCCAACTCGACCCCCTGGAACCAAACCGGACGTTGACGGACTCGTTAGCTTAGTAAAGGAAGGTGTCAATGCAGCTCTGAACACTAAAGCTCCACTTATCTTGGGCCAAATCGGGTCTGGAACAACGATCGTCGTTGCAAAGGCCACCGTCCCACCACAGTTGGCGCAATACACCACGACCACTGCTGCATCGGCCTCTTCTACGACCACGACCACTGCAGAAGCGTCCTCCTCGTCCTCCACCGCAGAATCAGTCACCACCGCCGTGGTAACCGAATCCGCGCAGGAGGAGTCTGCATAAATTAAATATTATCGATAAAAATGCAATCTTGTAAACTTGTACTACTCATAAAAATCTGTGATGTCTATTATTTCTTGACTCGGTAATAAAACCACTACTAACAACTTGAGAAAAGTCGAATGATAATGTCATGACATTATTTTCCCATAATGTTGAACTACATACTTATGCATGATTAAGTATGTAAGTAGATGGACTGGAATATGCTAAAAATTGATATAAATCTCTTGGAAATGACCCTGAACCTGAGTTACATACCTTAAACACACGTACATGTTAGTGAACATTGGTTATGTATGAGATGGCAAATGTAAACCAGTTTTTATGACATAATTGCGAAATATACTTATCTACACACTGGTCATTAATAATTTAAATTGCAGCTTGAGGTAAACGTATTATATTTTATGCTTGATTGCATCAGAAGAAACATCCAATTACGCTTTTTTGAATCTGGATTAGGAAATATAATTAATTACTTTGCTGGAGAAGTGAAGGAATAATTTATGTACGAGGTTTTCCAACATGAAGGTTACTAAATGTTATGTTGTGATGTTTTATAATAATTTCGGTTTTGTTTTGTTTGAGGTCAAGTAAAACCCCAGCAAATTATGGGCAAATTGTTTGGCATCGCATTACAGTTTGTTGTATTTTACGAGTATGCATGCCTACTTATGAGGAGGAGATTACGTACATTAATTGTCTCAACCGATTAGCCATGATACATATTTAGTATGTTAGGAGGCTTTCCCATGCTTTTTGCAATAAATAGTGCGTATTTGTTTGGATTAACCAATTGAAACAATTCGAAATGAAACTGAACAACAATAATATTCTTTCGTGTCTACTTTGATCAATTTGTATCCTGTGAAAAAATCAGTGAATGAGTATCACTTGTTGTTCTAGGTCACGGATATGACGCATTTGATACTCCTCCGAGTCAACAAGTTATATAAGTAAACTTTGCTATTCCCACCGAGATAAAGTTATTAGAAATTGCTGACAAATTGGAAATCATTTTAATTTCGAAGTAGGTAAAACCGTGTTGTTTTTTCAATTTGGAATGATTTATCTCATAACATGACAGTGTTTTCAATTAGTTTTAGATTTTCGTTTGACAACAAGTTTATTAATTTCCCGAGGAAGACATGGGATTTCCGAGAGTGCAGACGCACTTACACAAGGGTACGTGCTCTGTAAAAAATAAAAGTCACTTTTTGCGTCAGTGGAATGAAATGAGAACGGACGAGTTATCCGCAAAGCACAATTGATAATAAATATTTTGCTTCAGTTTGCATAGATATTTCCATTTATAGATTCATTGTGCTGGTGCGAGGAGATGCTACAAGATTTACTTGGGGGCCACACAACAGGATTCTCAAGTTTAATTGCTTCATTAATTAGTTTATGATTACAAATGCTATTCCAATTGGCTGCTTCTCAATAAAATTCTGTGTAAGTAGATCAAATACACATTTGTATTTCTAGTTTTTCATCAAATTTATGCAGATCAGGAAAACCCCGGATTAGTCATAACATAATTGTTGATGACACAGAAAATCCTCCAGAAAATCCTCCTCATTGAAAATAAATTGATCAATCCAGTAGCTCAAGAAGTACATTTCCATACTTTATGTACAAAGCCCCTTTGCATAATATTATGAATCTATTAAATTATGGATATGGTTTAGCACGACTCCTTGATACTCCTTGTACATATTTACGTAATGTAAAACGTGAAGGTGATAAAAGGTGAGAATCTATACCGGATTTTCCCAAAAAATCAGATTAGCGGTCAATTGCTTTTGTAACAGCGAAACTACTACCGCTGAAGACATTCCCTTTTCCTGTACATGTAAAGAAAATAAGTATAAGGCACCTTCTTAATGGAGATTGAATCTTCCAAGGATTGTGAAATTTTCACAAATAATTCCAACCGCATAACACGTTTTGTACATTCTACGGTCGCCTCTTATGCCGCAAGACGATGTGTGTAATTGTTTAACAGTTTGTTCTTCCACCATTGATATCGAAGGACATTTTATCCTAAGCCCCACCAGCAAATAGTGAAAATCTCGACATTTTATCTGAGTATGTACCTACTCCATGTGTGGTACGTTACTATGTGCCACAATGTTCTCACCAACACTTTGCCATATTATCGTAAGACATTACTTCATGTATTCCTTCAAGCCTGTATAATCAGTGCGTAAACTGGTCTAAATTTCAGTGTCATAGCAAAAAAACAACCTGGGTTTTCAAGTAAATAAAGCAAATCATGGAAATTACTACCTGACCAAATCATTATGGTTTCGTTAGTATTCCTTCTTGTAATGATAGCTTCATCATTAAAACCAGGCGTGGAAATTGATGGTCTCCTCTCTCGATTGCACTTCTCAAGCATCAAACTAGCCAGTAATCAACATGTCTGTAGATACATAATGGAATGCTTCCGACTCCTTTACACGTCTCCCCATTAGTTTAGTTAGGCAATGAAACTGTTGAACATTGTCAATTCCTTCAGGCATCCTTCAGGTACGTTTAAAGCTACGTCTCCCACGATCTCACCACGCATTTGAGCTCAGATTCCCACAAAGTAAAAAGCAAGCGACTTTCCTTCATCGCGTCTGAAATACACTTGCAGGTATTTGCATATTTCCGAATTCATCTTATTTACATATATGGCTTTGGACATTGCAAGTGCGACCGGGGAAGGCAGGGACACTGTTCTCAAAGGAACATTCAGCTTTCTCGACCTTCTCAACGGACCTACGCCCCTGTCCCCACAAAATATGGGATGGTCACAGGACGGTGAAGGCGGAGGCGAAAACAACCCAACTGCCCCAGAAAATTTTACATTTCTCTTGTGTCCTCCACCTCCAGGAAGCCCTTCTGGATATTCTGGTGTCACATCGAGTGCAAGTCCTGCTGCTGGAGATGACAATAATGGATCACGAAGAAACAGCAATACCTTTAGTGACACCACAAACAGCTCGTCAATGTCCATGCCAGACCTTCACGTGTGGGGAATCGGAGAAGAGAGTGACAGACAAGAGTAAGATATTTATTTCTTAACTATTTAATATTTACGAATTTTCTAAAAACTGTATATTTCGATTTTAGTTCAACAATTCCACTAATTCATCAACTTACAGATGTGAAGAAAGGCCACTCTTCGCTTTCAAAATCCCGATCAGCCTCAAAACTCTCAAAGCTGGTCGACCGTGGGAGTGACAAATATAAAGTGAGGAGAGAACGAAACAACATTTCCGTGAGGAAAAGCCGAGCTAAAACCAAGTCCAAAATCAAAAAGATTGAAGAACACGTTGTGCGTTTAGAGCAAGAGAACAAACATTTGAAACTAAAAATGGTCAAGGTTCGCAAGTTCTTGAGCGAGTTCGAGTCCTCTTTCTTCTCTTGGAGAAATGTTTTGAGGGAAATTGAGGAAGAGCTTAGTTCCTCGGTTATTATGGGTTGAATGTGAAGAAGCCATATTAAGATTTTTTTACATATTTTTTGTGTTCATTATGATTAACTGTAATTATTTCTAACTTATGGAATTGTTTATAAAATATAAAGTAAAGACTTGATAAAAGCTGAGCCAAATTTTGAAAATCAATTGTCATGTCGAGACAAATATTTTACAAAAGTGTATACTTATTCAGCATTAATTTCGAGCATAATGAATCAATATCCAGTGTGAAAGATTCCAAAAATTCCCAACCAATTTTAAAACTCGGTTGGATCCAAGACAAAAAATTTGTTGGCAAAAATGTACTTGAATTTGACTTCACATTATTTTGGCCTCTTTGTCACTGAATAAATTCGTAAATTACATATATTTATATTAATGCAAACTTGTGCACATTCAGCCTAATTTAATAGAACTTGGCAACATTGAGCACACGGACCTCTGCATTTCAAGATTTACCTACATCCTTCGATACAAATTATTTTTATGCAGCTTATGACTTGAGTTTGTAAAAGTAAAAGTATGCAATAATACTTTAAAGCTAAATGACTATCAGCAAAAACCTTCAAGGATAGCAAAATTATAAAATTACTTAAGAAATCGTGCTATAATGGACCGGTTTTTAATGGCTGAATGAAGTTATGGCTTCAATTGATATCCGAATGATATATTTTCTTTTTATTTGCATATATTGGGTAATTAATGGCTGGAGATTTTTTACTAGCTGATAAATGTAGGAATTATGAGAATAAAGTAATTGAAATATTTACTGTAAACATTCGTAAATTAATTACTTGTCGTTTATTTTTAGGAAATTTCCCAAATAATTTTTAGAGAACGCAAATACATTTAAACGCTGTGAGGAAATTAATTATTTTTTTAGAGATTTTAATATTCCTGAACATTTGTTAGAAAAAAAACATAAACTTTATTCGTGACAAATCTTATGTCCAATGTTGAACAGGGCAGTGATGCAGCTCCACTTTCCAATTGTGGTCTTGGCATCACAAGTCTGGGTGGTGACTCCATTGAGGATGAACTTTGGCATGTAAACCGTTTTGGGTAGTTGTACAGGGTCTTCAGTCTTCCAGTGTAAGTTCATTTCGTCCTACAAGATTATTTTTGTCATTAGTGTTTCATGATTCTATAAATGATAAAAATTTTCAAAGTTTTAATAAAAATTCTACCTTGGTGTACATGTAGGAAGCTAAGGAAATTGGACACACAAAGTTCTGCTGGTTAAAATCTACGGGACAATAAAGTTCCACCGTGAGCCTTTTTGAGTACAGCACTTTTCCATTAGGATAAATGTAGACGAGGTTGTTAGGGTGGAAAGTGTCGTGCTCGTGGGAGCTAATTTCATCTCTGAAAAACAAATCAGGCGTCCAGATGTCCTGAAATAGACACAAGTAGCTTATTACACAATTCACAAAATATACAAGTAATACTTTGCGATTTTGAGGTACCTTTGGGTTCCCATACGCTATTCTGTCCATGCCTTCCATCGACGTTGTGTACGCCAATCTTTCGTCCTCCCACGACTGACGGAAGGTCAGTTGAACCTTCCATTTTCGTTCGTCGGCGTCCATGGTAAAAATATTTCGGACGTACATGTCGATCGTGATGTTTGTGATACTGCCCGGCGGTCTGAGGTGCTTCTGATGATCCTTCATTTTCGTCATGAGGGCCTCGGTGATTCGGTCAGTTTCTTCATAGATGGTCGTGGAATTTGTCAAAGATAAGGTGGCCAAAAGCACGACCGCCAGAAAAAGTAAGGACTTCATCTTGAGTGACGCTTATTTTGCCTTATTTTGTCAAAAGATGAAAAGAAACTGAGTTGGAGATGCCGGTAGATGCGGTATAAATATTGGTTTGCAGTACTAAAAAACTTAAAGGTTATCTTTGCAGTTACTGAGATTGACAATAATATGTTTGTCAATTTGTTGTTCATCAAATGCATACGTCCTAAAAAATATACTCGCCGTGAAACTAATCAAAAGTCAAGTTTATATTTATGAGATGTTTATGCCCACTAAGATAACCCCAAAATTTCTCGATTGCATGAAGTAATTGATACTAATGCCCGAAGGTTACCTAATAAGTTCAGTGTAGTAGGCATCTCAAAGGAAAGTGGCTGAACAGATAAATAAATATGACGAATTTGACCTATTGACAAGATAGATAAGCATCGTATATAGCAGTAATTTCCAGCATGGTGCGTCATGCTTAAACTTTCCGTTAGCATTGAAAAAAAATTGTCAATATTGTTCCAAAATTAGGACGCGTGTGACACTGACGACTTTAATATGATTGTAGAACTCCAGTTAAAACTAAAAAATGGATTGTGTTGTTTGGTCTTTGGTACGTAGAAATTTATCCTAATATGCATATTTGTATATACTAATCATACATATGACATAGGTATGTAATATGTATTCTAAGGATGAGACCTCCAGTCTGAACATTCACTTTCAAAAAATTCATATGGATCGTTTGGACTGTCTCACTACCAACTTTTGTCCCCGAAAATATTCTCCAAAATTTTTTTTTTGCTCGTGATTGAACTTACGTCGTGTCGCGTGTATTAAAAAATTCTTATATATGTACGCACGTACGGATGTCAGTTAACAAGCGTTTTATTCCATCGAAAACTTGTCAGTTATTAGTAAAAATCGATAATACTTTCATAAATATGATTTCAGAATATAAGAATCAACATTGCTATTAAAGTTTTTCCCAGCCAATTAATTTATCTTCATCAATCTCGTCGTCATCATCCTCGTCTTCATCAACCGCGTCTGTAGAATCCACAAATGTTCTCCTAGACACTCCAATCGAAATACCAAAGAATGCAAGGAATTTTTCTGATTTAAACAAACGCTTGACGTGTTCACTGTAATTATGAAATTCTTTTTTCAGTAATCAGCAGTAAAATTTAGTTAAATTATTCATATTTTTATTCTCACTGATCCTTGATCCAGTTGTTTAAGTCAGTATGAAATCCATCAATCATGGGGACCCCCAGAAATTCACAAGCCGAGAGAGCAAAATCAATACAATTGTTGTGAACGGGATGATATCTCGCAGAACTGCATAGATAAGTAGGTGCATATATATGTAAACAATTATTAACAACGCTTATCAAATATAACCTTCTACTTTTACCTAAATTTGTTTCGATTTTCTTCAGAATTGAACCAATCTTCGAACTCGGCATGCGATTTTCTAGTGTCGAAACTAGTTTCCGGAGGTAGCAGATTTACTTTCTTGTTCGGCTAGAGCACGAATGTTATTAATAAATTATACATTTCTGTCCGACATGGTTAGTATAATAATATCAAGTTGACTCACGATCTCGAACGCTATTTGTAAACCTTTTTGGTTGAAATGGTAAAATCTACGGAAGACGGCTACACCAACATGAATCAAATATTTCGGTATCTTCCCATCGTTGATTTTACTAATTAATTTCAGTGCTTTCAAAACTAAAGTTTAATAACAAACAAAAAACATTTTTAGTAATATTTAAATTTTAAACCAATGTGTCAATAATTCCCTGGATAAGCCAATAAGTAAAAGTATGTGTACCAGGTTTTGGGAACCCCTTTAGGTCCCAGCCATATAGTAAAACACGATTGCTCTCCACTGGTGAATCCATAATACAAAAGTTGATTTAAGTCGCACAAGTACAATAATTAAATGCTTCAAATATTTAAAGCATTAATCAAACTGCAAAACCGCAAATTACAATTCGCGGCGTAAATGGGTTATCTTTCGATACGATACGAGTAATTAATTATCATAACCAAATGTGTGATAACATTATTGATTGAGTTATAAAATTGTGTCTGCACGTTATGCTAAATATAGTTGTGATACACGTAATACGATTTTTCTCTTTAATTTGACATAAATTCCTTTACTAACAAATCATTTAAATGATGCTAGCTTACTTCAGTATTTATTTGTTTATGCTTTTCTGTGTGGGTCCTTGCGTGAGTATGCTGCTTTTATAATTAATAATTGGATTGTTAAACAAATCCTAGATTGATCCCCTATGAAAAGATCCCGGACCGGTCTCCGGGAACAACTGTTGACTGCATGCATGGTTGATTATGCAATCTTGACAAATCATCTGTCTATACTACATTTTTTTCCTCACTTTCACTTTCAGTGCTTGCATCATTTGACTTCATGCATACAAATTTGTAAATTGTAAATGGTTTTTCTTTATCATCAGGCAAATAAAGTTTTACATTTTTTGGCAAAACCCATTAAATAAAATCAATGCCTAATTTAACACACTGTTGTCAATTGTTATAAAATTAATATTTTACTTAAGTATAAAACTAGAGCTCATTTAATGATTTCCAGTTTTATACTATTGAAAGGTTTCGCAAAAATAGAAGTGAAAAACCAAAATATTCATCGGGTTCTGCCTTTAATTTGATTAACTTGTGTACTATGCATGTAAATGCGTATGTACTACAATACAATAAAGGACTGCTAAATAAACCGTCGCAAACGCGCATACGGAAGTAGCTTCAGACGTACTTCACCCCAAACGGTCCCACCACAACTCGGGAACACTTAATTTCACTCTATTTCACCTATAGATTAATTTTTTGTAAAAATCTCATTTTGCCCCGACCACACCCCCTGGCGACAAGGGGGTGTGGAACAACTCGGGAACACTTAATTTCACTCTATTTCATCTATAGATTAATTTTTTATAAAAATCTCATTTTGCCCCAACCACACTTAATTTCACTTAATTTCACTTAATTTCACTTAATTTCATTTAATTTCACTCAATTTCACTTAATTTTACCCATAGAATAAATTGCACTAAAAATCTCATTTTGCCCCAACCACACCCCCTGGGGCCGAGGGGGTGTGGCACAATCGGGGAAGTACTTAATTTCACTTAATTTCACTTAATTTCATTTAATTTCACTCAATTTCACCTAATTTTACCCATAGATTAAATTGCACTAAAAATCTCATTTTGCCCCAACCACACCCCCTGGCGCCGAGGGGGTGTGGCACAACTCCGGAACACATAATTTTACTCTATTTCACCTATAGATTAAATTGCACTAAAAATCTCATTTTGCCCCGACCACACCCCCTGTCGCCAAAGGGGGTGTGGTCCGGTTGCCCCCAAAAGTTGATAGGATCCTCCCCCTGGGGTCCTATGTATGATGGCGAAAACCGATTTCGATTATCTTAATCCTTTCTCCTGATATCCTGCTGACAGACAGACGGACAGACAGACAGACAGACAGACAGACAAAGTCTTCACATAAAGTAGCTGAAGCTACTTAATAATTTCTGTAGTACAGGGTCTCTTGATGAAATTGGAAAACACGATTAAATCTTGACCGATTGTTACTCGATAAATACTGCCAATTTACTCTTCGCTTTCCTGTGTATGTATATGACAATCAAAGCATCACGTAAATAACTGAATAAAGGAAATGGAGAAGAATTTATCAAACATAAGTGAAATAAGCAATTAGCTGCCTCGTGCTCTACCTACCCATACATACCAGTATTTATTTAAGTCTTGATTTTATTCTGTGACACTTTGTATTTCTTACATACGCTCAGAATAATTGTGCGTTGATGGGTTATGCATGCAACTGCTTATATTTTTGTAGCAACAATTTGTGAATGAAATAAATGAATTCTATATGTAATTTGTAAATATGTATATGATTCAATGAACCTGCAACTTTTTACAACAAACGAAATATAATGTGAAACAAATGCCAGTGAATATCGGTTTCAGACATGCATCAAATATGCACAAGTTAGTTTGTTCTTAAGTGCCCAGGAATATAGAGGATTAATAATAATTATAGCATTTATTCCAAATACTTAGATGGTCGTGCGGTGTAGTTTAATTTTCTGATACTGGTCTTATACCAATTATTGCATCTTGCATAAATGTCTTATATAAGTCTTATGTCTTATATAAGTAAATGAGTCTAATCAAATGGGATAAAATCATATTCAATTTCAAGTAAAATTAATTTATGACTTGTAAATATGTACATAGGTACAACCACTGCAATTAGATAATGTTTATATATCCACACTGTCAAGTGTATTTACAGATATTTTGTCTGCAAGAATCTAGCAAATTGTATTATATTCCGCATTTTAGTTACCAACTGAAAACAGATTTCTCAGTATGTAAATATGTACATATCTATGTATTTCATTTGAATCAAGTGCAGGGTAATTATATAAATAGCTGTAGTCGAATTACGATGAATTAGATCAAATTAACTCCTGGGCAGCTAATACATCAAGCTAGGCGATAACATTGACTTCCTCTTCGTTTTATCGAGTATATGTACATAACTATTTCGGCATATCACCAGAAAATGTTATCTCCTCGTGTAACCTTGCTTCTTGAGAGCATTACAAACAGACTGCATAGGTTCCACTTGCTTCCTTTCCTAATTAAGAAATGTGACAATGGAAAATTAGTTGCAGATTGTCCTGCTGAAAATTTCGCAAAACGATACCCTTTTCAAATCCGCTATTTATGGGCAATTGCTCCAATATCCTACCAGCTATATTTTTGCTTCCAAATTCAACATATCATTGCAGACAAAAGAGGTGATCAAAGTCATAGATTTGCATCAGGTGGATGGGTACTTATTTTTTGGATCGGATATTCCTGGACACTCTCGGTACTCGTTAACTTTTGGATATTCGAAAAAGACGTGGCAAATTTTATCACAAAGTTTTTGGCCATCGATAAAACTATTGGTGTTTCAACTGGCAAGTCTCAACAAGCTAAATTTCATTACGTATTCATATGTACACATTTTAATTTTTTGACCTCCAGGAACTTCTACTCGATCTAAAATAGAGTGGGATTTTATTGCTTGCATATTCTATAAATGGCTGGGAATCATATTCAATGGCATGTTGGTTGGAATACATGTTTTTAATCCAAACTACATGCAATATTCGACATCATATCTTACATACAAGGAAAATCGGGCTCTTTTCGTATCGCTCACTGTCATTGACGCCGTAACAATTGCAGTGGGAGTGGTTATGATGTTGTATGAGCTAGCATTACAGTCCTTCTATCTACTTTCAACTTCACAATGTTTGGTGTCCTTACGGTAATTTATACAAGAACACTTTTCCTAAATGCATATTTAATAAGTATTGGCGATACTCATTATTTGGTTATTTTAGAAAATGCAACCTCCCATTTAAAGAAAAAGTGCGACTGTACACATATCTCCAACTGGCGAACCGACTTCATGAGGGTTGTTTCCGGATGCGTATTCCGCACTTAACTTTTACCTTGTCGCTGTGTGCCATAGTCGGATATATTGGAATGATTCATTTCCATTCAACTTTTGGACTGTTTGATTTGGGAGGAATGTTCTGCTTTGCGATGGGTGGCAGTGTAATAATGATGGGCATTTTGCATTGCTTTGGCTATATCGTGAGCGGGTGTAAGAAACTAATTCGGAGCTTAAAAGAACATGGGGACAAAAAGAACAAGGTGGAAAGAAGGGTAATAAAGGTTTTACATACATTTGGCATTAGGGACGGTCCTATCAGGATTATGACCTATGACGGAATGTATCACATGGCAGGGGGCACGATCAACATGCTAGTGACAATCTTGGTGTTACTGGGACATACTTAAATTTCAATGTCAATTGCAAGATCGTAACTTGAATTTACTTGCATCTTACTTACTTCTTGTGCATAACACTTTTTATTTCAAACATACGTATGTACACACATGCATAAAGGATGAGCCGTTCTCTTAATAGTTATTGCATAGCTTATCCTTAGATTTATTAATGCAAATATGTATGTACGGTATAATCTCGATGTAATAAATATGCAGAATACTACTAATTTTAAGCAATATTGTGGTTCTTGTGTACATACATGCCTTGCTATTAAACATTGTTCTTCATCATTTATCAAGAGGTTGATATTGTTTTATGTATTGCGTGTTGTACGCAATCATAATACAATAATCAGGTCGGGGTACGGCAAATACTTGCATCAACTCATCGGGACAATACCATGGCTAGAGAGACACTGGCGGATATGGGCTCATTGACAAAAGCAACTATTCAATCAATATGTATTTGACAATGTTTATAATTTATGTACGAAAATAACCATAATCTAAGGATATCGTGACACAAAGAACAATAACTGGTCCAAAATAGAAATATATGTACACAACTGCCCACATTAGTCCAAACATTGGTCTAAATGATTTGATGAGTATTCCGTACGGTACATATTGGCATTCCTCTCTCTCTAATGTAATCTAGTTGCGAAATTGTCAGACATTATTGAAATTAAAAAGAATAGTATAAAAGCCACCGATTTTCACAAGCTGGACGCTGAAATCAGAGTGCAGATCTTGGAAGCATTACTACTTGTCTAACTCGAGCTCATAAATCTTTCCCATATTAAAATGGCTGAAGAAATTCGTCTTATCTACTTCGACATCAGGGGTCTCGTGGAGCCCCTCCGCTGGATGTTCAAGTTATCGGACACGCCGTTCACGGACGAACGCATTCCACTAGATGCCTTCTCAGGATCAGGAAAGAGGAATTCTTTGGAAGACATAATGAAACGGAGGCGATCTATTGAAAAGAAAGCTGGAGGACGTGAGTTAAAATTCAGATCATTTCATATAAATAAATATGTCCACGTAGTTTTCATTTTATTACAATTTTTCAGGATCCAGATTCATTGCGCAGTTTCCCATTCTAATGGTCGGAGATGAATTTGTGATTACGCAACCCTTGACGGTTATGAGGTACGTGGCAATTTTTGTAATGTCATACTAATTGGTGAATAATTATGTATGCTGATTCTCGCAGGTACGTGGCGAGACGGTATGGCTTCAATGGCACCAATGAATTGGAGGAAGCTCGTTCGGACGAAATTGCAGATTTGGTGTATGACATCCGTCTGCGTAAGAGAATTATTAAAAGTTTCAGAGTTTCTCAGCATCCGAATTTATCTAAATTACGATGTACATACTTTAGGAGCGACGGATTATGAGGGTAAATGCTTCAAATCTGCAACACCGGATATCCTGAGACATACAGGTTATACATAGTTCCAGCTTTATTTTCTTGTGCCAAAATAAAAATTATGACTAAAAATTATTCTTTTATTGCAGTATTTCGTGACTTTCGCAATGAACCTGACGGGCCGAAAAAGGAGAAGATGAGGGACGAGCTTCGAAACATGTGGTTTCCGCTTTACTTCCAAAAATTTACCGACATTTACAACGCAAGTTCAGGTGAATGGGTGACTGGCGATTCCTTAACTTATGGAGACCTTATCCTAGGTAATTCTGATAATTCAACGTATAAGCGATTTTTATTAAAGCAATGTTCTTAAACAGCTAACTTTCTCGATATTGCTGAGGACTTGGTGGACCCCACTTGTCTGGATGAGTTTCCGAAATTGAAGGAACTCAAAGACAAAGTTTTAGCCCTGCCGGCAATTATGGAGTGGAAAAGAACTCAAGCATTGGAAAAGGTCGAGTCTTCAACTGGCGAATAATAAAGGGCAAAATTAATTGCAATTTAAGGTTCATGTCGTTGTATACGGTGTAGAAATATGTGCATATCGTTGTATGTGTTGCGATTAAAATCTCTGTATTCGATTCAATAAATATATATTAAGTAGTATTCTAAATCAGGAAGAATTTACAAGAAGATGAACGATTTATTTTATACGCATCAATCAAATCATAAGTAGATAAATTCTCAAAAACAATGAAAAGTAAATCTTATTATAATATATATATATATATCTAGATACATATATAATTATACATATGATGCCATTACATATATAGATACTTGAACTTTTATTGCATTGTCCTTAATTACACAAATTCAACATTACATTATGAAAGAAAGTTTTAAAAATTATTATTCAAGAAAGTCTATTGTAATCACATTTTCACATTAACATTACACCCATAACATTATTTGGAGTTTCTTATCTCACGATCAGCCAACTATGCACAATCAAGTAGCTTGCAATGACTTTATTTTAAAAAGTCGATCAATCACGTATTACTCGTCCGTGTTACCGATATCCGGAAGATTCCACATGTTTTTGAAGCTGTCTCTGCGAAGTTGTTGAAATCCTATGCATAATAATTTCAATAGATATGTATTAGGAATTAAGAGACAATGGTTCACTATTGGACAATAAATATGAAATCATATTTTCATACCCGTCGGATAGTATGTCATAAATGATGAAGTTGGAGATTGTGGTGGCGTTGTGCCTGACGTTCCCTCATTCGCATTAGTTTTCGGGACAAAAATTGCAACTAAATTACATGCCATTTATTTAAGTAAATATGTTGAACATCAAGTTGAAAGTAAATTAAAACTTACAAGGTAACTGTTTAGGATCTGACATTCTTCTGATATTTCGTTCGACATCTTCCGTCTGCAAATACATTGATTTGAAATAAAAATGCTGGCAAGAATTTTTTTACAGTGTATTCACCTTTCGAACCAACTCATCCATTCGTTTGCTAAAATCTGTCAGCCTTGCTAATTCCTCTTCATCCTGTCAAACAAACATTTTACACTTAAGTTTCCATATTATAATTATTTTTAGTATTAAATAATAAGTAGTACCATTTTTCGTGATACAATACGTATAACGTGACCAGCTTTAAGAGAGATCTCCTCTTATTACAGAATTGGTAGTTACTGCTGCAATTGTACACAAATTGTTTACCAACACGATCGAGCCAACAGTATTTTTAGCCTACAATACCGACAGGACAACAAGATCTATCTGTATTGCGTCGTGCATTATGTGCAAGAGCAAAGAGAGGTGAATTTGCACATCGTGGAACAGATAGACATATGTACATAAGCCTGGATCCAGCCTATAGAGAAAGTTGCCAAACTCCGAGTCGCAGAACGAGATTGTTGCAAATTTCTCATGCACTCAAACTGTCCTGGAACGCAGAACATGGGAAATATCTAGATAATAATTTCAAATTCCATCGAATGTGTCACATACATTGTCACACGTAGTACATTTAACTGCCAAGTCCCAAGTGTTAAGCTTTAACATTTGGCATATGCCTTACATAACCTTCACTTGTGTGCTGAGGAGATGACCTCGTCCATTTTTTGCAAAAATAATTTGTTTGGATCACAAACACTCGTTTGTTTAGGATGCATTTTAAGTAGGCATAAAAATGTTCAAAAATAGACAAAACATTGCCAAAAGACATGTCACAGTTAATTTAAGTTTTAGAAATTTATGGCAAAATGCTGCAAGGTCCCACCGAGACTTGAACTCGGATCGCCAGATTCAGAGTCTGGAGTGCTAACCATTACACCATGGAACCATTTTTGGGGAATTTTGACTCATCTCAACCTCAAACATACGCGCAAAATCCCGTCTTTTTATAAATGCAAGGTTTGCATAGATGTTTAAATCTGCTTGACCTGACTTGATATGACACTTTATATGCTGAATAATCATAATCCACCCAAATAAATCTTAATTATGTAGCTATATGGGCAGATAAGAAAATTACATCATAGATTAGAATACCTGCAAGTTGTATGTATACATATGTAAGTGATCGTGATCATAATTTTGAAGCTTTGGTACACAGTTTATCCTAAAAAACAGTCGGATAAATAATTCTCAACCCAACTGGAGACATGAAATTTCCTGTCCTGGCATTAATTATGTTTTCCAGAGTGATTACAAAAAATTACAATGATTACACACATATGTACGTATAAATATCCAAATACAGATGTATCCAGTTTAATGCAGTTCGATTAATGCGCAACAGTTTGTGGTGTCAAATGACATTGTTAAAAATAGTTGGATGTCCAAAGCTTTGCATCTGCCCCTCACTCATTAGGTTTTTAGCCTGCGTCAAGGCTTATGGAACCATCATGTCCGTCTATTTATCTGTCTGGCTATAAATCTCGTTAGACTCATCATATCCACTTGAAATTTGGTACACATGTAGTATTTGGCAAATGAGGAGTTAAATTAAGATTTGAGCAAAATCGGTCAAGTAGTTGCCCTATGGGGGTCATAAAGGTGGGGGGGGGGTCGTTGATATTAATTTTTTAAATTGATTGAAAGAAGCTGAAATTTTGCCTGCTAGATTATCGGAAGATTCTTGAAAATTATGAATTGTAGCTGGTAATATTAGTTGGGTCATCTGACAATAACTTAGAAACGGACTGTGACCCTAACTCGGGCTAAATCAACACTGTAAGTACATACGTAGGTTCCCTGTATGACACGGCAAAAAAAGTAAATGTTCTGACCACAGTGACTGTATACGTACTTCTCGTCGTGGTTTGTAAAGATATCTCCCCTCACATAAAATACGAGCCCGATAGATTTTGCAAATAACTATCACTCATGATTAAAAATGCATAACATCCATATTTAAGTATGCAATTCTGGACAAAAAATTATTGTTTTGTGGCATAGGGAAAAAATAAAACTGCAATTAATATGTATCATCCATTTCTTCCAGACAGAAAGTTCGCCATAACATTGTATATATGTATCAAGATTGTACGATACATTTAATTTAGCAAATATGCTGACTGATCATGAGAGTTGCTAATTCGTTAGATTTTTAAGGAGAATGCGACACGGAAAATAGCTTATGTACGAAAATATGCGTGCACATTGCATATTTATTGCAAAATATTAACAAACACGAACTTCTGTGTTCCTTTTGTTTATTTTGTACCCACAAAAGCAAGCTAAAAACTTGACTTTCTTACATACATATTTAACAAAGACTTAGATTTTGAAAATGTGAATATTATTCTTATCGTGCTAAACCTGCTACAATGCTGAAAACCATTGCAACAAGCATCGTCACACCACTTCCATTTCTGGAACCGCTTGAAGTTTTAAGACAAGTATTGCGCTGCATATAAGTCTTGGTACAATTTGCTTTTTTGCCAGTCAACCTTTTGACTTTTTTGTACCCAGCAGGACATGTTGGGATGAATGTTGTACAGGATGTGTTAAAAATTTTGATTTCACGATTTTTTAAGCAGCAGAAACTCCTTTCATGATTCTTTTTTCCACATGAGGTCATATCGCGATCCAATTGACGATACCCGGTTGGGCAGGTCGAGATGAAAGGGGTGCATGACGTCGTAAAACAGGAAGGACCTTGACCAAATGGGCAACAGTAGTTTCTGGACTCGGAAAGTTTCGGGCAGCCTAAAAATCATAATTAATTTAACACCAGTTTTTCATTTTATCAGAATTAGCTACGCATAATTAATTACGCTTTACCAGTCTTATCGTGATCAAGTTTCATGTATCCAAATGGACAACTTGGGATGCCCATAGTGCAATTAGTTGTTAGACAGTGATGAGGAATATATTTTGAAGGAAATAAAGGCTTGTCATTTTTGGGATGAAGATTCAGAGTGTTATTTTTAGTCAAATTTCCTAAATTTGTAGAATTTTTCTTTGAAATGGGTGGCATAAAGATGGGTTTTGTGGCGTTTAGCTTTGTAAATGGTTTCGTGGCGTTTAACTTTGCAATTGATTTTGTGGGGTTTGGTTTAGCAATTGGTTTTGTAAAGTTTGTCTTCGTAAAATTTGTCGAGATATGCGAATGCTGCAAAGTTGTATGTGGCTTGGAAGAATTTGCTTGAGACGTGTATTTAAGAGGATTTGTCGTGCCATTAGACTTTTTCGTTGTGCTTGAATTTAACGAGCCAAAACTTGTGGTATTTAAAGTCTTTGGTTTAACATGGCCATGATTGTGATAAGTTGTTGTCGAGTTAAGAGTAAAATTTTGGCTGCTGGATTTCAGGTGTTTTGTAGCATTATTAGTTTTTGTGGTGCTAACATTATGAAAAGGTGTTGAATTCTTTGCCTTTGTCAGATTCATTTTGTGATTGAACGGATGTGGAGTTACAACCACTTTAGCAGGGCTATTAATTTTTCCATTTTTATTAGTATTAAAATTGGTTGAGTTCTTTACTGTTGGATTAGAATGCTGATGTGACCCGTTTCCCAGTACGAATGTTGGAAAAAGTAGAATCAGTGTCAAAATATAAAATGGTCCACCACGTTTACACTATATAATGAAATTATGCATTAGTATGATTTTTGTTTTTGATAAAATAATCCCTGAAATTACCTTTAGGAACATTTTATTATGTTTGATTTAATTTTGTCAGCGCAATACAAATTAAGACTGAAACTACTTATTAAAGGTTTTAAACGCTAAATAAAAATTTTAACCAAAAATTTTTACATGAAAAAGCAAATTGTATCGACAAAGGTTTGATCATAATCAACGTCCACACGTGCATCGCGTGTTCTTAATGAAAACAGCTTTTACAGTCTATATATTTTGTAATTGATTTTAAAAAAATTGAGGACGGCATGACATTTATTGTTATATTTTACGGGAACAAATAATTTAACATCATATTTATGTAGAGTCCATGCTGAATTTATTGTTATGCATGATAATATTTTACCTTGAAATTTAAACCTTAGCATTATTCAATAGATGAATAGAATATAAAGTTCATGTGCATAAGTATTTAAAGTTCAAGCGTGACAATTCAAAGAAGCCCAATAATGCCGTCTTTAGTTATGCATGTAACGAAAAATTTGGGGGGGGGGGGGGGTAAAAGTTGATACAGTGCTATATGCGAAGGGCGAGGGGGTGTAAGGGTTTTGAGATCAGGGTCTTTGTATTTATGATCTAGATATTCACTACTACAGTTTTCAAAAAGAAAGTAAAACGATAATAGTAAAGTGAAAACACATTAAATCAGGTTAACTACTGCATTTTCTTTAAATCTAACACAATGAAAATCTCATTGGCATTCACACCCACAACGTGATATTAAGTTTACGATAATGAAGTTTAGAAATTGAAATTAAGCTACAAGACATAGTTTATTTTTATAATACTTGTCAAAAGTGAGTAAACCAATTAAATTACCACATGATCACAGAATCATAAATTTGTTATTAATTTCTTTGACAGAATTGTTTGCTACATTTTAAAATTAAGATCCTCGAAATTTGTTGATTACATACAAATATGTTTTAGAGAAACAGGATCGTTTCGAATTGGTGGAAAGTGATGATTTAGATTATTCAGAATATAATTGTGTTATAATGTTCAAATTGAATACTTACTTATTTATATTTTATCCCCAAGCACGATACAAACCGTACGGTTGACGGTGCTGGTGAAATTCGAAATACTTTAACAAAAATAAGGGAATTAAGTAAGATATAAAACCGTAACAAGTTTTTCGTATTATAAATATTTTTACGGAAAGTGGATGAGATAAACAAAAAGTATCATAATTAATTGAACCGAAGTTAGTGTGCATTGTAAACAAAAAACATGCTTCATTGTTAAATTTACAGTTATGCATTTGTTAGTAAACTAGACCGATTATTTAATTGGTTATTCTTGGTATCCCAATTGTTTTTATTAAACTTATTCTCTTCAGTGCTAATTTATTTTGGTAGTTATTGTTAGTTTTAGGTTTTGTTGGCATTGCAATGACCTGAATTTTAAAAAATAGTTAAAATAAGTCACTTAATAATCCCTAAGGATTAAACCAGATTATTTAGCTCATAATCTCAAAGGGTGTTGATTTAAGAATTGTATTCTTAACTAATCTACTCTAAATAGCCATAATTAGTAAACCATGATTAAAATAAAAATAAAATTCTAAAAATTCCCCACAAACTACGTGTCCGACTGAATCGCATCCGCCGACGCTCTTCTATCTCTCGTCAAGAACTTTAGGTATTCTTTGTCCGATGTGTAATCGGGGTGTAAGGAAACGCGTCGAGATTCTGGAAGTAAAACGGGGCGTCCATCGTCTGTATGATCCAGATAAATGCTAGTCCTCCGTCCCTCCGTTGCTGGAGGTACATTCGAAGAGGAGGGAACCTTCTGTAAGAATAAATGCTGTTATTTTAAAATGGCTAATGTGACTAATGACTAATGACATCTGTCAAAAACAAAGTTCAAAGTTGCAAAGTTTTTAGCCTACCGTTGATGATGGACAAATCTTGTCGGAACCGATACTAGCTCCACTCAGACGTCGTTGATAATTTCGTATCGCAGACCCCATTATGCTCTTAAAATATGTCACAAGTTGGTGTGAATCGGTTGGAGATTTATTGTGAACGTGAGAGTCTCAACTTTTGAACTGTTTGCATCCAGAGTTTTGCAATTGTGTTTTATATATTAATTTAAATTACACCGAATTGCCTGTTAATTCGCTAACAATGAATTTTACTTCGCATTCTGGTCTGCTCTCGTGGTTTCATTCTGGAAGTTTATGTATTTTTTGTGCAGTACTACGTGCTGAATATGTTAAATTACAATTACAACAACGAGTATACATATGCACATGTATACAGAACTCTAGGACTATTGAGTATGTATTTAGATATGTACGCAAATATGTATAACTAACAACAACTCACAAATTGATATATCAGGACAAGTCACGTACGATTCTGACTTGATTAAATTAACACAATTGTGTAAACTCTTCCTCATTCATCGAAGCAATAGGACACCAAAGCTGCATTAATACCAATGAAGCGAGCTGAATTTAATCATGTGGCGTCGCTTATTTATTGCTGCGTGCAAAATCAGAGACTCGTAAATTAATGCAGTCTGGTTGAATAAGTAATTTAATTAGAACATTTTCATTGATGATCTCAATAGTTAACTGCAAATAATACATCTAAATCGCAGTTATGCATGCATCACTGTCAACTGTGTTAACTTTCTTTGTTGTTGGGGAAGCTTAATTTTATGGGTACTTTAGTACAGTCACTGCTTTATGTGATTCATGCGAACGTGATGCAGTGAGTAATTCAACCTTTTGCATGTTTATCGTCACAAAAGCACTAGAACTTAGGAATAGAATATTTAAATGTATTACGTCATGAATAGGATTTCCAATGTCATGAAAGGCAAAATTTTGTGACTCGCAAAGAAATGTACGCAAATAAATATACATATTCCTTCATCTAGAGAGGAAACGTTACATATCTGTGTTTTGACGACGTAGATTTTATATATGTATGTATTCAAAGTTGAGCATTTGTCAATAACCTTAAAATGAAATTTTAATGTCCCAATTATACATCAGTATGACCAATTGTTTCATTATTGACTTTATTGATGGATGAGTGCAGTATTCCAATATGTGGCTATAGTCGTTAAAATGGTTTTCAGTATTAGACCTGTTGGAATTGAATATTAAATATGCAATAAATATGCATTTTGTAATACGAACAAATGTATTCATCTAGCAACTACGACTAAATCTACATGCGTGGATATTTGATATAGGAATAAAGAAATACACGGAATGAAACATAACGAGAATATATTCAGTAAAATAACATTTTAATGACAAAATACTTTAGTTGTTAGTTTGGGGAGTTTAGAATTTAGAATATTTGTATTCCATACATATTTATGTATTTTTACATCTACCGTAATGCAACGACGAACGACATCAAACGTATTTATGAAAAATCGTAGTGGCAGAAAACGTATAGCAATGTCGTTAGGTCATTGCAATTCTATGAATTTTTTTCTCCTTCAAACATATCAAGTATTTACTCTGTATAAAATGTACTTTTGCGTGTACTGATGGAATTGATCATGTGAATAATAGTTTACCTTTACCTACTTGTTGAATGACAGTTATTCATACTCGGTTTCATAGATTTCAAAGTTCTTTCTATTACTACTTAATTTTGCACATTTTAATTTACAAAATCTAGTGGAAGCACCAAATTAATAATGATTTCAAATATTCAGTGTATATTAGTATTTATTTTTACAATAGTTACTACTACTGCAAGAGCAGAGGATTATTGTTTCAAGTAATATTTTAAAATCTCATATTGTTAAAGGTGATTTTTCATTTATATAAATTTTCCGCTATATTAAAGGAACTGTCAGAATTATTTCCCAGGACAGAAATTTTCAGATTGTGTAAGAGCTCAAACATCAGGCAGTAAAAACTGCGGGTTAGTAAAATTTGTGGAATTAAATAAGAATGCATAGATACTAACCACCAGTACAAATGTTTCTTAACCAGATTGCCTCCATTTTTCGGAATCATTGTACTATTCACAATTATAGTTGTACTCCTCGTGTTGGGATTATGCGTCCGGAATTGCATGCTAGTGAGCGACTTGTATTGTAAGTTGCATTGCATACATATTTTTCTCCCCTCAAATATGTGTAAAATGTTATTAAAAATATTTTAAACAATTATTTAAGCTGATAGTCAGCTAAGCAGGAGAGCTAACACATTCAACCAAAGTACTTTATCTCGACCTCCTCAGTACACTGTGTACAATATACATTCGCAAGAATTTGCACCACCGTACGAATCGGTAGGCGTAGTTCCTCCGTACATACAAAATCATCACTCCAACCACGGATTCCAAAGATCTGACAGCGAATCACGTAATGCAATCATGTACCAAAAAATAAAAGTCGATTTTTAACTACTTTTTTTCAATATTTGTAGAATTGCCATCATATGATCAAGCTATGGCCAAGACGTCCAAGTGATTCTAGATCAATTCATAGTTAATACATATGTATTGGACAAATAAAGTACCTGAAGGTTCTAAATACTTATTTAGTTGTTAAATTAAGTCGGTAACTGGTAAGGTAACCGGTATAAGGCTGATTCTAATCCTGAAATTGTCAGTATTGTACTAGATAGATACGTATATCTACAGAGTAAACATACATACGTAATCAAATTATTATTGATATACTATGACAATGGATATCATGCTTTCATACAATGGCAAACATGGTTTCTTGTGTTGTCCAGTTTGTTTGCATATGTATGTTTGTAAATTCTCACGTCTGCTTCAGATTATTTAACCTTGTAGACAACATAAGTTTTAGAGTAAAGGGGATAGAATTTGTATGCAAGACAAAGTAATAAATTTTGCAAGCCATTGCATACTGCATTAAGCTGGTTACACATATTTATTTTCAGATAATGTTTCAAATTATCCTGAAGAAATTCATGAATATGATTTACAAATTAACTGACATGTGTAATTCCATTGAGTTAAACAAAGTAGATACTTTTTTTGCATGAAAGTAATAGCGGCAGAGTGAGATATTTAAGGTAATAAAACAACAAGATAACCCTCTTATCTATGTAACTATTCGACGAAATATCGAGCATATCATTATCACACTGGCCTACATACATTTAACACTTGTACATAATTTCTCACATGCCACTGCCACTCCCTTTTTCCATTGTAACATTACTTGAACTGATTTTGCCAAGAGACAACTATTTCACATTTCTACAGCAAATATGCTGATTGACCTTTACGGAAATGGGGCGAGTGCGCCATGCAGGAGCGTTTTATTGACTGCCAAAACCCTGGGCGTTGCTATTAACATGATTCAAACAAAACCAATGTCCCCGGATGTTGAGAAACCCGATTTCATAAAGGTAGGTACATATGTAGTTAATTTCCATTATGCTGAACACCTTTATAAATTATTTTTTAACGATGACAATTTCCTGGAGTACAGATGAACCCCCAAAAAACTGTTCCAACATTAAACGATAATGGACTTTATCTTAACGAAAGCAGAGCCATCATGCAATATTTGTGCAATAAGTATGCAAAAAACGACAAATACTACTCTAAAGTTCCCAATGAGAGGGCGATCGTTGACTGTCGTCTTAACTTTGACATTGGCACGCTTTACCCAAGATTTGCGGAAACTTATGTAAGTAAAGTGAAATAATATGAATGTGCTGATATTTCTAATGATGTCTGGTTGTTTCAATTATTTTGCATATTTTCACCAGTATCCAGTCATTTTCTTCGGACAACCAAAGTTTGATGACGATAAACTGAAGCGTTTAGACGATGCGGTTGAGTTTGTCGAGAGTTACCTGGAGCACGGTTACATTGCTGGAAGTACATTAAGTATTGCCGATATCGCTGTGGTTGTGACTTTATCAACCATGGAGGCATTTGGCCACAACCTGGAAAAATTCCCCAAGGTACATTGTGAACAGAATAATTCAGAAATACTACAATACTACAGTTGATTATAAACTATGCGTAATTGTAAATAGGTGCTTGATTATATGGCCCGATGCAAAAAAGAAATTGCAGGATATGAAGAAATTAACCAAAAAGGGCTCGATTTCTTTGTTGGACTTGCAGGGCCAGCTCTGGAGAAAGCAAGACAAGCATAATTTCCCATTCTTATGTTACATTTTATGTTTATTGTCTAATTCAATGAACAAGAATATGGAGAATAAATTGAATTGTAAGGAATTCCCATATTTCAGAATTTGTATACTGCTTTATTTATTTTCATTCATCCAAATCTAGTCAACATATTTTATCATCTTTAAATCGTATCAACGATCATCTTGAGGAAAGTAGTAAAATCGTAGGGTTCATGAAAATTGCCGTAAAAAATGTTTATGCAAAGACTCAGGTGATACATACTCGTGGATACATATATGAAATATTCTTAAAAGTTATTTTATGCATCATATATCCATATCCTCATCCTGCAGATTTATGACTCGGCCCAATTCTGAATATGAATTATGATGCAACATGGTAAATAGCGGTAAACCATAAAACCCACCGACGGAAAAATATAACAAGTTTATCGCTGCCTATCTCGACCAATTCGAGGGATCATCAAGTGATCAAGAGATCTTATCATTATATTTTGTAATAGGATTTCATGCCAGAACAAAATTTTATTATAACCATTTGAAGAAAAAAAATGTCGTAAACACTTAACGATTTAGAAATTATTCTTGAATCTTCAAGCATTTATCCGCATTATTACTACTAAATGGTTTAACAAAGTGTGAAAAATCCTCGCCCGGGTACAACTCGTTTGCCTCTTGCAACATATCATCCCAAAGTTCATCCAGAGTTCTGCCCGTCAGTCTCGGGAATATTGAGTGTGCATAAGTTCCCTCGCGACAGTCTTTGTTAACCCAGTAAATCATGGGGTTATAACGTCTGTGGACAAAGTCGAGAAAATAGGCGGTGACCCTGTACCCATCCCGGTACGACTGGGAAGGTGTTGGTCTGTTGGGTTTATTTTGTGGTTCAAAATGGAAAAATCGGACCCAATCGGCAATTCCTTGAGGAATCAAGTATTTAAATTATTTATGTTGGGTTTAAATTATGAGGAAATATGCACAATCCTAGTGATAATTGTGTAAGCACTACCTTCAGTAATCCACCAATCTGAATTCGTATAACAGACTGGATATGCTTGGATGACGTGTGCCATTTCATGCACCATTGAGCCAATGTCACTATTTCTCCGATAATAGTCTACAGAGCCAACAATCTGATTTCCTGCTGCATACGCTACCCCGTCGTAATTAGGGTCAAAATAAATGTTGATGACCTAATTTTTAAAACACAAGGTACACAAATGAAGAAATACTGGATGCCATTGTTTTCACAGGGTACATATTATTTTCATAAAAATCATGTAGTCTCACTGTGGGTGGAGTGTACGTGGGCGAGTTCAGGATTTCTCCAACCTGGTCGAACCAAGAAAGTAGCGTTGCTCGGACAGCAACTCCAAACGCGGCGAGGTCGGGGGCGTGGGTGGTGTTGACCCATATTTCAACGCCGTCTATCAAGTAATTTAATCCCCGAATATTTTAATACATCTACCACCTTAAACTTGATAATAAGCTTACATGATCCATGGCACAGAAATAGCAGGACAAAAAATTTGGAAAAATCCATAACTATGCAGATTTATAAAGGATGAAAATAGCAAATGAATAAGATGACTAGCCATTGCTCTTGATTAGACACTGTATTTTATTAAATGCTTATCATTTTGAACAGTGTTTGACATTTGGTTAGCATGACATGATTGATTAATTAAACCTGATAGTCCGGACAATAATAAAATAATTAAGGTATCAAGCCTGAGATGCATAGCAAACGATTATCAATTATTTTAAATTAACAAGTGACATTGTATTGTTCTCATAATTTTGGAATGCATGATTGGCAGTAGGACCTAATATGCAGTCCTGTCAATGTAGGATATCTACACAATTAAGTAAATAAATATTTTCATAGATAGAGAGATTTGCTATCTGTCGGATAAATTATATTATTTGATTACCAAATTCTAAACAAATTAAAAAAAGCTGAACACTTTTTATGCAAATAAATATTCTGCACTAATACGATGATCGAGGTTTCTATTGAACTGGACCTATCATAAAGAAACCACTTGTTTGATATAATACTGAATTCGTACAAATCTATCATGGATCTAGTTAAAACCTGAATCCAATTTCAATTAGTCTACATGAATACGCAATGTACCGGAAATTAACAATTTTGTTTCCACCGCCTCCAGTGCTTTTCACAGGGAATCGTTCAATCCTCTGATCCGCTAATAAATTTTTTTTATTAACCTCAAGAATTTGCAAAACACTTCATGATGAATTTAAGATATTACCGTAAAAAGTATCCGGACCTTTTAATTTATAAACCACTTTATAAAGAATTCCAGGTTCTATTCTCACTTGACAGGTCTCATCGTTAAACACGACCCTCATGACTTGTCTTCGTTTGCACACGACGCTTTGGTTCGTTCGGTAGATTAGTGTGTTTGTTGACTGAACCATGATTTGAATTGCTACGTCGTACGTGGCGTCATCAAGGTCCGGCGCCGGGAAGCCTAAATGCGTAATCTGGAGCGGGGTGTCGACCTCGAATGAATCGTAGTACAAGATATGACTAACATAGGGATAAGTCATGTCCGTTAGCCTCACGGCAAAATGGGCGCAGTATGTCTTGCTAGTAGAACGCCGTGGTTTAAAAGAGTATGGAAGTGGTGGAAGATTTGTTCTGCAATCACATTAAAACACATTACAGCATATCCTTCTTGCATCGTTAAATGCAACCGAAAATTAATACCTCTTATCTTTAGAACAACTCAAATGTTGCAAAATTAGAACCGATTGTTCCAAAGGTAGCACCTCCGACGGAACGATATGCAGAGAAAATTCTTCCGCTGAGATTAGTGGAAATCGAAGCAGCGGAAGAAGGGACTGTAAACATTTCGATTTTGATTCCGCTGTCCCCGATTGCAATTGAACTTGGTGTTCGGACCATCTGCATATCACAATTATTACGAGTCAAGCCACGATTATGCATAAAACTTAAAACATAATTGCATTATTTGTAGTCAATAATCTCACTTTACAACTCCACGGAAAAGGTCGAGTTCAAGAACATCGAGTTCGTCTTTTGATAAGAAATGCTGTAAATTTTTCTCAGTCATGTTAACAAAGTCGGTTGGATTTGTATCCATCTCTAAAAGCTTGTGGAAATTTCTACAAAAATCAATAATTTCATCAATTGTACATACATACTCACATACACATGACTTAAATCTAATTTTAGCATGCCGGATAAATTACCTCAACACCCATCCCTCCGCCCGAGTCTCGAGCTCTTTATCCCCCAAGAGTTGTGCGGCTTGGAAAATGGTAATCGCATTATCCTTCGTCAAATCACTTTTCAATAATTCTGAGCATTTCTGCGACAAGTCTGGAAGGTCATATTTTTCCGCCGCATACATCAATTCTACTGCCGTGTGAATAGTTGTCGTTCCCGATGGAAGGACGCCAGTGTACACGTACTAAACCAATAATAGAACTGTTATGCAACAACCTCACTATGTAATTAAGCAGGTACATAATTAGCCTACCAACCTCCAATAAAATCCACCACGCTTCCGAGCCCACGTCCTCCACCTTAACCACATCTTCCTTCAACGGTCCAGTAAACATGGTTTCGAACACCGGAGATGCCGCAATGAGGACGAGTTTGTGAGCATGGAAAACCCTCCGGTCTTCCTCGCCAGGAATTGGTGGCAGCGAAAAGGTCACATCCGTATGTAACTGATTGGTAAGTAGATAATGCAGCCGGTCGGAGGGGTTGACCATGGCGTGACGCCAATTTTTTGCAGTTTCAGTCATTCTTTGTCACAAAAGAATTTCAGCAGTTCAATATTTTTTCTCTGACACAATGAATCCCAAAATTCTAAACAAAACAGGACACTATACATACGCCAATAACTTTCAGTCGACTAATTACACCTCTGTCTGTGATTTGAGAGAGATGAGTTTTATTTATGGCCCTTCCTATCAGTCTGTCCTCACTTCCTTTTCACTATTTATTCTATGTATGTATTTATGTATGCTGTTACCACGCTGGCTGTTACTCATTTGTGTATTGACGTAGTAAATAAGGAAGGATGCTACTTACTACTTAAGTATGTACTTACGTTGGGTTTGAATAATTATCATTTGAATTTAAATTACAGACTCGCACAAGGTTGGGTTGGTTCTTAATTTTGATTTTGCGTTAAGTCTAGCACAGTCATCTTTGTCTGCACTATGGGATATGCAGTCAATTGTAGTCTGCTACATTCGGCTGTCAGTTGCATTTCGGAAGAAGACGAAGAAGTGTGGTTGGTTTAGACTGTGATGAAAGTGAATATACAATAAAGATGAATGAACTCTACTAGTTTTTTATACAGCACTGCTGGATTGTGAATTTGTGATGATGATACTTCATCATGATGTTGGGATTGCTATGATAAAACAAGTTTTATGCATTACGATCCATTACACATTTACACCGTCTAAACCAAGGTTTGCGTATTAACTTAACGAAACTATACACATGTACAAGTCTACTTTTATGTTACTCGACAAACACTATAACACACGACATTTTTACATCTGAACATAAAACTGAATCTCTCTCCTCACAAGGATCGAACTGATGAGGGAATTGGAGAAATGGCTTTGTGTAAAAGAAATGAACGTAAAGATGATATAGATATTTAGTAGTATGGGATTTGGTTACGTGATAAGATTGACCAGTACTTGTATAAATAATACGGGAATGAGTACCCTTTATGCACATTATGTGCAATATTTGTATGGTTTCGACGCTGCAAATGCTTTTACGGATGTGCACAATGCATACGTAAATAAAATGTAAGATTTTATCTGCAAGTAGAAGAAAATACTCGACTAAACTTAATTAATCGAATAAAAATATTAATCAATTAATTAATTGCGGGCTCATTATTATTCCATAATGCCAGTTAAGTTTATTGTTTTCATATAAACCATTTTTTACAGGACCATCACTTAATGGCACAAATTTATATCATACAAAAATATAAAATAAATATGTATCGTTATTTACTACTAAATCTACTTATTTCGCACATTTTATATGTATGTAAGTAGTATCTACATAATCTACTTATGTATCTTCCATACTTAGGTATATCCCAACCTTTTACTGACCTTGACCGCTTCTACCAGCTCACTTCCCCTATCAACGTCACTCCTTCTGACCATACCAACAAATTCGAAAAATTCAGTCCACCCATTTACTTGAACGACATCCTGGTAAAGTCCCTTTAATCTAACCTTTGCACAATCCGGGACCAGACCGAAGCGACCAAAGTCGGCACCATCCCCAGACTCAATTTCCAGTACGCCACTCTCCCACAAATTTTTGGCTACACTAATAAATCTGACCTGAAACATGACCAACCTTCGACTAACTACAGTCGCTTCAAAAACCTTCTTTGCCCTCTGTGCAAAGTCACCAGTTGCAGTGTTCAACAATTCTGGACATTTGGGAGGGTTATTTCTATTCCCTTTCGCATACCAAAACACATTCCTAGCATCACACTCCCTCATAAAGGGCTCACTTACATCTTTCCATTCATACTTATCAGACAAACTCAAATAAATCAAAAATTCTCCCAAATTCGCAAAATTATCCTTCTTTAAAGAATCCCTTCCTTTCAAAGCTCTTTGAATCTGCTCATCTGCAAACGACCCAAGATCAGGAGAATCCTTCTTAAATGCTAAAAGCAGTCTATAAAGGGCAAAATACCCATTGATAAATTTGTCATTTGCTGTCGCATTGTCACCATTGTTCATTATTTCCACTACCAAACTATTCATTAGACTAGAGCACACCTTGAACACTTTGTCTGCATCTGTCCCCGTGAATTTGATGTCTTCACATATTTTTCCTACATGGATGAGAAAACCTTTCTTGATGAGAGGACCTGCACTCCAGCCATCCTTGTTGAGGTATCTCTTATTGTCACATAATTAATGAATTTAACAGTGCCAATATCCTATCCATAAATTACATACTTGTCCATATTCATAGCATAAGAAAGTTACATTAATAAATAGATATTTGACTATGAATATGCATACATACACAAATCGCTTGGAGGTCAAGATAGCTTGACCCTTGAAACCAATCGCCCAAGTCTGGTCTCATGCTCACTTACAGATGTACTCATTTGCTTATTTTCCTAACCAGTAGAAAGTAAAATGACTTCGAGTCCAGATTACAACACGGAATCGCAACTAGTCACCAAGGTTAAATGCAGTTAATTATTTATTTTGTAACTAACCTGGCACATTTTTTTTTATATACATATGTGCATTTTCTTATAAATAGATAAAGGTGCGGTTGGCTGACGTAAATCATGATCTCAAGGACAAAGAAATCCTGCGATTTCTCCGAGGTGACTAATTATATTAAAAAGCCTTTGATTTCATACTTTAAAGTACATATTCTTCATTTTAAACACAGCCCGAGATCACAACGTAACCCTGGCGGAACACATGCTGAGAAATGTACAATAAACTATGCCGCATAATATATTTTTACAACTTTTAACAAATTCCCAATTACCAATTGACGTACATATGTATGTAGCATATTCAATGGAGAATTGACCATGACTGTGGTCGCTTTTTGCATGAGGCGAGTTGAGAAGGATGAGATTTGTGGGAGCAGCAAATATGCAAAAGTCCAGTTGTCGCCAGTCCAATTATCCACTTTACTATGTCTGTCCATAAGTTTCTTTTCCTCTGAAAACCTGTTGACCTTCATATTTTTGACCTGTAATTACTTGTCCGTGTCTCCTCCAGTGATTGGTGTATTGCCTGAGAGCCAGCCCCTCTGGCTGACTCTCCATAAAATTATTGTGTGAATTTTTGTGTCATTCTCAGTCCATCGGTCCCTCTGACCACTTGTATTTGTGTCGGTCTCTCTTGACCACCCATTCGGTCTTGTCGTTCTAAATTGAGAATCACCCTATTGGCGTTAATAATTTAAACTTGTGACAATAAATTAACCCTAAATTGTGACATTTCTCCTCCTCGATCTGGTCTTATCTGCGACCACTTTATTTGCTACGTCGTGACCCCACCGCCGCCGTCGTCATCATCATCATCATGGCACACACATAGAAATAACATCTGAAGTCGTCTCACAGTCGAAGTCATCATCACGGGCTCATTTGGACAATATTTCGTAACAATGACTTTAATCACGCTCGTTTTTGGACCATCGCCCCTGAAGTTGCGGAAGGTTTTCCCTTCTGCCTTGACGGCATTGATATTTTTTACTTTTTGATTTATGCTAGTAAATCAAATTATATTACTTTTAGGTATTCCGAGCTCAAAGAATCAGGTTGTGGCAAGTTGTTCTAAGCAAAGAAGGAATTCAGGAAAGTTATTATGCAGCTCGATAAAAATTTATTATGTTCAAAATGGGCACGTATTTTTAATGGTTGTTTTATTGGGTACTAGGCTTTAAGGGCCAATTATTGGCCCTAGAATTTTTAAGCCCGTCATTCCAGAAGAGCATTGATTTGGGGGCAAGTGAGACTCTGTGCGGGGAGTTCAACGGTGAACACACACACACACACACACAGACACACAAAGTTGTCGACCCGATTCTTTAAGTAGATTCCACGGGTCTATTCATTCAAAACTAGCACCTTAACTAGTCCATAAATATATTAATAAATAATAAATACTTTTTCATAGTCGTCTCTAATTTACGAGTAGTTCGGTAGTACTCTGCAGTTAAAGAAATAGAAAATCAAAATTTGGAAAATATACTTATTTTTGTAAAATTATAAAAGTTGAGGATCCAAATAAAATGGCATGGAATTATCGCGCCACAGAAAAGGATGAATCATGCCTCACAAATGGTACCTCAGAAAAGTGGCTCACTATCAGTTTAATTCTCAGTGTGTAAGAAAAGAGATGAAAAATGTCTCACATAACATCTCACATAATTTTATCTCAGAAATGTACAAATAGACACAGCAACTGAACTTTTTTTATTTGTTGACTCCTATCAATTAATTAATTACAAGTCTTTGTGCAAACTGTCCAAGAATACATTAAGTTTCCTGCACAATGACTTCATCAACTTTCACTCCACCAATACATGGCTTCATCAATGGGTGTGTCCGACTATACTGACCCATAATTCAACTTTATAGCCTGTATAAGAAACCATCAGGGACCTCCAGACCAATCACCAGTCCAATTAAAGAATTTTGAAAATCATAAAAAGTATGAGTGACCCTATGGTATCAATTCAAGTGATTTTTTTTTTGCATTTTTACATATGTTAAGCCGATAGTGTTTATGTAACAAAGTACATGGCACACAAAGCATTGGATTTACATATGTACCACGCTAGAATTTGCTGAATTTTTAATAAGTGGTAGCCAATATTGAGCAACATTTACAAACAATTATGCATTCACAAAATCGGAGTATGACTTTTCGAATTATAACGAACACTATTAAACATTTGAAAATATAAATTTACAGTAACATGAGCTAAAAATTTTGAACAGTGTGATATAATTCGAAGCACGGGACTGGGCACAAAGAAACATTGCACTGCTTGCACTGGAACACGGTCTCCTTTCTTGGTTTTTTAGCAGTTGGAGGGCCAGCTGCTTGCTGTTTGTTTGCGCATACATGACAAACTAGACCTCCATGCTGGCGAGATTTTGTTGATGGATTGTACTCCAAGAAATGACGCCCCGTTAAGGCTCAGTTTAAGTTTGAAAACGGAAAAAATTCTATCTTAGTTACTAACCTGATTGCATGCATTTTTTAATGAAAAACTTGAAATACGGGGGCACTGCCACCGGTCCAACGGATGAAGTTTTTGATTCAATTTTTGAGAAAAATGGTGGGTGGGACCTGTGACTATGCTAAGTGAAGCTTGATTTCGCAGGCATTCAATTCCTTCCTCTCTGGTAGCAATTATGAGCCAAAATTCGGCCATTTTTTGTGTTTGTGCAGCTATATTATGAGAGTTGTGATGAAGATGGAATGGAAGCGCTTCACTTAGCAAAGCCATAGGTCCTAAACACCATTTTTCTCAAAAATTGAATTAAAAACTTCATCCGTTGGACCGGTGGCAGTGCCCCCGTATTTCAATTTCGGGTTGATAAATTTATTCCCCCGATGGTAACTAAGCGCATGGCAAAAATTGTTGATTACAAACTGATTGCTCAACAAATATCACCAATTTCCAAATTTCACTGAAACTATTCCTCAAACAATTTTTCCAAATGGAAGTTGAATAATTGAGCTTCAATCATTATTTTATATAATCATAACTTCAGTGTTTCAATTGTTTGGGTGGTCAAAAAGTTGTAAATAGAATTCAATTGAATAATATTCCCCTTCATTCTGAATATATTTCTTCGTATTTTTTTTGCATTATTTAATAGTTGTCAAGTTAGAAATTCTGCTTTGGAAATTATCAGGAATTTTTTTTCGTTTTCAAACTTAAACTGAGCCTTAATCTATTCTGTTGATCGGTAGGGCTTATTGTCGCAGTAATTTGTACTGGTTGGATTGATCCAATGATTTGTCGAATAAGGTTAAGACGAAATCCCAAAAATTTGGCCTTGGTACCAACGTGAAATGACTTGTAGATGACAAAAGAGTTGAATATACAAAGATCGACCAAGTAGAAGAAAAGAGTCCGGTACCACTTCATTGATTTTCGTCGAATATTGTAGTACTTCTTCATCATGTCACTGTAATCAATTCCTCGAGCGAATTTATTATAGTCCAATACAGTTCTGGGTTTAATAATTTCTCCACCACCATAACGCTGCGGGAGGGATTCCATTGAATGGTCATGGCATGTTGAGATCATGGCGACAACCTTCTTATCCCTCCAATATTCTGTCATTACTCCCTGACAAGATTTGATGATAACTTCTCCCGGTTTCATTTTGTTTGGACCGCGCGCTGGTGGTGGGTCCGTGTGCTTCCGGTTTTTGCGAAGCGTGCCGCAAATATAAGTTTGTTTCTCCAGAAGGTATTTCGCCAACACCGGGCTTGTGAAGTAGTTGTCACAATATAGATGGTAAAACTTGTTTAAATACGGCTCCAGTAATTTCAGGACGATCGCACCACCGTATCCAAACGTTTTGATATCAGGAAGAATTTGATTATCTTTTCCAACATAAATCATACTATTGAGGAGGAATCCTGTGGCTTCGTCCACTATCGAAAAAATTTTAATTCCGAATCGTGACCTCTTACTAGGGATGTATTGTTTAAATGATAATCTTCCCTTATACAGCATAAGACTTTCATCAATGGACAAGTTCTTGTGAGCCCGGAGAGTTTTCTGAAAGTTATTCATGCAAAGGTCCCATATTGTACCAATTTTTTGCAACTTACTTCCACTTGGTCTGGTGTTGTCCGAAAAATGTAAATATTTCAAAATTTCGAAGTAACGGTCTTGTTTCATGATCTTCGAAATGATGGGATATTGCAGAAGGGGATCCTTAGACCAGTACTGCTTCATTTCTGGTAGTCGGTTGACTCCCATTAGCATTCTCACTGCTAAAAATTTCAGCAACTCTTGTTCATTGAGTTCTTGCCAGCTACTCCATCGACGAGTGCAACAATCTCCCGTCTGGTCTGCGAATGCATTTGTTTGGGTAACTACTTCGTGTTGAATTTCGTTGGTAAAAAGTTTGAGGAAAAGCTCCATTTCCGTTCCTGAAAATGGGAGTCTCCAGCCGCTTCGAGTGTCGTCAAAATCAATGACGTGTGCTTTAAAATTAGGATCAGTTAGCCATTGCCAAGGCGCAGTGGATGCAGTTAATCCAGATGGAGTCTCAGCAGTGAACGCTAGGTCTTACATTCAGTCATGTTACTGTTTGAAATTCAAATGTGGAAGTAAAATTAAAATTTCATACCATCAGAAGCTTAGGCAGGATCAGGAGAGCGATCGTCTTCCTCCTCCCCGGAGTCACTTTTATCACTCATTTCTTCGCTTTCCATGTCGCGAGAGCTGAAAGGTGGACCTGAAAATTCGGATTTTTGGCATACACACATAGTATTTGATATAAGATGACAATTTTTAAAAGTTCACACTATTTACTATTTTGGCAATCCTCGTCACTGCTGAGGGGAGTTTCATCGTCAATGTCTGCAAACATGTCGGGCGACCCCACTTCTTCCAAATCAATATCTCTATCCATCAGCATGTTGTATTAGTAATTTTCTTCATTTGGGTCCATTTTTGGAAGTATTTGTTGATTTTCGAGAATGTGTGAATTTATTTGCAATTTATTCTAAGAATTTTATTTTTTTGCCAATGTGTTTTGCCGTTTCCCGAATCAAGTAAATAATTTTTACCACGGAAATATCCGTTGTCCCGTACCTGACATGGAAACATGACAACGTGAAAAGCCGTTGACCCCGAAGGAAGACACATTTTGTACGAACGGCTTTTCACGTTATCCCGAATTAAAGCAAAAACGACAAAACGTGTTTAAATAATAAATAAATGGAGTCATGCATAAATAAATGGAGTCAATATATCTGCCCAATTTTTTCGCCTGTCCGGTAACGGACGCCTTACGAAGATCCCACTCCCCCAATTAAGATCGGACGCCCCTCCTTGTCAAGGTCTATTCATTCTGAGATAATATTCAGATCCAAACGATTCGTAATCTCCATATGGAACCAAGAAAGGCTGTGGATTATTATATGCAAATTTGCAAACATCGCTCCAGCGGAAATATGTCCAAATGTGTCACGGTCGAGTTGACACTAACCCTTTAACGAGGATAATTAACTACAAGAAATTGCATTAATTCGGGCACATTAAAAGTGTGTTGTGGTCATGGTGCGGGAGGAGGAATTCACCAGTTTTCACAAAACTCGAAAAAACTGTAAGATTCCAAATTTAACACTGTGTAATATAGGGAATTTTCCACATTTTCGGCAAGAAAATGCTAAAATTTAATATTTGGTTGGCATAGGAGAAATCCTCAAAATTATGACCGATTTCACTCCGCGGAGGGAAAAATGTGAAAATCTATGACCTCTGATAAACGACAATTGTCGTCCTCCCGCATAATCACCAAATTTTCCTGTACGACAATTGTCGTCGTCCCGCAGTAATGCTATTTCTATGAGGACGACAATTGTCCTCCTTCCGAATTAAAGGGTTAAGACCAAGATCCTTGCAGAACCCCCGTTTGCATTTTACACTAGTAACTTTCACACTAATAATTTGTACAGGAAATGATTCGATTTGTTTACAATGGCAATAATCAGGATGGTTTTTATTATCCATGCGTAGTAAATAAACCTTATATTACAGTCCATTTTGTTTTATTCAGGTAGTGCCCTTCTTTTCGTCGATATCCATGCATGTATTGATAAAATAGTCAGTTTTCACTGAAAACTTGTCAGCCATCTTTAAGAAACTTCAGAGTTGAACAGTAATATTTATTTAATATTAAATTGAGTTAGACATAGTAGGTACATCAGTTCATATATTTACTATCTATGCTAATTATACACGGGTCCATGAACGATGGAATAAAGAGATGTGGTTCTGGTGGCCTGCACTTGACCTTCTTCTTTAAAGGCGTCTGGGAATATCCCGGTTCTCACCATGGCGGCTGCAGTCACGTCGAGCAAATGCACCTGCTGTTTTATTGCTTCTTCCAAATATTCAATCCAAGGGCGGAATAAAGATATCGCGTCGAGGTTGGATCGATTACCCAAAGAATCCAAACGGAGGCGATGATAAGCTTTTGCCCAATCAACCAGTTTAAACGTTTTGAATATTACAGAAAAGGCAACCGCGTTGTCGGTATCCAACTCAACTCCATTATCGACTGCATGTCTGCAAATAAATTTATTATCAACTACACGTCAAGGTTCCATGTTTGCAACAACTTCACGTCTAGTTCATTATGCAATACAAAATACAGAAAACCTACCTTGGTGTGCAAGCCGTTTTTGACTTTAGATTTACTAGAGACTTGTCTCTTGTCGTGTTGGATTTGACTTGACTTGCTGCACGGTTGAGTCGTGCATATTTAGTAAAGTGTATGCTTTTTGCAACATAATCGCCTTCGTATTTTGCTGGGACAAAAAACACGCGGAACAGATCGTCATCTGTAATTAAACATATTGTTAATCTCGCTATATTATCCAACACCGTCTTAACACAACTACACGTCTAGTTCACCTTTTTTGTCTTGTTCCGTCAGTGGTCTTCGTACCACATGACCTTTAGCATCAGGGGCCAATATCATGGTCCCAACGGGGGTCACACTGCCTATGGATACGTCCTCGGGAGGTTTAATTCCTTCATGACGTCGTTCGTCATGGCTCAGATGGCTGCGTCTTTTAAAACTTCGTCCACAATCTGGGTAACCACATGTATATGGCCTCTGGCCCGAGTGTACTAGCATATGCCTGCTAAGATCTGCGGGACGTTTGAATGGTTTGGAACATTCCGGGCAAGGGTGTTCTGCAATCTTCCTCTTCTTATTTCCCCTGTTTGATTTAATTCAACACGTTTAGAATTAAATTTACTTCACGTCAATCTAATCATGTTAAAACTAACAAAAACTTACCTTGTGTCGGTAGGATCATTGCAATTTATGCAAACGCACGGTTTCCGTTCTGTTTTATTTTCAGTTGGTCGTTCATTCTTCACTTTCAAAATATCTTCAGCCGAGGCTATCGGAACACTGTACTGTTTGCTACGAGTTTGTGGAATGCTCGTTTGCATCGAACTCATGGCTTGCTTAATGCTGGCTATTTTTCGTTCATACTTTCTACTCTTTGCATTTGCTATTTTGGTTTTCTGTGTTAGGAGATCCAGCTTTTTTTGTTTTTCTTCTATCTGGAGGTGTATCGGCAATGGCGTCGATGTGGGTGCGGTGCGCATCACTGAAACAAAACAGTAAGGTTTTATTTTGTTATTGGAACAATATTTGTATACTATGGTGTGACAACCAAACTTTGTTCGGTAGTTATTTGGTAAACCTTGAGCCGCCGATATGGGTGATCGGCCACTCCTTCGTACATGTATTTGGACCAGCCGACGGTCGGTGTCGGCCACTCCAGAGTGGATATACATGTGACACATATGTTATGTTTATAATCAGGCATGATTGAGTAGTTGGGTTATTCACATGTTGACATTTTGTAACAATTTACGTTACATTATTTACGTTATTCCATTATTAACTACACGTCAAGTATTTTAACATACATCTATTGCCGACGCCCAGCTATTAAAATGGCTGAAATACATATGCGAGCCTTATCCGCTCTTTTTACCTGAAGCCAATTCATCCAGCTCATCGTCCGAACTCTCCTCCGATGTGGAACTATCAATTTCTGTGCTGGATGATAGCATTTCGATGTTGACTGATCCAGGCGATGCTACACACGTTAAATATTATGCAAATAAATTAATATGTAAACGAATAAAAATATACTCAAGCTCGTTTGCCTTGCTCACCTATCGGTTCCTTTTCAGCATGTTGTTTTGCATTTTTAGGAATTACTACTCGTCTACGTGACGAGCTTGTAATTTCCCGTTTCGAATATTCTGGCGTGTTCGCTGATGAAAAACCAAAAAATAATTGCGAATTAGTTAACAGTTTATAATCCTTTCATATTATTCTGCATTATTAGAAATTTATAAAACACATCTTACAATTATCTGATTCTTCATTCGATGATGATGATGACGATGACTCAGTGTTGGGAACATATTCCGAATCTTCATCCGAATATTCGGAATCGTCATCTTTTTTTCGTTTGGGCATTTTCTATGTAAATATAATTTAATTGATAATAAATTATAGTACAACAATACTACACGTCAAGTTCACACATCAATTGCAAATAAATAATCACTAAATTAAACTTACCTGTTACGTTGAAGAATTACTTTTAAAATCTCAAACCTGCTTGATTGTAACAACACAAACTTCAAGCTGAAGAACTAATTGTGATTAATGATAAATTAAATGAATGAAACATTCGAAAATATTTGCAAAATAATATTTCACAGTCTTTCTTTTGAGTTTCACTGTGCATCTGGGGCTCACACAAAGCACAGGTCTTAACTTGAGCGAGCCCACCACTTTTAGTGGTTGTCTGCTTGATTCGTCCTTTCTCCTCTGTCTCACAAACAACCGCCAACTGCCTTCGATGTTGCGTATATTTTACATAACCAACAAAGCAAGAGTTTTACAAAGTAGCTGTGTTTAAATGCAGAACACATATCAAAAGTCCTTAAAATTATAAAAGTGATGTAAGCTTGACGTGTAGTTGTGAATAAAGAGTTTCTCATATTCGCAAGTAAGTATACATTATCTTTGCATAAATTTATATATTAATTTAAAACTCTTATTTCTTGTAATTGCACATAAATTATATTGCTTTTTAGAATGGTTTTATGACTTTCACAACTAATCGTCTACTTCCTTTGCACACAACCAATTAAGTAGTGCGACGTTTTATTATAGTTCTGTTGTCATCCAAGGATTAGAATTCTGGACTAATTCGCCGTAACTTCAAAAGGTAACCAAGACACTACACAAATGGGTAACACTTGCATAAATATCCAGACAACAATTTTCTAAAAATTATCCACATTTTCGATTTCACTGTGTTCCTCTACATATATTTCGATTCCATTTTTACAATTGTTATACCTATTTGAACATGACGACTAGGACAGAGCAGAACACGCGAAGGAAGAAAGCTATGAAGGAAGGGGAGCACATTCGTGAACTGATTGCGGATGGAAGGCTAGTGGACGCCCGTGATGCTGCCAATGATTTCTTATCCACGTTCCGTGATGAACCCTTCATGTCCAGCTTACTGCTGTGTATAAAATCTGATCTTGCCGAATGGGGCGATGAATATGACCAGCTACGGGAACGGGTGGTAAACAGTTTGTTACATACATTCAACCCAGATAATTTGTCGATGATGATAATCCACACGGACATGTACAAAAAATGTTTATCTTATTTTGCAGAAAAATCACTTCCGAATGGTCCTAATGGGCGGCTGTCTGACTCCCCGTGATGTGTGTGGACTTTTCGATGATTGGAAATTTTTATTTAATGGACTGTTCGATGGGGAGGATATTCTTCTTTTGACACGCGCTTACTGGGTGTACCCCGATATTCAAGAGGTTACATTTTATTAATTACTAATTTACTTGACGTGTAGTATATCCTTTTATTTTTTATTCCTTGCTACTTTTTGTAGGAAAATGACCTCGCCAAAAACCAACCGCCACGAGTGAGCAGAAAACGTGCTGTCAAACAGCTCAAGAAAAATTTAAAGATTGGTTACATGTCTTCGTTCTATAATCATCCCCTTGGTCAACTGTTTTGTGGAATACCGAACGGACACGATAAACAAACTTGCACCGTAATCGGGCTGTATACTTGTATGACGCAGAATGGAACATATCGTACTCATACTGCAGAAGATGAACATGTCCTTGGGATTATTGAAGATGGATGCGACAACTTTTATGAAATAAAAGTGATTTTTTCTTGCTTGACGTGTAGTTTTTCTATGCTTAATTTAATCTGATTTCTGATTGCCCCAACAAAAACTCTTCATGTTCTGTTCATGTGTATGCAGGAAAAGACTGCTGCTAAAATTGCCAAAACCATAAAAAATCTCGGGTTGGACGTTCTTGTGGCATTGGATGGAATAATGAGTGATGGACGCCTCGATATCTTGCAGTATAATGTGGCACCTGTCACATGCACCGTCCTTGGTTTCCCTTGTACTACGGGTTGTCCATACGTAAATTACTTTGTCGTTGATGACATTGTATGCAACCCTAGTCATGTCGTGTCGAAATTTTCCGAACGTCTTGCATTTATGTCCACTTCTTGCTACGTGGGGTCTCATGCTACTTTACACACCCATCTTTCCTATGTTCATCGTGTCGAGACTGCATTGGTTAGTTAATAATTAACGCGTTGGTAATGATTTGGACATGCAATAAGTCATCTTTCTGTATACCCAAATTAGGGAGAAAAATTTGTTATGAGTGCCTCTTTCATCATGCCGGGTATATTCAAATCGAAGCGAGGAGTTTCTGCATGTTGGGTAATACAAGTAAATTAAATTAATATGTAAGCTTCACGTCTAGTTTAATTTCTGTTTATTTATTGCGTAGAACTTTCTGAAAGAACGCCACAACAGCGGTGTCACCAACTTGTTTGGACACAAAATTTATGATGGCTCTTCTAGGCATTACCCGCTGTACTCTACGACAATTCTGGATGGAATAACACTTACAGCTAGATTCCACTATAGTTTGCCAGAAGGAAATGTTGTATTTGCAACGTTTAATGCAATTTGGAAGATTGATCATGAGTTATTTTCTATCTGGATGCGGGTAAGAAATGATATTTGCCTTCATCCAGTATGAATTATGTAAACTTGTAAGTATTCTCATTTATATAGATCCTTGATAATGTCCCCTCGTCTGTTTTATGGATCAACACAAACAGTGAGAACGACACTATAACAAGTAATTTAAGGACGGCTGCGGGACCTGCCCTCATGGACCGGCTCTTTTTTACCCCTGGCGTTGGTCACGAGGAACATGTTCGCAGAGGATCTCTTGTTGATGTATTTTTGGATACGCGTGTCTGCAACGGACACACAACATCACTCAACGCATTGTGGACCGGTAGTGTCATTGTGGCGTTCCCAGGAAAGGAATTTCACAACCGAGTTACTTGTACTCTCCTCCATGCACTCCGATTGCAATGTTTATGCTGTCGTTCGGTTGAAGAATACGAGCAGACCGCAATTTTACTGGGACTTCACACCAACAAGTATGATATTTTTTATTCGCAATATGATTCACGTCAAGTTTGTCATTCTTTTTCTACCTAAACTTCAGAATCGAGTTCATCCAGAGAGAAATGCAAGAGCGGAAGCTCCGATCTACCGTTTTCGACACTAAACAATTCGCACCTGAATTGTAGGACCTTTTAAGGGAAATGCTCAAATGTCGTGAATCCAATCCTACCAACTCGGATGCTTGGGATGATGTGCATTCAGAAGCTGATGGAGAGGAAATTCTGGAACTAATTGAACTGATTGATTTGGAAACTTTGAACAGTTACACGTCAAGTACACGAAAGATTTCTTCACCAACTTACTCATCCGTCGTTGTGGAGGAGCCAGTTGCTTCGTGTTCTTCTCATCCTGTTCCATCCTCACCGACACCACGTGGTCAACCCCCCATCGATCAGGGACACACTGGAAGAATTTACCCTGTTTATAACCGTAATGCATTCATATCCATCCTTCAAATTTCGACATTTTGTTCTTTATGTTTGATTTTTTTTAATTCTTAAAATAGTTCCCACCGTTAATGACCTCGACAAACATGAGTTATACGTTGGGCAGCGTTGTGTCAACATCGCCTGGATTGAACTGCATCAATTCACGTGTTTCAAAGAATGGAGAATGATTATGATTCTCTCTACATTGGACCGCTTATGGCACTTCAGTTCATGGATCGCTTGTTGAGTAATCTATACACATCATCTTGATAATTATATAGGCTTCTCGTTTACTTTACGTCTAGTTTATTATTTGTACAGAATATCTGTCTTTTGGGATTCCAATATTTCCGAAGCACAAGACTGACTATCATGCATTTTTTGAAAAGCGAAAGACATTCCGCAATTACAGCTGGACTCAGTATCGCTGGATGGCAGAAAAATTGTGGCCAAATGAAAATGGACTGATTGAGGCTGATGAAGAACCAGCAAATGTTATTCAGACTGGTCGAGAAAATCGCAAAACTGATAAAGTCAAATGCTTCCAATGTGCAATCTATGATCAATCAAAAGTTTTTGTATCTACCTTACTTGAGAAACATGTCCCACGCACTCACCTTTGGAATAGTAATGGGAGCTACCGATGCTGTCCTAATTGTGGTATCCCATTGGAATTATTCGAAGGTGACGAAGAAACTGATGAGCACATTCAAAGTCATCCAGCCGCCTCTCATGCCAACGAATCGTATCTTGCGGATGACAACAACATGGATTTGGCATTTGACGAAAGATTCTGCAATTTTCCCGTCAATCTCGAAGGTCCATACATATGTAATTGTTTCTATTATGTCACCATATAAAAGAAATGCGTTTTTGATATTTTACCACATATTACTTTATCTATTGTTATTCATTATTAGGTGAGAATCCTTTGAAACGAGAATTGGAGTTGTATAATTCAGCAGCGTCAAACGAAGGAAAAAACCCTAAATATCACGGGCAAGGGAAATGGATGTTCCAGCGTGGTCAAAAAATGCAGACCTTCATATGGATAAAAGATGCATTCGAGCGCAGTATCAATTGGATGAAGGACAATGTGTGTAAGACAGCTGCGTCTGGAGCTATTGTGTTCCAGTTTTCAAAACTGTTGAATCGTAGGTTTTTATGAGTTTATGACAAACTAGACGTGAAAATGTTCATTTTAATTGAAACGTTTTCTTGTTTGTAGTGAACCTTTTGAGCCCATCATGCCCTCGGTTTCAAAACTTGGGAAACATGAACCCGGAGATTCGTACAAACTTATGCAAGACGAACATGAAATTCGACTTTCGTTCATCTTACGAATTCATGTGTCGCATTTTTAACGACGAAGGAAAGGTCCAGGATGAGAATGGTTTATGGAAAACAAGAGAGTCGTTCAAGGCTGGGTCGACCCTGTGCAAAATTTGTGGAACTGAAATGGGAGGAGGATACAAGAACATACATCAAGCCATGAAGAAAGATCACCTGCAAATAGATGTGGGTCCATCATGCAAATGGTGTAATTTGACATTTGGAGAACAATTGGGAGAGAACTTGGAGCAAATCAGAAATGCACACATGAAAAAACATGGACAACTTGCATCATGGACCGAAATTATTTGGGATTACAATGGTCAATTCCCATCTTCAATCCATTACGAAATTAAGTTTAATGACTAATTACTACCTCACGGTTATTTATTTGTAACAAAATTACTGTATTATATAAAAGTATCAAAAAATCCTGCAAGCAATACATCAAACTCTAATTATAATAATAATAATAATAATAAGCCTTTATTATCCTCACTTACTATAACCAGTGAATACAACAATCGAAATTAGTTGGTATAGCGAGCTGGCATATTTTCATGGGCTGACATTAATAATTTAATGACATAATTTAATAACATAATTTAAAAACATATAATCACGTGTTCTTATTATAACTTTAAGATGGATTAGACGTGAAGTTTTTTATGTTGAGAAATCTACATATTTTTCCACTTTTGGACTGACCGATCTAGCCCGTCGGGCACTCCTACATAAGCCTTTGTAGCATAGATCGGCATATTATCGACCATCGACCATTGACCATCGACCATTTTCACCCGACCATCGACCATCGCCCATCGACCATGACCAATTTTTCGCGACCATCGACCATCGACCATGACCAATTTTTCGCGACCATCGACCATCGGCCATGACAAATTTCTTGCGACCATCGATTATCGACCATCGACCAACTGGTCAATTTTGCGACCATCGACCAACTGGTCGCAAAATCGACCAATGGTCGAGCGACCATGCCGATCTATGCTTTGTAGGCGCATTCTAAGAGTGTTTGGAATGACCGATCAAGCCCGTCGGTCACTAATTGTGAAAAAGTCACTAATTATGAAAACAAGTCGCTAATTATGAAAAAGTCACTAATTATGAAAACAAGTCACTAATTGTGAAAAAGTCAATAATTGTAAAAAAAGTCCCTAATTACAAAAAAAGTCACTACTTGAAAAAAAGTCACTAATTGAAAAAAAGTCACTAATTGAAAAAAAGTCCCTAATTACAAAAAAAGTCCCTAATTACAAAAAAGTCCCTAATTACAAAAAAAATCATTAATAGAAAAATATTCTCGTCATTTTGTGGATTCTCCTCACTTTGTCCAACAACAACATCACTCCCACTGACTCTATAACATAAAACAATAACAATAACATTAAAAATACAAAAACATCAAGTTTTCATCAAAAGGAGTTGTCAAATGTAGTGTAGAGTGATATATCATCAAAGATCAAAGTTTACTTACATATTATTACATTCGGTCTGTATGATTTCATTTATTTTTCCAGTATCGTCCGTCGGGATAACACGAGTGGATAGAGTTGTGCAACTGCTTCATTGTTTTCACTGAAAAATTTAAAAAAATCAATAATGATGAAAAAGTCAAGAATTGTAAAAAGTCAAGAATTGTAAAAAGTCAAGAATTGTAAAAAGTCAAGAATTGTAAAAAAAGTCAAGAATTGTACATATTTTTCCACTTTTGGACTGACCGATCAAGCCCGTCGGTCACTCCCCTAATGGTTGGATAAGCCTGACTAACATTATTCTTAGTTGTGCTCGTCTTGTTATTATGCGTGTGTGTGTAATCGTGAACGTATGCGAATTTTTAAATACAAAATACGAAAGGATTGCATTTTTTTAGAGGATATTTTATTCAATCAATAAATGTTAAATAAATTAACAAAAACATAGTAAGTCGGATAATTAGTTGATGCATTTGAATAAAAAAGATATTACGAATACAAAACAACAACATTCGTACAACAGAATGAATACAAATGAAACAATTACAGATTCAGATCAGACAGTTTAGGACAGTGGTGTACCAACTTGCACAACTTTTTGAAGTGCTGCAAATGACTTCTTCGAAAGAACTCAGTATTCCAGACGATAAACAAAAATTCTTGAGCTCTGGAGAGGGCCACATTAATACGGTTGATGCTGTTTAGGAAACCTACACTAGCTTTCGGGGACGTATTGCTCCGGACAAATGAAATGATGACCACCCGATTCTCTCGTCCTTGAAAGGCATCAACGTTCCGTATATCACTCTAGATTTACCACAAGTGTAACGTGCATTTGGTTTATTAGGTTATTTAAAATTTTGAGTTTTCTATACGTCAAGTTGTATTACCTTGCAGGGCATGGCCCGTAATAATTCCTGCCTCTGCATCTCGTAGAACGTGAGAATCGTAATGTCCTCAGAAGGGATGCCTTTGTCCAGAAGTGTCTGAACTAGACGTGAAACTTCATTTACTTCCCCAATGTTATAATATCCATTCGTTATTGGTTCCTGTGAATATAAAACGCAAAAATTAAAATCTATTCGTGATACAAGTTATTCGTCAATCTGAATTCCATATTTTCATAATCACTTTGATAAACTCACGTTGATAAACTTATTGGTTGCTTACATTTTTCTCAAAAAACTTGTGATCTAAGATAACAATTCTGCTACCTCCAGTTGCGTTCAGTAATTCTCCGTAGTTTGGTCGCACTTTCCTTTCCAGCACAACTTTTGCATCGATGAGCTTGTCTTCATACGTCAATTTCGAATCTCTGGATGCATGCGATGCTGCTCTAAGAGTGTCCTCCATGGCGGCATGCAGGGATAGGCTTTTTGGTCATCAGAACTAAAAAAATATGAACTTGATTTACTTGCAAAAAAACAAGTTTGACTTGCATAAGTTATTAATTATGTTTTTTTTAAGTTTAAACATACCTGTCACCCATTCCTGGCAACATGTCAATCAAGGACAAGTGGAGGCCGGCTGTAGAGGCGGCGTACGACAGTATAGTTGCAGAAAGCTGCATTGGATCTCCAGCAAAAATAATCCGCGATGGTGACAAGGTGAGCATGTGCATAGTTTGTGGTTGATTAAGCTGACTTGCTTCATCGAGAACTACTGTTGTAATTCCTCCTTTTTCTGCAGTTGAAGCCAAACGCTGATCCGCAACACAGCCAACTGTTGAGACGTAAATGTTGAACTCCTTCATTATTTCATGCTCCAACTGAGAAATGTGGAAATCCAGCGCCATTATCTGTGCTTCAGTCAAAAGATACTCTGTTTTGTCAGCAACATCTGTAAAGACATCAAACAAATATTAACTAGACGTGAAGTTGTTTTATAATATGGTGTATTGAAAATATGTTTTTATGAATCCGATTACTTTTTCTTATCTCGTCCAAATCCTTGATACTTTCATCGTTCAGCCATTTGTCAGACTTTCGCACTAGATCGTGCAACACAGGGAAGTGGTGTCCTTTGGAGGCATCTAATTATGAATAAATTAACAATTCAGCATTATTATTTCATGTCACGAAAGGTTTACAATTTGAAGAAACAACAAGGCTGATTATCGTCCATATTTTACGAGTAGTTTTAGTTTATGCAGGAAAAGTTACACGTCAAGTCAATCAAGTAAACTTACCAACTCCATTATCCAGAAAACTCCTTGCTTTGGTTCTTGAAAAGATGCGGAGTGCTTTGCAGGGAACCAAAAGTTCACTTAAAAGATTGTTAAGGGCAATGGACAACCCATCCGCTGCATAGTTGGATGGAGCACATAAAACAACCGCTCCAGCTTCTTTAACAGCCAATACAATTGCTATAGCTGCCAAGGTACGTGTTTTCCCAGTTCCTGGGGGTCCTTGACAAACGCTGACGGCAAATGATTCAGCTCGTGTCAAAGCCAATTTCTAAAAGAAACATAAATATATATATTCATAATTTGTGTATGTGATGAGAAGAACAAATAAGAAATAAAGAACGTACTTGTTCCTTATTCAGGGTTTTTGTCAATCCTCCAAGTTGGCATATGTTTCGGGGTGTCTGCCATTCCCGATTAATCAACGCACCACGGTCTTCGATCCTCCAACTGTTGTTGCTTGTATCCCTTCCTGGATCAAGGAGAATGTTGAGCAGTCTGCACTTGTCCAGAGATTGCTTCTTCCACTTGTTCAAAGATCTTTTCATTGCGTCATACTCGCACTTGTTGGGTTTTGGGGTGAGGTCTACAATTTCATTTTTCTCCAATCGTCTGCTTGATCCAGGTCTTGTAATCCTGATGATTACTTGTAACTCGTCTTCATGAAGCAGTCGCATTCCGTGAATCGTACATTTTGCCTCTTGAAGTGGACCTGGTCGCCGTGAGTCCTACAAATAAAGATAATATTTCATATTTTTAGAAACTTGTATCAATATGCGACATTTTTCAAGTTTATGACCGGATGGAACAAGAAAATGAACAGTTTGGAGTGACCGATCATGGGCATCGGTCATTCCAACTTGCATTTATTCAACAACTACACGTCAAGCTTTTTAAATTTGTATGTACTACAATCGAATCAATTGTGTAATGAATAGTGACTTACCTTCCATCTCATGGTGCACTTTGTAATGGCTTTGCTGTTCTCCCTGTTCCAAACACCATGTGGAATTATTCCCAGTTTAATTGCAAAAACATTGTATGGATTTCCATGCGGGTTAGGCAAGATATCGACGAGGACACAATCAATGATTGTTGCTCTTGTTGTATTTTGAGCCCCGAATCTCATGGCGGAAAATCTCCATTCTTCTTGAAGTAAGGGATAGACAATTGTTGCATACTCCGTGGGGTTGAGATAAACTTGTTTAACTGGTTAATGATGAATCATAAGATCTGAATATTTGTCATTTTTTCGTTTGTCCGGCATCAGTCTCGTGAAACATTCATGAACTTGTTTTTCTGGCTCTTCGTGGGCTTGGTAAATCCAGTGATAGGCGAAATCTGGGCTGAAATATCGAGGAAGGGATTAATATTTACACCAAAAATAAATACTGCTGAATTCTTTCACATAAAAAATATGCGTAGATTATTTTACAAAAAAATTACAAAAAATTAAAACACTTCTTACCCTGATCCAGTATAATCGCAATTACAACGTCCCGCAATAGAGACAAGTTGCAAGTTAACCCCGATTAATCTGAATGGGAATTTACACCTCCAGCAGAAACTGTCTAACTGATCGAGAAAATCACGATTCAGTATATAGCAACGGAAAGACCGGATACAACGTCAGTGAACACGTTGACATCTATCGATATCCCATTATACGGCGACACGAATAGTGTAAAAAGTAGAAAAAAACTTGTTAGATATATGTAGAACATGAACATGAATTATGCCAATTATCATCAAGCAGACAACTGTTAAAAAAACTATTAAAAAGTATTAAAACTTACCGTCGGGATGTAATTCTTCAAGTTGGGATTTCAATTCGGCCCTGGTTATCCCACGGGGCAAATTTGTAAGAAAAACGGAGCTCACCGACATTTTTAATTAATGGAGAACTACACGTCAAGCTAGAAAAAAATATCAACATTAAATGTAGGCACAAATAAAACAGTGGAACTTCCGAAAGTAATAAAAACACAAGAAATATACTCGTGTAGTTATCTTATCACTTTATATGAACAATTAAATTAAATTTTGAAATTAATTACCTTAATTTTTGTAGAACAGATAATATTCGTTGTGTTGTTGTTGAGAGTGTGGCTGGTGCGCAGTGGGACGAGCGAGTTCCTTCTTCTCCGACACCTCACGAGTGAATGAGTAGGATGCGGAGAAGCCGAACCCAGCCGAGCAGGGAAACCAAGCCACGCCAACGTTATCTATATGAAATTTTGTCTGGTTGGCGTGGTTTATTTTTAGAACATATAAATATATACCAATATGACATATATGAGATTTTTTATTATATAGCGTTTCCTACTTAATGAAAATGACATTATATATTGAAATTAAGCATTTTTTAATGAAATGTGTACATGATGGTTAATTAGTTCATGTTACTGGGCTTTTCATCTTTCATCAAATAAAGGGCAGGATTTACAATTTTGCTACAACAATTTAAAAATTATCTTGCACGCAGGATTTAAATTAATTTAATAATTATGCAGTTTAACAGTGCTTGGAATGACCGATACCCATGATCGGTCACTCCATAAGTGGTTAGACCGATCTATGCTCCTCATAAAGACCGACTGATGATCTAAATAAAACATCTTGACGTGTAGCTTATGCATAATTTACAAACAGGTATCAATAAGTGTTATGTTTATTTGAATATAATAAGAATAAAGTCATCATCATTTCCCCCAAACTAATACATAGGCAGAGTGGCTTTATTAGTTGCTCAATCAAGTTATGTACATAGTATCGGCAAGACGTATTTAAGCACGATTTACGATTAATTTGTGTTATTTTAGTTTTTGAAAAATAAGCCAAACAATTTATAAGGACACCTCATATTGAGTGACGATTACATCTGCGTCACTTTCTTGAGCATCAATAATAGTCTCAGTCCCCTTAGTTTGACGACCGCTGCTCGGAAACGATTTAATCTAGGCATCTGACCTTCTAACCCTTGAACCTATGCACAAATACCTTTGCAATGACACATTATTCATACACATAGCACGAGTAGTTGGAAAGAAACTTGAATCAGAAAATCAAGAAAATAGCATGCATGCAAATTCTCTTTGAATGTCCCGTTCGTTTGACGACCGCTGCTCGGAAACGATTTAATCTAGGCATCTGACCTTCTAACCCTCTAAGCTATGCACAAATACCTTTGCAATGACACATTATTCATACACATAGCACGAGTAGTTGGAAAGAAACTTGAATCAGAAAATCAAGAAAATAGCATGCATGCAAATTCTCTTTGAATGTCCCGTTCGTTTGACGACCGCTGCTCGGAAACGATTTAATCTAGGCATCTGACCTTCTAACCCTTGAACCTATGCACAAATATAATAAGAATAAAGTCATCATCATTTCCCCCAAACTAATACATACGACAGAGTGGCTTTATTAGTTGTTCAATCAAGTTATGTACATAGTATCGGCAAGACGTATTTAGGCACAATAAATTTTGTATGATGTTTACGATTAATTTGTGTAATTTTAGTTTTTGAGAAATAAGCCAAACAATTTATAGGGACACCTCATATTGAGTGACGATTACATCTGCGTCACATTCTTGAGCATCAATAATAGTCTCGGTCCAGCCCATCATTTCAAGGTGCATTTGTTCATGGGAGTGTCTGATCAATTCCGTATCCAATGAGGGTTTGAAAACAAAGTTACAAGCTTGACATTTTTCTGCGTTATCAACGTGGTGATGCTCGTTGAGTTTTTTCCTAACATCCTTCTGACGAACGGTGGGAAAGTCCTCCCTGCATAGTTTGCAGAAAGCTTGGCCGGGGACAATGGATTTGTGGGTTACCCAATGCATCTCATTCATATCTCCAGGTCCGTCGTCAAACAATTTGAGAAGATAGTCGTACGAGTCTTTCTGGGCAAACCGGAGGTGAGTTTTGCAGTAAAGTTTTCTGACCTCGCCATCCATTTTTTCGAGATCCTTCATAATTGGGCAACCGATTGTGTTAAGATTCACTGGAAAGAAGAAAACCATTAGTTTTCAAGTGATTAAATAAACTAGACGTGAAGCAATTTAAATAATCTCTATTTAAATAATAATTTGTACATACAATGCAGCAAAGAAAAGAATTGGTGGACAACATGGCCCGACGCTGCTACTTCGCCAATATTCCTTTTCATCCATTCCAACACTTGCTCCAGTCCGTCATAAAGCCATACAAATGTTAACATTTTTTTACCTCGACAGTATCTCGAGGAACCGTCGGAAAAAAGCTTATCGTCACCAAGCGTGGTTCCGGGCTGGTGGTAGCGAGCCAACTCTCGCTGAACGTAATCTGAACTGTCCACATTATCTAATACAATTTTTAAAAACTTCACGTCAAGTCTAAAGTTCTATGCACATATAAATTGGATTGTTCCTTACAAACCTGTAAAGTTTGGTTGGAAGGGATGATGTTGGGTATGTTCGCCATCAATGTTGCCAGTTTCATTAACATCCAGATATGTTTCGGATGCATTTGCAATAAAATTAGCTTGATGTGCTTCCATGTGGGAAACTCGATTGCTGTCCGAAGTGAAGCAAATTTCGGGGAAGCCACAATAACGGCATTGTGGGCATTCTTTTTGATTGTTTGTTCTTCCCTTCCAAGTATGAAAATCTGGGGCGTGCACATCACGAATCGAAGTGATGAGACGAAAAAGTCCAGAAACACACAATAAACATTTTTCAGTCTTCTTCCTATCTGCATCATTCATGTCCGATTTAAGCGGATGAGACTTGACTGGTTCGGTCATCTTTCCATCATTTCCGATCATCGGGCGAACAAAAAAGTATTGGTCAGCGTCCATCTGTAATAGCCCGTCAGAACAACCAAAAAAGTTTTCCCAGCAATTTTTTGCAAGCTTTGGTATCTTCGGTAGTCCGTGTTGCATGTACACTACGTTGAACAATAGCATGTAATAATAATAATTTAATGAACTTGACGTGTAGTAATGTTGAAACATACAACAAAATCTAGCTACAAACTGGGACGCCTGAAGAGGACCAATACATAAATCGTCAAAGTATGACTCCAAATGAGATTTGACACAAAATTTCACTGCAGTCTCTATCCAGGCAACATTAACGACACGCTGTCCGATATAGATCTCATCATAATCTCTTTCAGCATCGTTTGGGACTAAAATTAGTAATAAATAACTTGACGTGAAGCAGTAAATAAATAAAAATGAACTCTCGGAATATTTCGTAAATAAATGCATAAATCATACGCGAATATGACGGATAGATCCGTGGAAACTGTAGGACCCGCATGGGATGATCTACGATTTGAATCATTGGGTTCACATGTTCATCAACCTCCATGTAAGATGAACTCGCCCGAATGGATAAAACTTGGTGTTGTAAAGAGGACGATACTTGTTCTGGATTTTCTGATGATGCACCAATTAAATTCGTAACCCAATTCCTATCCAGTTCAGCAAACAACTATGACATAGAATAAAAATACACTGTAATTATTTTAAAATCAATTAATGAAAACACAGACGATACCCACCTTCCAGTCTTGTGGCGTTTCCAGTGGCTCAAGTTCTCTCCACTTTTCAGGATTATTGGGGTGCTCCATAAACTCTTCAAAGGCTCTTTCCAGCAAGATTTCTAATTCATAGGAAAACTGCTTCACGTCGAATAAGGATGATTCATTCTTCCGATGAAGAATGGTTTTACGCAGTTCGGTTAAGCTGTAAATAGACAAATAATGCCGAATGACTAATATTGAAATAAACTACACGTCAAGCGCACTATAAACTTACACGTGTGGGTTATTTCCCAATAGAATTCCCATTTTCAAATACTCATCAGTAGAATGAGTAATTAAGCAGGGAATTTCCAAAACTGTGTTCAATGACGCTGCCACACGAGATTGAAAAGTATTCCCAAGCATGCAGAGGACAGGACAGCCGAGGTAAATGGTATCCAGGCTGCACGTGTGTCCATTATATGTCAACGGATCCAAAACCAGGTCCACAAGACACGAGCGGCGAAGATATAATTCTTTACTAGAGAAAGAATTATCAGACATGATGAGGCGATTTTTGTCTAATCCTTTGCTCGTCATGAAATTTTCCATCCCTGGTCGGGCCGCTCCAGGGTACTGAGAAATCCATAGAACGGATTTTGGGACTGCGAGCATGATCTTTAAAAAAGTACAAAAGAAGAATAAACACGAAATAAATTAATGTATTTATATCATTATAATTTTCAACTGATTATTAACATACTTTACACCATAGCTCGAACGTTTCAAAAGTATGTTTCGCATGGGTGTTGAAACTCGAAAGAACAATTGCGTTTTCATCCAATCCAAATTGCACTCTAGTGGTGGCCACCATATCTCCCAAATCCTCGTGTCCCGATTTCACCAAATTATTGTTGATTTTTAATCCGTTCCAGATGACATGATCCCTTAGACAGAGACACTCTTTTTCATCATCATGTAGCATGTCCTAGAGAAAGAATCAAATTAAAAAACATACACACTGTGTTTCAAATAATAATTTGTGGAAATTTAGATATGTACACATAATTACCCATATGCTATCCGCACAAGACGACAAGGAAAATACACTTGGAATAGGATAAGCCCCATGAAGAACAATGACGGTTCCTTCCTGTGTATTTTTGATCAAAAAATGCAAAACAAATATTTTAAAAAACTAGACGTGAAAAATTGATTATAATTAGATAATTACCTTTGTCTTTGTTCTCAACTCATGGCGTAAATGGGGGAACTGATCGGCGTGGTCGCCAATAAAGTACGTTTTACTGATAAATGCACGCTTCTCAGTGAACCAGTTTCTGCTGTCTACTATTCCTGCGAGAATAGGATCTACGAAAATGTACTGCAGACCTTTATTGCCACAAGTTCCAGGATGAGCGAGCCAATTAATCTGGACCTTGGCAGGGCGGTAAGGAAAGGCGCATCCCCTTGAACCATTTGCTGGTCCAATCAAATCAACCAAAAAATCCAGATCCAAGTCCTTGATGGCGTTGAATGTGACCTCTGGCGCTACATCCTATAGTATGTTGAGTTTGATTTAGTTAACAAGAGTTTAAAATAACCAACACCTTCACGTCAAGCTCATATGTATGTATGTACTTACGACATCAGGTAAGTCCACCATTTTGGTCATTTTCCTCATGTCGGCCTTGCAAACATCGTCCTTGTGACTTATTCCTTGAGACAAATTTGTCTCTGTCAAGGCACCTCAGTAAACCCCGTGTTAGATAAGTTGTGGAATGGCAGCCCCACGCACCAGCCAAAAATCCAATCTTATATTTTTCGGGTTTTTTAGATAGGGCAAAGAAAGTTCGAATCGGAATCTGCAAAATATGCACACATTTTTTGATAAAATAATTCACAGTAATTTGAACACATGAACGCATACATTTTCATCAAGAGGTTCGCCAGAATTATATACTTCGGCGGATCTTTTTAGAAGCATCGCATCAAGTTTCATATAACACATATTCCAAGCGTCCAGTTCTCCTGGAGGCACTCCCATCTCCAGATCATTTTTCACGAACCCCTCCTGTACACGAGTAGTCAATAATTAAATAAACAAAACGTTGCACAGCTGTGTAGTATAAGTGCATACCCATTTTTCAGTGTCTTCGGCATAACTCTCGTCGAAGCAGCACATGTGTAATTGTACCCTCATTCTGTACCGGAATATGCGATCCTGAATAATTTGAGGAATTTTTTCGGCTAGTTTCAGCACACGTAGTCCTACAGCCATCTTCTTAGAATTGTCTCTATCACGAAATTCTTCCTCCCACTTCTGAATGACCATGTCCTCTGGGGATGAGGAGCTGGACTTGGATTGGCGAATGATGGTTTTCAGCCAGGACAACCACTTCACGTCAAAATCCTCCATGTTTCTCAAGTTTCACAAAACCTGGAAATGAAGTCTAATTGTGTTATTTTTTTGGGGGGGGGGGGAAGGGAGGAGGGAATAGTTTGTCAAAAAATTCAAAGCAAAAAATTACTTATTAGTAGGAGCGCAAAGAGAAGAGTAAAAACATTTAGCCACATGCGAAGACGAGCAGAGAAAATTTTCCAATTCAGACTTTTTGTCTTGTTCAAAAACAACAACTTCACGTCAAGACAGTTTTATGTTTCCATGAGAATAATTAATATCACTTTATCAATAAAATTAATAAGTTTGAAACAAATGTTAAAGTTAATGAGACTGACGTCTGAATTAAATATGTGGAAATGCGTGAATTTTGTACGACTCAAGTAAGCAAACTGCGAGTTGAGCCGTCAAGCAGGCAAGCAGGCGAAGAGAAAAAACTCAAGTCGGAACCTGTTAAGTGTGAGAGCTGGAACTGCACTATAAAATCGCACCCTTCTGCTCTCGACTTCCATGAAGCATCGGACGTTCTTCACAATTTTTTTACAAATTTACCTAATTAATTACTTTATTTGACTTACGATCACCATTAGCATTATAATTTATCAAGTTTACGAAGCAGTGGAACAGTAACTTGACGAGAAGTTGTTGTACTCCTCCTCCTCCTTCAAACCTTCGTAATCAAAACGTAAGGTTACTTGTCAAGAAATTACGTATTAATTAATGTAAATACAGACTTGACGTGTAGTAATGTTTTAATTTCACGTGTTATTTTGTTGTGTTTGTGTTAACTTGACGTGTAGTATTGTAAGTATTTTAAGAGTTTATCGTTGTTTTAACTAATTGCTAAAATTCTAATTTAACTAGAAAATGCCAAAGAGAAGAAGCAAGTTTTCGTACGACGAGTCGCAGTCCGATTCTGGTACTGACGCGTTGTCGTCAGCTTCTAGTGAGGAGACAGATGAGTGTAAGTTGTATATGAAAAGCTATAGATATAAGTAGGTAGTAACACTAAAAGCAAAAGTTAAATTCATGTACAACTTGTTTTGTATAGATTCGGCAAAAAACCCAGAGAAGAATTCTTGTCGGCCAAAAATGCACACTGCAGATAAAAACCGACGCCACGCTCTTATACCGACTCGGGTGGTGCATGCAAAAGCTGGAGGTAAGTTATCTACATATACAGTAATGTCCTACACGTCTAGTTCCCAATATATATAATTTAGCATATGTATTCATGTTTATTTTCATATGCACGTTACAGTAACGCCTCGAGCGGTCACTATTTTTCAAGTCTTCATCAAATGAAAAATAGTGCTCCCACTGTTGATATTATTTCGGACAACCGGGATGAGGAACCAGTGGCACCATCATCTGCCGTTGGAACCTTCGACTCAGGTCAGCAGATTTATATTTATAACCTTGACGTGCAGCATTTCCTAATTTCGAATAATAATCACATGTGCAAATAATTCGTATCCATATTTCAGATGCACAACAATTGTCCGATAAACAACAGAAGCCGATGATTACTGACCCTTCCGAGTCTCAGGAATGTTCAGACGAGCATAAGCCATCCTCATCACGTAATTAAATTTTACGTCATCTAACAATGCTCTTATATAAAAACATGAATATCGTAAGGCAGTAAGCATTTGTATATGAACAGGTTTAAGTCGACATCGTTCCCGCAATGTTCCTAAAAATGACAGATCACGTGACAGAGCACCATCCCGTACAATTGGTGAGTAATTAGTCACTTTCTGTGCTCAGTAAATATATTCAGAATGATATTTTCCGCACTATTACACAAGTCCTGGAATTCTGACTGGTTCCTCGTTTTTGACAGAACCATACTCACAATGAGATTACAGGCACGTAGGGATAATGGCAAACATTTGAGTGATGGAACGACCGACAAGTGACATCGGTCTTTCCATCACTCAAAATTAGATATCCGAAGTCATAAATTTGCATAGGAAGTTTTGCATGTAAAAAAATTCTTTGTATTTTTTACAACGGCATTTATTTTTCTATATAGAGGAAATCAAATCTACTGAAGATGGGGAGTCAATACTTGCGCACATAGAGGAACGAATACAACAAGCACATAGAGAATTTGTAGCTCGCAAAAACAGAAAACGAAAATTGAAATCCTCGTATGATCAATTGAAAACTAGCTACCTCAAGAACAAAGAAAACACATCAAATATCCAAACGGGCGTCCCACAAACCGGACCAACTCGTACCAGAAAGTATAGTGTTCCGATAGCCTCAGCTGAAGATATTTTAAAAGTGAAGAATGAACGACCAACTGAAAATAAGAAAGAACGGAAACCGTGCATTTGCAGAAATTGTAATGACCCAAACGACACAAGGTAAGTTTTTGTTAGTTTTAACATGATTAGATTGACGTGAAGTAAATTTAATTCTAAACGTGTTGAATTAAATCAAACAGGGGAAATAAGAAGAGGAAGATTGCAGAACACCCTTGCCCGGAATGTTCCAAATCATTCAAATGTCCCGCAGATCTTAGCAGGCATATGCTAGTACACTCGGGCCAGAGGCCATATACATGTGGTTACCCAGATTGTGGACGAAGTTTTAAAAGACGCAGCCATCTGAGCCATCACGAACGACGTCATGAGGGCATTGTTCCTCCCAGCCACGTATCCATAGGCAGTGTGACCCCCGTTGGGACCATGATATTGGCCCCTGATGCTAAAGGTCATGTGGTACGAAGACCACTGACGGAACAAGACAAAAAAGGTGAACTAGACGTGTAGTTGTGTTAAGACGGTGTTGGATAATATAGCGAGATTAACAATATGTTTAATTACAGATGACGATCTGTTCCGCGTGTTTTTTGTCCCAGCAAAATACGAAGGCGATTATGTTGCAAAAAGCATACACTTTACTAAATATGCACGACTCAACCGTGCAGCAAGTCAAGTCAAATCCAACACGACAAGAGACAAGTCTCTAGTAAATCTAAAGTCAAAAACGGCTTGCACACCAAGGTAGGTTTTCTGTATTTTGTATTGCATAATGAACTAGACGTGAAGTTGTTGCAAACATGGAACCTTGACGTGTAGTTGATAATAAATTTATTTGCAGACATGCAGTCGATAATGGAGTTGAGTTGGATACCGACAACGCGGTTGCCTTTTCTGTAATATTCAAAACGTTTAAACTGGTTGATTGGGCAAAAGCTTATCATCGCCTCCGTTTGGATTCTTTGGGTAATCGATCCAACCTCGACGCGATATCTTTATTCCGCCCTTGGATTGAATATTTGGAAGAAGCAATAAAACAGCAGGTGCATTTGCTCGACGTGACTGCAGCCGCCATGGTGAGAACCGGGATATTCCCAGACGCCTTTAAAGAAGAAGGTCAAGTGCAGGCCACCAGAACCACATCTCTTTATTCCATCGTTCATGGACCCGTGTATAATTAGCATAGATAGTAAATATATGAACTGATGTACCTACTATGTCTAACTCAATTTAATATTAAATAAATATTACTGTTCAACTCTGAAGTTTCTTAAAGATGGCTGACAAGTTTTCAGTGAAAACTGACTATTTTACCAATACATGCATGGATATCGACGAAAAGAAGGGCACTACCTGAATAAAACAAAATGGACTGTAATATAAGGTTTAATAATTGACAAGAAGGGGCGTCCAATCTTAATAATCGTCAACGCTCAAGACCTCACTCTCACTCTTCCTCGGAAATGTAATCCTGTGAAAAATAGTCAAAACAACTACCTACAACAATAATGCGATGATTCGTCAATTTCCACAAATGTTGTCACGTACACACATATTAGGCAGTTTGCATAATTGTTTCCGTGGACATTTTCCGTGGCGTAGAAACGTAGGTTTTGTTACGTTTTTACGTTACGTTGGATCAGTTTGCACTCCCGTACCTATAGCCGTAACGTGAAAATATTTTTTTTTCATACGTTGCACGGTTACGGAATTATAGTTTGCGATTTGATAAATAAATATCCGTAGTTATATTTTCGTCTAATTCTTGCTCTGCTTCATGAATATTTTTATGAGCGATACAAGTTCCGTATTGAATATGTATCACTTTACTTTAAAAGATTTGAAAAGTTTGTTTCTTCGAGGCGTTATTTCCTTCCCGGATTATGTTAAATTTAATAAATTAAGAGCCTATCATGTCAGAAGAAACTTCAGAATCCTGCCAACTATCAACTTGACGAGGATGAGCGATCTGGATTGTGAAATCAACTTCAGATTTACACAACACGAGATCCGACGACTTCTGGTCTCACTGCGCATACCAAGGAAATGCACTTTACCAAGTGGTCACAAATTCAGCGGTAATAATCACGAGTTCCTGGTTAAGTGTTTAGTTTACTAAAATAGGATGTAATTTTCCAGGACTTGAAGGCTTACTGATCTTGTTGAGACGCTTATGTTACCCCAACCGCTTGCATGATCTTGAGAAAAGTTTTAACAGAGATAAGACCCTTCTCTCGAGAATAGCAAACTGGATGACGGAATATATACATGGACAATTCTCTCACCTTCTGAGATCACTCGATAGTCATAATTGGCTAACTCCAATTAAACTACAAGAATTCGCTGATGTAATTACATACATTTCTTACCCCCTGCAACATTTTCATAGTTCAGTTCTCATTTATATATTTCCAGACGCTTGTACAATCTGGATGTGCGTATCAAAATGTTGTCGGTTTTATAGATGGCACCGCACGACCAATATGCCGACCCAGTGTCAACCAACGCCTTGTCTATAGTGGCTATTATAAGACACACACCTTAAAGTACCAATCCATAATGCTACCGAACGGAATAATTGGGAGGCTCGATGGACCATATAATGGAAGAAGACACGATTCAGCTGTCCTAGGTCTCAATGGTCTGGTACAAGAACTTGGACGAAAATTTGTTCAGATTGACGGCTCGTGGTACACCTTGTACGGAGACCCCGGCTATGCCAATCAAAAATTTATCAAAATTGGTTACAAAAATAATGCCCGGAATCCTCTTACACCACAACAGAAAAGTTTCAACAGAGACATGTCAGCATTGAGTGTCGTCGAGAAATGATATTTTATTTATGACCGCATTTGAATGATTTTAACATGATAATGGATTTTATGTAATGACTTGATAATTTTATGAATATGACTTTGCATGGAAAATGATGATGATTTGTACATGTATTTCTGTGTGAGGTATTGTGAAACCCCGGCAAGGATGCAAATTTTAGTTTTACTGTCGCCCTTCTGGCTGCCACTAATTGGATTTTCTGTCCAATTTTTATCTTTTAATTTGACTACTTGACCCTAGTAACCTCGTGTAACCTTTCTTTTAATTGGTCAAGTTATTTCTCTTTTGTACTCCCATTTTTGTGTGTTGTTCCATTGTGATTGGTGAAAGGGGAAAGTGGGGAGTTTTTTGTGTGATGGCCACTCGGCCGAATATATGTGAACTTGGTAAAATAATTGACAGTGACACGACGACGGAGGAAAGACAAGCACCTCAACAATATTGTCCTCTCGTCCCATGAATTGTAACTCTCTCTCTAATCCTCTAAATTTGTAAAAGTATAAGATTTGCTGACATTAAATAACATAAAACTACATCGTTTGTGACCACCGCCTGCCCCTTATTTTCACGGTCACAGTCACCATAAAACACGAGAAAAAGCAGTCAATCTTTTACATTGAGAGTTCATGTGGAATACGGATTCGGCAAAGTTATCCAATTATTCGCGTTCTTGGATTACAAGAAAAATCAGAAACTCTTACTTCAATGCGTCAGGAAACAATATGATGTTGCTGTGATTCTTTCGAATTGTCATACGTGTCTAAGAGGAAGTCAAGTAACAAAATACTTCGCGTGCCAACCACCAGAACTTGAAGAATATCTTCGCTGATAAAGTTTATTTGTTTATGAAACTTGAGTGTAAAAGACAGGTGGATATTTTTGAGAAATTGGTAGTACAATTGTTAGTTTGGTTCAGCAATTAAAACATAAATATTAACATTAATTTGTAGCAACACAATTTCTAACGAAAATTTAATTTTACGACAGGCTAGTTTTTATTGTTTTGCAGTCCATCCGTGAGCATCTTCAATGTTTGCTGAAAGGTTTCGAACATTAATTGGCGTTGCTCCGTTTCCTGTTGTAATCTTTTTTCTCGAACGAGTTCCAACTCCAATCGCTTTGCATCGTTGGCAATTTCCGCCCGCTTGGCCTCCTCCTCAAGTCGAAATCGCTTTTGCTCCATTTCCAAATCGTGGTTAACTTTCTTCGCCAACAAGTCCTCCTCATTGCTTAATTTTGATCTCTTCGTCCGGGTTTTATTAGGAGTTGGAGGAACGTCTTCATCTGGAATTATTAGGAAAGTATTAAAAATGGGAATGTATGCTTTATGGTACACAGTACACATACAATTCCGTTTCAACACTTCGTCTCGATCCACATCGGCTAATATCTTGTCCATCTTTTTATCTTTCTTGCTAAGAGCACATAAAGTTTGGTCATCGAAGTCAGCGTCCAGGAAAATATTAATTGAAGCAGCCTCCTCCTCCTCAAGCTTAATAATTTCCTCCACACATTTTCCAACTTCAGATTGTTCTTCTTCCGTTCCAGTCCTTATTTTAACGAATTATTGTACATATTACATACATATAGAAGGGTCAAAGGAAAAAGTCTTACTTGTAAATCAGTTGTTCCTTTTTGTATTTGTTTACGAGATTTTCGACTCGTTCTCGGGCAGTCCTAGCCGAAATTCGATACCCAAAAACTTGCAACAAGCTGGATGCAACATCATTCCACTTTATTTTTCCCAGTTGGAAGGGATTTACATTTATTGCGGTGGTGAGAAGGTTTTTATCGCTTTCCAAGTTGAATCTGAATTTGACAGGCACTTTCTTCGGGTCGGTGTCCTGCAAAAATGTTAAGTTTTAAGTAGAAATCGTGTGATTGAGGGAAAATGAAATAAGAGATAAAACTTACTTTTATTTCTTGTAATTTTAGTGCCTTTTTTACGACCATTCTGACTTATTTTGTAGTAAAGTTTGGAATCCGTAAAACGTCCGTGAAAAGTAAATTTTTACAGGAATTTTTAAGCGTAACGTGGGAAAAATGACGTGCAACCGTGAAAAATTACGGAGATATGATTACGGGTCACGGTGAATGTTTTTATGCAAACTGTCGCCCTCCGCAACGTGCGGACGCGAAAATTTTCCGTAAAAAGTTACGTCACCACGTTGCTACGTCACGGAAATAGTTTACGGGAGTAGTTATGCAAACTGCCTATTACATATGAGTATTCCGTAGGGAGTATTTTACAGATGGAGTGCAAATTTTTGTTTCTGTCTCGTTGTCATTCTTATTATTATCGTACCTCCTCAGTCTCATGTCACTATTTAATATAAAATATCTAGTTGCAGCCATCTTAGCAATTGAATTTCTCACTTTTAACAACTAAATATCCAGAAACCTTAACGTACACATATTATTCATGAAATGAAACAATATAGACATTAGTCTTTGTTATCTGGGACCTTGATATCTTATCGTACTTGTTGAATTTTAGTTCATTTTTTAATTGACTGCCGTTTTTAATTGGGGTGTCTTATTGTCTCCCATTTTTGTAGCCATTACGTTTAGATAGTGTAAAATACGGCATATTGACGAGGATGGGCAGCCAATGCTCGAAAGGGAGATTCGTAGAACTTCGTCGAATTCCTGAATTTTTGTAAGAATCCAGACTGAGGTACTCGCAGGGTGATGAGAGCGTCCCGAGGCGAGAATTTACGACATGAACGCCATAGCCGAGGACAGCGTTGCGTGCAGTCTTTTGCTGGTTGGCGTAGCAAATGTAGTGATTATCCAGAGGTGTGGATTGCACTTGGGAGGAAGCATGCAATGCTGCGATCTGGGCGGCTTCCTCCGGGGAAGTGATCACTCGAGGGAAATATTTTGCTGGATCACTCCCATCGTGGTGAGTTATGGGGCACCTGTTATGTATGTAACAAATTAAAACCCTTGTTAAATTATCATTTTGATTTAGTATAAAAAATTTCTCATTTGAATACTCACCGAAACTTTCGGGCCGATTCAGCCATTTCCATGACATAGTCCAACGAATCGGACAGCATCCCGTCCACCATCATTCCTTGCATCGAGACTAGAATCGTGGTCACTGTATAGCTAGGACTCCAGCCTTCACTGCTTGTCCCCCATTCGCTGTGGTAGCCTTTAAAGTTTCCGAAAATGTTGAGACATACTTCTGTCCGTCCTCGCGAATCTTTCAGCTGCACCCCATTCGTGTAGGCGACGTAAGTGTCAAAGTACGCTTTGGGTGGGAGGTTAGGATACTCGTTGGGAAACTCCAGCGTGAATCGGAGTGGGATTTCGGAAAGAGGGGATGATTCTGGGGGAATGATGAGTCCATACCATACGGTCAGATCGGCGTCATCGAAGGGCTCTGCATTGGCCCCCACGAGGGGGAACTCTTTTAGAGATTTGAGATCTTGCTGGAGGCGTTTGATCGCGGGGGGTGTGACTACACCACTGGCCATATTTGAATTGGAGATTTATGTAAAAATGGATAAATTCGAATAGACCGTTTCGGAGTGGTGAATGTGGTTTGCTACCTGACATGCTTTTGCTTTTATACAACAGCACGGAGGTTTGCGATAATTTGGCAAATCGTTTTGCATACTTAACGAAATATGAACGAATAACGCCAATATACGTTTCATTCAGTCATTTTTGCATGCAGTGGTGATGACTAAGGACTAAGGAGTAGCATTTTCATGCGATTACAGAGTATGCGATTACATATCAACAAACTTTGTACATAACGTATGTACAAAAGTATGCATATCCCACATAAAACTATATACCCTCATATGCATATACATATGTATGTGCATATCTATTTGGTATGAATCCTGCTAACAATGCGAAAACTAAACGTTCACTGCAAAATTAGATTATGCTGCATTTGAGTAATTTACGTTAGGATGTACACATATTTATATGTAAGCTGTCTATCCACAGTTTTAATTTCCTCGAAGAAACCACTCTTCTCGGAAATAAAATGTACAAAACTTTAAGCGATTTCTAAGTAACATTCTATATTCTTGTAATTTCTTTGATTAATGAATACATATTCTCCTAGTTGTGCATGATTGAGATATTTAGCGTATACCAATTCGTTCATATTTAGATATAATATTGGCAGTAAAACAATTGTTTATACGATTCGGGGTTATATCTTTATGCATATAAGTTACACAAAATTACAATTGCACGTAATACTCATCCAGATATGCGAAATGCGACATCTAACCCATGATAACCCAACCTAACTAAAGGATATACGAACACAATTATAGAATACAAGTAACGCAATTCCCTGCATAAGGAGATTAATGTTAAAAAACGCCAACTACATATACGTAACATGCAAGTGTAAACATATACAAAATGATGGGCTGCAAAGCAGTTTATGTTGTATGTAGTTGCGTGTGTGTATGGCCTTTGTCCTGGTCTGCTGTCAGACTGATCCTGATCCTAGTTTTTTGTAGTTTGATTTTTAAAAATTAAATTAACTTTTTAATTTCTAACCCTTTTTTTCAAAAATTCGCAAAATGAATCAGGCTTTCGGTATAGTACAGAAGCCAGTTGGCTTTTTTTGGGACATTGAAAATTGTCCTGTCCCAAAGGATAAATTGGCTTCGGGTGTGATACACCACTTGAGAAATTTCTTTGTCATCGGACGACTAAATTCCAGTGAGCGAGATTTCCTAATTGCTTGTGATGTGAGTAGAATGAAGAAAGGGTTGGACGAAGATATCAACCGGAGTGGTGGGTGACAAAGACATTACTAATATTTAGCAATTTTATTTATTGCAAATTAGTACATATTTTAATTTTATCGGATTGATTAGGCAATGTGACACTCGCTCATGTCAGTGGAACTAGCAAGAACGCTGCTGATGAGAAATTACGGGAATCAATGAAACGATTTGTCGATACGCATGGTACGTACATCGATATGTACATATAAATGTACATATTTTGGGATGTTTCAACTTATACAATTATGAACATGTTTGAAGATTCATAATGTATACATTTCCAATAATTTTATGATTTTAGGAACTTTTTCCCCAATGATTGTTCTTATTTCTGGGGATATTGATTTTGTGAATGACTTAAGAGCTTATCAAACTCGTATGGGATGTCATATCGTTTTGATTCATGGGAACATGTGCTCTCCTCAGTTTAAGCAAGGCTGGAATGAGGTTACAAGTGCATATTATAAGTACACTTGTGCACATAATGTTTGTACATGTATTATATCATCATTTTACTTTACAGATGTATGCTTTCAAAGATTTTTGCAATGCCGTTCCAACCGTAACTGCACCATCTGCAAGTGGTGGACCAGCCATGGGTGGTAAAGGTCCCGCAAAAGCACCGTACAATGGACCGCCTGCGAAGCCCCAAGAGAGAAATGAAAGAGATCCACAACAGCCTGGCAAGAAATTTGAAAATGGTCCAGCTAGAGGACAACAGAATCCACAGAAAAATATGAAAAGCGGTAATAGCGGCCCTGGACCTTCTCAACCTGCACAAAAACCATCATTTCCACAAAACAAACCTCCAGGAAATGAAGCTTCTAGGAACAGGAATCAATCAGGTCAATTCGCCGGTCAGTCGCAAGGTCAGAGGAAACCGGAGGACAGATCACAGCAGCAGTATCAGCAGCAGCAAAAACCCCAGAAGCCAGACGACAAACCTCAGGAGAAACCTCAGAAGAAGAGCAGTATCATCCTAATGGTGTGTGGACTGCCTGGAAAAGTGGATTATAAAATCCTAAAGGAAAATTTACAAAAGGAAGCAACGACAGTGGGGGGCAAAGTATGCTACGTCAACAATGGACAGGGTTTCATCGCTTTCAGGACCGAGGAACAGGCCGGTCGAGCAATTAGTCTTTTTCATGGAAAAGAAGTTTACGGAAAGACATTGAGCGTGACATTTGCTCCCGGCTGGGTCAGTCCCGTCGAAAAGAAACAGAAAGACCAATCACAGCAGCAGCAACAACAGAATCCGAATAAACAATCGGTCAGAGAAACTCCTTTCGTGATGGTACCGCACCAACAGCAAAATGGAGGAAATCCTCAAAATTTTCCTGGTTCTCGTTCTCCAGGCTTCGGTCCGTCCTCTTCAAACAGTAATATTTCAGCAGTTGATATGGCTGCCGCAATTGTTGAACTTGCTCGAGCTAATATTTCCGGGGGAAATCAGCAGCAAAATCAACCCTCGGGCAAGGGAAAGGCTAAAAGTTCCAGCAAAGAGTCGGAATGCTGTGTGCAATAAAATAAAACAAATAGGCAGATTTGGTGTCAAATTGACACTGTCAATTAAACTAAGCACGTACACACAGATATTTCTGAGCCCCGATAAACTTTGTATTACGCAGTGAGGTTATCGAAATGCAAATTTTATTGAGGGTTCGCCTTATGCAATGTGATACAAATGTATGTACACATTGCATCTGCATTTATTTATTTAAGGTTTCTACAAAATGTGTCAATTATATAATGCACACTGTATGAAGTACAATAATTAATGTATTTGTTAATTTTGCCGACTTATGAAAATTTCCCCTTAATAGATCTTTATGATAAGCTAAAAGTTTATCATAATGTTTCATACCATGAAATGAGTTTATTAAGGTAATATAATGTCAAAAGCTAAAATATTTACTTTTGACTTATGAGGAAGAGTTTTCGTTGTCACTGCAAATATTTTGAATTCCTGCAGTATTTTTGTTTAATTAAAATGCCTAGTTGACATTATTTATCCGAATGGTTTTTAATATTAAATTTCTAATACTATTACTAAAGTATCTTGATTACTATTATTCTCAATCTGCCAACTGTGTAGTAACTTTTGGATAAATATGTACTTTTTACTCACTAATCCTTGATGTTAAATATTCATAAATCTAAACATACTTGCAATTCTTTTGTAGGTTACATTATTCCCTTTATCACCACTGTTATAGCACAAAACCTTTTGTGGCGTTCTTTTATTCTGAAATAAAAAAGTTATAAAGTTTATCTTTTCTATTTATACAACATATCTACCATAATAATACGTATCTATGTATGTTAGATGCATCTATTTATCTATTGTATTGGTATGTTGCAAAAATTTCAATCGCACAAAGTCTGATTTGGCTAATAAATTGGGAGATTTTTAATACTAACTTCTGTCTACACTCTTTCATATCAAAGCTTATTACGCATTCCGTGCTTTATCGATGAGCATGACAAGAATAATTTAAATAATTGACGAATAAAGTAATGCAATATATAAGCAATTGCAATTAAATGTTTCTTATGCTAACATTATTGTCAGTTTGATGTCATACAGAAAGATTCTGGAATTCTGCAATGTTTTTTTTGGAAATCCAAATTAAACATACAGAGATCCAGCGTGTCTGGGGATGTGGTACCATTGCTACCAGCGCTGCGTGACTAAAGTACAATTGAATTAATACTTTTGTTATACCCAGGTCTAGGTACATATATGTATGGGCTATAGCTGACTATGGATAGTTATCCATAATTACGTACGACTTGCCTAACCTTTAAATTGAGAGATGTAAATATTATAACTTTAGAAGCTCACAGATTTGTCAAATGTATGACTTATGCATACGTGATAGCAGTTTAAAATTCATTTATTGTAATTTTACAACTTTAAAAATAAATATACGACATCGTCATGCTTTGATGATTCATTCCCCTAATTTTACTGTGGTTTGTGGTCTGGTTCATTTCACACTGTCCGAAAAGTAAACACATCTCTTTTATCATTAAATATTGACTTACATTTTTGACTGGGTCTTTAGCACATAAAGTAAGCTTGACTATATGCCATTTACTCCGTATTCCATCACTACGAGGATTCTCCAACTTTCACAAATGTGTGCTACATTAGTGACGTATTTAGGGACTGTCGAATTTATTTGAGGTAGTAAAATTAAAAATATAATCATGCATCAGTTTTCCGACAAGGACACTGCCATTCTTCACATCGTCCAACGCACCCCGTGTGTGGAACCCCTCATCAAAATCTTGAGACGGAAAGGATTTCCTACCGTAAATGAGGTAACAAGTTGACTTCTTAATCCGTGTAATTATCAAGTATTTATATTTTATCTAACAGGCACTTTATTCCACTTAAAGAAAGTTCAGAGTACGCGTTACATGACATGTCGTCGCATGTATGACAAATTGCTGCAAGAATGTCATTCTTACTCGGAGGAAAAATCGGACCAACTAAAAAAATATTTTCAAGACACTGGAAATGGAGAAGTTGGTGAAATGCTCTACACCTTAACCAAGGCTCCAGGTCAACCCCTTTTCCTGGGAGGTGAAAGCGATCACTACAGACTCACAAAGACTGACGTGAGTACCTCCTCGCGTGCCATGTATCGCATATTCCGTGTCGCCAAGAGTGGAAATGCTTCAAAGTTGGAAGCTTTATTGAGAGGAGTTGCTCTAAAATGTGCCGGTTTTGATTGTCCCCTCACGTCAAGTGTGAAACCGCATGCCATCGCAGCAGTGAACTTGTTTAAATATAGGGAAGCTCTAGGCACGGTTCTCCTTTCGAAGAAAGACTGGCTGGACACGACGATTCTGCATGTGCCTGTCCACGGAAGATGTAAACTGTTTGGCAATACATAAATTAAATAAATGCTTAAAATCTCATTTGAGGGGAAAATTTTCAGCCATTCCATGCATTGACGTGGTGCTGCAATACGCTCAGGAGGCCCATAGGAAGGGGGATGTTCTGGATGCTCGGGATGCTCTTGGCCAAACAGCGTTGCATCACGCAATCCGAAGAAAGTATGTGCAAGTCACAAAAAAATTAATATTGGAAGGTGCAGACCTATTTCTGAAGAACAAAGTCGGAGAATCTCCGCTGGAACTTATTTTACAAAAGCTACCAGGAATTATGACGTTTATTTTGGACAGGGCAGTCACTGTTAGTGGTGAAATTGCAAGTGAAAGTATATTTCTCAATATTGATTTTGGGTGAGTTGTGCACTTATGTATATCAATATCTGTAAGTTTTTCATATGACTGATTTAATTTGGTTAATAATTCACAAATCATTTTGATGCAGAATCCTGACTGCTCTAATCGATGTCAAGAGTAACAAGGTCGAAAGTCGCATCAAGCTTTCTAGAGGCACCACAATCATAACCGGGTTCAATTCGAATGACTACAGTAAAAACGTTGTGCTCGAATTTGAAAATGAGAATGGAGAAGACTCGCCAATGTTGTCATTGTCAAACAGTCCTACGTTACAGCCAGAACAAAAAGAAAAGAACGACGCAAAGGATGGTACAAATAAAACCAAAAAAATCGACTTTGAAGTTAAGAATGATTTGAGATCAAACCGAAGAGATGAAATGGCTGTGTTGGGACATTTAATTAGATTAGGTCACAAAAGCTGTTTCGATATTTTGGAAAATCCAGTTACACAAGCGTTTCTTGATCTTAAATGGAATCGAATGCGATATCTTCTCTGGGTAACGTACACCGGGTTAAGAATAGGAATTTATGGACTCTACATTTTTCTAATGTATCAAGTTAGTTGAATTATGATGTACTTCATAGCTATTTAAGTATAAGTATAAGATAAGTATAAGAAGTATTTAAGTATAAGAAGTATTTAAGTATAAGATTGCATTAAATACACTTATCATTTTACCTTCAGGTATATTTCCACCATTGTCCTCTTCATGGAAATAAAGACACGAGTACCGAAGAAGTATCGGTAAAATGTGGCTGGTCACAGTGGACGCAAGCGCTTCTTCCTATCGTCCTCGTTTTTAATTCAGTCTTTCTACTCCACGAACTTGTCAAAGCGTCGGATTTAAATAAAATGACAGATTTTAAAAGGTACTCAAAATTACTGACCAAAATCAGCATAAGCTTAAACCATAACTAACATTTTACCCTTCCTCCTCAAGATATTTGTTAAGCGACCCTGGTCCTCAAGTGTTTATACGACTACTTTTTCAGTCCATAGTCGTTGGAACCTGCCTCCCACCTTTTCTGGATGGAACTCTGGATGGCTATCAATACATACTGGCCACAGTCGGGATTTTGATATGTGCCGGTCTTATTTTGCAAGTGAGGAATTCAACTTTCATTTATAAATTTTGCTATGCTAATTAATTCTAATTAATTTGTAATTATATATGTGCAGGTCGTGGGTAACTCGAACTGCAATTTTGGCATTCACTCCATTTATATTCATGTTTATGGAAAAGTAATGCTGCGATTCATGTCAGTCATCGCCACTTTCTCGCCACTAATCATCTCATTCAGTCTGGCCTTCAATATTATGTATCCTCATGTGGGTGTGCCATTAAAAATTTATTACTGCACTGCACTACCCCAAACTTGTCTAATTTCAATCCATTTAATTATCCATAGATGCAGCAATTTTCGTCCTTTTTCCGATCCCTGCTTCGCCTAGTGATCATGCTCCAAGGAGAATTTGACTTTGAAGACAAATTGTACAATCAGCTACAAACAGGAGATGCATCGGGAACTATTAATGCGACATTATCATCTTCACATCTGTCGGCGAATGACGAAGTTCTAATATTTTGGTCAGGACAGATTCTCTTCTCGATACTCGGGTGTGTTCTGAGCCTTGTTCTCATCGACGTTTTTCTCGGCTACACCGTCAGCGATATTACAGTAGAAGAAATATATTTTGATTGTCACATTAAGAATTATGCAAATCCTTCAATTCCATAAACAAATAATTTTGTCACCTCTTTTTAGCAACTCAACAAACAAGCCGAATTTGTCAGAAGATGTAATCAAATCGAACAAATGCATGAGGCAGAACGCTTCATAGGTTTGGCAGTTCGATTTATCGACCTCCTCGGGATAAGCAGTGACTCCTTTGTGAATCATTTTAACGTCATTTCTACTCAGAGGAGGTTGAATTACAGGTAGATCAGACAAACATGTAGTTATTTACATGGCCAACAGAATGCATACATATCAATTTTCATCTACAGAACCGACATGGTGGTGGCATTTGAAGAATTGAATGAATCAAGACAAGCTCAATTTAGACAAATACTCATATAATTATAATACCCGTGTAAAATAAATTGAATGCTTATGAAAATATATATTTCACTCAACACACACAACAGTCTCATAAATGTCCTCATGAAACGCACATTGTAGGCGTTTTCCAAAAGCAAGACATTTTTACCCAGCTAAATCCTGCCGCATCACGACGATGAGAAATTTGAGACGAGTAGTGGATGAGACAAGTCACGAATCAACAGCACTCGGTGAGACGACTGGACGAGTGCGAGTGTGAGATTTGGATTTGTGTTTATAAAAGCTCCTCATCCGATCAGGCTCATCGGCAATTCAATAAAATTATAATTTCTTTACGCACAAAAATATCTGTGCTTTGTGTCCACTGTTTTTGTGATACAAGTTATGAAACTTGCAAGTTAAGAAACTCAAATTATGCAAATTTTCTCGCATATTTTATATCAGTGTTGTTGAATAAGTTGAGACAAAAGTTTGTTTCGTCGTATTAATTAAACCAAATTATAAACCTCAATTCTGTAAGTACACTTATTAATAAGAAATTGAAAATTTATGTTATGTATAAGGTTAATTTAAAACTAGTGACAAATGTTTAACTTATATACTCTACTCAACTACTCTTATTGCCTGAATAGGACATTCTTCTTCCCCACCTGTGACACCTTAATCGTGCTGGAGAAAGAATGCAGCTGAAAGAATCCGATCCTTTAGATGGCATGGAATCAAATGACGATAACAATATTTGCGGAGGTTAATGAAAGTTGGATTGATAAGTAATAAGAATGGTGGAATAAATTGTATGGCTTATTATTTTCGTGTTTAGAGAGTTCTCACAGTGACGACACGACTGGTGGAGGGAGGATGTATGACGACTTGGACGATGTTGAAATGCTATCCGTCTCTCGACCAGATAAATTTGAATTGGGTGGGGGTGCAAAGAATGGGAAAACAGGTTTGCGATTTCAAACAATCGAAGTAAACGGTAACCCCGTCTGGGTCCTGGATGACCGTTCCCTTCGTAAAGATATAGGTAACTGATCTGCATTACATAAGTATATGCATGCATATATCGATATAGAGTGATTTATCTGTATTAATTTAATTCAGACCACTGTCTCACCTGCGGAAGCTATGCGCTTCGACAAGAATTCTTCAAGCCGCATTATTGTGTTGAGGCATGCTATCTTTCGTCCCCACAAGTATGTTCCAGTTTTGATAGATTCATGTTGCATAGTATGCTTAATATTATTTATGTTTAATAAATTACAGTGGATGGAGGAGCAGCAACAGCTTAATGCTCCAATTAAACTTTTTAAATGCCCAGCCCTTCCAAGTGAGCCGAATCCGTTCAGGTACATTGAGTTTTCTTTAATTTTTTCGCTTTAACAAATTACTACAAAGCATTACCTTAATTCATATACTTTTATATCTATATATATATACATATGGTAAAACATGTTTATTCTGTAATTAAGGATTGGGCAAATGATGGAAGCAATAGACCCTGAAAATCAAAGTTTGTTCTGTGTCGTGTCCATCGCCGAGATTCAAGGATGGAGACTAAAATTACATTTCGAAGGATTCTGCGACCAATTTGGTAAGATGTGATAAGTTTACAACCTGGTTTGATTGAGTGTAAACACCTAGGCACTTTTTTTATAGACTTTTGGGTGGATTGTGATTCCCTGAATATTTTCCCTCCTGGATGGTGAGTTGATTGGGCTAGCCAATTAATTAAGCTAATATTGATTCATTCCAAGAGTTAATCAATTTTTATATCTTAGGTGTGCCGAAATTGGTTTTTTCCTCCAACCACCTGGAGACTTTATTGGAAAAACATTCAACTGGCACTCTTACCTTGTTCGGAAGTGCAGAGATCCTGCACCAAGAAACTTTTTTCAAATCACAAAAGAAAATGATACTGTAGAGCCAGATATTCTTGGCACAAAGTTGGAAGCTGTAGATATTCGAGCTAATAATCTCATCATTTGTGTTGCAACTGTGACTAAGGTCATGGGACATAGATTTCTAGGTAAGGGAAATTTTAATACTGGCACGGACCGATTGGCTTAAGTAATGATGATATTTTTCTATTTTGTTTAGTCCATTTTGACTCGTGGGATAATATTTATGACTATTGGGCGGACTTATCATCGCCATTTGTTTTTCCGATTGGTTATTGTGAACGAAATCGTATATTCTTGACACCTCCAAATGGTACAGTCCAGTTAATATTACTATAATGTTAATATGCCCATGTAGGAATAAAGTGATTGCTAATATTTTGGCTATTTCGTAGGTTATGAAAACTTTAATTGGGAAAGATACCTGTCCGAGACAAATGCGGCATTTATGCCTTCTCATTTGTTTCAACCATTGCCTCCTGTTGGTTTTAAAAGGGGAATGAGAATCGAAAGTGTCGATCTTGTAAGAGAAGAGTAGACTATCTGTCTTTTAAGAAATTAGGATATTCGATGTTGTCAATTATATATGTCATTTCATTCAATTTCAGAAAAATCCCAGACTAATCCGACCCGCAGTCATCCATTCTACAGAAGGGCACTTGATCACCATTCGTTATGAAGGATGGCCCGATTTGTTTGATTGTAAAATGAACGAATTAAGTAGTGACTTACATCCCGTTGGTTACTGTGAAACTACCGGCCATGTCCTTGAACATGTTCCTAAAACAAGCAAAGTGATTTGTCCGAACTTATGCGGATGGAAAGGAAACGTGTTGGACCCTACACAATTAACGCATTGTTCCAAAGCTGAATGTCCTTACCTCATGGAGAAAGAGAGGGTTGAACGTGTAGTCATCTTAATTCCTCCAGGGTGAGTATTGACTCAGGAATGTTAGTATTAACTCAATGTTGGATTGTATAAAAACATTAAACAACTTTATTACTGATTGTTATAGAAGTAGCGGTGCCTCTCCCATTATGCATCCACCCCATGTTCTTCCTGGTCTAGCTCTTACAGGGTCTGCATGTCCCAGCCCTACTTCGATTCTACCTACAGCATTCTTAAAACAAACTATGACCGTGGGTAGCTCAAGTTCATCGTCTTCCGCTGCCAAGAAAGTCAAACGTGAAGATATTCTTGCCAAGATGATGATCTTAGCCCAAACTGTACTGAAGGAGGAACGACCACCCCCTTATTTGTTCGACGAGGAGTTGGACGATCTCACCCCAATTGTATGTTCCCTCCGTAATTAATAATAGTATTCTCGTGCAATAGAGTATGCAATATAGTGTCATTTTCTAATCTGCCAGATTGTCCGTGATTGGGACGTCGATCAAACGCATGACTTTGTGTCTTCCCTTCCAAATTGTGGCGAGCTGGCAAAAAGTCTCCGGGAACAATTAGTTGATGGAGATGCATTGCTTCTTCTCAGCAAAAAGGACTTTATCGGCATGAGTCATACCATTCACTGGATGAAATTATACTATGCCCTTACTGTGATCAGGTCAAGGACAATTGAACCATCACCAGATATTTCACTCCAAACGACAGACGAACTGACGCCAGAATCAGAAACTGATTTTCCACTTCACGCATGATTATTATTATTTCTCGCATATTGTTAATTTCATATACTCGAATATTGTACCTACTATATTTTTTTGGGACGTTTGAAAGCAATTAATGACTAAATTAACATTTATTTTGGTGCATTCATATGCATATTACGACTTTCTAATTGACAGTTTCAATAATAATTGACAATTTGTTGAAAAATAAAATATAATAGGATATATTCTTAAACGAAATTAATTATATATACTCTAAATTATGCATAGGAATATAACTATGTATGAATTGTACTGACCAAATGAACATTCTTATTTTCCTAGGAATAAATTAAATAAATGCTTTCATTCACTCCTACTTTAATTTAAATCCAATCAATTACATCAAAATACACGACAAGAATACTCAAATAGAGGGATTATATTTATACGCATATATACAAATATGCAAATTGCACATTTTGAACTCGAAGGATTTCCAGAATATCTACGCCGATAAGTACAGGTCGAATTTTATGCAATACTTACTTATCCTTAGAATAAAAACAGTGCTGGCGTTGAATAATTCTATGTAATTGTTTTTCTGGCATATACAAGACAAACAAAAAAACATAATATTATGTAAACTCCAGCATTGGAAGTTTTTCTGTGGAATTGTTCGATTTCATCTTTGTTTGTTAAGATTGATGAATTTTTGTCTTCAAGTTGAATTTTGTTTAATATTATGTATGCAACATTAAACATGCAATTTTAGATAATTGAATTGACGAAACGTTTTGGAAATGTAAGAAATAAAATTAATTGAACGGAACCTAATTTGTTATCGATCAATTATCTACAAATTATTTTCCATGAATTGGACAATAAGTATTTAAACTGACACCATTTGCTTCATCCAATCATTACCTTATCTTAATTTGAGTTGTCCTCTTTCACATTTCACAGTGCCACCGCGACAGCGTCACAGATGACAGACGCATGCTTAACTATTTTATTAATAACTACTTATAAAAGAGTTCAGTGAATTTCACCACGTTCGTCGTTGGCAGAATTCAAGATAAGTGCACATTTCAAGTGCAGGTGACACGGTATCATTTATTGATGCAGTCATTTTTCATGTATGTCAAGTTTACCTGTTATCGTGACTGTTATGTCAGACAAATTTCTTATCTACACACAATTTGTTATTTAATCGAAGGATAGTTGACCATTAAAAAGTTCAGTCAATTGGGACAGATCGGGGTGTGGACTGAAGAAAGAAAGTACAATGAGGACAAAGGCCATTTTTCTGTCTGCCTTGCTTGGGGTGATATTTCTCTCACAAAATCTTGTCGTTGAGGCAAATAAAGGTAAAGAATCAAATATTTAGTATTTATGTACATATGCATTAGATTGATTAATTCAATATTACTACATATATGTAAAAGTAATGACTTTAGTTATAAGCAGATACTATCGACATTTTATTTACGATGCTCGGCGATATCTATTACTAGTGAATAAATAACATTTTTTAATAGTAAAACTGGCTCGTCAAAGATTAGATTGTAGTGACCAAGTATACGCACACGCTTTTATCGGCTGAAGGTGTAAATAACTGAGTCAGCAAGATGACACAAGTCTTATTATTGAATTATAGATTCTTCGAAAAGCAATAATGGGAGAACCAGTGGTGGGCAAAGACGCCGTCAAGAAGTGGCGCACCCCTTGGATCCTTTAACACTGTTAGAAATTATCCAAACTTCCGCTCTCATTAAGGATTACAGACCAGGCGTCCAATGGGTCTTTGTCGACATTACGTTGAAAGAACCGGAAAAATCTTTGCTGCTTCCGTACTTTCTGAGTGATACTGAACCTCCTCCATTTCTAATTCCGAGGTATAGCGTATTCACTTCAGTACTCCATTAATGATGTTAAGTATATGTAATATTTACGTAATTGCCGATTAACAGAAAGTCTTTGGTGGTGGCTGTCGATCCAACAACCGGGTTAAGTTATGAAGCTGTCGTAAATCTTGGGCTAAATATGTTGGAGTTGTGGGAACAACTCCCATCAGGAATTGACACCAGTTTTGCATCAGATGAATTGAACGCTATTCATGATATGGTTTTGGACGATCCAATTATCTTGGAAAGACTCAGCATTTATGGCGAGTTTTATGGGAATAAAAGCAACGTGGTTACAGACGTGTGGTAAAAGAGACTTTGATAATAGCAATTATTTTAAGTACTAATTTTTGGACTTATTTACTTATAATTTTTGTGACTAGGAAATATGGCTACTCAAAGGATAAGCCTGAGTACGCTGGGAAGAGGATTGCACAAGTATTCTTTTATGGAAGAAACTTCGAAAATGACAATTTTTATGGTGATCCCTTCATCACTTAAAAATATTATTATTTATATATGGTTGAGACTGACATTGTGACAGAGTTTTGCATGTTTCTTGTCATTAGCTCATCCCATGGGGTTCGTCGCTGTGGTGGACACGCTTCGCCAAGAAGTGCTGGACATTGAAGAGATACCCATTCAGAGTGATTTTGACACAACCAACAGGGAAGGGGACGAGGTTTCTGAAGCAACTGGCAACTATGACCCTGACGTATTCGAAGGCACATATCGCGACGATGTCAAGCCAATTACAATTAATCAAGATGGGCCTAGCTTCACCATGGATGGGAATGTTCTCAGATGGCAAAAGTTCAAGATGCGCGTTGGGTACAACTCTTGTGACTATTGCGAAAAAGTGATTGTATTTTCAAGGAATAATTGCAAAAAATTCAATTTAGACGGAACGGACGCGAAGGGTTGCTCCTCCATCACGTAAACTATAACGATAGTGGCGTAGTTAGACCATTATTGTACCGCGCATCTCTGTCTGAGCTCTTCGTGCCTTATGGTGACCCCAGGTGACCCCAGGTTTCATACACAGACTACATTATTTTATCAGTTTTAATGTTGCTAACATTATTGTTTCTAATTCATTAGGCCGCCATACCACAGAAAAATGGTTAGATTTGTAGCAATCATATTCTATTTATATTTATGTATGTATTTATGTAACCTAAAATAATTAAGGCGTTGGACGTGGGGGAATATGGTCTTGGCTTCTCGGCGTCAGAAATGCGCTCGCCAGACGGGTGTCGAGGCACTGTTCACTTCTTGGACATAATCAACAGCGACATGTCAGGTCAGCCTTGGACCGTAACAAATGCTATCTGCATATATGAAGAAGATGCAGGAATTTTGTGGAGAAAGATGGATCCCTTAACTCGGTAATACCAAAAAAATTGTGAGCAGTCTATTTAAATTCTTCATTTGTCTTATAAAATGATGATGTCACAGACGAATTGTTACTGCACGATCACAACGTCTCGTTCTCACGTTCATTGCAACTGTATCAAATTACGACTACCAACTAAAATGGATATTCTGTCAAGATGCGTCCATCAGGGTTGAGATGATTTTAACCGGAATTGTGAGTCAAAATATGCTCGGGTTAAACGCAACGCCAGGCGGTCATGGGACCATTGTCATGCCGAACATCAATGCCCAGTTCCACCAGCACTTTTTCGCTGTGAGATTGGACACCGAGATTGATGGGAACAGGAACACCGTTTCAGTCGTGGACATTTTACCTGATGACAGTACGAACTTTACGATAAATCAGCTAATTTTCACATGTCTATAGCTTTAACTGATTTTCTCTAGTCCCCGCTGGTGATCCTACCCATCCTTATGGAAATGGGTTCAGCGTCTCAGAAACCGTTCTAAGAAATGCAAGTCAAGCGAGGACAAAAACTCAGCCAGACACAGGTTTGTTTCTTATGTATTTCGCATAACAAATCAATATTATTCTACAATTTCGATTACTACTGTTCTATTCTATTTACAATTACAGCAAGAACATGGAGAGTCATTGGTGAACCGACCAACGTCAACCCTATTTCGGGGGGATCTAAAGGATGGAAATTAATTCCAGATCACGTCGCTCGACTCATGATGTCGAAAGATTCAGTTCTCCATGCGAAGAGTGCCTTTGTAGATTTTGACGTATGGGTGACGCCATACAAGGAAAATCAATTGTACGCTGCCGGCTTCTACTTGAATGAAAGTGGTCTTCCAACATGGGTGGAGGAAGATCCGGGGGCATTAATTGAGAATACCGACATTGTGTTATGGCACGTCTTCGGTGTGACGCATGTCGTGAGGGTGGAAGATTTGCCGGTAACTGTCACAACTGATATAAGATGTTAGACAATTAGAACAATTGCAACTTTTTAATATTTTGAATCGAATTCAATATACGTTAGGTCATGCCCGTCGAAAGTATTGGGTTTTGGTTCAAGCCAACGAATTTCTTTACCGAAAACCCTGGCGTTGATGTCTTACCTATCGTAATTCAAGCCCAGTCCACCAAAAGAAGCAAAGGAGAATAGTTTTGCCAAGTAATAACTTACAATTTATGCGCTTGATTAAAATGTGTAATAATTGTGTTAAGTATTTTGTGGAAAGTTTTAACGGATAATTAGAATAAAAATACTTATTATTCTTGTCATAGTGGTTCAACATAAACAATTGACTATGTACTACAATTTCTAAAATATTTCTAAAGGTTGGCTGAATAGATTTAGTTTTCGGGTATAAAAAAATATTAACTCATTGGTGGTAACAGATTATTATTTAGATAACTTCTTAAATACAATTATTTACCAATATTACTTTAATCCTTTCGCCTGACTGGCAGGGACTCCCATTATTTTGCCGGCTCTGTTCTGGTAAACGCCATACATTACGTCTCCACGTTTTTGTTCCATGACAAATTTCCATTCACCATTGGCAAATTCTAATGGGAAGGGTGGCTCTTGATTACGGGTAGGTTCGAGAACTTCTGAAAGTGGATTGGCTGGCTGAATTACTTCACGTGGATTTGGTGGCTGAATTACTTCACGTGGATTTGGTGGCTGAATTACTTCACGTGGATTTGGTGGCTGAATTACTTCACGTGGATTTGGTGGCTGAATTACTTCACGTGGATTTGGTGGCTGAATTACTTCAGGTGAATTGGGCTGACCTACTGGAGGAGCATTGGACGGTGTAGTTACAGATGGTGAATTTATGGTTTCGTCGGTTTCGACCTTGTGATGACGTCGTGGTCGTGAGTTTGTAGATGGTCGAGACTGCATCCACTTTTTTATTCCTTGTAGCAGGTCATTAAAATTGTTTTACATTGGACGGGAAAACTATATGCATGGCTTTAATTTATGAAACACTCACCTTTTCTTAAAGTATTTTTGCCGTTAGGAATATCAGCAGATGAGTCCTCGCATTGATTACTACTACCACCATGAACTTCAGGTTCTTTGGGTTTGATAACATTTTCCTTTTGTATAACTTTTCGTCGTTTGTTAACCACCGATTTCACTGGTCTACCTCGACGTTTCTTTGACTGGCTCCGGAGTGTAGGTTTTGTCAGTTCGACCTCATTTTCGCTATTCATACCTGTGGAAATCACACAGAACAGACTCCCCATAAAGTTTACCAAGGTACATTTTTAGTGTTTTTTTACTTGAACCAGCAGAGCACGATTTCAAGATGAGCCCACAGGCTTGAGCATGGGTTATCAGTTCCCAAATATTTGAAAAATTAATCTCCCCACAAACCATGCAACATTTTTTGTCGTAATTAAAGAAGTCTTTGAGTGTTGGTGCACATTCGAGGATAAGGTGGTCAACAAGATCTGAAATAAAGACAAAAATAATACCATTAAAATAATAGATCTGGCTACACTGTACGTCAAATACTACTTATTTCACCTTTTTCAGTTTTGCATTTCAATAAGCAAGATGTACATGCTGTTGATTTTGTCCAACTATTCACCAATTTCTGCGCAACCACTCTTGGGGCAATGACAGCTTTTGAAATATGTTCCATCGACGTAGCTGATGATGTTGATGCTTCCGTACTTTCAACACTGGAAAGTCTTGTTTGTCTACGACCAGGTGCTGGACGAGGCAGAGGGCGAACTCCATGTTTTGCGGGAGCTGAGCGCATGTTTCGACCGACTGGAATGATTAACTCAGATAGATCAACATTATTTGATTGTTATTGCTGTTAAATTTTTACCTTTTCTGCCATTATCCTTGTTTTCTTTATTCTCTTCCATTCTCCCCTCATTAACATTAAGTTGTTCGTCGTTTTCTTCATCAATTTGTTGCATCTCGTTATTTCTGGTGTATCTCAAATTAACTTGGCTTTCAGGAGGGTTGATTCTCGGTTCCTTCATCTCCACATTATTCTTTGGAAATTCCAGTATTTCCATAAGATTATGTAACGCTATGAGATGTTCTTTGTCCTTGGGAATGACTGTATTTCCAGTGTAGATGAGTTCTACGAAGTGAAAAATTGTACTAAGGCAATATCCATCAAAATGGATAAAGGAGGGTTCTGATAGATCCTGTAAATGATAATCAATAGCCCTTTTAATAAATAATTCGATCTCCATCAATAATGTTTGTTTATTGTGTATTTTAACTATTACGAATCATACCTGCTCTTTAAGCAAGTCAAAAAGTCCAGGAACTGCATTTGTGAAAATGCATCGATGCACGGGAACACTGCCGTCATCACAGGACAATGTCAAATTCGCCAAAGAGAACGATCCACACATACGCTGGTCTTCGAGCAAGGCGTCTGTCAGCCAAGAGGCCGCAACCAGTTGTAAATTTGCTATTACTGGACTCTTCATTTTGAATTTGTGATATTTTATAACTTAGTTGTATCTAAGAATCAGAGCAAAGGATAAGGACTGATTAAATACACATGATTATTGCTTCTGCTCTAAACATATGACAATTTATTATATCAAAGCAGTATGTGTAAAGTATGCATTACCTTTCAATAAAATTGCTCAATCTCTCTACCTGGATGGAAGGAAAACCTGATTAAATAAAATCCACCTGATACGACTAATAATTTGACAAACGTGTGTAATCTGTAATCTCAATCAATTTTACAATCTTCACGCACGAGTACAATTTTGGTTTGCATTCAAAGTGCAGAGAGTAGAAGGAACAGACTGAACTTGATCAAGATGAAATGCCAAAATCAGTCCCTCTCGACCACTGCTGAATCCAAAGTTACCCCATCCCGTTCCTCAAGTGTTTTGATAATAATTAAAATTAATGAGCTGCTTAGAAATAATTAATTGTGCATTTTCTGATGTGCATATGGAGTGGAATCGTTAATTATTAAAATCATCGTATGGTGTGGTACTTATTTATTTTATTTATATTAAGTATACATGTGTGTCATTTTCCAGTCTTGAATAATCATTTCCACACCCTTCTCTCCAATCATGATCGTAGGAGCGTGTAAATTAGCATTCGTGATAACAGGCATCACGCTAGCATCAACGATACGTATATTCTTCACGCCAAATACCCTGCAATGCAAACGAATTTTTGGTAGTTTGCAATATCAATAGGACATAGTGCATGTAAAGTTGTACCGTAATCTCGAGTTCACCACAGCTTTACGGGTAATATTAGATCCCATTCGATTTGTGCAACAACTATGCCAGCTAGACCCTTCAGTTCAAAAATAATTACTTAATCAGTATGCTTTGTAAGTATTCAGTAGCATATGAAAATTATCTCACCCGTAAAATGACGGAGATGGCATTCATAATACTCATTGGATCGTAGGTGGAAGTTCTCACAGCCTGGAAAGTGTCTCGGGGTAGGATTTGCCCCCAGTTTCATCCACGGCGTTGTTTTTGTAAAGTATTTAACGACAAAGTTAAATGCTAAAATTACGACAAATAAGTGAGCCAGTTGAAGAGTGTTTGTAGCTTGTTAAATTATACGCATACACTTCAACCTTCTATCATGGCTCGAATATCTTTGCCTCCCTCATCACTGTAGTAATTTGGGTCAATATCTGGTGGCACGTCGGGGTCACTGCTTTTTATTTTCACACTGCCTCTGCTTTCAGGCCGGCCTAGACTCATTAAAACTGTGAGTGCATGTTTGTCCTCTAAGCCACGTATATATGGTTCCAAAATTCCCTTCTTTAGTGCAAATGATGTTCCAATATCAGCTGCATAAGATTTATGTATTCCGAAAGGGTTCATATAAACAGCAGCGTTTGGCCAGGATGGATCCTTGGGTTGGGAAGTGCTAAAGAATCCAACGACAGATGCCGGATTGTATGCCAAGGGTCCTAATAGATAGGAGGACAATTTCAATAACTTGCATATGTGGTTGTGATATGCCAATTTCAAATTAGTAATCTGTATGTACCAGTTCTTTTCAAGACGTATTCAATCAAGGATAAAGGGTTTGATTTTTTATCTACCAGAATGGATACAGAGTCATTTAGCAAGACAGGTCCTACCATGGTCATTACGTGATCTTGTAGTCCTTGCCCTACTCCGGGAAGGTCGTGAACTACTGGAATCTTGGAAAGTATGAATTTAAGTTATAGTTTATGTACATGTAGGAAATATAATGTTTCAGCATACGTTCAGAGATTCCAATAAATTCTTTGGACCGATTCCAGACCTTTGCAAAATTGATGGAGATCCAAATACTCCGGCGCAGAGTATAACTTCCTTCTTGACTCTGACCTCAAACTTTCTACCATGGCGGGTATAAATGACTCCGACCGCTTTTTTTCCGGACATCGTAATCTAGATATATTCACCTTAAAATGTATTTTTCGTGGGATATGAGATACATATGCACATATCTTATTTGATTATTCGTACCTTATCCACGGTCGAGTAACGCATAATTTTCAGATTTGTCCTTGGCATAGCTTCCTTTAAAAAAGCATGATAGGTAGAGGCCCGTTTTCCATGATTAACTGTGAAATCAACTGGGGCAAATGCTGTAGAGTTAGACAATTTTAATTAAATTAGATATTTGCAGCCACGATTAAGTATGTGGCAATAAAATCCAAGTTTGGGTTTATATAGGTTGGAAATTAGGTAAGAATTAAAAGATTAACTGGAAGTTTGTCGACCATTTGGGTCTGAACTCTCAAAACCAAATTCTTTGGCTGCAGATATCCATTCATTCACTAATACTGAATGACCCTGTTTGCTGACGCTAAGAGGTCCATGTAATCCGTGATATTTTTCCAGTGCTGCAAAATGAATAAATTCCATAAATTTTATATAATCCAAATTATGTAACATAGCTTATGTATATACAAAGTCAGTTATCTCACGATCTGGAAAATTGCCACGATAATCTTCTGAAATTTTGAAATATTTCAAAACGTTTTTGTACTCCCATGCCTTATCCCCAGTAATATTAGCCCAGTTGTCATAATCTTGTGGATTTCCTCTCTGGTAGATCAGAAAATTGAGATTGCTGCATCCTCCCAAAGATTTACCCCTACTTAGACCTAGTTTCTATAAATACTTATTTAGTACACGACTATTTATAAATAGTATTGAAATCTATGTTTAATTAAATCTTTATCGCACTTGATTCAAAGACGCGTACGAGTGGTTCTTTTGTGGTACAGAAAAATAATTCCAGTCGGTGTCTTTGTGATACAAGTTTGCTGACGCTAGTGCAGGAAGTGCATTAAGAATCAGTGGATCAGTGCCTGCTTCCAGTAAAAGTACTGAAATAATGTCATACATGTTTGTTCTTAATCTCAAAAACGGTATATACTTATACTGAATTACTCATTATTCTTACCCTTCCATTCTGAATTTGCACTAAGGCGATTTGCAATGACAGCTCCAGCCGTTCCTCCGCCCACTACAAAATCAAAAGTTAATAAATTCCCCAAATTCTGAAAAAAAATATTATCTTGGTATGCACCAATTATGAAGTCGTATGCATGTGCATAAGTTTCAGAGACAGACAGATTTGGGCGGAGAACCAGGTCAGATATGTAGTTGGCTCTTGACAGTAAAGTGGTTACAAATGCCACGAGTGGATATATTAAGGAGCTTGGAATGGGGGTATTTAAGATGTTGTAGACAATTTTTCCAATTGGAGAAGTGTCTGCCATGATTTGTTATTATTAAAAGACGTATGTATAAAAATTTATGATAAATTTTAGGGACGAATTTTCTTTGGTGCATATTTGACTACTGAAAATATTTATTAAGAATCTCTTATCCCAACATTTCTAGTACCGGTACTTAAATTTGTTAAAGTCGTGCTTCCCAGTAACTTACAACGTTTAGTAAGTAACTTAGGATTAGTGCATAAAAATTTTTACTATATCAATATTCCAAGTAGTTTGACTGACCAAAACAACTTTGTAGCACGGAATTCTTGAAATGGTCAATTACATATTTATGTAACTGCGAAACAAGCAATTTGTATGCAGGCCATTTTATGCACGTGTAATCAATCCATCGTGTGAAAATATACTCACTTCGCAGCAAAATGTGTACTCAGTAGTCTCCAGTGACCTACGACAATTACGACGACTGTGTATTTGGGAAAACCAGTTCTTGGCCAGTTCTCGGTCAATTATGTATTACAATATTTTTCCCCAAGTCCCAAATCATTCGCATGGTCAGACTAAATTAGTTTTTATGTCACTAAATGCAAGCTACGTACTTATTACATTCTTCCAAACAGCATGTCATACTTTTTTATAAGATACAACATGATTCCTAAAATTGTAATCCAGACGAGAACAAACGTGGGGCGGATTGATGAACGATAGCAAACCCATCATTATGGGTTATGAATTTGCGTAGATATTCTATCATACGTGATGATCGAGAGGTCAAAAAGGCGATTTTTTGTCATTCATGAACCACTTTTTATTATTATTTGAGATTCAATATGAATCATTATTTGACTACTTATAGATTTCTTAATATTTCTTAGTATCCCCATTCTTGTAACAGCAAACTAGCCCCCTTTTCTCCAATCATGATCGTAGGAGCGTTTAAATTAGCGTTCGAAATAATAGGCATTATGCTGGCGTCGATCACACGGATTTTCTTTACCCCTCGTACACTAATAATTTCACAGAAATGCACAATTAGTACCAAACTAAATCAAACTTTGTTGAATATTAATACGTAATCATACCGCAAATTTGAGTCTACAACAGCCATTTGTTCGCCATCCGGCCCCATCTGATTTGTACAACAGCTATGCCAGCTAGACCCTTTAGTTTAGAAATAACTACAGTGTCGGACAGATGTCTACGTCCACATAGTCGCGTCAATTTCATTTTCAAATTGTCACTGAACTACTGAACCAATTTTCATCATTGATATATCAAATTCTCACAAATTTAACGTAATTTCATAGCACATTATTAGTTTTCCGCTAAAAAATTTATTTTAGGCCAGAGATGTATTTTAATTCAAAATGAAAACAATTGGATGGACAAAAGTCAACGTCCAGTCAGAGAAAACATACAAAAAAAACTGTAATTTATAAGGAATGTTATAACAATTAATTTTTAATATTTGGTTGGGCCTCCGTTCGCTTTAAGGACGGCTTCAAGGCGTCGAGTCATTGAGTTTACCAAATTCTTGGTCACATCTTCAGAAATGGTTTCCCAAACTTCACGAATTCTGGATTTAAGGCCCGGAATTCCTGAAAAAGATTGTTTTCTTATTTCTCTTTCAATGTGGTCGCACAGATGCTCAATGGGATTCAAGTCTGGAGATTGGGGAGGCCATTCTAGCTTCGGAATTTTTTTTTCTTGAAGTATTCCATGGTGGACTTGGCAGAGTGTTTCGGATCGTTGTCTTGTTGGAAGGCAAATCGTCGTCCAAGTCCAAGTTTTCGAACAGATTCCTGGATATTACGGTCAAGTATTCCCTGGTACTTGTATTGGTCCATAATTCCGTCAATAAATTCCATTTTTCCTGCCCCACTTGAAGCCATGCATCCCCACACCATTACCGACCCGCCGCCGTGCTTAACTGTGGGGTTGAGATTTTTTGGATTCAAAGCTTCTTTTGGATATCTCCACACTCTACGACGCCCATCTGACCCAAAGACATTGAACTTTGACTCGTCAGTCCATAAAATATGTCCCAGAATGTTTGTGGCTTGGAAATGTGGTCTCTGGCAAACTTCACTCGTTTGGTTGCATTCCTCGGTACAATAAGAGGCTTCCGGACTGCTCTGTGGGATTTCAAATTTCCCTTATTCAGTGTTCTTTGGATGGTCATAGGACTAACCTGTTTGCCGAACATCTCCTTGATCTCGGTAGATAGCTTTGGAGCACTAAGTGAGGGTGTAACGTTGACTTTGTTGAGCACGTGGCGTACTTCTCGGTGAGCCAAAATGGGTTTTCGACCACTTCTGACCTTGTTTTGGACTGAACCATTAGCTTTAAAGTTCTTAATGATTGTCTGGATGGTTGTCCTTGCTAATTTATACTTGGTCCATATTTGTCTCTGCGACAGCCCCCTTTTTGTCCACCCTTCCAGTCCTGAATGACAAGATCTCGAATAGCGATAGGAATTTCCTTGCGTGTCGACGCCATCATATTTTTCTGGAAGAAAATTATTTAAAAATTAATGCGGCATATGTTATTGATAGATTTATTAAGTTACCTGATTTTATAAATTGGAGAGATTTTTGTTGTTGACAATTAAAGTGAAGTGGACGTAGACTTTTGTCCGCTCAAATTTCATCCTCTCTCGCTCTGCACTATGATTCTCCGTTTTCCCAGAATTTTCAGAAATAACTCATATGTTTTATGAAATTACGTTAAATTTGTGAGAATTTGATATATCAATGATGAAAATTGGTTCAGTAGTTCAGTGACAATTTGAAAATGAAATTGACGCGACTATGTGGACGTAGACATCTGTCCGACACTGTACTTAATATTTACTTTAACATAATGTATTCAACAGTATTTAAAAATTATCCTACCCGTGAAATGACGGATGTGGCATTCATAATACTCATCGGATCGAAGTTGGAAGTTCTCACAACCTGGAAAGTGCCTCTTATTAGGATTTGCTCCCAGTTTCATCCAGGGCGTTGTTGTTGTAAAGTATTTAATGATAAATTTAAATGCTAAAATTACGACAAAAATAATTGAGCGAGTTGAAAAATAGTTGTAGCTTGTTAAATTATACGCATACACTTCAACCTTCTATCATGGCTCGAATATCTTTGCCCCCGGCATCACTGTAGTAATTTGGGTCAATATCTGGTGGCACGTCGGGGTCACTGCTTTTTATTTTCACACTGCCTCTGCTTTCAGGCCGGCCCAAATTTATAAAAACTTGAGTGGCGTGATGCCCTTTGAAGTGGTTATAGTATGGCTCGAGAAGTTTTCTTTCTAGGGCGAACAGTCTTGCAATGTCTTGCGCAAATGAAGCGTGCATGCCCATTGGACTAAGGAACACACAAATATTTGGCCAATCGGGATTCTTAGGTTCAGACGTGCTAAAGAACCCGACGCCAGAGACGACGATAAATGTCAAGGGACCTGAGTAATTCATTGCCCACACCGATTTTAATTGCAAGCAAATTGCCATTAAATATATTTGCATGCATGCATCTAACGCATGCACATTTTATACCCAGTCTTTTCCGTGCATATTTGAGAAGTGTGCCAGGAGATATTATGTCATCAAACATGAATGACACAGAGTCATTCAGTAGTATTGGTCCTGCTACTGTCATGACGTGATCCTGTAGGCCTTCCCCGACTCCGGGAAGGTCATGAACTACTGGAATCTAAAGATCACACATTTGTATTTAATCATGCATCATATATACAAACATTACTTTCAGAGATTCCAATAAATGCCTTGGACCAATTCCAGATCTTTGTAAAATTGATGGAGATCCAAACACCCCGGCGCAGAGTATAATTTCCTTCGAAGCCTGAACCTCAATCTTCTTCCCATGCCGGATATAAACAACGCCAGTTGCATTTTTTCCGGACATTAAAATCTGATGAAAAAATAAATAAATGAACATACTTGCATTAAATAAATGTATGCACGAGTATAGTTTGTAAATTATTCGAATTCGAAGAGTAGTATAATTATTAATTGACCTTATCCACCACAGCATAGCGAACAACATTTAAATTTTTTCTATTCATGGCATTCCTTAAGAAGGCATTGTAAGTTGAGTCTCGCTGCCCGTTTTTCGTTGTGGTGTCAATTGGAGAAAAAGCTGCGACAGTTGCAATCAAATTTTAAAATAAATATTTTAAATCTTATTACACACATATTTGCATGCGCACTCGAAGTTTGTTCAGCGTTAGGGTCGGTGATATTAAAACCAAGTTCCTCCGCTGCCGCCACCCATTGCTTGACCAGTGGTTCATTCCTCAGTTTACTGATTGTAAGTGGGCCCCCAGATCCGTGATACTGTCCTAGAGCTTGTAGAATCGAGCAAGTTTATATTTAACTGTTTTAAAGGGTTCATTTAAAATAACATACGATCAGGAAAATTTCCGTGATAATCTTCTGAAATTTTGAAGTATTTCAACAAATTTTTATAGTTCCACGACTTGTCCCCAGTTATATTAGCCCAGTTGTCATAATCTTTAGGATTTCCTCTCTGGTAAATCATGAAATTTAGATTGCTACTTCCCCCCAACGATTTCCCCCGACTTAGACCTATTTTCTGCAACAGAACCTTGAAATTAAGCATATTTAAATATGTACATATGTCTGGCATATGCATGCAAGTACTTGATTCAAAGATGTGTAAGAACAATTCTTTTGTGGCACAGAAAAATAATTCCAGTCTGTGTCTTTGTGATACATGTTGCCGGAGAGGAGACCAGGGATTGAATTGAGAATTAGCGGAGTATCACCAGCTTCCAGTAGCAGCACTGCACAAATTATTAAGAAGAAATGTGTTTAATTATATAGCCACTATTATTGTTTATAAATATTCTTATTTATTATGTACCTTTCCATCGGGCATTTTCGCTAAGCCTGTTCGCAACCACAGCACCAGCCGAACCTCCTCCAACTGTGATTGCGCAATTCAAATATGAATTTTATGTGACACATTATTATAATGCATTCACGATCTACAACTGAAATATTTCAAACCTATTATAAAGTCATAGGTCTCTGGTTGAGTGATAGTGGGTGGATTTGGACGGAAGACAACATCTGCGGTGAATTTGGCTGTACAGACGAGCGTGGTAACAATTGCAATAGTTGCGTATCCCACCGGAATAAAAAGACTAGGAAGTGGAATGTTAAGCAATTCTCTGCTCAAAATTCGAAATAACAAATTGCTGGCCATTGTTGAGTGGTTTCCAACTACATGTATCGATCTGTGGACAGGACCCATACGAGTGAAGTAGTCAGATCAATGAAAAACAGTAAAATTCTGAAATTACCTTTAATGTACAAGTTGAAACTAGCATTTTAACGTTAAATCGTACAATGTGTACTGAAATATTATAAAGTACTAAATTTCTGCAATAAAACTAGTGAAAGCGATCTAGAGATTATGCTTTTATTTGTTTTAGTGAAGTATTTTTTGCTTATATTAATTTATACGCTCATGGATTTTGGAATATCCAGGCATTTTGAAGACTTTGTCTAGTTAATGACTTAATAAAGATACTATTTAAGATGAGAATACTGCCAAGGATTTTCCTGTTGTAAAATATTACAACTATTCAGCGACATTGTTACCTCTTCCTCCAGTGTACAAGAGTTTTATGCACCTAGTTTTGAATGTACAGATAGAGTGGATTTTAACTTGAACCACAGAGCTGTATATAAAGCATTATCATCATGAATACATTATAGGATGTTGACGACTATCCAAAAACCGGTGTAACCATCATCATTTTATTCAGCGATTATTGTGAAACAAATTAGTTTCGAAATAAAATGAAAATTTAGAATTTCTGTGCATGGACTGCGCATTGACCACCATGTACAATCTAAATAAATTATGTTTCGATTATTAGTGTAATATGTACTTATGATCTGGAAAAGTACGCATATTTAGAAGTATTTATCTGAGCATTCATATGCTTAGTTGTTAGTAAAAAAACATAATAATATTAATCAAATATTATTACTAGCGAGCCTCACTTTGTAAACATAAGTAGTTTGATCATGTACACATAATTTATTATTACGTAAGTATCTATTAGTCATGGCCAGTATATGCTAATCCCATTCTAAGACGCTACTAATAATATGTAGCACGATATGCTTAAGATCTTTAGTCGGGTGTTGTATCGCATATAAAAAACTCTCTTGTTCAGATTGTACATATAAAACTGTTTTTAGATGAGATGACAATTAAGTACCATTGTGTAACCTGCAATATGAATTGCTGTCTGACCTTGTAAATGTCTTAATATACACATAAATAGACACGTTTTTTTGGTCAGTGGGGATTGGGGATGCATTATTGATGATTTTTTATAGCGGACGATGTATCTAAATAATTAAAACATTTATTAGAATTGAGCCTTATTTACAAAACAACCATCATGGAAGAACATTTTAAAAAATGTGGTGCGATTAACGTTGTAAACGTAAGTAAGGGATATGGAAGTAGGCATAATCAAACTGTGCTGAATCGTCTCAATCTTTCTGTTGAATCTGGTTCAATGTAATATTTATAAACATTTTGTTAATTGCATCGAAACGAAGGTTTATTTCATTACAAGTTTTAATCACTTACATACAAATTCCAGCTATGGTCTTTTAGGCTCTAGTGGCTGCGGGTGGGTTAGACACGTGACAAACCTAATATTGTGATATTGAAATTACATACGTGTAATTAAGAATCTAAGCGTTTACTGACTAATTTGTTTAGGAAAACGACTCTACTCTCTTGTATCATTGGGTTGCACAAGCCTGACAATGGGCACATTTTACTATTTGGGAAGGAGGTCAATGGCGTGGCTGGACAAGTCGTGGGATTCATGCCACAGGTTAGTTGTTATCAAATCAGGAATAGTTAAATTTGTTTAGCTAATAAAAATGTTCATGTTTCAGGATGTTGGTCTCTACGACTCCTTCACGATTGAAGAGACCTTCGTCTATTTTGCAAATATGTATAATATTTCATATGCAATTTTGAACGAACGGTTAGCCGCTCTACAAGACCTTTTAAGTATTCCAAAATTGTCAAGTCCCATCAAAAGTTTAAGGTATTTTTGTGTACTATGAAAGTTCGTGGACATACTATAGCATCATTTTATAATTTAATTTCAGTGGTGGCGAAAAGCGCCGGTATGCAACGGTTCTAACGTTTTTCGTGAAATTAAGATGATGTATGTATTTTAATAGTTGTTGTTTTCATAGTGTGTCATTGGCGGTGACCTTAATTCACAGACCTAAACTCTTAGTATATGACGAACCAACTGTTTCATTGGACCCTCTGCTACGAGTGAAGTATATTAAAATTGAAATTCAGTAGATATTTATCATTACTCTTGCATACGTATATATATACTTGTCTATAATTATATTGTCTGCAGGATTTGGGGTTATTTAACTAAACTTGTTAAGTCAGACGGAATTACAATACTTGTGACAACACATTACACACAAGAAGCATTACATTGTGATAAAGTTAGTCAAAATTGAGCAATATTCAATTATATTTATGCAATATACATGCATACATATATCTATGTAAATGGAACAATTGAACCAAAAATGGTAATATCTTAAATAGATAGGAATATTGCGAAACGGACGCCTTTTGGTGGAGGAAAATCCACAAGTACTGTTAGACAAGTTCAATACAAATCTTTTGGAAAACGTAGTGCTTGACTTATGTCGAAAAGATGAAGTTTCTGATTCCGACCAAAACAACGGCGCGATGCTGATGAAAACAGAAGCGGATCATGAACAAGCCCACAATGATGCTTTGACCTATGACCTTGCACGACACATGGACCTTTGTGATGTTGAGGTTGTCGGGATTGGACAAAATAGTTTGAAAGATTCAGGGACGGACTCGTTTTCATCTAAGCTAACAAAAATAAAAGGACTTGTAAAAAGAAATTGGATAAACGAATTAAGACATTTTCAGTAAGTTCAATGTAAGTTCTTGTAAATCAGGTGAATTAATTGTCACTTTCATTGTAAAATTTTCAGACTGGTTGTAATTTTAATCGCCATCCCCTTCATTAACGTGTTACTAGGAGTGTATGTAATTGGTTTGGAACAAAAGGTCTACAATTGGGGATAGTGAATCAGGATTTGAAATATCTCCACGGCATTCCAGAACATTGCGATGACGAAAAGGAACCTACTTATTCCTGCATTTTTATGAAGCAATTGGAGGTCACAGGTGTAAAATTGGTATACGAAAAAATTACTCGACTTTATACAAAAGACAACTGTTTACTGTAGAATTACTGAACACAGTCTTAAAATTCCAGGAAACATACGCCTCAGAAACTGATGCACTACAAAGCGTCGTTCATGGAAGAGCAACAGGATACTTGATAGTACCAAACAATTTTACGGAACACTTAAACAATAGATTTCTATTGAAGCAATACTCCGACAATGAAACACTAAATGGTTCAACGATAGGGGTCCGACTTGACTTCTCCGGTATGTAACGGACCATGGAATTTTTTTAAAGTATTTAATTCCTCAGTGCTTATTTATTTCCAGAATTTATCCGACGAGTATTTTTACTTCGGGCATTAACTAACGGGCTGCAAACTTCCCTACAAAAAATTGTACAAGGATTCGGAGTGGATCCACGAACTACCGAATTACCATTGAGGGTAGAAAGTAATTTAAAATGTCAAATTTTGTTCAGTATGCAAAATTTTCAATTTTTTTATATAGTTTAACGCAATTTATGGAAGCGTGGACTCAACTTGGCGTGACTATTTTATGCCAACTTATATCCTGTTGTAAGAACAAATTAATGAATTACCCGACTGACTTGACATGGTAGTGCTTAATAATGTTATACATAATATGTGCATATAGTTCAATCTTCATCCTTCAAACCGTGGCTGGACTATTTCACATCCAGGACAAGAGGAACGGTACTTTGCAACGCACCTTAGTCACTGGAGTGACTTACACTGAAGTGCTGATTTCCTATATCTTGAGTACGATACCAATCCTTGTAGTCCAAATTATGGCGATGATAGTGCTGATGTCCTGGGAGGTGGAAATTGCTGGGTCTTGGTGGCTAGTTTTTGTGCAAGTCTTTCTGACCGGATTAAGCGGAGTGATGATAGGTTTGATATGTGCGAGCATATTTAATCATGAAATGGAAGTCGTCGTGGCCGTGTTGTTCATATTTCTTACATGCCAAAGTCTGAGTGGTAAGTGTTACATAGATACTTGTCAAGTAGTGAATTTAATTCTGCTATATGTAAATTATCTGAATTCATTGCCAATTTTTCCTCTACAGGTATTACATGGCCGCTGGACAGCGTAGTTTTAGGGTTGCGAATGTTCTGCTACGCTCTGCCCACCACGATACCACTTACTGCGATGCGTTCTATAATGAACAGAGGTTGGGATATCTCAAATCCTCAAATTCCCATCGGACTCGCGATATCCTTCGCATACACTTTTGGTTGTTTTCTTATAATTGTTCTCGTCAAAAAGTATCAAAAGTAACAATATAAAAGCCGAATTGCCATAAAATAAATCAGAGAAGGACATTGAGAGAGTATGAAATTACATGCATGGCTGTATATTTTTGTATGGAATGTGCCGGAAAAAGTTGCAATTGCATTTTATATGTACACACCATAGCATAATTCCATCGTAGTTCATTTTCTTTTGTGTAGTGTGTAGCACACATTAGTTCTGCATTTCATGTATTTAATATCAAGTAATATCAAGTAATGTGTCGATGACAATATGGATACCTCATTTTAAAACGACTCAAATAAGAAAGTAAATTCTCCATGTACGCAATAAATAGAATCTTTTGAGATACCGAAATTACCATCCATGTAATTACAACACATAATATATGTGTGCATCCCATGCGTATAAACTCGAGAGAGGCATGCACAATTTTTAATCATGGAACGTCCTCTCCTTCTATGAAACCCTTTGCATATGTGTGAACATAGATACATATGTATGTTACGTAATAATACGAAAACAGCTTTTGAATTATGTAATTGTGTAACCGTAAGATTATTGTGATTTAAGCACTTTAAGTAAGAGTCTCGTCTTTTCGAAACGAATGACATGTTTAATGTAGGATCCCCCATGGATCCACATATCTACTGCTCGAGTAGAGGACAGCTGACATAGGACCATTGCAGGTAAAAACATGTACAATTGGAACTGATATAGGTTAGTTAACAAAAAAATTGATTGTAAGAAATTTAAACCATTTCCGATGGGTGTTTAGGTCAGTTTCATATGCATGAAACTCGTTTCATTTAGTATATTTAGTACATACTAATATACAGAAAGCAACATGCTGCTCAGGTACTTTATATATGTACATTTAGTAACGGTGATTTTTGAAGGCATTATGTACTTATGATAAATGGTTACTTTAATGTAATACAAACAGATCGCGCAGAATTAACAATGCAGTCAATTCTTCTTTCTCGCCTTCTCCACCTCCACCAAGAGCTAACAAGAAAAATACGAAGAATGTATTGCTGAAAAAGAGTATTTCAAAATCAACAGCCCAAAATCAACCGACCAAAATTGTTCGAAACCTTCGATCAAGAAAATGTAGTCCTTTAGTTAATCAGACTCCAACAATAGTGGCCCGTACTTCAAAGCGCCCAGTCATAACACATAATATCACAAAGACTACAAAAACCACGCCGGCCCCTACACCGACACCGACGCCGACGCCGATGGCAACAACATCAGCCAAGGAACATGTCAATTACTCAAATTCTATATTGATGAACCCTCCCTCACTTGAAAATTATAATATTACAATCCCTCTCAGATCTGAGCATTACGACATATTTTCAAACTTTTTCAGTACCTGTGTCCAATGCGATGAAGAGTTTTTATGTCACATTAAGTTAAAATTTCTTCTTGGTAATCCTAGTGCTACAAGTGATACGTTGTCTCAAGAGCTTAGTGATAACATCAGTAAAGAGTGCATCAATTATGTCCGCTTACGGGTCAGCGAAGGAAATTGTGACCATGGGCAAGGCGATGCCGGACCTTCGTCAATGGAGTCTGGATTTCTCGAAAGCTTGGTGAAAGTAGAAATTTCAGAGAACAATGTAAGACTCGAAAAATACAAGGTTACTATTTGAATAATAAATAAATCTTTTGCTCCACATTTGCAATATGTAGGAATTTGTCGGGATACCCAACGATGCATCGGCAGAAGTTAAGTCTGAACCAATTAGTGATCCACAACAAGTTAACGAAGAAGATGATGAACAATTACTGTTACCAAATCCATTATTTCAATGTCCCAATGTTCCACCCTCAGCCAGTGAACCCTGTGAAGAAGTCGAGGACGTACAAATTATAGGAATTGGACGTGCTGTTGGAATGGTGATGACTTTTAAATTTAATAATTCCTCAAGCCCAATGCCATCATATCCTGAGTCTCGATCAGATCCTCCTGCCAAACAAGTGTCCAACTCTTCGTCGAGAATAATAATACGACGCCCAGGCCGCCGACAACTACCACCCCAACCACGATATGTACCTCAAGTAATAAATGGGGTTAATGTTGCCGCATTTCAGAGTAAATTGAATAATTTGAGAATGTGTGGCATTTGTAACTATCCTGCAAACGGTATGGTTGATCTAAACACGCACCAAAGAATAGCTCACTCTTTGTACAAAGGAAAAGTTGCAGGCTTACCGATTGCCAAATAGAACAATTATTATAATATTACCTAACTTATGACTGTCTCATTGTTTGGGTATAATAAAGTTTTATCTCTTAAAAAATGTTTAACTTGGTTTAACATAAATCTAATTTGTGTTTCGACTTCGTTCCATCCTCGCATGATTTTACTTGGGTTCAACGGGTTGAGGACTTGGGTTGATGACTTGGGTTCAACGGGTTGAGGACTTATTTTTCAAGAAGCTTTACATCTTATTTAGAACTCCAAGCCTTCTATAATTTTACACTGTCGTCATCAGCTATAAGGAAAAATAGATTATCTGCAAACGGGTTCTTACAAAATTCGTCACATTTCATATATGCAACGTATTTGTTATTTATTATGGCAATGATTAAAGTTTAATCATTAAACGACTTGAAACATTTAATGCGGTATTTTGTCACCACATATGTACCTGAGTACTTCAATTTCTTGGGAATCTATAATGTACCTATAACTATTTAATTTTTTAGATATTATGTAATAAAATTACGTTTACAAAATGATGAGCGATTGACACTTGATACGAAGACAATTCTATTTCTGTTTCACCCTTTCTCTGTCGGCAAGATGAAAGAGATTAATTTTTTTCCAGTAAACGGGAAATTAATAAACGTACAAACGTATTTACACTCTGAAATCAAATTTCTTTCGTTTTATGCTTTAGCACGCTTCCTGCTGTACACACTCCAAAAATTCATTTGGCTTGACACTTTAATTTTTTCGTATTTATGCATAATCAAATATGATTGATTACGTTGTTATGAAATGAACACTTTGTACATACGTCACGCTGCAATGCATCTTACAAAATTGATCATTGTGTAAAATATAAGCAAGAAAAATGGCAAAAATCCTAAATTATTGGAAACAACTTGCTGCTATTGCAATTCCAATAATTTTCTTGCCAATTCCATTAATATACCAAAACAAGGTACTTAATTTAATAAATAAAATACAATTATTTAGGTCATTTATTCCTTCAAACTTTGTTTCAACATTTTTGCTTGATAGGAAGCTAAATGTGCATACACAATCTTGATCATTATTTTATACTGGATCACTGAAGTAGTTCCACTTGCTGTATCTTCATTGATACCTTTGGTACTATTTCCTATTTTTGGAATTGCTGATACCGGTAAAAATACAATGTCGGCTGAAAAAACAGTACTATTAATATTTATTTTGAAAATATTTATTTAAATTCAGAGACGTTATCCAAGGAGTACTTGAAAGATGCCATGATGGTCTTTGTGGGGGGAATGATGGTGGCTTTATCATTTGAAGCAAGCAATCTACACAAAAGAATTGCTCTCCGCGTGATGTTGGCTACAGGAGCAAGTTTACCCAGGTTTTCAAGACAATTTTCTTGAAATTTAATTACATTTGATGGGGTTAAGTCCGTCTGATTACAATTCTGCAAATAGGTTGATGCTTGGAGCAATGATGACTACAATGTCGTTATCCATGTTCATGTCCAATACTTCTGCTACGGCAATGATGCTGCCGATCATTCAAGCAATATTGAGAGAATTACAAATTGTATGCATACATATTTAGCTTTCTTAATCAATTTCTATTCAATTTTGTAGTAAATTGCATGAATTTATTTAGAGTATCGAAGAAAAAATTAGAAAACAAACTTTTGAAACCCCTCAAATTGTGGACGACCAAAATTCTTCTATCGAAATGACAGCCACCCATCACGTTGATGTTACTGATTATGAAACTCAACATTCGAACCATCTAACGTGGTCAGAATATTTCTGGACACAGATACAGGCATGCATGGTTCTAACACATTTAAAATTATAATTATTAATAGGGAAAACTCCGCCTCATCATCACATAACTTTTTAAACAAAGAACAATTAGATTGGATATCAAATGTACGAACAATGTTGACGCTTTCTATTTGCTACGCTGCTAACCTGGGGGGAACAGGTCCGAAATACGTTTAACTTCAAATTTACGTAAGTTTGCAATTGCAATTGTGAGTTTAGTAAATAATTTTCACCGCAGGGACGGTGACTGGAACTGGCACCAATCTTTTGGCATTGGAATTACTCCGCAAGTACATTATTCAGCAATCCTAAATGTATAAAAATGCAGTCAACAGTAAAGGTTTTCTGATAACGATTTTTAAAAAAATGAAGCTTTGATCCTCAACATCATGGAGAATACGCGTCTCTGACGTACGGAACCTGGGTAGCATTTTGCTTCGTTCCTATGCTGATCAACACTCTACTTTCCTGGCTTTACCTGTTGCTTGTATTTCTTTTGATTCCTGCAAAATGGAAGCAGCTACGAAACTTTCAACGAAATAGCGCAACTCGTCCTACTCGTCGTGACGACATACAACCAGATCCTTCTGTAATACGAAAGCTGTTGACGACAAGTTACGCCCAGTTGGGCGACATATCTCAACATGAAACGACTGTAGTTTACTGTTCTGGCGTCGGTTTGCTCTTGTGGGTCCTTCACGACCCTAAATTTATACCAGGATGGAGTCAGTTGTTTATTGGGGGGTCAAAAAACGTGTCAATTGCAACTGCAACTATTCTCGTAGGTCTTCTTTTTCTCATAATTCCTAGAAATTTGAAAGAGGTTTTTACAACGGGTGAGTGAAGACGCATTTTATTTTCACGATTATGATAGTGTAATTACGTGTAATTGTTCTCGTTTTATAGGAGAGACGCCTAAACCTTTATTAGAGTGGGAGTATTTTTCAAAGAAGACGCCTTGGGGAATAATCATATTCTTTGGTTTCGTTTATTTATAAACTACACAAAAATAAATAAATACTCATTGGAATAATGAAAATTAAACTTTGTGCTGATTTCAGGTGGAAGTTTGGCTTTATCAAAAGGAGCAAAGTCGTCAGGATTAACAATGATAATTGGCCAATATCTTCGTTCCATGTCATCATGGCCTCCATGGTCCATTCAACTTGTGTCCATGTTTGTGATATCGTTAATCACCGAGTTAATCTCGAATGCCGCTACAGCGACAATTGCCATCCCAATATTGCTAGACTTGAGCCAAGAACTAGGAATTCACCCGTTGTACTTGACGATGCCAGTTGCCGTCGCGTGCTCATATGCTTTCATGCTTCCAGTAAGGAACCCTTAACGAGATAGGAAATGATAATCATGTCCACTTTGACTATAATTTGCTAATTATTTTTTAGGTGGCAACTACAACGAACACATTGGTTTATAGCACTAATTATATTAAACTTCGTGATATGGTTCGTGTTGGAGTTATCATGAACTTTTCATCGGTATTAGTACTTTTCGTGTCTACAAATACTATTGGAAATTTGTTGTTTAATTTTACACAGTATGAATACATACCTTGATGTACATACACTTGAAAATTGATCCAAATAAAAAATATGTAAGTGCCAATACTGTATTCATTTCACTAGTTGTTAGTATGAAAAACAAATTTTTCAAAAAGGACGCCTTGCATCCTTGTGAATGATTTTGTAACTTTGAAATATTTGTCATTGACAGTTCTACAGTGTGCATAATATAATTCTCCATTATTGTAATATTTTCTACTATTTTTGGGGAATTTGTTGAAGCATCCTTTGAAGTCTTCGATGGCTGTCAGTTTTTTTAAATTGAGTTATTTGATCTCACAATAATAAGAAACAATTTGAGGATTACAAACAAAAAAAACTTTTTCACCGCAAGCTGTAAATAATGTAATCTGGATTGCATCATTTTACTTCAAATTTATTGAATTAATTTACAATTATTTATTTTCTTAATTGCTTTAAAGCCATATCTAGAATTGGATGTAATGAATCATTCACATATTTCGTAACCTCAGAATATCGTTTTCTCAAATATGTATTTATTGATCACATTGTGTCGGTCTCGTGCTATTATCCAATTTCTGGCAAATTACGTTCAACAAATTTTGCTCACTGCCAATCATGTCCTCCACTCGCCAAACATCGTTGTAGACGATCCACGGGACGTAGTAGAGAGTTGGGTCAAGGTCATGCGTCCTTATTCCCGCAGATGCCAGGATTGTGGGGCCTTCCCAATTGTTGTAGCATTCACCGATTCTTGTGTAATTCACACCTACTGATATTGCGCAGGCCTCTGCGTCGATTGGAGCGTTGAACGAATCCATCATGCAATTAATGTAAGCTGCAGACTCATTCTTGTGGAGTTTGGCAAGTGCACAGTTGTGAATGATATTTCCGAGACTATAAAATTAATTAACTATAATATGTTTTAAATAGCACGTGTCAATTTGCACCCAACAATTCTCACTTTATACCAGTTCGGACTTCGATAGAGTTCTTGTGGGGGCATTTAGTATGGCAGGAAATAATAGAGTGAAAATTGTTGAATTCGAATTATTGGATGTAAAAGTGCACATTACCATTCATTTCTTCCATGTTGGCAAACAAATTCATAAGTGCCATTTACAAAGGTAGTCTGAGATTAGGTTACAAATTATTATCAAGTGAATGAAATGAAATTGATATGATAATCATGTGATGAAAGTTGTTTAAAAATCTTACGTTTGCTTTTCCGTACGGGACAAATTCGGCTTCCAGAAATTCATTATTCACTCCACCGAGCAGATTTAGGGTGGGATAGAGTTGGTTGATAATGAATCGGCGACTGTCAGGGCAAAGACTTTCGTAATAAACAGTCAGCCGAAGTTGAGCCTGTAGCATGGGTATAATTGCATTGAATTATTTTTTTTAGAAGATCTATCACCAAACTAATATAAACATTTACCTGGAAGGAAACTCCAACCAGTCCGAGAATCAAAAGACCCAAGACAACCTTCATATTTACTTATTAACCGAATATTTTGCGAATATGTGGTCTCTGAAGAGGTAAAACGACAAGTGAAATGTTTGTCTTATATACTTTCAGCTCAATGAAACCATTATTAATCATCACCGTTGATAGATTAAATTTGATAATTTTTATCGATTTTGGTCATACGTACGATTGCATCATTCATGTGACATGCAGTGGAATTATGGAAAGCAAGTATCTACATGCATGCATAAATACACATTTACATATAAGCATTGTCCAGTCAAGCTGGATTTCCCTGCGTATTGTTGTCTGGATAATGCAGTGTCCCTTAAATTGACAATGTTCACGATTTAATGTAGTAAATTAGACTTTGTACCGATAAAAGATAGCACACTTATTGGATTATTACGTATTAATTGATGATGTATGAGTTGCATATTTATGATAACCAGTCACGTAAATACGTGGCACTTTGTCATGATCAGTACTGATAAGGAAATCAAGAAGAGTCCACTTTGATAATGATCAAGGTATTGAAAGCGAACATAGAAAAATCCTTCAAGCATGCTTTGATTACAAAGATACCGTAAACTCCATTTCGGACTTCAGAGTAAATGCAAATGCTTATTTGATTACATTTTGTGTAAGTAAACTGCATATAAGTACATATGTAAATACTTATATATGTGCATACCTAATATATAGGTGTTGCATTATATGTGTAGGTATTTGGGGATTGTATTGAAAAATTAAAGTTGTTCTTGAAGACATTGAATGAAAACTTCAATCAACTATAGATGAATTAAACGTACATACATATAGAGTTTCAAATTGTACTGTTAGGTGTTGCACTATATGTTCACACATACACATAATGCTTACTGACATCATAATAATTCGAACTGGTTATTGAACAAATCATTAAAGTGGAGTATGTAAGACTTACATTGTAAGTTAAATAATGCGACGAGCATGTTTATCATGAAAGTGTTACACCATTTCGTTTCAGATAACGAGCAATCAGAATCCGTTCAATAAACTTGACCACAAGTAGAGGTGTGTCCATCATGATGTAAAAACAAATTTTCTGAGTGAAGAGTAGAATCCGCCAGTGTCTAAGAAATCATTAACTTTCTAAGGTTATCATCAAGTCTCATTCGTCTTGGAAGTGTTTGGGATGGATTCTGAGGATCCTTCAGTCTCCCGTTTCAGGGAGTTTCTTCGAATAAAATCCGTTCATCCTAACCCTGATTACGGTAACAATTACTTGCAACTAATAGATTTTACCTTTTCATATCAGTAAATAAATTTCGTCGTAAGAGTGTATACTCGACAATTAAATAAGCGACAATTAAATATCTTTTTTAGCTGGTTGCATCGCTTTCATACAACGCCAGGCACAAGAAATTGGACTTGAATTTCATCAAGTAAATTTCGACCCACCCGCAGAATTTGCCGTTTGGGTGACTTGGCGTGGGACAGAGCCGTCGTTAAAGTCCATCATGCTTAACTCGCATCTTGACGTCGTACCAGTAGACGAGGTTTGAATAATGAGATATCAATATTCATACACATGTCCTTTCCAGAAAAATAAATATCCTTGTGTTTTGTAATATGTGTTATAGTCAAAATGGGACTTTGATCCATTTTCGGCCCACAAGGCTTCAGACGGAAATATTTATGCTCGAGGAACTCAAGATATGAAAAGTGTTGGAATACAATATCTGGAAGCTATACGAAAATTGATGGCTAGTGGATTAAAGCCCAGACGAACAATTCACGTCACTTTTGTCCCAGACGAAGAACTTGGAGGGACGAAGGGAATGGTACCTTTCGTAAAATCTCCAGAATTTCAAAGGCTCAACGTAGGGTTTGGACTAGATGAGGGGGGTGCCTGCCCTGCCAATAGCTTCTTGCTGTTCAATGCAGAAAGAGCTCTGTGGCGTAAGACTACTAATAAGATTTCTGATTAGACTAACAATTTAACAAGTATTTTTACCAAATCTAATTGCAAACAGAAATTCGCATCACAGTCAAAGGAAATACTGGACATGCGCTACACTTCATTGAAAATACGGCAGCTGAAAAATCGCGAAAGATAATAAATGCATTCCATACCTTTCGAGAAGAAGAGAAAGGGAAGTTAGGAGACCTTGCGGCAATTAATTTGGGAAATGTCACAACGGTTAACATGACCATGATACAGGTACTGACTATAAGATTAAACTACACATTTGTTAGACTGATAAATCAACCCTGACGAAATATTCTTGGATAAGGGAGGAGTTCAACCTAATGTAATCGCCCCAGAAATTGTCATAACTTTTGATTTGCGGATTACCCCAAAATGGTCTCAAATTGAGGCTGAAGACTTTATTAAAAAAGTTTGCACGGATGCTGGGGATGAAATTTCATGCGAATATATTCTAAAAGGGCCGGTTATACCAGAGACTCCAATGACACCTGAAAATAAGTGGTGGACCAGCTTCAAGTCGGCATGCGATTCAGAGTAAGTTTTTGTGAAACTCGTTTTTGATATGAGTTTATTAACTAAATTTTAACTAATTACAGAGGAATAGAACTGCTTCCTCTAATTTGTCCGGGAGCCACGGATGCAAGATTTTTAAGGGAAGTAGGAATTCCAGCGTTTGGATTTTCTCCCATGAATAATACCCCAATTTTACTTCATGATAATAATGAATTCGTAAACGAAAATGTTTATTTAAAGGGGATTAAAATCTACGAAAAAATTATTCAACGTCTTTGGATGACTGAGGGGGAGTAATGGTTATTTTAACTATTATGTATGTGTCAAAAACTCTTTCGCTACGGGTGGAATTTAATTTTAACCACTAAATGCCAACCTGAATAATTGCGTAATAAAATAATGAGAAATAGACATGTTTACATGTGACATTAACTTTTTGTAAATTAAACTTTTTGTATATTCTTGTCAAAATGCTGCATGGATGGATATAGAAAATTATAGCAGCACTTATCTTATTAGGGATTGTCGTTTGTCGCCTGGCAAAGTACCAGGTCTTTGATCGATCCACTGCAAGAACTCATGGGCACCTACAACCAACCAGACAGCAGTTTCGAACAATCAATATCAAAACATCATGAAAAAAAAGTCTGTTCTCCGCAAGATTCTCTGTTGAAAAAGTGAATCTCATAACGGCAATATTTTTAGCATCCATATATTGGATTCAATACATGTAAATATATTTCTTTACAATACAAATTCCTACATCGCTTCTTAGACAAGACTTCGGCTTGCATTCCTTCGCAGTCGAGCACCTGCGGCGTCCCTTATTTGCTGGCGTCCTTGCCTTCTCTTGCTCTGGTCTTCTTGCTCCAAAAGTTTATTCGTTCTGCTGCCTTCGAAGGAAACACATCGTTCTCCGTGCTCCCTTCTCTCTTGTCAAGTCAAGAATTTGTCTCAAGTTCCCTGATTTCAAAGTTTTTGTCCCAATTATCCTCAGCAACTCGTCTGTCACCAACACATCGTTCTCTGTGCTCCCTTCTCTCTTGTCAAGAATTTGTCTCAAGAATTCCTCAAGAATTTGTCTCAAGTTCCCTGATTTCCTGAAGTTTTTGTCCCAATTATCCTAATCAAGTCGTCGGTCACCAGCATCATGTGGGACGACTCTGACAACGTCATGTCCACCCAGACAAAACCAAAGATTTCAAAACCCCCAAAAGTGAATGGATTTTACTGCTTCATGCAAAAGAGACGTCCCGAGTTGGAGGCAGCAGGGCATACATTTCCGGGGGGACTGAAAGACGTAGCCAACATGGTGGATACTGAATGGAAGGTGAGCTGAATTACTGCAAGTAGTTTGATAAATTTTAAAAATATTTATATTTATTTTTTCTAATTTCTTGTAGGTTCTGCCTGAAAATTCAAAGGAAATTTACCGACACCGAGCGCTCCAGCGACGAGACATGGATGCCGAACCGCTTCCATCCACCGAGAACTATGAGAACATGTCCGCCAGGTCAGAGCGAAGCGATAACAGCGAGTATACACAATTCCCCAATTTGTACACCTTTACGATTGATCCTGCGGATAAACGGAGGAATAATTTTGGAGTGTTGTAAGTACCATAATTGATACAATACGCATTGTTAATAATCACCAAGCGATGTGCAGCGTGAGAAGTGTAATTAATGAAGCCCATTTTTTTTTACTACGTGGTCTTTTTGTCTATTTGTATCCAGTTTCAATGAATTGAAACGCCAAGATATGGAGATCACGGAGCAAGAGGTCATGCACAAGAAGGAGCTGAAATGCGTTTTGAAAAACGGCGACCCCTACAAGGCCATTTTTGTTGTCATCAAATTTTCCTGCTATGTGGACGATGACGATTCATTCTTTCTTCCTGCGGAAGTTGGTCTTACCGCGTTCTCCATTAAAGAAGGGATCATCGACAATTTTGCCACATTGATCGATGTTTGTAAGCGTATTACACATTTATTACGGTTTTCTTGACTATTTTTACATACTGCTGAAATTTATAAATATTTTACAATTCTGTCTCAGACGAGATTCCTCTAGGACATGGATCCACGGCGAGAAAAAACCGTGAACTTCTTGAAGTTCCACAACCACCGTTTGACAATCGGCTCCAAAATTACAAAATCATTACTGGCAGATTGGAACGTTTTATTACACAAGTAAAATAATATTTTCTATAAATATGCAAAACCTAACAAAAAACAATGACCAATTGCTAAATCTATAATTTGCTTATTTAATTTAGTACGCAGCCAGGGATGGAAAGTTGAAAGTTTACAGTATGCCAAAAGACGAAAAAGAGACGAATGGTTGCCTAAATTGGTTGTACGAGCAAAGTAAGTCTATAAAATAATTGACATTTATAAATTTTGAAATTAATCCTACATATACAATTTTTTAGTTGGTGAAAGTTACCCAATTGAAGTGCACCGCTTTACGGAAGCGATTCTGATGCTGTCGGAAATCATAGCAGAGGCTCAACTCACAAATGAGTTGGATAGGACGGCTCTTCAGAATCGCTTAATGGCTTCTCGGCTTTATCGTGACACCATGCTTATGGATCAACCACTTCTGAGCTTCCAGGCTGAGGGAGCCATTTCTCGGAGCACACGTAGCAGATTCGAACGCGGACCTAATAATGGAGGACGCAGCAGTGCGAAAAATGGAAGAGGGTCGGATGATCCAGCTACTTGTAGGTTCAATTCACACCTAATTACATATGAACTTGCCTACTTTCCTTGCTTTCGTTTGATTGCTGGGTCACCATAATTTATAAACTTTTGTGTTTTTGTAACTTCTCCAGCTACAGGTTGCAGCTCCTACACGGCTGAAACTGGAAAGCCTTCATCTTCAGTGGCCGCGACGTCGTCACTCTTTACATCCTACCCTTACTCCGCTTCAATCTGTTCTGTTTCGAGAACCATGTGTCCACCGGAGATGTCAATGGAAGACTGGACCTTAGCTCGGGCAGGATATTTTACTCATGAACAACACGTTGAAGAATTTCTGTCGTCATTTGATCTTGCCTTTGAAGCAGAGCTGAGCTGTCTGTATCACATGCAACCAGAAGTAAGGGAAACAATTTGTTGCACTTGATAGCAAAAGTACTTAATTGTTTGAACTATTTTTGTCTAAATTTGCAGGGAGACTATGCAATGAATTTGTGTCCACTGAATAACACCAACCGAATTGCGTACAACATGCTGGATGCGATGCTGTTGTGTGCCGGCATTGTGAAACCCAAGCTCAATTATCACATCCCTTCAGTGGGGCTGGATCCAGAGAGTGAGGCCCGACGACGCGAGGAAATGCTACGACGATGGGTGATTATCATCAAGTCAAATGATGATTTCAAGTTAGATACAAAAGTTCCTCCTCCATATTACAGCAAAAAAAGAATGTATCCCGTCTTCCGAAATGAGTAGATGTTAAGTTAAGAAATGTTAAGTACGTATGTATAATTCGGCTTTTGATGTCAACTTTGATACCTATTTTTTATTAATGTTTATCAATTTTTGCGAATTGCATTATGAATATGTTTGAATGAGCCATGCCGTGTACGTAAATGAATTTTTAAACGGTTATTAAAAATGAGGTTCTTCTTTCCGTATAATATCGAACATTGCAGTTTGTAGTTTGACAATTTGTTACAAACTTCTCATATGCATTTACTTGTCAAGCATGACTAAGCACATTTCATATAGAAGGACCGAGTATTTTTATAAATACATCGATTTATTTGCAATTTTTACCGACAGAGTACAAAAAATAATTGATAAATATATAATTGGATTGGTATTTTTATGGCAGCATGGTAAAATTAATTCAGTCATTAACTCAGTCGATCAGCAATATCGCCGTTCCTCGAGACTCATTCTAATCGTTTGAAATTTTCGTACACCGTGGTAAGTTCGTCCAGAGTGTATTCCTGAAGACATGCGTAGTCTTCCAATTGTGGTGAGGATTGTAAGGCACATTCCAGGCAGAAAACGCGAGGGCGCTTCTCATTCTTTTTAATAAATAATGTGTTGAACACTTCCTCCTGCAAAGATAATTGGTATGAAATTTATAAGTTTTCATAAATAATAACAAGACTAGATTAAAAATAATTGGCCAACGATAGAATTTACATTACCTCACACGACCCGCAGTAATGGACCGGTTCTCCTTCCTTCTTTCCATGATGTCGGATGGGGACATTATGTCGGCGAGCTTGTTGGAGATCTTTCCTACTCTTGTCAAGACTGTTCGAAAGTACTTTTCTGAGGGATTAAATCAATGGAAAATAATAATATCTAATCAATAAATCAGATTATACAATATTTTAATTGACAAAAATGACTTACTTGACCAGCTGAAAGAACTCGGGGTCACGAATCCACAAGGTTCTTCCAATGTTCCAGGACAATAGGATCATGGGAACGATGCTTTTATAGTTTTCCACTTTGTTGAAGTCGTAGCGTTCGAGCGCAGCACGGAATTGAAGTGGAACCAGTGGACCAACGTTCCAAGCGATGTTGTTGGTTACGCCAAGAGATTGCACCCAGTGAACGCAGCCAATATTTATATACACCAGATCTCCAGGTCGTTGAATGAAGCGATAGACTGGGATTCCAGCAGCAAAACATTCTTCTGGATCAGGCCACCAGGAACCTCAGAAAGAATACAAAAATTTGAATGTTATTATGTGAGCATAAATTATTTATTTAATGCATAAATTATATGTGCCAACCTTTGAGATAGTTCATTCCATGGGATTGGCACAATTTGTACATGGCTGGCCAATATTCATCTGCAACTCCAAACCACTCACAATCTCCGGGACCAACATTGATGTTGACTGCACAAAACTTGTTGTTCTCTTCATGTCCAGGCGTCCGGCTACCTTTGACCTATGTAAATAGTTGTATGATTACTATACAAGTTTGAATTTGTGTGTATCATGGTTGTGTGATTTGCGGACTTAATATTCAAAACTAAATAGTCTTAATTTTGCAAATCTTTTTATATGTACACATTTTTACCTTCATGTAAAGTTGTACAGTGTTCATGCCCAAGATGTTGTGACCAACGTACGACAATAGATTCCCCGGAGAGTACAATTTAAAAGCAGGAGGCAACTTATTAAATTCTTGCAGTTGTAGTTGCCACATCTTTGCATCAGAAAGATCAAGATTAGTACCAAACTGTATTCCATGGGCCGAATTTCCACCAACGCCGTTCTGAATTCAATCAGGGAAATAACAAGATAAAGGAACTCGTGGAATACACAATTATTTGAAGTGTTACAATTTTCATATGAATAAATGACTAATAAATAAAGTACTTACCTTTTCACGCAAGAAGTTTGCACCCTGGTACTCTCCATATTTCCGAATGGTCATTTGTGACCGAGCTGAGTAACAATCCCAGGAATTCCTCCCGGCCATGGGCACATTTTTTTCAGCACTTTTGAACTTCTGCGTTCTTATTTCAATGGGGTGGTCAGGCCATGCTTTGGTCAGCGATAGTGTTGAAAACTTTCCCAGCTTGAAGTCACAAACAGAAGGCGAGCAGAGTCCTTCGACCACGGTGATTGGATTTTCAAGGCAAAACTGAAAAAGCTCCTGACTAAATGCGTCTTTGGGAGTTTTGATTTGAACCCTTGGAGTTTTCGGATTAAGATTCACGGAGGAACTCATTTTCATTGATAATTTAGATGATGATGATAACAGCAGAATGTGACTAATTAATATGAATCACTGGTCACGGCACACGGAGGAAATTATTGAGTTCAATTTGTCAACAAGAAAACGTAACACTCTGAAACGAAATGACCGCTTGACTGCTCAAAGTGCTCAAGTAGTGCTCCGTCGTCTGCGTGTCGTCTCAACGTCTGGGGGTGAGACTCGCTCCCACTTACACACACTCGACTCCAGGCTTTCAATTAACTTGGGCACTATTTAGCGAGCACAATTTTAATTCAAGTTTAGTCATGGATTTTTGTATTAAGAAAAAGTACAGCAGTTCTGATATTTGGTGTTTCATGAATTTTGGATTATATTTTCTTGACCACTACTTACCATTCCATGATTATGAGTTAGAGCTGTGCGTAGGGCCGGGTTTACCCTAAAAAAACCCTACCCTACCCTACCCTATAGGGTTTTGGGCGGGCCGGGTTTTTTGCCCAGGAAATTCCAGTCGGGCCGGGCGGGTCGGGCTTTTTCCAGTAGGGTTTTGGGCGGGCCGGGCTTTTTTTGTAGGGCTTCGGGCTTTTTAATTTACCCTAGTGATAAAGTACAATATGGCAATTTGAAACAAAACTTCATAGTTTTATGTAGCCCCAGCTAAAGCAGAATTGTTTATCTGTAATCCTATGGAGTTGTTTTCACTGGTTGGCTGTTTCATTACACGAATCAATTTCATGAATAAATAAATCTCAACTGTAAATCACATCAGTGATTAAGACCAAATTATAAATACAGTTCTATTAAATACAAGGGCTTAACTCAATTTTTGTTTAAACTAAAATAACTCAAATTTAGCAAATATTGATAATAATATGCATTGGATTTGTCCACCATTGCATTTTTTATTAATACCTAGTGTGCATGTCTAATCGAGTCTCCGAAAGCCTTAGCAAGTGCTGGTTTTTTAGGATAAATACGTGCAGAACTGCACATGGGTGGGTTTACAGTAAAAAAGCCCTACCCTATAGGGTTTTGGGCGGGCCGGGCTTTTTCTCAGAAAAGCCCTATAGGGCCGGGCGGGCTGGGCTTTTTCCAGTAGGGTTTTGGGCGGGCCGGGCTTTTTTTCCAGAAAAACCCAGTAGGGCCGGGCGGGCCGGGTTTTTTCCAGTAGGGTTCTGGGCGGGCTGGGTTTTTAAAAATCGGGCCCGTGCACAGCTCTATTATGAGTTCCCTGAATGTAAAATCGTCCCCTGATTTAACAAATTTTCTTTCCATGGACCATTCCATTATATTTATCGCTGTATTTTATGATATTGAATTTTTCTGCAGGGATTTGGCGAATCAAGCACTTGATGGCACAGTGCTTGATCCATGTCCGTAAATCCGCTATACTGTGATGTTTGACATTTTGTTATTTAAGGTAATAGATACACAAGTATATAATCTACTCTCTGAAAATTAATCGGCTGGACTCTTCACTATATTTGAGCAAAGAGTGAGAAGTGATGAAATAAGTACACGAGGAAGGAAGTGGATCATTTGAAGGGCTCCTTCCTCTACGTTGAGGTATTACATAAAATGACACTCTGCCCTGGACTCTTATCCTCATTTCTCATTCTTTCAAGTTCAACCAACTCTGTTGTGTCATCCCTCAACACATTTTGAAAATAAGGGTAGCTCAACAATGCGAATATATGTGGTACGATATTCTGCATTGCCTAAAGCATTGAAGGGTTGACTGACTACTGTTGCGTTCGTTCGGTGGGTAGCAAAGATGTGATACGGTGCATGGTAGCGTTACAGATTTACGCAAAAGCGTAAAAAGTGCGTACGTGAAAGTAGAAGAGCAGAATGGCAAAGCTACGTGCAAAGTCTCACATAATGCGTCTCATCATCATAACAGGATGATCTCGTTTTTGTCGGTGAAAGCAATCGAGTAACAGAATAATGGTATTTGGTTTATGAATAACGACATATATTTGTATTGAAATTTAGTCTTTTTATTTGGGCGAAATCGCAATTATTATGCGCAATCGGCTGGTTGAGGAATATCTACCAAATTTCCGACAGGAAATCCTAAACCTTCCATGAGACTGGCATAAATTGCAAGCTGTCCCGGTCCCACGGTTCTTTCACGGTATCGAAGAACGACGCTTTCTATACGAAATCCATCAACTTCTTCACACTCGTAATGTATCCAGTACTTCTCGTAATCAGTGGCAATTACTACGCCTTCCCAGAATTGAGCTGAGAAATTCGATTAAAAATGTTACTGCTATAAATAGTATGCGTGCTACACGGGAATCAGGTTGTGTGTGAATAATTTGTCAGACCTAGATTATCAAAATAGCTCCATTTCCAAATGGCCGGTTGGTCAGAGGTTGTATTAACTTGGCCAAAACGAGCAATTTGTGTCCCATCTGCGATGAGGGTCAACCTTTGTCGAAAAATGTAAATAGTTTATGAATTACGTTTGAAAATTGTAGTTGGTGTACTAACTCGATGCGAATGTTGAGGTTATCCGAATCTGGTTGTCTGCTAATTGTTTGACTGACACATTTGGCGAAAGAGTCCTCCACCAAGGAATCGTTCATGCGAGCGAGCTGAATGACCATCCATTGTCCAGTGAACTAAAAATTAATTCATTGAAGATTTGTATCAGATTATTTTTTAACACGTAACATATTTTGGAAATTAAACTAACTCTTTCCATGTCCAGTTGTTGGCGAGGCCATAGTTTTTCAATTTTGGAAGCGCAGGTCTCACCCTGTTGGCCTTGGACCAGTGCATAAATTAATAATTGCACGAGGATTACAAATTCAGAAAATTTTTGAAATCTCATTTTATTAAATAAATATTGACTATGGAAGGTGACCGAATATTTGCGAGATGACTGAACTTATTTAATTAATTGGTTATCGAGTTTTAAATAGAGCACAATCATGTAATCATGTATCTGCTTATCAGACTTCAAAGATATGTATTTGCATTTCGGTGATAGTGCATAATGGGTCGGGTAAATTGCTTGGTTATGCTAATTGTTTTGATGGTGATCTCTTTTCGGCTGCGTTGCTAAATTTAGATATGCACTACACTCGTTTTAAATCTTAAATCGACAGTGTCCTTATCAGAATTTAAAAAAATACCACTGTCATCGTCCTGAATATGAATAATCATTAATCGTAATACATATATAGGCACCCTCCAGTGAAAAATGCGAAAAAAATGTCGCACAATTTAACCTTTTATGCAAATCACGGAGAAACTGCATATTAATTTGAAATGAACCGTGGCAGTATGAATACTTAACTATGAGTTTACGAAAGTCTACACAAGCAGGAACTGTCAATAGGTAGTAGGAAACAATGTATTTCAAACATGACATATTTTTCCTGACTGGGTCCTTGCACGTTTTTTTAATCATCAAGGACATCAACTATGTAGTTACTAAAAAAAACTTGTCTCAAACGAATTTTCTCGTTCCTCAAGAAGTGTGAGTATTATTATTTACAGAGTCTGGTTAATCCGGGATTACGGATTGAGGATTGAGATTGGGATTGGGGATTAATTAATCCTTAATCCCAATCCTCAATCCGCAAGTTTTGACTTTTAATCCCTAATCCTCAATCCCAAAAAGTTTTGAAAAAATAATTAATCCCTAATCCTAATCCCGGAGCGCATTGATTAATCTTAATCCAAGTTTGGGATTAAAATGGGATTAAATCAGCTCCACCTGCTGAAAATTCTCAGAGACTTTGCCAGTTCTCCTTTTGTTTCAATTAAAAATATGTTTCCCATAAGTTATGGGCCATAACTATCGAAATTCCATCGTTGTATTTCACAAACAAAAATTCGATATTATTAAACAAATAGGGAAGTAATTTAATGTCTCTCCAAAACAATGGGAATTACCCTCCGAATATTTAAGAAGTTACCTAAATGGAAAGCAACCTCTTAATGCTCTAAATTTTCCCTCCCCTTAAATGGAAGTAGCCTCTCATTTTGCATATCACAAATCTGTGTAAATTTCGTATCAGTGATGGGTTTTACTACCAGAGTCCGGTTGAATATGTTCTTAAAAACCCTAACTCTTCATGTAAAATGTTTACTCAGATCCCCAACAGATGTATTTATGAAAAAAATTTTTTTAATTCGTTTTGAATAGCTTAAAAATTATTCTGTTTGACTGCAAAAATGTGAAAAATAGCTTAATATTTCACACTTACAAATAACAAGCTTTCCACATGCTTTGGTTTCATATTACATTAATGAATGGAATCTTCCTGATTTTTATTTAAACCAAGTGTTTGTTGTTAACAATGATATAAGTGCGCATGGAAAGCTCATAAATGAATGGAATTATTTATGTATTGCGAATTTCTTAGATTTCTCTAAAAGAATATATCTTTTTGAAAAATCGCTGACATATGTAAAAAAAAAACCTATTGAAGTCTATCAAAAAATGCACGTTTGTGGCTAAATTACAAGGCTGTATGTGCTATCCATGAGTGGTTTTTACCCTCCATATTAAATTTAAGATAAAAATAATAACTTTTAAAAACGGTACATAGTGACCCTATAGTGTCACTGGTTGCACTTTGCTCACTTGTAACTTCATATTCTTTCGTGGGAAGCGATTAGATATTAATCGCTAATTTCACTGCGCCAAATTTCACCTTTTTAAGACAATTTTTGAAAATCGCGACTCTATAGTTAGTTCGATTTTATTGCGCTGATGAGAAAAAATCGGTGTACCATTGTACGTGTACCAGTTTTTTTAAGAATTGGTACTGTATAAAGATTCGTCTGGCAATTATAAAAGAATTTTTCGATATTGTCCTGCACCCAAAACCTGTACCAAGCGTAAGCGTGGAGGACCTGTTAAGTTCACAACAGTTTTGAGTACCATGTGCCTTTCAAAAATGCATGCTTTTATGGAAGCCTTAACTTTAATCGTATATAAATAATACGCTTTTTACATAAAATGATAAAATTATGGCTTGTAGATATGTACATTATTTTAAGAGGTAGTTTGCCACCGAAATCCTAATTCAAAAATAACTTTAAGAGGCAGGTATCCATGAAGGGTACTTTTAAAATATTTGGAGGGTACTTCCCATTTAATTGGAGAGGCTTTAAATGCATGCCAACAAATAGTTCATGTATTTAAAACATTTGATAAGACTTCATCTGTTAAAGTTGATTTTAGTTCACTGATGACTAAGTAAACTTATTTTATGTCACTCATCTGTACACTTCATATTCTTGTGGCCGTATAATAATAACCTAGAGTGGCCAGTGGTAATGCCCACTCATTCACACTTGAATGTTAATCAAATGGAGACTGGACTTAAGTCACTTAAGCGACAACTCACACTTTAGGTCATTATTTATATGGTCATTAGGTTATTCAAATTCAATCGCACTGTTAAGACTTATAAAACAATTTAATTAAGACATCAGAAACATTAACTAGATATAAATGTGATCGACGATAAACACGACTTTAATCCCATTCCGGGATTAAAATCGGACTAAATTAATCCTAATCCCTAATCCCATTGAATGACTTGAGAGATTTAATCCCGAATTAATTTTAATCCCGAGTTAATTTAATCCCTAATCTAAATCCTCAATCCCAAATTTTTTAAAATCAATCCGTAATCCTAATCATTAATCCCACTTTCGTTAATCCCAAGACTCTGATTATTTATGAATTATAACAATAAAGATATTTAGCAGATAATGTATGATAGAAAAGCGGAAAGTTTTTAGTGCTTCAATCAAATATATTTGAAATTTAGTAAATAATAAAATAATAAACTTTAGTTTAATGTCCCTTGTAAATAAATATTTTTTCCTTCGTAAACTCTAAGGAGGGGAGCTTGCGAGGTTGATAATAACAGATCTTGATGCCCTTTGGATATGTGGTAGGGTCCCATGAGTGAACTAAAACCCTGAAGTGGTTTGACTCCATGGCCCCATTTGCGCCCGCCACACCCACTCAAAAATGTCCAAAAAACGCTTTCACTCCAGTTTTCACTCATTCAAATCCACGCCAAAAATCCAATTTTACTCGGATTTTGAAATTTCTTTCACCATTACACTCCCAGATAGTTGCTTTCTGCAATCCAATATCAAACTCAATTTTTTCGAAATTTTTAGTATTTTTAAAAATTGCAATTCGGAATGAGGATTGTTGTAGTAATCAACAACGCAAATTATGCCTGCGAAATAGTCATCAGCAAAATTGAGTTTGATATTGGATTGAAGAAAGCAACTATCTGGGAGTGTAATGGTGAAAGAAATTTCAAAATCCGAGTAAAATTGGATTTTTGGCGTGGATTTGAATGAGTGAAAACTGGAGTGAAAGCGTTTTTTGGGCATTTTTGAGTGGGTGTGGCGGGCGCAGATGGGGCCATGGAGTCAAACCACTTCAGGGTTTTAGTTCACTCATGGGACCCTACCACATATCCAAAGGGCATCAAGATCTGTTATTATCAACCTCGCAAGCTCCCCTCCTAAGCCAGTTGATTCCATGCTTATTGCTTTATTTGCAAACCCCTTGCCCGAGATATTCGTATTTATGTACATAGTTTACTCATTATTTTATTCGACGCTATAAAATACTCATTATGAAATGATGTACCGAAATTCATTTGATGATTATAACGATTATAGCAACCGAGATTAACTAACGTCTGACTGGATAATTATTCGTACAACGTTGGGTACAATTTGGCGTATATTTTATGAGGTGCTACCGGGTGGTCAGGAAAGCTTAAATTAAGCGTGCTCCCAGTAGGTCAGATTCTCCGCAGCACAAATTATTTACATGAGGACATGACAAAACTATATCTGTACATATGTATCTCATAGCCGACGACGAACTACTTGAAGGCACAAATCTCTGATGGAATCTTAATCTTTATGTGCCCTTACTTAAAAAATATATGCTGACAACCTGTTTGCTAAAAATGTAAAACTGGCTAGTCTGGAATAAATGTTACCACATTAGACACAGTTTATTAAAAATGCAAAAGTGTAAAACAATATAAAACTTCTAATGTTGCATACATAATGCAGGAATGGAAATAATCTTGTCTATTTAGCCAGTCAACTTTATGCCGCTTTACCAGTTGCAAGTGAAGTCGTACCAGAGTGTATGTAAATTACACCCCCACGATAAAACCGTGGATGAAACCTAATTGACACTCGACCTTGGCGTAATGGGTATTACTTTGCTTCCTCGTGAAGATCTGTCGGCGAAAATGTTACCCAGCATATTTTCTAAATTAGTTTGATTGAGTGAGGAAATTTACCCATAGTCAGTTGTGAACGCTTCAAGTGTTTAAATAGTTTGAAAAGTGCTTGATTTAATGGTGCTTCGGATCCTAGAATTGAGACGATAATATTGCTTCTACGATCTGCTGTGATAAAATTATAATTTTAACAATGTCATCTATTATTCCCACTTTTGCAACCCCCACCCCCGCCGTTTGTGTGAGCAATGGGGTCAAAAGGTTGGGAAGAAATAATGTCGTTTTGCAAAATATCAATATGTCAGTTCCTGCAGGAGTCACGTGAGACTTGATTATTATCACTAGATAAATGCATCGATTATCGAAATTAGAAATAATACATGTTTAAATTAATTACAGGTATGCTTTACTAGGATCTTCAGGTTGTGGGTAATTTACTAAATATAATTTTATGACACTCTTGCTATATGTGTAAATTGATTTGTCCATTTACAAAATCTAGAAAAACTACACTGCTGTCAAGCATTGTGGGTCTTCGAAAGCTGGACTCTGGCAGCGTCCATATTTTTGGTCACAATGCAACCAAATCAGACCAAAGCTTGATCGGTTATATGCCACAGGTCAGGTACATTACGTAATATGTTTGTATGTATGCATTTATGTAGTACTTTTGTTATATAAAATGTCCATTGCAATTTTTATGATAAGTTACAATTCTGGTTTGCAGGAGACTGGGCTCCATTTAGAACTTACAATTGAAGAAGAGCTTCACTTTTTTGGACGACTTCATGATCTAGATTCCTCAGTAATTAACGAACGGATAGAATTTTTTGTAAATCTTCTTCAGCTCCCTAAACCGCTGAGTGTTATTGGAAATCTTAGGTGAGCACTAAGTTATGAATTTTTAGTCTTTGGGTTCGTGAGGAAAATTAAGTTTCTTTAAATATAAATTAGTGGTGGAGAGATGCGGAGAGTAAGTTATAACAATATTATAATACTGCATATATATTATAATACTATTACGTAAAAGTAAATTTTCTACATAATAATTTTTATTGTATTTAGGTTAGTTTAGCTATCGCTTTGCTTCATAAACCAAAACTGATGATTTTAGATGGTAATAATTTTGAGTTAACTTATAATTGACTAATTGAGATTAAGATATAACTTACTGATGAATTTACAGAACCAACTGTTGGCGTGTGTCCACTTTTAAGACAAAGGTTACAAGCAGTTATGCTAATGAGCTTAATTAATTCATCTGATTTTTTCTAAAAATGACCATGCTTTTTTCGAATTTGTTAAAAATAGCATTTGGGACTTTTTGTACAAGCTGGTAAAACATGACGGGGTTACAGTTGTGGTTTCAACGCATTACACACAGGAAGCTTCTCAAGCTGACCTTGTTAGTTGACCATTCAATAGTCAAGTAATTATTTTCTTTAGTAGAAAACATACTACTTAATTGTACCAGGTCAGCGTCATGCGGCATGGGAAGCTCTTGGTCGAGGAACATCCCCAAGCTCTGATGGAACAGTATGAAATGCATATTTTAGACAATGTCATTCTTCAATTGTGCCGAGCCCAAGAAGATGAGAAACCTGGAGTAAGTTTCTGCAAGGAAACTGGGAACATTCTGAGTGTTTCTTATAAGCGAAGAAATAGCGGAGATCACCATCAATTATCCAAAGTTATAACCCAGCCAGCGAACAGCCAAGACAATTTTCAAAAGAATAGTAAGTAATAGATAATAGTCATAAGGAAAATTCAGCATATAGATATGTGATTCTATTCGATAGACTGGAGCTTGAGGCGTCACTTGAAAATCGTTTATGCACTATTTATCCTACAGTTTACAACATTAATTCGACGCCCAATGTTAGTAAAGATAATATATTTTGTAGCAATTTGTGAGGTGATATGAAGATCTTAACACAGAAAAGGTTGTGTTTTTGTTAAATATTGCAGAATCCTTTCCTGTATGATACTTGTGCCGGCTAGTGAGGTATTCTTCGTTTGGGGAATTTTTATTGGAACTCCAATTTCAAATTTAGGTAAGTGTGTAATTTGCATATCTACATCCACCCATGTACATAAATATAAGTACTTATATGCACCATATTCATCCAAATTTTCTAATTTTTAAACTTTCTCAGGGGTGATAAACGAAGAGCAGCCTAATTGCTTTATGCTTCCTTTGAATGAACATAAGATTGGATGTGAATTTCTAACTTTGTTGAAACAAGGTGATCGACTAAACCTGGTATAGAAAATTATTAAATACAAATAATTTTTGGCAATAATTTGTCGATACGAGTTTTTTTTCTACATGTCAAATTATATCTTTACGCTTTTAGGAAATATATGCCTCTGAAGAATCTGCTCTGGCTAGTTTGAAATTGGGGAAAACGCACGGCTATTTAGTAATTCCGAAAAATTTTTCAATCCATACGGTTGATCGTGTCGCTTTTGGGAAATTTGCTGATGGAGATACTCTGGCTGGTTCGTCCATCCCCATTTATATCGATTACTCGAGTAAGCTCAAGTGACTATTTGTATATAGACCATCCAACATGAGGGTTGATTTACAAGGGTCAAATAACTAAAATAAATTAATATAGATTTTTTGAGGAATGAGTTTCTTGTCAATGATCTATACGACGGGTTTTTTAACTTGGTGAAAAAGAAAGTTAATCAAACTTTAGAAAACGGGGGAGCTGATGGTCTATCAATAACCACCAATACTGGTTTGACCCCGTTTAAAGTGTGTACGACGTTTCTTAAAAGCTTAAAATAATTATGATTATATTTTCCTATAATTGTATTCTTCCATAATTGCCTGCAGACAAACGAAAAACTGAGAAAGTTATCTCACGTTGTGGAAACGACTTGGGCAGATCAATCTGTATCAACATGTCTCACATCGTACGGGATCTCAAACTAAATGTGGAAACTATGATGCAATTTTACTAATTATTTTGTGTGTCTTTCGAAGATTCATCATGATTCTACCCGCAATTGTTGGAGTGACGTTGGTGTGGGATAAAAAGAGGGGCGTCTTCTCTAGAACAATTGTCTGTGGGGGGAGTCTTCCCCATTTCATGATGTCTGCCTGGTCCACATATACCATCCTTTTCGTTGCTCAAGTGATTGGAAGTTTTTTGGTGTTGCATTTTTTAAAAACGCCATTTATTGGATCAGTTGCGGATGCTGTGGTCATTGTCTATGGCCAGGCCATGGTTGGTTTGTCGTTTGGTATGAAAATACTCGATTTACTTAAGATGCCTATAAGTGACTGGACAAGTTGATATCTTATTTTCAGGACTTCTTGTGGGTACCGTTTTCACCCAGGAGTTGGAAGTGATATTTTGTATTATGTCGCTATATATGATTGCTAGTACCACTCAAGGTGCCCAATTTGCACATTTATACATGAGTAATTTATGTAATGTACCATAACGGCAGTTTCTTCATTTTTAGGAGGTGTCACTGATTTGGCCGGTATAACTTCTAAGTGGGTGCGATGGTACGTGTTTTCTCTTCCCATCAAGCTTCCAACTACGGCCGTGCAGAATATTATGTTCAGAGGATGGTCCCTGGGTCATCCGGGAGCATGGTCTTGCTTTTTTGTTCAAGGAGTCTGGATACTGGCGTCCTTCTTGCTTACAATTGTTGCCTATAACACTCGCAACTTTTAATTGCAGATTTTTTAAAGTTTGTATAGATTTTTATATATTTACAATTTACATACATACATCTTTTACTCAAATACGTATAAATGTATACTAATTTCGGAGTTGGTCAAATACAAATCCGTAGATCAAATTGTTGTTAAATGAGTACTTTATTTTGCATGTTACCAAAATTTTCAAAAAAATAGAGTACAATGATACACACTAATTTATTTTTCATTCAATTTCTGGTGACGGTAGAACATCTGAATTCGCGTCTCTGTACTGTACTCGAACCTGAAGGTGGATTACTGACCGTAGTATAAAAATAAAATAAAATGTGCATGAAACAAAAACGATTGCCAAGCTCAGTGTTTATAAATATATTTCAAGTGGAGCTCTAAATCAAAATAAATAAATACAAAAATTTGAATTCATCTTGCATGTGCTTCATTATTTTGTGGGGACGACCTCGCCTCAGGATAAATCAGCTTCTTCATCACTAACTGGTGGAGGGGGTAGAACATATTCTGATGCTGGTGTGGTCTCATCTATTCTTGTCAGTCCAGACCCGTTGACCACGCCAAAGGTCCCACCCAAGTAACTCGGTTGTATCGGAGGGACATAGTCTTGCGCACGTGTGAACGTAAATGTCTGGCCATTAACAGTCAAGCCAGATACCGGGCCATCCTTCAACCGTTCCCAGATTGGTCGCTTGTCTTTACGCATTTTCATAAGTTGGCTCCCAGTAAGAAACAGTGGCCCCGAGGTAGTGCTGCTATTATAATCTGATGAGTTTGCATCGTCGGGATCGGATGGACTGCTGTTTCCTAATGAATTGACCATTTGGAAATTATATGTATGTACATAAAGTTAATTACGCAAGGTTACTGTATACTTTACCAGTGATAAAGGCCAATGCAGATGCGGCAGCATTTTTTACTGAGGTGTAAAGATCCCCAAAAAATCCACGGCCTTGCATCCCTGAAGTAAATAGATAACAACCAACTCTGTATTGGACACTTTTATGGAACTTGATTTATAAATCTCACGTTCTCCATCTCCATCTTCGTGTGGTTGATAGGAGAGGTCGTTATTTTCGTCATTGTTCACTTGCTTTGGAGACAAACGGTGCCCTGAGAAAGCGAACGATATGGTTTCAATTCACACGCATATATGTATATACCTAAAATAACTTGAAACTGGATTACCGTCAGGGTAATCGTTGTAGATAAGGTCGCTTTCAACTGGTCCTGCCTCGCTGTAATCTTGATTGTCCCCTAATGGACCAAGATATTTTTCATAAGTGGAAATATTCCCCGTAAAATCGACGTAATTATTATATTCATCTCGATCTTCTTCCTTTTCTTGTTTCTTTCTTACTTCTGAAATATAAATGGTTTCGTATTTAGATTCATGTTTACTCATTACCGCTCCCTCAGGCATTGGAAAATTGGAATTGTCAACAACTTATTCTGTTTAAATTTCAAAGATGATTCGTTCAACCAATAATCTAAAACGGTAAGAGTTTAGTAACGAAATAAATATTCGTACTGCATACCATTTCTTACGCCAGTATTCTCACTGCTTTCACTATTTACGTCCTCAGCACTATACGTCTCGGAGGGGGTCCAAAAATCATTTCTGTACGGGACTGCATCTATTCAGACAAATATTACGGGTGGGTCATGTCCGCCCTTCTGAAAAATATTTGTGTAAAATATTTTTTATGTTTTAGATACCAGTGATAAAGAAGATCCATGCACCTACGAGGATGCAAAAGCACTGCCATATCCACGACATGTCTTGTTGCTTTTATATTGTCTTCATTAATTTTATAATCAGTGACACTGGAATACAATCAATAAAGCGTTGCACGGTCCGGAGTGAATATATGCAGTTATACATGCATAGAGATATATGTACTTATACACATGTACATATTATGTGAATAATTGTAAAAATCGACTTTAGTTTTGCATGGGGTTTCTTAATTTAATTTAATTTCACAAAGTTAAGAATTAAATTGGTAGCACGGTTTTGCACCGTTTTACGTTTTATGCTTGGCGATTCTTATCACAGAAACTCTGCGATATACTAAACAACAGTGATTCACAATACAGAGCTTGAAATTAGAAAAAAAGTATAATTGGCAAGTAACAAATACAAAGTCAAAGTTAGTGGGTCATATATCGGTATCTAATGCTATTGTCTGCTATTGTCGGATAAATGTATGTAGTTTGTAGTATAAATCTTTATTATTCGCGTTCTTCGTGAAATATTTACAAACGAAGCAGAAATTTGTAAGCTCAGCGTTCATGTATTTTGAGCGGAAGGTTAAATTAATTTATACATAAATACATAAAACTTGGATTTATTCTATAGGTGCTTCTGTAGTCGTGTCCTCTTCTGGAGAGGCTTCTGTGGTCGAATCTGGTGACTCTGTCGTCCCATCTTCTCCACCAGCAGCTTCGGATGTGACTTCAACTTCTGTATTGGTTTCAGTAGTTTCTTCATTAGCCTTTTCTGTTGTTCCAGAATCTTCAGAGTTACACAACCATGTGCATCCGGCACTATCACCACTCGTGGTTGACTCGTCATCGGAACTTTCTGTAGTTGCCGTATCAGCATCGTCTGTGCTTTCAGTTGTTGGTGCTGTGGTTGACGAGTCATCGTCATTGTTTGCATCAGTACTTGTGCCGTTTGAACCATCTTCTGATGTAGACACCGTGGTGGGTGTGTCGTCATCTACTCGAGCCAGCGGCATTCCAAACCCGTTGGACACCCCAGAAGAATAGCGATAGGTTCCACCAAAATAACTCTGTTCTTTCGGAGGAACGTAGTCTGAACCACGTGTGAATGTAAATGTTTGGCCATTAACGGTCACACCAGATACCGGGCCATCCTTCAACCGTTCCCAGATTGGTCTCTTGTCTTTACGCATTTTCATAAGCTGGCTCCCAGTAAAAAACAGTGGTCCCGAGGTATTATACTGTGACGAATTTGTCTCTTCCGGTAGAGGCTCCGCAGGACCACTGCTCCCCCCTGAATTGACCATTTGGAAATTTTACATAAAATCAATAATCTTACTGGAGTACTTATTTACCAGTGAAAAAGGACAGGGCAGATTTGGCTGCATTCTTTACCGACGTGAACATATCCCCAAAAAATCCACGGCCTTTTATTTCTAAAGTAAACCATGTAACAATGTATAATAATAAAATCAAGATTCCACGTATTTTCTGGAACTTTATTGATTATTAATCTCACGTTTTCCAAATTTGTCTTGCCGTTGATTGTTATTTTCGTCATTGTTACTGTCGTCCGGTATTTCTGCTGCTTGTTTTTCTGTGAAACTGATGATGTCAATTCACACGCATTATTTTATAAACAATAAACAAATTCAAACCGGGTTACCAGCAGATGCTGTGTCATCGTCGTAAACAATATCGTTTTTAATTGGCCCAGCCACGTAGTAGTCTTGGTTGTCTTCTAATGACGTAAGGTATTTTTCACTAGACAAAATATTCCCAATAAAATCGACGTAATTGTTATCTACATCTTCTTCTGAAATATCAATGGTTTCGTCCTTTTGTTTTCTCGTTTTCGCTTCCTCAGACTCTTGCGAATTAGAGTTGTCTTGTCGTTCATGAATTTAAAGGAAATAATTACAAATTAAGTTTTGTTGACCAAAATTCTATTGTATGTAAGATTTTAGGTCGCTTTTGAGACTATAATCAATAATAGCAAGATTTCAGTAAAATATCGCGTACCATTTTTTCCTCCTTGATTCTCAATGCTTTCACTCTTTAACTCCTCGGAAGGGATCTCTAAATCTTGACGTGTCCTGTACGGTACTGCGTCTATTCAAACAAGTATTCTGTGTGGTTCATTTTAGCACTCATGAAAAATATTTAGAAAAAGTAATTATGCAAGTGTCAAAAGCATAGGTAACCTGAGACGACGAGGATCCATGCACCTACAAGGATGCAAAACCACTGCCATGATATCCACATGTCTTGTTACTGGTATGTTGCTCTCATTTAGCAATGAATGCAACTGTATTTTTTAAAAATACATACAATCAGTAAGGCGTTGCAGAGTAAATAAATGCACGCTGCTGTACCCATTTGTATATGTAAAGATATGTGTATAATTCGTAATTAACAAACAGAGCCAAAGTTTTGAATTGCTATTGTCCACTACAGATTGTAAATATTTGGGTAATCTTGTATTATGAATAGGTACATACATATTTAAACTCTTGATTATTCCCGTTCATCAGTGAAATAAAAATTAACTAGCAATTTTGATATTAAGCTCATTGTTATATATTTCGAGAGGATGTTTTAATCAAAATAAGTAAATAAATATTTAACTTTATTTTGTAGGTGCTTCTGTAGTTGTGTCTTCTTCTGTGGCTTCTGTGGTCGAATCTGGTGACTCTGTCGTCCCATCATCCTCACCAGCAGCTTCGGATGTGACTTCGACTTCTGTATTGGCTTCGGTAGTTTCTTCATTATCTTTTTCTGTTGTTTCAGAATCATCAGAATTACACAACCATGTGCATCCGGCACTATCACCACTCGTGGTTGACTCACCATCGGTACTTTCAGTAGTTGCCGTATCAGCATCGTCTGTGCTTTCAGTCGTTGGCGTTGTAGTTGACGAGTCATCACTGCCGCTATCGCTAGAAGCACCAACACCTGTAAATATTCACCAATTTCAGAACAATAGTTAACGAGTTGAAGAAATGCAATATTGACAAAGTTTAACTCACCAAAAAGAGATTTAACAGCTCCAACTGCTTTGGATGCCATGTTTGATGCAGATTCTAAAGTATGAATTGCAACTTTAACGATGCTGTGTTTAATAAAAAAGTAGGCAACGTGGTATTAAATTGGCATACCATATAAACTACTAAAGAACCCTCGACCGTTCCGACCTGTGAAAGGTTAAGATTTTAAGGGTACATACGTAGACAAGAAAATATGACAAAATGTAGTGAAATACGTGTGTGCATACTAAATATCTATTTACCTCTACCATGATAACCATAATAGTCGTCATCGTCATCATAATAATAGTCATCATAATCGTGATAACCATAATCCTCATAGCTGGAACTGCCACCCTTCCAACTTCCGGATTTATACTTCGATCTATACGAGGCATGTGGGGGAGGTCGTCTTTGTTCCTCCTGTGAAGGAAGTTCTGCTTCCCATTCGTCATCGTCTAGTGGTGAAAGTTGAGTTTCTTCTTCTGTTAGTGAGAGTTGACCGCCTTGTTCGTCTTCTGGCCGTGAAAGCTGAACCTCTTCTTCCGGTGATGAAGGCTGAGATTCTTCATCTGGGATGAGTTCATTTTCTTCCTCAAGTGGCACCCGAGTTGACTCTTCCGCTTTCAGCGATAATGGCGACTCTTCGCTTGACACAACTTTCTCAAGTTGTTGTTCTTCATCGATACCATTATTTTCTAGTTCTTCTTGGGCATCACCCAATTCTTGGAGTCCTTTAGAATATCGGCTTGATCTGTGCTCCCATTGAGCGTTTGTTGCTCCATTTTGAAGTAAATTGTTAGAGCTGCTTAAGTATGGATAAGCATCTACACAAAATCAATATTATTAGAAAAAGCTGGAAATGAGAGAAAAGTATTAAAAACAACGAGTTAAATGAGGAAAATTGCTAATCATATAAATTATCATGTATTTTGTTATTGTAAAGTTTAAAAATAGTCTTCCTAAACCGTTTCACACGACTTTAATCAATTAATAGAGGATTGAAGGAAGCCATAAACACTAAAAATTACGTAAATAGATGGCTTGTCTCATATTCTATTTAAATTTGTACCTATTGTCACACTAAGCACAAGTGTAAGTAGTAACGCGAATAGATGACGCCTTGACCTTGAAGCTTGATTAACCAACCACATTGTGCGTACTATTGTATCAGTACTTTGCTGCTAAACCAAGTCAATTCAAAAACACTTAACTTTATTATCCCCAACACGATAATGCATTTCTTTGAATACCTGCATATGCTCATCAAAAGGCGATACATGACGTTGCACTAGGTCAACAGGTCACTTCCTACTAGTTCCTACACTATTAATTAAATACCTACAAAAATTCATTGTATTTCAGAATGCATATGCCTTAAGGATCATTGTCATCTTCAATAAAAATTGTTCTTTAATGCATTCGGCAATTGCTCCAACCACGTCAAAGCAGACAATAGGAAATTTCAAATAAATAATAAATATATGAGATTGGCATACACATTCATGCATATGTATATTTGTACATAATATGTACAAATATTATGTAAATATGTACTTGCATAAATAATTGCATATTAAAGTAAATAGTCAATAAATCCAAACATAAGTTCATCACATGATGAAACTACAGAGGGTGTCCGCAGTTTATATGAACAGTATGAATTACCTTATAACTTCTGAACACGATGACTGTGAATTACTTTAGCGATCTCAATGTGTTCTCCATTTTTCCTAGCAACAAGTCTGAGTCTTGGTTTCCAACCTCCAAACACATTTTGACACGTTTCAGGGGAGACAAGATCCCATTCATGATTTACAACTTTCCAAAGCCCAACCAAAGTTCATGACTTCCTCTTGAAAATGCTTTGTTTCAGGCATCCAAACCCGAAAAAATCCATCTGACCCGTGTCAGATTACTGCATATGGACCTCGAAATAAGATGTCGAGGTCATTCCGGTTCTTTATTATAAATCTTGGGCGTAATGCTGAATTGACCAAGCAGTATGTGAAGATGCCGTATCGTTATGGATGCAAACTTTGTAAAGCTCCTCAAATTGCTTCGTTCGAATTTTGACCTCCAAAAGCGTATGTAAAGCACTCTCCATAAGAGGAAGGCCGAGTGTACTGTACAACCCCTTTTCGCCTCGATGTCACCGAATTTCGCATAAAAAATTGGAACCTTATATTTTGGTGAAAGGATCAATATAACGTAGCTATTATTAATTTATATGCAACCACACCCCCTTCAAAAATTGCGGAAGAAAATTGGGAAAAGTGAGAAAATAAATGTACACTCGGTACAAAAAGATTTAGACCCCAAGTTGCATTTGACATTTGACTTCCCCCTTGAATACGAACATTTTGATGCATCAAGAGTTTCAAAATTCGAAAATTGGCGGTTTTTTCACATACACATAAATCGTTAAAAAAATCATGGTAGCGGCCATTTTTAGTCTGACAACCTGATGCCAGATTTTTCTTCATGAGAAGAGCTACATTTTCAGCCTTGGTTGTCCGACTAAAAATGGCCGCTACCATGAGTTTTTTGGGGTCAAAGTTTCTGGGGGAGGCGCTTCATAAGGCAAGAGCCGTAGCAAGGCAGCTTATGCAATAATGACATGTATATAATAAATAGCCAAAAAATTTAAAACTTAAGCTTTTCTGAATATATAATGATAATGTGCACTCAAATTTTTACGCTACAGTGCTTATCAGTGCACTTATCAATTTCTAAGATAAGCAAATTTAGTCTGTCCAAACCGCCCCAAATTTAAAACTTAAGCGTTTCTGAATTTATAATGATACTATGCACTCGAGAATTAACGCTACAGTGCTTATCAGTGTACTTATCAATTTTTAAGATAAGCAAATTTAGTCTGTCCAAACCGCCCCAAATTTAAAACTTACGCGTTTCGGAATTTATAATGATACTATGCGCTCGAAAATTAACGCTACAGTGCTTATCAGTGTACTTATCAATTTTTAAGATAAGCAAATTTAGTCTGTCCAAACCGCCCCAAATTTAAAACTTACGCGTTTCGGAATTTATAATGATACTATGCGCTCGAAAATTAACGCTACAGTGCTTATCAGTGTACTTATCAATTTTTCAGATAAGCACATTAAGCACATTAAGCACATGAATGCATTACATATTACATTAAATGAGATGCTCGTTGGTAAGAAAATGTTCACCATAAAATGTTTGTCAGAGAGAGACAAAGACTGGTGAGTTTCATACGCCCCTTCTGCGAGCGGGTAGTGACACCTGCGAGAATCAGCCTGAATCTCTGTCTCTCTCTGAAAAATGGAATCAGGGAAAGTTGTACACATCCAGTGGAATGCCTCATAAAGTGCTTCGAGTTAATTTTTGCATTAGACCCAACAGGTATCAATTCTAGCACTCCACGGCTCGTCATTGCACCAACCACCAGAAATCCGTCAGACAGCTTTTCCTTCTTTTCAGACCCATAGTTTGAAACCTGCTTCTGGTCGTTTCTGAAGCGAATCATTTTTATCCTGTTATAGTTTTGAAGGTAGCAGAGTGCCCCCTCCAACGTGACGACAAATTCGGAATTTTTACTCCCAACATGACCTTCAAACAGCCTCGGACTGTTAATTTTTTGTTTACAACATTGGATGATTTTAGTGTTCCGAATTTCGCCTTCCTAAGGACTGCTTTTTCAAAGTTGTGATTTATAACACGATTAACGTGTTCAATAGGCATCTGGGATTGTTTTGTGACGTTTTTTTGGTCGGATGCTTCTCATTGAGAGGGAGGCGGTCATTTTTCTTGAGGGTGGGAGAATTCGTCGTTTTGAGGGGTGTTCATTTTTAGATATACATTGGTCGGATTTAGCTAATCATCATCGTTTTCTTGCAAAATTGATGAAGGGATATATGGGGGACACGATAAGATGGGTTTCAGATTTTTGGATAATCGTTTGGGCACTTTCCGCGGCCAAATTAGCTTCGGAAACCGCTGTTACGGTTCCCCCACTTTGGGGTCGCTTTTTGGGGCCACCTTTGAAGATACAAATTTGAAACTTTGCACAGCTGTTGTCATGACCTTGAAGTTAATGTGTGCCAAATTTGGCGCCAATTGGATCATCCGTTCGCATGTTACCCGTGTAAATCTAGTGTTCATATAATCTGCGGACATCCTGTATCTGTAATCTTGACTTTTAGTTAATTCCAAGATCAAAATTAACTTGAGTAGAACTTGCACAGATAGATTATGCAATCTTGTTGCTGAGATCTTGTTCTATTCTGCAGCAGGGTTTTCTGTAACTTTTTCTTCTGCCGGTGCTCCTTCTGCAGATATTGTTGCTTTTTCCATGACTGCTTCTTCAGCTGTAAAGTCGTTGTCGCCTTCAGTTCCTGGTGCCGTTACTTTACTGTCGCCACTATTCTTTGTAGAGTCGGAATCACCAGCAGCGCTTTCTCCCTTGTCTACGGTTTTAAACAACCCCGTAAATATTTCCAAAAAAACCACATCCTTCACGTTTTGCAGTGTAAAAACAAGGGGTTTTAATAAATTACCGAAGGTAGAAATATCTTCATCAGAAAGTAGCGAATCCCCATCATAATTGCTGTAGTCATCTTCAATATTGCCATAGTTGGCTTCTGCGCTTTCAGTTTCATGTTCTTCGCCATCGAAGAAGGACTCTGATAAGTTTATTATTCTTAAAATTTGATCCTGAATGAATTTTTAACCTTTGTCTACGCTATGTTATATCTCATGCATACCTTCTCCTTCACCGCTTTCTAACAAATTCTTCTCTACAGAATCGCCAGGTTCTTCTGCAGAACGTGACTGACGCCTTGCAGTGTCATCCCCAGGACTACGATATGATCTACCGTGTGCTAATGAGTATCATGACAAGTGAAGTCAATAAAATAAAATGGAATCTTGTACATACGTATTTACTGTAGCTACCCACCTGACCCAATAACGCCCAATGTGGCTAGAAGTGTTAGAACTTGAAAACCCTTTCTCCTTGAAATAAACCACATTATCATAAGTGCAACTTTTTTTGGCGACGGTCACTATAAATGTACCTAAATAATGCTAAACAATTGAACTTATCAGGCACTGGTGTGTTGACTCATACCAGTAAATATATGCATGCGTATGCATGTACAAATACTTGAGGGTCAAAAAACTTATGCTAATCTACCTTTAAGTGTGTATGCATTCCTATTTTATGAATGAAAGTAATGGGACTGATAAGTTTAGGTATTTACTATTTACCCGACAAGATTTTCCATTCAATGTTAATATTTCCGCAATCAATGTTTTTCAATTGACAATTAGCTGACGAAGACATATCAATTGAACCAGGTCAGCCAAATATCAATGAGCAATGCAAAAATTTGAATGAACCACAAAGGTGTAGACAATTGAGCTACAATCGAAGTAATGAGTAATACACTATTACTGATTGGTAATCAATTTATTAATCAATTAAATTCGTTTGTAATTGATTTGTATTTGAGAAATGATGGGAATTTTGACAGTTTGGAGGACTTTCAGAAGACTGCTGCTCAGAAACCACCTAAAGGAACAAAATTAGTGATGTTAACGTCCTAAAAATAATTTAACTACCAGTAACTGACCATATCCCCATCCTGGGTATCCATAACCTCCCCATGGCATGCCGCCCCATCCACCACCCATTCCTCCCCAAGGAGCACCCCAACCGCCACCCCAGCCTCCCATCCCCCAAGGTTGCGGACGTCCATAACCACCCCATCTTCCTCCAAACCCACCATATCCCGGTGGACCCGGGGGACCCGGTGGACCATAACCACCCCCACCGTAATACGGAGCAGCAAATCCAGCTCCTCCCATTCCTCCCGCAGCAGCCGCAGCACCAGCAGCACCAGCGCTTCCTCCCATCATTCCTGAAGATCCTGCAGCAGCGGCGGATGCAGCGGAGGCTGCTCCAGCTCCGCCCATGGCGCCACCACTATAACCGCCACCATAACCTCCTCCCATTGCACCACCCGCAGCTGCAGCAGCCGCCGAACTTTGTTGTGCATTTCCCAGTGCATTTACGTTTGCGCCATTCAATACACCGCCTGAAAAGTCCCCAAAATTAGCAAGGTCATTCTTTCCCCAAAGCCTTCTATTCCTTACCTCCAGCTAAACCATTCAAAGCTCCACCACCACCACCAGCACCTCCTCCGTAACCAGGTCCCCCGTACCCGGATCCCGGTGGGGGGCCGTACCCACCGCCGCCTCCAATTGCTCCTGCTGCTGCTGAACTCTGTTGTGCGTCTCCGAGTACGTTTATGTTTGCGCCATTTGCGATTCCACCGCCGGCCAAACCATTCAGAAGACCACCACCACCTCCGCCTCCTCCAGCGCCTCCACCATATCCGGATCCCGGTGGGGGGCCATAACCACCACCACCTCCTCCACCCATTGCTCCAGCTACTGCTGAACTCTGCTGTGCATTGCCCAGTGCGTTTATATTTGCACCATTTAATACGCCACCTAGACAAGGTCTCAGAATTAGTAAATTTGCCCAAGTTAACTATCAAGTAGGTACATAAAGTCATTTCTCACCTCCAGCCAAGCCATTCAAAGCTCCACCACCTATCATTTTTGGAAATAATTAGCAACATTTCTTCATATTTTTGCCACTTTGGTTTTTAGTTTAAGCAAAACTATACCTCCACCGCCCCCACCGCTATAACCTCCGGCGCCATACCCACCACCACCGCCACCGCCGCCGCCCATTGCTCCAGATATTGCTGAACTTTGTTGTGCATTTCCCAATGCATTCACATTTGCACCATTTAATACGCCACCTAATTAATTAATTTTACAAAATTAGTAAGTTTGTCCAAGTTCATTTTCATGTAAAGTCTTGTCTCACCTCCAGCCAAGCCATTCAATAGTTGTGGAGCACCTGTGCAGTCGAAAAACTAAATATGTAGATATCTCGAACAGGCTAAAATGCTAAAAAAATCCGACTTACCATGAACGTAGCAAACGGACGCGAGAACTAAAATGTACGATTTCATCTTGTCAGTTGTTTGACTTTAGCGAAGAAACCGAGAAACGGGAGTGGGTGACGCTTTTATCCAGTGCTCTGGGTTTTATAGCCTCCACAACTTTATTACCAAAGCCGTCAAAGTTTCGAGTAGAAAGTAAACGTGATGGATAAAGTGGAAAACAATGAACCTATTTTTTCTCCATTTTCAATTGTTAATAGAAATTTGAAGGGTTGTGAAATGGTTTTCGATTGTATTTGGTTACGAAAACTTATCCATACGTCACGCAACGGTAAAATATAACTGGCATGCCTATGTAACACTTGATTTTATTGCCATAAAATCCGATTGTTTTCATCGCCAAATGGAGGGCATTTGAAAAATATGACGCTATTCCTTCCTTGCATAAGGAAGCTTTGCCAATTAAAAAATATATTTTGATTGAATAAAATCGTCCTTCGGTGATACGTATTAAAGTTTTTGTTTTTAGTATGAAATCAACTGTCTCATTCGTAATAATTACATGTGTATACAAATCAATATTTTGTGAAGATATTGCGCAGGACGTCTGAGGGTGAATGCAATGACATGAAATGTCCCAAAATTAATTAATGAAGAAAACTGTGGAAATGCAAACCTAATTCTGGTTAGTGATGGGTTTAAACATTTTCCACATTTGAAAATAAAGTAGGTATAATTTTAAAGTTGTTAACGCAAACGGAACAACATGCAGAACAAACTTTAGAAACGATGTATGCATATTAAATACAAATATGTAAATTGGAAGGAAATTAAACTGACAGAGTGAAAATTGGAATTATAGATTACAACAATTGACAGACATGTGATTCATTTGCCAAAAAATACTTATTTCACACACACAACATGTGTTAACGTCGTAAATTGAATCGATGGCAGGATACCATAGCAAGGTCACTTCTGGCGATTACAAAGACAAAGAAAATTTGTTATGACTGGGTAATTACAACACTTATTATTATTACATAGAACTTATTCCCTCTACACAGAATGTGCTTCGAAGACGCAAAATATCTTACTGTGTACATATGTCGAGTGGACTGCATCGTAAAATTCCGAAATTAAATTTATGCAAGCTAGGCCATGAAGTGAGACTATATAAATTTAGGTATATGAAATTGTTTAAATGCACATTAACGTAGTTTTTTGAAGATGCTGGAGCGAATTTTTTTAGAACAATACTTTTATTCCTGAGAGTGTTTATTATAAATAGCTATTTGCATTTTTTCACATACTTAAAAATATCAGTTTCGTCTAATTACGCTGTAAATGCATCTGCTTACTTCAGTAGCAACGAAGCAATTTTTCGAGATTTACGTTGACCATCTTCCGGAAGTGAACTAACCCATTTACGAAGCACGGTTAGACCAACGGCGAGAGAAATTATTACAGCACCAACGATACTGGAATATATTGTTCAATTGTTGCAAGAAGTGATATAAATAGGTACATACATAACTCATTGTTTCAACTATGGTGTTCTCACCTGAACAAATCTGGTACCAAATCAAATATGAGAAACTGAAGGATAAAAGCAGTCAAGGTATCCGATGCCGTCCTGACAATGGAGAATGGTCCTGCATCTTCACACTTTAGAGCCAATGTCAATGTCATTTGTGACGCGAAGGAAAGTGCACCCACACCGACCGCCAGCACCCAGGTCAAGGTGTCACTAGGCAAGGCAAACACGTCCAAAATCAATACTGCTACAACATTTTGGACTAATTGGAGAAATCCGACAGATAATACTACCAAAGGCCCATTAACGGTTCGCAATCCTCGCACGAAAACAATCGCAACCGTGGCAAAGACCATCCGACCAAGGGCTAGTCCAGTTCCAATCTAATAATTAATTACAAAGCAATTGTGCAATGCCATTCGTACATTCGCTGCTATTTAATGGTTTCATGTATGTACCAATGTGTCCATATCATATTCCTCTTTTCCCGTGATAATTGGTGGTTTGGCAATGCACACAATTCCACTCAGCGTCAGAATGGCACACAACATTGGGACCAAACCACATCTCTCGCCAAGCGTGATATGTGCTAATAGTGCCACCGTAACCATCGACATTGATCCGATGACGCTAACATCTGCAACTGGGATGTATTGCACGGAAAGAAAATAACCCATTATTGATGCAAATCCGCAAATTGACCTGCCCTGAGTAAATAAGAAGTTGACGTTTATTCCAATTAATGCATGAACTTTCCATTAATTGCAATACATAAATACTTACGAAAAGCAACATCATCATGCCCAATCTTTTCCGGTCAGTTGGTGGCCAAATTGGTTCAAATATGTTGTTCCTTTTATCCAGGCATGCTCTGAGAACGAGTGGTATTGCTGGTACGAACATACCGACAAACCTGAAGAGTCCCACGTTTAATACATGGTACCCTTTCAAATATTTGACAATAATTCCGGTCGAGGTAAACAAAAGACCAGACAAGACGGCAAGAATAATGCCGGCGTAGCGACTCTTCGTCCAACTGGTCGTTTCTTTATTTTTAGTCTTGGTTTCTGTCGTCGCCGTCGTTGACGGAATATCTGAGCTGGGGAGAAATTCAGATTTTTCAGTGATCACGACGACCTCTTCATCATCGACGGGAGCGATGCTGGTATTTTTCTGGTCTTCAAGTAAGGAAGACATCATGATATCGTACGAATTAGAACACTTATGTATTGATACTACTTGGCTTAAATTTTTTTTCAGCTCAAATGTGTGTGTTTGTTTGAATTTGTGTTTGTTTGTTCGAATGTTTATCAAAACCTAAGTGAATAACATATCTTGAACTCGGATAATTGAGCTTGAAAGTAATGGAACACATGCATAAACACATGAATAAACATACAAAATCAGTCAATCAAAACGTGCATATACATACAGATGCTATAATCTCAAGTGTTTGTGGAGTCATATGAGTGTTAATCTGATGTAATCTTAGGTGCGGGTGGTCAGTCATTTCAGACAGAGTAGAAATCATATTCAAGTATGCATGAAAATTATCATCATATGAAACACAATGGAGAATTATTTAGCTATGTACAATTTCAGATCTGATTAAATTTAATTCAAAGTTGAGATATAATTTGGAAACAAGGATATGATTGAGGTACATGAGACGAGCATTATGTGATGCTTTTAAACTTCTTCGGCTGATTCTCCCTTTTTGATTTCGCAGATCTATAAGAAATATTCAAATTAAAATGTGTATCAGGATATATATGTAAATAAACTCAAATAAACATGGGAAACTACACAAGTAATATTTATGCATGTACAAACCTCCATAAATTTCTTGACTTTGCAATCCTTGAAGGCCTTATATCCAGCACACTTATTGTCCAAACTGAACGATTTACCTAAAAATGGAAAAATTTCGTCGTCACATCTTCAACATCATAAACAGAGTCTAATATTTATTGGAAAACTGACCATTAGTGGATGCACATTCATCGACGGCTTTCTTGAAAGCTGCTTGAACAGAAGTAGGCAGAACAGCTTTCATCAATTTTTCAGATCCGTCCGCGTTGTAAGTTCCGTCATCATTCAGCTAAAAAATTAGTTGGTGTTAAAAACTCAAGATAACCGTAATTTTAATGAACCTTGTTAACCTACCATCTTTTGCTTTTTCCACTTACACACTTCGATACACTTGAATGGAGAACGTTAAGCGTTAGTTTGCATATGTACGAAGGGATTATATTTGATTTTTCATAATTTTATATACCAGTTCGTTTTCTTTCCATTTCTTCATCCATTCTTTGCGGTTCTCTTCCGTAACGGTGGTTGGGTTGACCGTGGTGCCTCCGGTTCCAACGACCTCGGCGTAGCATTCCTTCTGACCCACAAACATTGACGTCATATTCATGGACTCTCCCTTGCAGGTCATATTCTTGAACTTTCCCTTCCACTTTTTTCCGTCCGTTTTTCCGGCCTATAGAGTAAAAATTTAATAATATGTTTCGACATTTTTTGAAGTTTTTCTATATAATGCACTATATAAAGTTGATTTTACTCTTACGGATGTTGCGGAAATAATGACCACAAGGACCAACGACAAGACAAACGCAAACTTGTACATTTTGGAAGATTGTTGCGAAAAGTTTTTCGAAAAATTATTTTGCGAGGATTAATTGGAAGATGTGAATGAAGTGAATAATTATAGAGGAAGTGTTTCCTTAAATAGTAAAATTCTGCGGCTGAATCACGTCTCATTTGGTGAATAGAAACTTGTGGCCAGCAATTGTGCAAGCACTCAATGCAAAATTCGTGATCCTAGGCACATCCGGTGTCATATCATTTAATCAGCTAGATCAAAAAAAGAAACGTTTAATACTTACTTTGTAAGCAGAATGTATGAGTATAAACTTATATGTATGTGTGCATAAGTTACAAATTAAGGTGTTAGAACTACATGCGTCACATTACATAGCCTTGAAACTGGACAAATTGTCCAGTATACGCAGTTTAATTTTTAATGAGGTTGCATATAGATTATTATATAATTTATTTTGTCTTCACTTTTAAATATTAAACCTTATCAAGTTTAGCCTAGGATCAGTCAAAAACTGCAGGAAGTTGCATGTGATTCATTGAAAACGAAACATGCCCTAACCACTCGAAAAAGAAGTACAACAAACACGAACAATTCGCCATTATTAATAAATTGCATATGATTTGGTTTATGTTTAATGTTAGAATGTTAAATAATTTTACAGTACCAAGCATATGTACATATGTATTTTTAACTTGTATCTAAAGATTAAGAAAGGCGTGATCATTAGACGTGAGTGAGTAGTTCGGAAAAGAAAGAGAAAGTAGTAGTAGAAAGAGACAACGTCCTACAATTCTGTGTACCGATAGTAGCGATGTGAAACTCATCGTTTAGTTTTCACACAAAAGATTATTGGAGAACAACAACTTATTCATTTTCGCATTTAAAAAACTAACAATTAGTACACCAGATATTTAGATTGCAGATTTTAGACTTTAAAGAAGAAAAATAAACTCTTTCTTTAAATAATCATATGTGTATACTGTTTATGTATATGCTGCATTTTGTCAAAATTGTCCAGCATATGTACATATGCATGTACATCTGTGTATACAAGGGACGCACGGACGCATAATATGGAGCTTGACAATTACTGTGCATACTGCGAGTTACCTGGTTTATAATTCCTTAACCTATGTACATTTCAAAAGTTTTATTGTCCTTACTTTTTGTGCTAATTAACCGAAAATGAACAACAAACTAACATAAATACGTATCAGCGGTATGCATATGTATGTGATTAATTAGTCGAACTCGTACTTATACATATACATAAATGCATGCCTTCGTCCACATAAATACGTATAATTGCCATTGTAGTTTCCGGAAATGATAGCAATTACGAGTAGTTCTTATGGAACTTTATACCCAAATTAGCACTTTAGTACCATGGATTGGGCGGATGGTAGTTAATACTCGTCCTCTAATTTTGTGCAAATTAAGTATGCCATTTTATTGAGCCCTTATCTATTGGGAATCATTATTTTAAATCTGCATCGTGTCGTATTTATAATTTTGCTGGGAGCTGTATCCTTGTGACACGCGATATAAGTAGAATTAAAATTTGTGCATGTATCACGTACGGAGATTTAGTAACTAATATTCTATAGAGAAAATCCTATCTGGCTCGATCAGGGAGAGCATTTTGCAATAAAAAAACTATTCTTTTGAGTTTCATGCAGCAAGTGGGCTAACTACATAAGTATGTACATAATTGGATTTATCATTGTAAATGCATGCATAGGTAGATATACATATGTACGTAAGTGTTACATAAATGTAATTGCATATAGTTCTGTATATGGATAATTTATTTTTAAAGTCAAAATAGATTCGTATAACCATGTATCCGGTTTCAAGATGGAAGAATTCTATAATTCTATCTAGATAATGGCCGAGTTAAATGATTTGTAACTTATGCAGGTATTTTTGTTGATATTAATCTGTAATAAAAGTTTTTGCTCGATTTTGTTTTAATTTTGGACGGTCGAACAAATAAATGGAGATCTCATTTGGAAATTAGGCTTGTAGACTTTGGTATTACTTACATAGGTATTAAGTATACACGAATACTTATTCATATCTTCCCAAGAACTTTCAGGGTTAAACTGTCAAATTCTACGTCTATTTATGAGTCCAACAATAAATAAGAAATGAAGATACTAGATCATAATGTGGTGTCTATTGTTGAGACACTAACTATTGACCATGTACAAATGCGTATCAGTTTCATATATTCAATTTACTTAGTTATACGTACATTTACATCTAGAACTTGATGTCAAAATCAGGAAGCGAGAGGCATGTACTTATTTGCGTAGTTAGACCATGGCTGCCCGATCGCGTATTTATCGAAACTCGAAGCACGTTCATTTGCCAATAATTGATTAAGCAAATAGTTTTAACTAGTTTATTTTGCTTCGGCTTTTGTGTTTGAAATTAAGTGATGCTATATTTATGACGAGGGCGCGTCAATTTCCAGAGAACGAGGCAAATACGTGACCTTATAATTCTAAATAGTAGTCGATGAATTATAATGGTGTTTATTCAATGTGAACAAAAAACAAGATAATCAGAAATAATGAGGCAACAAGACCAAGCTAAATATACACATGCAAACATGTATTTATATGTACTATGTATGTACATATAAAGGTATTCGTTTGTACCTGTTACTCGCTTCATAAAAAACTGTCTTTTTCTAAATTCCAACACTGCCATACATCAAATTTTACCCGGTTTCAAAATGTTAAACACTTTGTGCATTTCTATCTATCATAATTTACTGCAAGTTTGCTGCTTCTTAAAATTAATTCCATACCAATGGGACGAAAAACGACGGAGATTGCTCAAAGGAGGAACATTGACATGGATCATATTCGAAATTCATTTTGCGATAAATTTTAGCTTCACCTCATTTGCAATCGGGAGACTGGTGAATGCAAGTATTACCAGCAGAAGCTACTTTCCTCTCTTGCTAAGAATTTTAAACAGTGCGTGGGTTGGTATCTACGTTCTCACTTGTTTCTCACATTGCCAGATTAAAATTGATGAGGGGGGTGTAAGACACTTGATTAATTGCATGTTCGTATACATGGAGGAAAAGGAAGAAGAGTGTAAGAAAACGTTTTTGTTGGTTGATACAAATATTTGTAAAAATATAATGTCTCGAATTTAAATACTTACATAGTGTCCAGAATGGCCAAACTGATACTCATCAAGCCAGCAAATCGCCGATTTATCTTGAAAGTGCGAAAATCCCAGGCCCGACTTGGCTACTATCTCTTAATTGGGATGATACTCTGGGTGTTAAACCCAGGAATTCATGCCACTTTGGTGTACGAGAGCCCTTGTGCCCCCCATTTTTCAAGCTCACTCTTTCTTCCATGTGATGACTTTAAGGATCACTTTATTCCATGGCATCATAAAGTTCCATTCATCATGATTGAATATTATCTCACAACGATTATCTTTACGTCGTTCTCTTTCAACTGGGCTGTTATTTTCTTGGGGCTGTCATGGGTTGTGGATGAACTAAAGAGCATATCGTAAGTTGCGATATGCTTTTGTTTTTCCAGAGTTGCGTCATAATGCATCATTTATTTCACATTTTTCAATTGTTTTGTAGGGAGAACGGGATGAATGGAAACCAATCGGGTCACGAAGCTATTGCCGATTACCGAAACGTAGAATGCATCATGAGTCAACTAAATAACTGTTTCAAATTGTATCTCGCAACGTTTCCTACGATTCTATTCTCCGTCGTGGCACTTTTACTGTTTGGCGTAATAAGAATCTGGAAAAACGACCCTGGTTCTAATCTCATGTTTCCTTTATGTGGGGCTCGTTGTTTCTACGAAGCGATCACCCCGCTGAGCATTGCAGGCGTGGTGAATGAGGAAAATAAGAGGTTGATCATGCTGTGGAAGAAAAAGAGGGTGGTGGCTGGGTCTGGACCAAAAGAGGTCAAACTGATGAAAACTTATGCAGCGTCACTAAACGGGGTCCGATGTAGGTCTGGCTCATTGTATACGTTCGAAAATGGAATTGTCCTATGCTGCTTGAATAATTTGATGCAGCTTACGCTAAACTTATTGATTACTTTTAAGCAATATTAGAAAATATAGATAATGATCAATGAAAATTATGCCCACTTTGGTGTTGTATGAAATAAATATTTGAGAAAAGAACATCAATTAAATTCCACTTGCTTACGTATTTATGTGCACAGTCCTAAATAATCGCATTTTTGACAGGGTCGCCGATAATGATAATAAATAAATAAAAATACACGAAATTAGCACCTGATATGTAATTATGTTTAAAATAGCTTGCAATATTAATCCCAACATATTATATAGAAACATTTAACGAATATTTATATATTTATTTGTATTTCCATTTGTAAGAAATAAAACTATGGTAGAAATACTTTGTCGATTTATCTGATTGAACATCCAACTTTACTCATTTCTAATCATGCACAAAATGACAGGAGGTCATTGAGACCTTAGAGCAATTAATCCAATAATTACTCATAAATATCAAGGGCGCTTACGTCAAGCTCTAAAGCTCATATTTTGGAACCACAAAAAGTGTATTTAAATACAATAAATTATCGCTATTATATAAATTACACCATTTATATTTCAAACGATTTATACAACACTTAATAATTTAAAATGTGTAATAGAATCATTCTGATGGTTTCCACAAACCAATGTCGTTCCATCAGAGTACTCATTACAGCTATAAATTCTTACAATTAACCAAAATAAATTACACATTTACATATAACGTACATGTAATGACTTGATTTATTGGACAATTTTTTAACGGAATATTCCACGAATTAAGCTACCTTCAAATGGGAGGATTTATCAAGTAAATCATAAATTTCACAGAATTCATACGCATAAAGTTATGAACGTATTTTAAACAGATTTCAAATGTATCATTCAGAACAATTAATAAATTAATTACTTTACTGCAAAATGAAGATTTTGCAAGATAAAAAAGATTGGATAAACTAGATGCTTAATCAGTCAGTCAGTATTCTGAGGTACTTACATAGGTAGAAATAATTAGGCTTCGATTACAGAATACGTACTGCCATGATGAGGACATCAGGATTTTCACCCATAGTTTCTTTCCTTATTATTGGTGTGTCCTTGTTTGCTACATCCAGCGGAGAAGGGAATGCTCCTCCATTATCAGATTGGGAGTCTTTCAAGGCAATTAACTACACGGCTTAATTGTCATTGGATTATTACACTAATACTTAGAAAATGCTGGTCGTTTATTACAGGCTTTCCACGGGAAAGTTTTTGCTAACTCTGAGAATGAGAAAATTCGCAAGAAAATCTTTTTAAAGAATGCCAAAGCAGTGGAATCGCACAACAAGGCATTTGCAGAGGGTAAAGTCTCCTACCAAAAAGAACTGAATGCATTCGCAGACATCGACGGAGACTCGTTTTCTGCCAACTATTGCGGTTACAAACCTTCAAATGACACAAGGACTGAAACAATGTCTTCTGCATCGGACTTCAGTAACGTTGGACAACTTGATACTAATTTTGACTGGAAAGCAAAAGGAATGGTTACACCCGTTAAGTATCAAGGTGTGTATTTATTATTAGTGAAATCAATATCACAAACGTTCCAAATGGATGGTGGAGAAATTTTTAGGATGTGTTCACTTACATATTTTTACTGCGCATAGGACGCTGTGGATCTTGTTGGGCATTTGCAGCAGTAATGTGTCCATTTTTAACCATTTTACTAAATTAAGTATTTCATTCTATTTAGCTCCATACTTACATATGTACATAGGTCGGTGCAATGGAGAGTCAGATTCTGATCAAGGGTGAAAATCAACAAATCCTTAGCGAAGAACAAGTTGTAGATTGTGATAGTGAGTAAATAAAATAATTACGCACTAAATTTTTCTCATAATTATATAAATATGTACATGCGTCATAAGAAAACATTAAACACTAAAAACATATATAGAAAGGTCTCACGGCTGCGACGGAGGACTACCCATTTTGGCATGGCGTTACATTAAGGAAGCCGGTGGAATAACGACAGAGGAAAAATATCCCTATTCTGCAGGAAATGGACATGCAGGCCAGTGTCACTTCGACTTGAATGGGGCCGTGGCGCATGTTAGTGACTACGGAAGGATCGAGAAGAATGCAGACACGATCATGAAGGGCTTAGTGTCCAAAGGACCAGTAGGTTGTTAAATTTTCTTATAGATCACCAGTTAGCAAAACATAGCAAATGGGTTTCGCGCATGAAATTTTGCCGACCAATAAGACCGAGATTTTGTAAATAAATTGTCCTTTATTTTTAGTTGGCAATCGCTCTGGATGGACGAGAACTGCAAATGTATTCCAAAGGTGTGTACAGTTGCAGGAGTTCTAATCTTAGCCATGCCGTACTTCTGGTTGGGTAACGTACAAAATATAAGAACTCGCATAACTGATAATTCTGCAAATATATTAATTCCGTGTATGAATTTCTAGTTATGGGAATGACGGTGGGAAGGATTACTGGCTGATTAAAAATTCCTGGGGTAGTCGATGGGGGGAGAAAGGTTATGCAAAAGTTCAACGAGGTGCTGGAAAAGATTGCGGCATAACAAAAGATGTGGCATATGTTAACATTTAGTAGTTTGTGAATGAATTTTATATAGCAATTAAATGATACAAAGTATTTATTATGGTTACTGTAAAATTATTAAGCACTTGCGTAAACCAGTTTCCAGAAGATGCAAGGATTCTAACCACCGTTATAGTTATTGACATGTCGATTGTATCTAATTGATCCCTAAAACTCACCTTAATTATTCAGAGCACCCAAAACCACAATAAACAAGCTTTATGAATATGCAAAAATGTATTCCATTTTAAGTATCGATGGTCTTAAGGGTATCGTCATAACGTCATCATACCACTTTACATCCAAAGTTGTAAATTATTGACCTTGGCCAAAGCTTCACAACCTGTTACATACCAGTGAAACTTTTGAAATGCATACGATGGAGATTAAACATACATATGAAGTACATACATAGATTTGGACACTATGTACGTTAGGTAACGTAAATGTGTATCTAACTTTGGACGAACTAACCCATTTCACCATATTAATTATGTATCAATTCATACGCTTCGAATCCTCGCTTCGCATAGACCCAAAAACCTCACTAGATAAGCATTTTAAGACTAAATTCGGAGGTTCATCCGCTCTACTTGTTACCAAAAGTGATGTGATATACAGACAGTCCCATGTTTCACCGGAAACATTGTGCAAACTATATAAATTATTCAAAGACGTATAAGAGACATGATCCGGTTGGTGATTCATTAATTTCCCAGAAATTCTACATTTTATACATATTTCGTTAATAAAACGCATTTACGAAGAAATATTTATAAACTGTTTTGAGAATATTTCTTAAGAAAAGTATTACATACTCTACATAATCTCATAAAATAATACTTCTATTGGTGGAGATACATATGTGTACGTATGTACATTCATGCACAAACTCTGAATGTTTTTAGTTATCGCATCATATACACATGAGTGTACACGCATACACTTCAATTTATGAAATAGTTATTGAAATTGATATTTTCCTGATTCTGGTGAACTGCTTTTACTTTGATAAATATTGATCTTGCACAGTCTTGTGCCATCACTGCTTGATAAGATAAAGATTAATGTGATATTTTATACTACGAATCAGTCTACATTTAGTACTACATTCGTACAAGATTGAAAAGTACTTAACACAAAAGTATGCATGTACATACATAAACACATATATGTTATGAAAACCATCATCGGAAACAAGGAGATTTTGTAACGAAATGCCCAACTTCTTAACAAACCTGACCTTTGATCACAAACAATTTGTTAAGAACTTTTGTTCATTTATATCCTTCATGGAATGAGAGCTTTGTCCTATCAGTAAATATGTATGAGTCATGCAGAATCGTAGTCACTAAAGCCACCAGTTTGGCTGGATACTTTGCCACTACGTTTTTTTCTTGCCTCAGTCGCCCTTAAGTACTCAGCCAACCTTCAGTTACCATTTCAAATTTGCAAAGACAGCATATTGGCAGAACGAGCGTCAGAATTATCAACGGTGCGTGCATTTATAAATCAAAGAAGCTGTATCAGCAAAGAAAATCAAAATCCAAGGCAGGTTTTTATTTGTGGAGATTCTTGATTATCAAACTTCTAATTTTCTTTAATATATTTTACCTAAAATTACAGGAAATGGCATCAAAGCTCCCCATTCTCTCTCTCATCCTGTGGTTGGTTGCTGCAACTGCAAAGTCCACACCAGTCACGCTAGAGAAACTTGACTCCTTGCAACAACTGGATACTGTACCAGAAAATATGATCAATTTCGTGACAAATCTCAATTCGTCGAATATTTACGAAGTGTCCCCTGACATCCTCCCCGAGGGCGAGAATAACTCGCAACTAAGAGCGCAAGATTATGTAATCATTCCCAAAAGCGAGAGGGCAGAAGAATCACTCAAGTTTCCTTTCTTGGTGCGCGTCACCTTCCTCCGTATTAACATCACCGAGGACGTTTTAGACGATAAGGATTACACTGATGATGAATATGACGACGACGAGGCTTACACTGATAATGAAGACGAAGACGAGACTTCAGAAGATAATGGTGAAGATGACGAACAGGTTTGTAACATTTAGATTTTATTCTATGTATAAATCTTATTCCAGCTCCAGTGAAATGTCGTATGCATACTATTATATTTATGTGAAAGGTCACCACCACCACTCCCCCTGCGAACATGACCAGCCATCGACTCCTACTTGGACGTTCAGGTGTTGGGAAACCACCCAGCACGACACCTCGTGCTGCCGACGGGGAAAGCAGCAATCCTTCCACATTCGCGAAGCTAATTAATGGGCGCATTATTCATGTCCTGATTGTGATCCTGTACATCTTGTTTGGCGTTGGATTAGTTCTGTTCATCGTCCACAACGCGGTTACCTGCTGTTCTATCTGTTTCAATTGGAGATATCGTTTGGAACAGTGGCCTATGACGGTGGAAAGACGACCATCTCACAGGAGAGCTTATTCCTCCTTCATTCCAAACAAACAAGCGTTCTATGAACCACTATAAAAATCCATATATATTTTTCTGCAGTAAGAATGTTGAATGCAACAACAAAGTTTGGCATTGTATTTTATTCAAATAATAAATTGACTGATAGTAACTATTAGACATTCAGAGTTTCAGACGTGAAGATAAAATGTAGGAAAATTCGCTAAAGTAATAAATCATCCAGCGCCCAACATTCTAAATACTTGACGGAAAAATCTTTATTTGGCGTTAACGGCGTAGACCCAAAAGTTTTGCACTCTTCCGTCCTTCCCTTATCTAGACAGTTGTCCAACCAAAGTGCATACTTCCCACTGAAATATTAAAACAAAATAAATAAGCATCCGACATATGTACATTCATCACGTCGATACCCATTAAATATTGCGTATAATTCACTTACTTGCTCGCTCCTATCGTAACAAAGTCTTCCTTGGCCTGAAGAAAGTATGCATGTTTATGTCCACTCCATTTGAAAGAGGTGAATTCCTCTGGCCCTCCCTTGAAAACGAAGGTAGAAGAGTCTCCATGAAAGTGGTCACTGATTTTCCATGCACAGGACATGTAAGAACCAAACACATGTCCTTCAAGGTCCTCGATGAGAAGGATGATCGGGGATGAGGGGGCTGTTTCCTTGGTCAACTTTCGTATCAGAGTGGAAAGCGAGGTGCCATGGGTGTGGGTGGAGTAGACTAATTTCCACGGAAATCCGGTGGCACGGGGCGGAAGCTGGGCGGAGAGCGCAATTGCGTCATCGCCACGCAGGATGAGAGACTCCTTGGCCACTTGTTGCAAGAAATCGTCTTCGTCATCAGGAGCACCGATTTGCCATAATACTTTCGGCTCTGTTGTTGTTTCAGATTTTATCACCTTTTCCTCTGCCTTTTTCAACTGCTAAATTACAAATCAGAAATCGTAAATTAGTAAATTGAACAAAATAATGGGTTTATATGTTTTTTTCTTATACTTTTTTCTGTGCAGTCTTTACACTCCAAGATTTTCTAGATTGAAATGAATGCACCAATTTTTCCAGCAGATTTAACGAAGGCATACAATGCGACTGATACTGCATTTCTGATCTGTTTGTTTTTATTTTTTATGAATGAAGGGAAATCTGTAATTAAAAAATCAGGAAGATTGAATGGTTGCATGTGAACTTGTCCATGGAAAGTTTTGAATGAGAAGGACATGACAAAAATCATGAGGTATAAGTCATAAAGTTATGAATTCACTGCGCAAAATTCTGTCATAATTTAAAGAAAAACCAGAAGTGAACTACATTTTTCCGACAAAACCAGACCAGAATAAGTATGCAGGTAAATGAGGTGAGCTCAACTGCTATTGCCATTTCATTTACTGATAGAGAGGTGTAAGTTATCATGGGACCAATACACTTTCAGACAGGTAATTAAGCCGTCTATGGGAAGATGATGCTAATGTCAATGTTAATGGGGCGTTAAAATTTAGACACGAAATGGAACTGGTTACAGATATACAGACGAGATGCACGTGGTATGTACGAAAACTCAAGTTATTCTTGCTGTTGACGAATTTATACAGGCTGTAGTGGATAAGTATCTAATTCTGAAAATTTTCCGACAGGACATTTGAGTGTTAAAACAATTACATTATGCGTAGGTGGTTATGAGAAATGAGATATATGTATGAGATAGTCGTGCATTGTTGCATACAAATCTACTTTAAATCAATTTTGCTTCTATAAACTTCTACATATTTTTGCAAATTCATATAGTCTCCTGTTGCGACGTAACTTCAAATTTCCACGAAATGTGACAAGACCACAACGAACGAGAAATTTATGCAGTTGAGGCATTTGAAAGGTAGTAATTTATTTACGGACAGAACGCAGTAGTCTCTTTTATCAATGTAGATATGCTAGTGCAGATTGGTGCACTGTATAGTTGATGGATTTTAAAACTACCCAACACATCATCATCACTGACGTCACATAAAATACTCAAATCTAGTAAATAATGAAAAGAGACTGGGCAACAAAAGCGCAAAAAATATCTTATCGCTCTTGACCTTAACCTTGCAGCAAATATGCGAGCAGGCATATGGATAAGATCCAGAAGCCTGTGAAAAAACTAGATCTGTGATTTTACCTAATTCAAGCCATTTGTCTTCTGTTGTACTATAAGCAATTTTCTGAAATATCTAGCTAATACTTAATTTTTCAACTTTATACTGTACAACACGTCTTGAAAATGTTGACTGTAAAGCTAATTAATTTTATGGTTATTAGTCATCAAACATATAATCAACATCAATGAAACCAGTTGTCCTTCTTGTCAGTATCGTCGGATCCTTACTTTTATTGCTGCTGAAACACATGTACTTATGCACGACCTGGGATGCATTGACGGCTTACTACCGTAGTTCAACCCCATCAAAGTGACTCACGACGACGAGTTCACACGGGAGAATCGACAAAAAAGCGGTTCGCTTACTTTAATTGGCAAACTTTTATCCAGCAGACTTGTCAAATTACATATAAAAGGAATATCCTTCAACAGTTTGCACTTTACTTTATCGAACACAATATTTCGGTTGAGCAGGTCGGGTCGGTCTCATAGTCTCATTTTGCCTCCACTTACTAAAATTCCAATTATGCTCACCATCACAACTTTGTCATTGTTCATTCTGTTCTCAACCTGTGGGGGGATTTCTTTTGAGGAGGATCTAACAATTTCCATAAAGGAGAAAAATGCATTGGATGAGGTGACGTGGTGATTTACCAGTCAATCGAGTTGTTCAAAGTGTAGAAATCTGAATGTCTGTTTCATTTCCGCAGCTCAGGGACAGAGTTTTACCCGAACTTACGCATGACTACATGAAAAAAGATATTTTTCTTGTTCGCTGGTTAAGAGGTGAGTCAACCACAAGATATATTGTTTTATACATATAAATGTCGTACATATATTTACTTCCTTCCTTTTTTATATTCCTTCCAGCTCGCAACTTTGATGTTGATGCAGCAGAAAAGATGTTACTGAAGGTGAGTTAGTTCTATTTCAATTCTTGTAAAAAACATTGACTTTTGAAAGCACTTAACTTTCCTTTCTTGTGTATATGCAGTCTCTTAAGTGGCGCAACACAAATTCTATCGACAGTATTGGCACTGAAGATTGGTCTCTGTTTGAACGAAATTTTCCTTACTCGGTGGATTCAGTCAATAAAAAAGGGCAACCCTGTAAGACGATAATTTATATGTATCCAATTAACATCTGCTCGCATCACGTCGTTATCAGACTCGATAATGTCTTCTCTTATTCCAGTGCTCATCATCTCGCCCAGTACGCCTTGGGATATAAGGTCCATTCTCCTGACAAAGGACGGCCCTCGTCTGACTAGATGGATGATCAAAATGCTCGAGGACGCGACGGCGAGGATTCGTGAGGAACAGTCGGCAGGCAGAAATGTTACTCGATTCAGTATGGTGAATACCCTGGAGAACTTCAACTTGGTTGAGTCTGGCTGTTTGAGATGTCTTTCTGTATTCACGGCATTTACTAATAACTACGAGGAACATTATCCACAAACGATGGATCAGATGGTCCTGGTTAACAGTGAGTTGTTACTAATATTTAGATAAATTTTCAAATTATCATACAATTTCATGGTAATGTTTTATATGCAGCTCCCGATATCTTTGATGGCGTTTTGCGCTTGATTCGTCCTCTCCTCTCACCTTCTACAAGACAATCTCTTAAAATAATGGGTGGCAACAAGGTAAGAGCAACGAACCACAATACTAAATATTTCAGAAATAATATCAGTTTTGACATAATACATGAAATCATGCTTTACTTTTATGCCTCTTCTAGTCCAAATGGCAATCACAGCTTTTGAACGAAGTAGACGCGGATCAGCTACCCATAGATTTGGGTGGAAATAAGCCAGACGACTTTTAATGTATTATGGTAATAAAGTTCGTCGGAATACTAATAAAAAGAAACCTTATGCGTTTGATAACTGCATTTCTGAAGTGAGAGTTGTAAGTAAGTCAACGACAAGCCGGTAAATTAATTCAGATTATTTGATGTCACACTTCTTACGTATGATCACACACATGTTAACATTAAGTAATTACTTTTTCCTCGTGGATGCATCAAATTCAAGTCAAATCAGATTCTGGGAGAAGTTCAAAGCCAAGGTTTCGAAAGTTCGGGAACTATTTTCAAGGACCAAAAATTTTAGTGCTGATTAAAATCTTTTGCAGAAAAATTGTACATTTTATACTCAACTCGGTATACACGTAACTTGATGTGGTACAAACGACGGCTTCGCCATTTCCTCATCTTATAAGGAAACTTACTGGAGATTACAAGTTTCTTCCCGATACTTTATTTCGCTTATGTAACATTCACCAGCCAAAAATAAGGTAGAAAACATCCCACACTACTTTAGCTCGAAATAAATAAATGAAACTTTGCGTGACATCAATATCATGCATGTGGGGATACGTATGTACTTATCTACCTTTGCATTATACATACACACATATTACTTATGTATACACCTACATATTTATTTCGCATGTTGGTGTCATCGCCACGAGAAAAGTTGGACTTGTCCATTCTGCCGTAATGATTTCTTCATGCGCACATTTGACAGATGACATTTGTTTTTCATCTCAAGTTCCTTCAGCCACAAGCCCCTTAACTCCTCTGCAAACTTTCTCCGCACCACAGTACATACGGACTCTCATCGTTCATCCATGGGTGACTCCTGCTTTGTTTCGTTTGATGACGATTCCAAAGGAAATGGGTTGATTGGGTCATGGGAAAAGGTGAGAATTCCGCTCTCCAAGGTACATGAAGTATGCGAGTATATTTATTTATTTAATACCCGAAGCATTTCGCCAAGTTTGCAAATTCTCTCAGAACGAAAATTACTGAACCAACATTGTTGGTCCAACAATTATAGTATATACCAAGCTAAATCCATATTGCAGTACTGTACCATACTGTCCTGCATACTGTACCTGTACTTATCAAGGACTGATAAATTCATACTCGCGTTAAAAATATCTACAAAATATGTATAAAACCACCTTATAACTTGCAGGCGAGGTTGCTTTTTCTAGCGGTGGAAGAATGATATTATGCTTTCATAATTTCCATGTCGCACAATGAAACCTAGATATTGAATATGTAAATGCTCCATGTAGAACCTTCCGGAATAACACCTACCATTAACAAAGCACGTGGAAGTCTTCCCGTGAGATGTGAATTCACGTGTGAATCAATAATGAACATTACTCATTGCATGACATATCACAAATAATTACCATCTCTCTGAATAAGTATTGCATATATCTCTTCATACATATACCGTTTCATATATACATGTGTATTACTGTTGTTTCCTAAGCATATACATTATATATTGCGACATATATAATTCAATATGAAAGGAATAATGCGATTTATTTCCAGTTGTCATTTATATGATTCTGAGTGCACAGATTGCAATTTTAATGGCTTAAGCATATGGCAAGGCAACAACGACGAACGTCAACCAAATCTAAATATTTCCCTACTTCACCGATTTATTTGCTTTGTTTTCGCTTTGACTTTTCTACACAATTAAACTACGGAGCCCCTAATTTTATATTTAACTTCTAACTTTAGTACACTTTGTTTATTTCTTTTAGTCATCGAGGCACCGTGCTGGAAGCTGGTGTTGGATTTTTAATTAACTTCAATGACAAAAGATACCCGATTTACAAGTAATTAAAAATCAACAATGGATATCTATTAGGAGAATGTTAAGAACTTGTATAATGAAATTTGATTACATATTGATTCTCGGAAAACAAGCATGCAAATAATGATGCAAATAATTATACTCGCTAATTAATCCTAACTTTTGTTAGGAAATGTTTAATTAAGCTACACTACATGGAAGAATACATGGAACGAAATTCGTACATACAACCTTTACCTACCCACCCTTAACGACTATTAAATGTACAATGGTATCAGCACATATTACATGTGCACGCATGCTATTAATTCGGCCCTTTTCGAATCTAATGAAAACCAGTAATATAAATTATTTCGCATAATTCAATAGCTTTGGATGTGTACATTTTCCACGGAAGAAGACATACTTGGTCAGACCGTCATATATTTTAGCTGGCCATTAGTATTTTTGACAATGATTCGAACCACACCTGATTAGTTCTCATTTTCTGGGATATTGAAACCGTGCGAAATTTCTCCAAATCATAATACGCTTTGTGCTTTCACCATGTTTGATGCAATCATCATATTAAATTACATACATATGGCACATTATTTAGCACGTTTTCAAACAAAACATATTCTATAACATTTGAAATTGGAGTATATTTATTTGTATATACGTATGTACATACGATGGCATATTGTAAGCGTTTATTTGTGACCAGTGATGCTTTCTAAAATAAGCAATTTCGTTTGAATTTATGTGATTTTCTCTCCAACTGCGCAATAATAATAAGTCTTTACAATTTCATTCATGACATAGTTCATTGTCAAATATGAATTTCCTTGCGTATGACTACCCTTAGGATATTTGTATTGTGTATTGTACGGATGACTTTGTAAATATACGTAAATGGGTATACAACTTTACGAAATTTAAGCTTCAACAAGCGGAAATTAAATAGATTTAAGCACATTTTTATATCTAAGGAATTTCATAAAACAAATGATATGTAAGTTAAGATTGCAGATTTCTGTGGCTTAAAAAATATTTACCCATACACGTCTCGCTCTGCAAAACTTGAAAGAAAAATAAAATCAATGATGGTTATTGGGCGTATGTATTTATTAAATAAATTGCACGTTATACCCGTAGATATTCTCGTTCTCATACATGAGACAATCTGTCTGAACTTTTCAGAAGCTTTGATTCCACCACAATTTCTTACTGTCTCATACCATTACATACATAAAACATAAAATCTTTCAAGAAGTTCAGTCAGAAATTCGAATAATGAAGCATCTCTCATGTGAAATGCAAGTCGTTACGTTTTATTACAGAAGAGTCGCACCGTGTGTGTTTAGAACTTGTTATGTGTCGCATTTGTCCTCCTCTTATCATCGCTTGAATCCGGGCATGCATTATGTAGGCGGCACGGAAGGAAGGCACAGTCGATCTCTTGCCTTGTTATACAGCACTTTCACCCTGTCACTTTCACTCAGTCGTCCTCCTGCTCCTGGATAAAGCGGAGGCTCTCTTTCTCTCTCTATTTCAATTTCCACTCTTCTTTTCGCCTCCTCAAACCCTGTCTGTTTTTTTTTTCTCCCAGAGAAAGAGACAGCTCGGGCCAGGACAGGTCGTGTAAGGACATGGGTGACCAAGGGGATTGGATAAGCACCCAACCCTATTTTTATTTTCAAGATGGAAATTCCACACTGCCCTCGTCAAGCCAATTGACACCGTCACTTCAGACGAATTCAAATACATATGTACAAACCTACGCCACGATACGCACAGTGCTTTGTACTCTGGGAATATTTCCAAACTGTTTCGTCCTCTTGTTAATTTTCAAGGAGAGACATATTCGGTGAGACATGAAAGAGTTTAAGTGACAATTTTTAAAGAGTTAAATAAAGCATTAAATAATCAATGCTTTGTATGTATACTTATTATAGAATGCTGCAATATTTAAATGCAAACCTGGCCATTGTTTGCATTCTGGCCGGAATTTTAGGAGCAACTCATGGTTCTGGATATGTGATTGGACAATATATGTGCCCTGGATTGTCGTATTTACGAAGTGAATAATTTAGAAAGATTGTGCAACTATTGTTACTACATGTATAAGCATATGCACTTTAATGATGTTGGTTTTATTTTATTTATTTTTAGATGTATCCATCAACACTATTGCGCTCAATGTACTTTGCATAAGCCATGAACGTTGCCGAAGGTTGAAGGCAAGCTGCCCCGGTGTTCCTTCATTGTTCCAAACGATAACCTTCATTTGGGGTGTTGGAATGGCGGTCGCCATCCCCACATATTTTACAACAACGTTTGTTTCTCATACACATCAAGATGGTGAAGTTCATTCTACCTGTTGCAGAGTAAGTGCAAAAAATATGTATCAAATGATGAGTACTTGTTGAATTACATATTTATATACAAAAGCTACTTGTGCTATCTGTATGTAAATATATATTTCATACTTACATTATAGGGACCAATGATGGGGAACTATGTGCTTGGGATTGTGTACGAATTTCTGCGATGTAGCTTACTACATATTGCTCTCTCAATATATCTCCTGTTTGGTAAGTGGTGTGCATAATTTATTTAATTTGGAGCAATCACAAATATTCGATAAATTTTATACCGATAAAATGTATTGATTCTCTAGAGCTCTATAAAATTCGATCCAAATTGAAGCACCTGCGACGATCCTCGGTAAACACTTAATTTAATTTCATATGCATGTATCTGTGTACATAAAGTTGAAATAGGGACAATTTTGATGCATTATTAATTAAGTTGGCATACATTTCTAAAGATACATATGCTAATTTAGTAAGCAAGTCACCAAGTAAAATCGAGCCGAGGACAAACCATTTTAACTAAAAATTTGCAGTTAAATAAGATGGACGACCAGTCAGAATCAGTTTATGAAAAATCCATCACAATATTTAAGCTGTCTTTTGTCACAACTGACACTCCGGCTCAGAATTTTTTTAGGACAATCATGCATTTTATACAAAAAGCGCTTGTACCTTAAAATACCTTAGAACTTTACGTAGAATTTGCAATTTTGCAATGATGGATATAAAAGTTGACCTATTTTTCCATATTTGATATAGAAGAGCAATCTCTCTACAGGACTGAACAAAGGGAGCAGATCAAAAACTCCGAGCTACAGTACCATTTTCCTTTTCATCAACTCTTTTGTTTTCATATTCGTGTGGCTTCCATATGGGGTAGTCCATTCGTTTTACAAAAATGTGGAAGACAAAAGTAAAACCCAGCATTTTAGCAGTAACTCATCGTCATTTTCTATTGCTACCACTACCACCACAACCACAACCTCTTCGTTATTAGAGGAGCCGGAAAAGAAGGCGTACTTTGAAGAGAAGCTTTTGTATCCACCGATTTACTATGTGAGTATATCCGCGTTGTACTTGTACGTTATGATCATGCCAATGGTTACATTTTGCGTCCATCGTGACCTAATGACTTCCGTTCGTGGGCTGACCGCCCGTCTGCCAGCGTCCAATAATGGACTCCATTCGTGCGAGGTCAAAGAGTTGACGGGGCGAGAAGAACCCACGATTGCGAAATCTAGCACATTCCAACCCTCTTCAATGCACAATGGTGAGAATGATTAATCCGAATTATGTGGGTGGGTCTGAAGAAAATGTTAAGCATATAAATACCTTAATAGGAAGCATACTTGAATGAACAAATGGCTTAAATATATTTATAAATATAAGATTTGTATTTATTTATAAATTAATAAACATGCATTACATATTGTGAACCTGAGAATTTAAATGTGTACATTCGTCGACAAATACTTAAGAAGCTTAAATCATGCTTCTCGAGATTTTTTATAAGAGAAAAAGAGTGATCCTTTTTTCCTACCTCGTAATTCTGACTTTCCCTGCAATTGCAATGACAACAAACAATAAATTTTCATAAATGTGAATAATCCGTACCGTTATCGATATCTTTGCAGGGTTAGAAATACTATATATAAAAATAAGTATATTATGATATTCTGTTTCTATAAATATTATTATAAATTTCTATTTTGGACCAAGATTTTCCAGTATTTGTACTAAAATATAATTGTGCGTGGGCATCCCGGTGACAGTTCTTGTTTCCACTTGTTCAAAGAAGTGCTATATTATACTGAATTTTACTCTACGACTACGACACATTTCAATGATGGCATAGACAGCCCTACAAAGATATGCATACATATGTGAACTAAATAAAAGTACGATGAAAAGAAATAAAGATGTGAAAGGATTGCAGCTCATAAGTCTCCATAACAAGTGGATCATAATTTCCTAGATGGGCTCGTCTTGCTTTGCGCTGATAAAGAGGAATCATAAAGAAAATGATCCTTCTGTTGTGCTCACTCATAAATCATACATAAAAGATCTGATGTATGAGAATCAAACTGGAACTCAGTAAAGGCAAGGAATGAAAGGACTTATGATAAATGAGATGGATATATCGTATTTCGTACAGGTTATGGATCTGCCACAACAGATCTGCAGAATCTGTCCTTTGCAAACTAAGCTCTTTATGAATCGGATATAAATTCACTACAATGGAAAACGGAACCTTCCCCCATTCTATTCGCGATAGATTTATCTGTATCTATGTGATTGAGATTACTTGGATGTCTTGCAGTATATTTATCTAAAATGTTCGATGATAGGAGTATAAATTTCACACCCACGTAAGTGTTTATAAAACTTGGAACTTGAGACTTCTACATAAGTTAGGCTGAACCTTAGGCGACAAATTGCAGTAAAATGAGACCGAGACTAACCGCCTCGGGATTCATGAAACGCTAGCAAAAGGTATAGTATGTCCACATTTTGAACGGTGCATGCTATTCAGTGCACACCCTCTGGGGATCATACACTTGTAAGACTTCAACGTAAGACCTTGACTTGGCTAAGAAATGGTGTAATATAGAGTGACGCGCAAATGGATAAGAGAACAAAGTTCATGTTCATCGTCAAGTGTGACAAGTCAAACTATATTTTCGTAACTTGGCTAGTGCAATTAATTCCCTCCGGCGTCTTGAAAAGATATGCCAGACAGGACACTTTGAGGTATTTCATACCCAGTATGTACGTAAGTATGACTTGAATTGATATGGACTGTGAAAGCATTAAGTGTGCGTTCAGAATTGTATGTGGCTTGCTACTAATAAATAGATATGTTGAATAAAAACCTATTAAGTACTTTCGGAAATTGTAAGTCTATACCACCCATAGAATTTGTCGCTTTTTTCACGGATTAAACTCGTCAATTAACGGTCTCTGAATGAGAAGATGTATGTATGCATATCACAAATGAACAACAAGCGCTTGAACTTGGATCGTGTAGAAACAAGAAGATCGATGATTTAGCATAGAGAACACAAAACTGGATGCTAAAACTTTGTTCCTCAGAAATTCGCTAAGCTCAAGTCAATCAGAACTGAATATGTGTCAAACTTTGCTAAATTGGAATAAGTGGATTTCCTTTATCGTCATCTTCTCCACGCCTCAAGAACTTTGCTCATTTTTCTCTTTAGAACCTTACAGAAAACACTCGTAATTCCTAAATTGTTGTCCTCAAGCATGGCCGAGAAATGGACGTGATGTTTTTCATGGCAGGAACATTATAACTACACTGCATTAAATGATTCCCATTTATTAATGCTTCCGTGTACATGTATTTTACTGTGTGATGATAACCTGTTAAGAAGTTGAATAATCCAAAAATGTGTCACCTCGAAAAGTGTACGTATTACATTCGAAGACAGAGTCTATCTGATGTAGCTACATTACGTATGATATTCATATTTTGCCAGTAAAGACATTTCCCATCAAATTACAAACCAACAAACAACAAAATGCACTCTATATTAAAATGCAAATAGTGTTTGCAAACTTTTTTCTTTCACCTATTTTATTTTCAGTCAGGAAATCCCAGACTTTCTCCAGCCGGAAACTTTAGACCGGCGAAGGCGAAAACTCTGTAGGAAAATATAAGCCATTGTTCATGTATGATTGATAGCATACACAAGTTTGGTACTCGCATCATTTTCAACCCGCAACGTAATCACCAAGATTTTCATGATCTACATTATGTATGCATACTAATAAAAAGGCATGTTACTCCTTCATAGGGCCAGGTTACTAATAGGATTTCATCTTCTGACACACTCGGGTTAGTGTGTCAGAAGATGAAAATTGGAAAAAATTCTGTACAGTCCTTTTGGCTGGTGGCGAAAAATATTTATTTCAAGTCGAAGCGATACTAAGTACCTAAGCTACCTTTAAACCGGAAACTGTTACACATGTACATATATATATTTAGTTAGTCTAATTTGCAACACTATACATGATAGGATTAGTAGTCTAGCTAGGCATTTAGAGCTAGATATCGAGTTGATAAGCAATTGACAAATACAATAATATTGTCAGCAATCGTACTCATTCCTCCAAAGGATGTCATGAAAAGATTTTAACAAATCATAAATCTTTGCATTGCTTCAGGGACTGTTTATAAATTGGCAATTGACTGTTTTGTATCGACCGACATTAGGAACTATAAGACAGTGAACCACGTTTTTCAATTTAAAAATTTAGATGTTAATTAGGATAAAGAAAAGAAGGTTATTCCAAGAACATTCAATTTCATTCAAGAATGGCGATGGATTCCAAATAGCAAAACTTCCAATTTAGGGATTTGTTAGCAATACTATATAACGGAGCAGAAACGTACAGAAAATCGATTACAGGGATTAATGAAACAAGTGACTTATATGTACCTCAACCAAAATTACCTATGATATGAGCAAAATTTTACCACACCAGTTCAATTGGTCGCTGGGCCAGGTTCATCGGTTCATCCACGTTGGCCGTTTACCGTACAACTATACATGAATACATATGTACAAACATGTACATACATATAAGCCCAGTAGCTTGACATACATGCATCGTAAATTTGTCGTAGCTTACAGAATACACAAATGTGTGATTATGAAATGACGTCCATATCTGATATAAATCAGCGAATTTTTTTGCACAAAATTCCTGGCTAATATGGAAAGCCTCTTTCAAATTTGCAATTAAAATTTTGCAAGCCTATGTATGTATACGTGGTGGTATTAAATTTTTTAGAATCTTGTTAGACTTACACCTACTTGGGATTAGAGGAATGCTGATTAAATGGGAAATTAAAAACGAGATTCGCCAGAAACGGATTTCTGAATAAGCATAAGCTGAAGTTACTCTTAAAGAGTGACTCTTTTAAATTAGATTTATTCACACATTAATACCCTAACCTTACACCCATACATGATACGTTGAACTTCTGGTAAGGAGTAGTCTACCAACCATCCCATATACATGTAGTCGCTGAAAAATTAGCTTCCGCATGTTATCATTCAATGGCGGTATATACATAGTACATAATACGTACATAAATATCACGTACCTTGAACTTATATACTTGAATACTTAAGACATCACCAAAAATTAATTTATTATATAAGTACATAGGTAAGGGTACTTTATCTGCATATGGTGTGCGCCTATGTACATATGCACATACATACCTACGTTTAGATTTAATGAATTCGGATGTAGCAGAATCAGTCTGGCTAAAAAATTATGCGAATGTTTCGTTCTTGGAAAATTACGACATGTTTAATTAATATTTTTCCTAGTTCCGTTGTAGATTTTTTCTCGTCGCAATTTGAGACCTGGTATAAAAGAATCTAATTCTAGATAAGTAGTTGAGGTGTACTCAAAGGGCAGGGTAAAACTTTGCCTAAAATTGATCGAACTTTTTTACGGTTCCTTATAACCTAAAATATTATAACCGAAATACCTAAGCAAAAACAATTATTTAAAATTCCTGCAGATTCCAGTAATAATAAGAAAATTTCAATTATTTGGCAGCAACAAAATATTTACCTAAGAAAATATCTGCATGTTGCAGAAATGCATATGTACATATGTGTATACCTATTTACAAGGCTGACTAGTAGGACTAGAATAGTTTGCCAATAATTACTGACAGTGTGTCACCACATTTGTGGTTGAACTTGTTCAGTGCTATGATTTGGGACAGAAATAAAGATACAATATATACAATCGCTGCGCATTATAGTCCATCTTGATCTCGTACTTAACGACAATAACAATGGAATATTTCTATCAATTTTACAACCCTTATATAAATTGCTCAAAGCCACAAATGACGTCCACCGGAAAGGTCGAATTTTTTTACTGTAATGTTTTGCGTCTCCTCAACGCTCACATTCTTAACACATGTACATATGTATATGTACATATGTACATAGGTACTGTACACACTTATTAGTCAACAGACATATTACATTTATTAGCTTAATCCAGCTTACGGCATGATTTGTGTACTAAACAAAGTGATCAACAATACTATGTTCTTTGGAATTTGTTAAAAACACATCAAAGTCCAGTTGTTCAGCTTAGTTTTGCGTCTCAGACTAGCTTAATTGTGTCATAATCCAGTCTAAAATACTGGTATTTATGTATATGCTCTTTATAAATATACATATGTACGCTCCTTAGGATTAGTGGAATGGATAGCAATTGTCAGCGGTCGGGTAGGAACAAGAAAGCCGGATTTGCATGCACATATATAATTTCACATTGCACTCAACTCTTTAATGCTACCCAGGTACTATACTTTTGCAGGAAAACCTTCGTCAGAGAATGGAACTTGTACAGTAGAATTCTAAACATGTTTGCATAAATTAGGTAAAAGATTCAGATATTAATTGAATTGTTTTTATCGAGTTGATTTTCAGTAAGTTTTCCTCAATAAGTAATTAATTAAAATCGTGATATACATATGAACTTTAATATCGGGTGCGATATACACGATATACCAATGTGCATTACATAATATTATGAAACCTGATGTATGCGCACATGCAAATGGCTTCTGGATGGCCATTTTGCCTTCAAAATCCTGTGAAAACAAGGTGACATAATGGTTTACCTTCACTAAAACAACTACTAACTTCTTTTGCTACCATTCTGTCTTTGAGGAATGATTGTTTAAGTTGTTAGACCGAGTTCGGCATGCTTTTTTTCAGATTCACATAAAAAACATTTACTTATGTACAAGCTTAAGTAAAAAAAAATACTCAGATGAAGACGTCACACTAAAGGTGCAAGTCAAAAATTAAATGCGTACCCGTAATATACATAACACCTCACTAAGGATAAGGATATATCGGAAGATTTTTGCAGTAAATACATATACATACATAGATATATATTATTTTATGTAAGATACAAAATTCAAACTGACAAAGTTTGACGACAAAATGGCGAATTATATTTAATTTTTGTGGTTTTGATATGATGACATTTCGCTAAAATTATACACATACACAAGTTTCATACGTACGTCTATGCAACAATGCGTGACCCAATGGACCATTTAGCTTAGAGCAAAATGGTGGCCTCCCTTTTTATGTGAACAAGTTCCTGGAATAGAACTGCTCAAAAAAGCTATCCAAAAGATTAGATTCCAGTTTTTACGCATTTGTAACCTCAATGACAAGCCATGTAATTGGCCTATTAAACAGATATTGGTGGCGAAGCATGGCTGCATACGTGCACTTTCGCTATACGTGACCATCTCGACGCATGTGAAGGAAAATGGTTAAGGTTGAGGCTTGTGGAAGATGGAACGAGAACCGTCGTAACGTTACATGATATTACAAAGATGGTGGATTTTGACGTGTTCAACAGTGTAAATGTCGCACACGAGATGAAACATATGTATCTGCGACGCGACACGAAATTATGAAATTTGCAAAACGTTAAATTTTGCAAAGCGGCATTTACTGGTAAATAAATTATCACTAGTCCTTTGTCTCATTTTGTCTGGTTACATCTGTAATTAGAATGGAATGTAGCATATTAGTTATGAAGTGATGATACTTTATTAATACTTAGCGTATTGTACATAAGGAAATGCATAACATACATATGTATGCGTTGCTAATTAAAGACATTTTGTTTCACTAAACAAATAATAATTAAGAAATAATAATTAAGAACATAAAGTGCTGGTTTAAATAGCCAAATTCAAATATGTGCATAGTGTGAGATAATGAACGAATTAAAACTCCTTGAATAACATGACGTATGTATGTAAATACAAACTAGGATTAAAAGTCTAAAATTTCACAAAATGTGTATTATTATTTATATGTAAAGTGTTAACAAAATTAATGAATTGAGGAAAAAGGAAAAATTAAGGAAAATGGTAATTTTTTGATGACTACAAACATACCAAGTGCATTAGGTGCCTGATTTCAAGAACAAGACTTCTTGCTTGTCTTTGTCTACCTGAACATTCCTAATGGAGATACATTTAACCCTACGAACCATCAATGATATGATCACACACATAGAACAAGCTACACATACGTACATACAATAATATACAATTTGCGAAAATGCGCAATTCAAAGAAAGACATAATCTGTAAGCTGGGATTTCCTTAATATTACTTCAAAGATTCGAATGCTCGGAACTTTAGTGGTCGTGGACGGATTATACAAACGTGAGACTAACTGTCCACGCCATTTGTTTGCCAGCTAGTGACGCGATAAGCATTGTTGCACGAGAAGGTATGCATAATCCATCACACTTTGTATATAAATGCACAACAACCAACCTCAACCTTTCCGACTGCTTACTTTGGTTTGCTGCCATTTAACAAGTCTTTGTCTCCTGCGTCCACTTTGCTTTGAGACGAAACTTTCTCGCATTCATTCCAGTCGCAACGGCAAGGCAGGACAGAAAGGCAGCATAGCAGGCAGTTCATGTGGTGGACATATTACATCATTCATTATCGCTTATCGTTTTCACCTTTGATTTCACTCGTTAGTGAAACATTTAACAATCAGACAATCCAGTTAAACAATTTCGGATTTTTAAAATTGTTTGGAAGCGTTACATTTTATCATACAGCTGAACAGTTCTAATTCTAGAGGATTTTCACTTGTCGAGTTCAAAGGTTTTAGTTAAAAAAGTAACTTACAAATCAATTTGTTTCAAAAGAGGATACTTAATACACAAAAAAATAACAACGGAGAAGGATGACGGGTAATAATTAATTTTAATTTTAATCAGGAATTGAATAATATTTTCCATGATCTGAATATGCCTATGAGTTTTAATAAAATATATTCATGAAACAGGGCCAGAATGCTGGGCAACAGTGGCGATGGACACGGAAGAGGCGGTGAAGGCTCTCGTGTTGGCGAAAGGACTGCGACGCTTCATGACCTCACGACCTTTAGTGCTCGTGGCGTCGCCCACGCTCCCCGACGATGTTTGGTAAGCAATATCACTAAAAAAGCTCATTTCCTTTTTCTAAAAATGTAAAAAATATGCTTCAAAAATTGCGATACAACATCATTCTTGCATTTCAAATGCTACTTTTTTAAATTTTAAGAACTAAATTAGACAGAAAGTGCGAAAACAAATCACAAATGAGTTAGGAGACGCGTCATAATTCTGCGTCCCTAAGGGTATAGGACATGTGACACATGAATCATATAAAATTATCACCCAAGGAATGCCGAAACACACAAGAACGTCCAATTAATTCCAATTAGACCCGCATCAGTAAAAATTAAAAATTAAAAATTAGGGAGTTGAATTATTGTTTAACATAGATAGATACCGTTTGCTTGAGAAGCGTGTGAAATTATGTATAAGAAAATGGAGCCATTTATTAAAACGCATTTTACGGTGTACCTACATATTTCATATAATATGAGCTCTGACTTAAAACCTTTGTGTATCTACATATTTCAGTCAGAAGTGTATATATATTTATGCATATCGTGTATATTTAATGTCATTTATTACACTTGCTCAAAGGGCAATTGGACCTCGATGTGATGTAGGAATATTTTGGGGAAAGTGTAAAAAGGATTGAGTAAATTATGCCTTCTTGTTAACACAGTGAAAGGTCTGTCAGTATTGTTTTCGCATTTCCAAGTTCTAATCCCCTTCTATTTATAAAGGTTAAAAAATCGCAGATTTTTTGTTCCATGTCCTGCCCACTGAATTTGTTAGTGGGACATTGACATTGGAATTTTTAACAAGCCGTGTTAAGACAGCATATGCATTGAATTCATATTTACAGCGTATCATAAGACACGCACAACAACGGACGACAAAAAACACACGAAACGGTGCTTTGTGCCGTGGTTTATGAGGTGGTGCCACTTATTAAACTCTTTCGTCGCCGCTGTTACTTAATTGGTATTCAAAACACTTGTCCAGCGACTAGACTAAAAAGTATTCAATGAAGACACAGTTTCAATATGAAAGAACTACAGGCATAAATATCCACATTTCGTGGTAGGGTTAAAAAGGGATGATCACAAACAATGGTTCTTGAGTCCGGGTAAAAATAGAGGAGACGACCCATGTTTCAGTGACCCTGCCACATGCTGAGCCCCAAAATTTAAAACTCGTACCGTCCACAAGCCGTACTATTAAACTCGTCAATTGTGTCTTTCTATTGGAACAAAATAATAATTTATGTGGAAGAAGAGAACATAAAAAAGTATGCAGGGAAAAATATACGTTCATTCATTCATACAAAACCAATAACCAAATTGAACCGACTAGATAGATATTCGCAGAAATAAAAGGTCATTTTATCATCTTGTAATTTTTGGTATTTCCCTGCATGCCGGATCGATTCGTGGTACTTGTTTTTTTGATTTAAAGATGCTGCAAGCAAGATTTAATTGTAGTAAATTCACATTCTGAGAATGTGGACAACAAACAAAGCATCTAAGAAGAAAAGGTGATGGATTGATGTATGTATTTACAAATGTATGACGTAGTTTTATGCAGAATTTTTATAAGCAATTACTATTAGACGGGTAACAATTTACTTACACGTTTGCTACTTGTTGTTGGTACTAGTGTATGTACATATGTGTAGTGTACATACATGAAGTATGACCATCATCATAAGTATTCATGAAGTAAAATTAAATGAATTCACTATCAAAACTATTATACCTCATAAATTGGCATGGACCTTTCTAAATACGTGTGTATGCCATGTAGTAGTACGGCAATTATGAAAGCAGATCCAGGGCATACGTATTGCAGAAACAATGATATTGAACAATGGAAAAGTGGTTTGGTCACTTTTGGTTTCATCTTTAGATCCGTGTGCAGATTCCGTGGTTGCATTTTTGCAGACAACAGATATGTACACCGCATGATGCAGAATCTCATCTCATCTCGTGTCGTTATGTCATCTTATTCGTCATAATTGTAAGCATGTATTTACCATCTGGTTAACTCTTTCATTATTGGGATTTCCCATTATATGTGATGATCTCTTCGAACTCTTACAACTTATTTGTAAGTGAAATATATTATTACCTCGTGACGGAATCTGTAGTTTCAGAGATTTGTAGTAAATAGAATGATAGAAAATGAAGATAGGCTGTGTGCAGAAATTGGGGCATGTTGTACACCACAATTTAAGAAAATGGCTCATTGATCCCTCGAATGTCATCCTGTAGTAATAGATGAGTAATGGCGTAGAATTTATTTACAAGCAATCAATAAAGCAATCAATTGCGTTGTTTGTATCCAAAAATTTCGTATACAAGGAAAAATAATGATGCGTATTTTGCACAAATGTGTTACTAGTATAGGCGTTGAAGCATTGTCAGCATTTAAGAATTTAGACCAATCATAATCTAATCTGCAAGTCCTTGTGATACTAATTAGAAATTATACGTTACTGAAAAAAATTTGCATAGCATAAGGAAAGAACATATAAAAAGTTAAAAACTCCATACCCGGTTTATTCTACTTGTCAAACTACTTTACTAAATACACATGTGCACATGTCACTCAACAAAGACAATAAAAATAATATGTATGCAAAGGTGTGAGGCTTTATTTTCATCGTGCTCTTGGAATGCTAAGTTTCCGAATACTTGCGTTTTGAAAATGTTACGAAAAAATCTGTATGTTACTTATTGCCTAGGTCTATTGCTCCTCTTCACAAAAAAACACTGATGCAAATCTTTTTAATTGGTGGGCTCATTTTACGAACTTCGTGTCGTGCACCAGTTTCATTGTTGTCATCACTTTCATGTACGTCATTGTCAAATTGTTGACTGTTTACACTTATTTAAATTTTGCTCCAAATCGCCACAATAACAAAATGTAAAAAACATCCTTAGAGTTCAATGCAATAGGTCCTACCCTTTTAAGTGACTCGCCAAGCAGCTTCACCTCAGCCATGCGGTTAAGGCATGACTCGGCACATGACTTGAGGCACGTCACTCTTCAATTAATGTATTTGCTACACATCTCTCAGACTCACACCCTCATGAAATGCACATAAATTGATAGATATGCTACTCAAATCCGCTAAAAATTCATTCAAATAAGCGTGATTATGCATATGTGGCGGCTTAAATTAATTTCTGAATTTTTCATAGGGAATTACTTCAATCCGAATTTGATGTCGTCGTTCGATTGGAACGACGTTGGCTTAATTCTGGCGTCGATCCCCACATCGCAGCAAAAGTGATGATCTGGAGTCTCTCCAAGTGGCAACGGGTCATCGTACTTTCACCGGATGTGATGGTGGTTCGTGGCTGTGACGAAATTTTCAAGGAGAGGAACGCTACTGCTTCTGACTACTCCGTGATGGTGGTGAAGCCCTCGGTTGACATTTGGCGAAAGTTGGTCGATCGGCTGGTCTCCGCGAAGGGAGGAATCAGTGGTAACTAAATGATGCATACATATGTGGAAGAAATTTTTACGTATTGCACCGCTTCATTTCATTGTCGTTTCAAAATTTTAAAAATAGAGGACAAGCTTTTTACTCAAGTTTTTGGACAACAACTCGGACAACCCCTTGGACCTTTGAACGATAAATTTTGTACTGGAGTGGACTTGAAGGAAGGATTACTGGCAAAGTGAGTACATTGGGTAAAATATTTATGTATAATGCAACGGAATACTGAGTAATTAGTACGTGTTAATACTACAAATTCATAAACAGAAATCTGAACGAACTGGCAATCGTAAGCTTCACTGGGACTCATCCAATGGAAATACTTTGCAAGGACGAAGTCGGCTTGGTCAATGGGGCTCTAGAATCTGTAAGTCAGCAGAACAAGTGGAGTCAATAATAATGACGGAGTTATATAATAGAACCACTTTTTTTTTACTATTCATTCATCTGCATATTTCATGACAGGCTATATTGAATCTGTGGAAAAGCAACTTGGACCATGGCGTGGCACAAAAACTGGCAAAACTGGAAACAGTAAGAATCCAGCAAAGATTTAAATTCCCAACACTATTGAAGGAATTTCCAACTATGATTTCATTTTTAGATTCATTTTAACGGGTTGAAAAGTTATCTGGACCAATACCGATCTGACGATGGAACAACGTCATCACCAACCATCGACTTTGCCCTGGATGAAAATCAGCTCTATGAACTAAAGGACTCGATTGCCATTATTGGAATGAGTTGTCGCTTCCCCGGGGCCAACAGTCTTGATGAATTTTGGAAACTTCTCATCGAAGGAAGAGATGCTATCTGCCATGTTCCCGAAGGTCGATGGACTCCAGAGCGGTGTCCAGTTTTGCCAGAGGACGCGAAAAATTCTAGAGCTGGATTTCTATCCTGCTCCGTTGATGAATTTGATGGCAAATTTTTCGGCGTCAGCCCCATGGAATTGGAATTCATGGATCCTCAACAGCGGCTGACCCTCCAAGTGGCGTGGGAAGCTTTGGAAGATGCAGGCATTAATCCTGTCTCACTGGCAAATACGTACACGGGGGTGTTTGGTGGATCTTGGCGTACAGATTATCGAGAAGCTCTTCAGAATACGGGTATTTATTATACATACGCTCAATCAACAGTGCATTATTTTTTTCATAGAAAATCTTAATTTAATTCGCTGTTGTTTTTGTCTTCAGGCGTGGGCGAGGCCGAATTTTTCCGGTCATATTTAGGAAATTGCTTCGGAGTGTTGACTGCCCGTATCTCTCACACTCTGGGACTCACTGGGCCAGCAATAACTACTGAATCGGGATGTTCGTCATCTATCGTAGCAGTGGATTTGGCATGCAAATCTCTGCAAAGAAAGGAAACCAACATTTCTCTGGCGTGCGGTGTGAACCTCCTAATTCACCCTTTCACAGGGAAAACCATGAACACTGTTCTTGCTCCGGACGGCCACTGCAAAACATTTGATGCATCAGCGGACGGATTTGGGCGAGCGGAAGGATGTGGAGTACTGGTACTAAAGAGATACTCTGACGCGGTACGAGATGGGGACCGCGTTTGGGGGTTGATTCGAGGTTCTGCCGTAGTGCAAGAGGGAGCCAGTCGGAGTTTGGGAACCCCCACGAAATATTGCGAATCCCTTGCGATGAGTTTAGCTTTGAAGGATGCTCGTGTCGAGGCGAGGGATGTTTCTTACGTGGAGACGCACGGCACCGGGACCCCGGTTGGCGACCCGCTTGAGTATGCCGCCGTGGCGGCAGTGTATTCTGATGGGCGAGAAGACACCTTGACGATAGGGTCCGTGAAGACGAATATTGGTCATACAGGTATATTTTTAGTGAAATCTCTATGCAATTGTCTATCAGAAACCATGCTTCGAAATTTTCACATTTCGAAATTTTTATTTTCAGAGTCATGTTCTGGAATCGCTGGGATTATTAAGGTCATCCTGAGCATGCAGAATGAAGTGATTCCACCCCACAAAAACTTTACTACTCTCAACCCCGCCATCAATTTGGATTCCATTCCAGCCCAGATTCCGCTAGAGGCAATGGAATGGAAACGTGACCCCGCTGGAAAGAAGCACAGAATCGCCGGTGTTTCCTCCTTTGGAATTACGGGCACGGATGCCCACGCCATTATCCAAGAGACGCCGATCCTGAACCATGCCACCCTCAACTTGAAAAATGATGTAAAAACGCCACGACCATTCCAAATTCTTACCCTGAGTGGAAAGAATGAGGAAGCTTTAGACGCCAATTTAACACAGTTTAAGGAGTTTTTGGAAACTACTTCAGAAAAGTTGGTGACACAATCTTTCGAAGTATTTTGAAAATAATAATTTGTAGTTATAAATTGTTAACCGGTATTTGTTACTCGAGTATAGGTTGGGAGATATTGCGCATACGGCAAACCTGGGTCGAGGACAGTTTCTCCATCGTGCCGCAGTCGTAGGAAAAGATACTGCAGAATTGATAGAAAAATTGAAAAACGCCAACTCGATTTTGAGAAAAGTGGCTCCGGAAGAATCTCCCAAGATTTGCTTCCTATTCACTGGCCAAGGTTCCCAATATCCTGGCATGGCACGTGAGCTGTATGACAGCAATCTCACTTTCAAGATGACCTTTGACCAATGTGAGCGGGTCTTGAGTAAAGGTGAATATTCAAATTAATCGGTTAATCCATTGGTTAATAGAAATTAAATCTGTTCGTATGATAACTTTATTTTTACGGATGTTGAAAATTTCAGAATATGGAATAGACATCAAGGACGCTTTGTGGGGTCAGATTGGGCAAAATTTGAGTCGCACCATATACTCGCAGACGTCCATTTTCTGCATAGAATACTGCCTCCTTCAGATGTGGGAATCCTGGGGAGTTAAACCATCTTATGTATTAGGACATAGTTTGGGAGAATTTGCAGCTGCGGTGGGTGCGGGTATTTTATCGTTTGAAGACGCTCTAAAGTTGGTGGCTGAGAGGAGCCGACTTATCGATGCCTTGCCCGGGGGTAAAATGCTTGTCCTTAAAGAGAACAAGGATAACGTAGATATGATGCTCAAGAAGGCGTTTGAAGGGACAAATCGCTGGTTGGATTATGCCGCAGTTAATTCTCCTGAACAAACCGTTGTGGCTGGTACGAAAATTGAGATTAGTCGTTTTTATGTAAATTAATTGTAATTAATTTTAATGAAATAATTAAAATATATTTATGGAATCTGTAGGATCTGAAGAGAACGTTCTCGCATTTGTCGAGTTTTGCAAGAACAATCAAATAAAAACCCACATTCTTGAGGCTACCCATGCATTCCACTCGAGACATATGGACCCCATTCTGGATCAGTATCGAGCCGTAGCAGAGGGTGTCTGTTATTCAAAGCCGAAAAACAACATTACTTACGTGTCAGGGATGGAGGGTCGAATCGTCCAAGAAAGCGAAGGTGTCCATGTGAATGCAGACTACTGGGTGAGACACACGCGAGATAGTGTACGGTACTCATCTGCATCTCGTGAACTGATGGGACGAGGGGGTTGCACCCTCTTCCTCGAAGTAGGACCCCAACCTGTCTTATCCGCGTTGACCATGATCAACTCTGATGGTGTTGAAGGGCTCGTGGATCCCGTGGTTTGCTTGCCTTCCATTCGAAAACAGGTATGTCACACCGGCAGGAGGGAGATAAAGTCAAGGCATGTCATAAATATGTAATTGCGTTATTTTAACAATTCTTTACGAAATGCAGGAGGACGATTGGTCTTGCATACTCACTACCGTTGCCAAACTGTACTTGGCTGGCGTCAATATAAATTGGGAACAGTTTGACCAATTTGAACCCGTCAAGAAGATAACTGTCCCATTCTACCCTTTCCAGAACAAATCATACTGGTTTGAAATTCCAGATCAGGGTCCTGGTCAAATTCATCCACTTGTGGGAACCCCTGTGAGCAATGCATCAGCTATGAAACTGTTTCAAAACAAGTTGGAGTTGGAAGACGCCGAGTTTTTGAAAGATCATGTGATCGGAAACAAGGTCATTTTCCCTGGAGCTGGATTCATGGTTAGTAACTAATTTTTAAACTGTAAAATTTAGAATTAGCTAAGCAAATTTTTACCACAGGAAATGTGTCTTGTTGCTGCACATTCGGCTACGCAATGCACAGAAAATTCCTACTTTCCACCATCGGCACCCATCTCCTTGACAGAATTCACAATCGAATCCCCACTTGGACTATTGGAAACGGAAACTGCTCACCTCCAAGCAATCGTTTCATCAGCAGACGATTCTGGAGACACAAAGGTCACCATTTACAGTAGACTGGCCTTGGACAAAGAGACGCAAAAATGGATTCGCCATGCATCTGCGACATTCTTCCCGTATGCGGTGACCGCCTCGTCTTCATCCAATGCAGCAGATGATGCATTGGATCTCGCCAAACTTCTTGCAGAGTTTACACATTCTACTCAGATTTCCGAGACGTATGGAAAGCTTGCAGAATTTGGACTTAAATTCGGCCCAACATTCCAAACTTTGAAAAGAATGTTGACAAAAGAGATAAAAACTGACGAAGCTCAAGTGGAAACGCTGTTTGAAGTTAACATGACTCAATCCGCAGGAAAATATGTATGCCATCCAGTCATAATGGATGCACTTTTCCAAGCCGTAATGATAAGTGCCCATCCAACCGCTAGCGAATTGCATGTTCCAGTCTCAGTACAAAAGTTTATTTCGTTTGCGCCCATCCCAGAAGATGCAGAGAGGGCGTATATCTTTTGCAAGATGGAAAGTAATGGTGAAATCAAGTAAGCAATTGTTTCATCCTTGTCTGCTTATTATTTGGTTGTTGCAAATTTTTTAGTGAAATACTTGTCATGTTGATGTAATAAATTAATATCTATTTTGTACAGAGCAACGCTATTGGAGTCTGAGGGGACCGTGCTGGCCGAAATGGTGGGTGCAATGCTCGTTGAAACTACGGTTGGTGCCATCATGTCAGCCCTAGAAGCACAAAAACTGAGCCTTCCAGCAATGTATGAAAAATGCCTTTACATATTTATTGAGATACTTTATTTCGATTATATTTTAGTTGATTAGAAATCTTAATCATTTTATTTTCTGGATTTTGACAGGTATGAAGATTTGTGGAGGGCACAAGTAGGTCCAATGGAAAGAAGGTTAGTCGGTTTAATAGAAATTACACGAAATTATGAAACTCTTTTATGTAATGCTTATACTCACTCAACTCTTCTCCGAACAGGGCCGATCTGAATCAAGTCTTTAATCACAAGGAAACAACTGACAAAACATTCATTACTCGGTTAGCCGATAAGTGCAACACAATTTCAGACGATCAAGACAATTTTAGGCGGAACTCAGACCTTCTCTGTTCGCTTTACATGATTAAGTGCTTGCAAGAATTGGATATGTCGAATTTTGTTGTTGGATCGGAAATTTTTGTCAGCGAATTTGTCAAACAAAATAAAATTCTTCCTGGACTGGAGGGGTTTGTGCGCTACATGTTTTTCGAACTTGAAAATGATGGCTATTTCCAAGTACGCAGTAAGCAAATAAAGGAGGCATTGACTTTCAAATTGGTCAAAGATCTACCCTCTCTGGATAAAGTGAAGGAAGAGATTGAACTCGTATACAAAATAGTCCATCCAGCTTCTCCAAACGAAATTGGTTATATTTCATCTACCGGGACCAGACTGACGGCTATGCTCACTGGAAAAGAATCCGCTCTTCCATACCTCTTTCCAGAAGACCCTTCCGCAATTTCGGCTGAACAATACTACATGACATCTTGCCAAGCTTTGTCAGCTCATGAGTTGCTGAACGGTTTTATGGGAGAATTTTTGAAGGTGAGTGACGGAAATAAATAAATTATAGATACATCTATCTTGTTGTAGAGGATACATTATAAGCAATAATTTGCATATACAGGATACACCCCGACAACTTGAAGAGAACAAGCAAACCATTCGTATCCTTGAGGTGGGCGCAGGTACCGGCAGTTTTACGAAAACCTTTTTAAATTACTTGCAAGGGAGTCCGACCAACTGGGAATTCACCTACACTGATATCTCCCCCATATTTTTCCCTATGGGAGCGAAAGTCTTTGAAAACTCCAAGATCAAAGTGCATTACAAAATCCTAAACATTGAGGAGGATGTCGTCAGTCAAGGGTTTATCCCGGGTCACTACGACATCATTATCGCTAACCTGGTTATCCACGCCACGAAAAGTATCTCTCAAACGTCGAGGAATTTGAGAAATCTCTTGAGAGAACATGGGACGCTTATCATATCGGAATGTGTGGCGCCTGGCAGGGGGACAAATCTCACGTTCGGACTTTTGGATGCATATTGGCATTATGCGGAAGGCGATGACTTTATGCTACGAGGCTATAATTGTGAAATTTCTCAGGAAAAATGGTTATCAGTTTTGACTGGGGCGGGATATTGCGAAGCTGTCAGCTATCCTGCGTATGGAGATTCGTTTGCTCTGATTACAGCAAGAAATGTTACACGTGAGCACATCAGTTACCATGTTCCAAGGGCGGTTGAAGCTGCCAAGAAAGAAAAGGCGTGGTGGGTGTTTTCAGAAGATGGTAAGTTTGCCATATGTAAATGTGCATTTAATGTTCATTGTAAACTAATTGTATATATATTTATATGCACTTTTAAGGTCCATTGTCCACCTATGTCATCAAGAACTTGGCTTCTCTTGGAAACAAGGTGATCACCATCCGCAAATCTGACACTTTTGAGAAGGTCAACGAGTTCGAGTTCGGCATTCGTCAACATGTCGAGGACGATATGGCTCAACTTCTTCAAGTTACCATTAAAGATGCCGGAGTTGGATTAGAGGGTATCGTTTACCTCTGGGGTTTGCATCCCTTGAATGAAAATGAAGACCTGTCTCTTGTTGCACAACCTTTCCTTTACCTTTGCAAATCCATTATTACGCAAGACTCTCCAAAACTCTTTGTTGTCACGAAGAGTGTGACCAACGTGGGAGACAATGAACCTGCACTTCCAAGTTCTAGCCCACTATGGGCCATGACGAAATGCTTCCAGAATGAGCAACCGAATGCAATTGCTCGATGTATAGATTTGGACGACTCGCTCGAAATATCTGATCATCATATGAAAGAAGTGTTTTCCGAATTTATGACAAATGACAATGAAGTTTATGCGGCGTATCGTAACGGACAGCGATTTGTGCCACGGTTTATTCCTTGGAAGCCGCAAAATACAGGGTTGCGTTTCCCCAAATCTGAAAAGTTTCGTTTGATACTTCCTGCAAGTAATGCAATCAACGATCTCAGGTGGGTATCATATTCCCAATAATTTCACTAAATACTTTTGGCAAGCTTATTATAAAGCACGAAATCATTGTTTGTATGTTTGTGAACTTTTGCAGATTCGGTTCCTGCACTACAAGGCCAGTATTGGAGGATTGTGAAGTTGAAGTTCGCGTTAGATCTTACGCTCTCAACTTCCGCGACGTGTTCGCAATCCTAAAACCCAGTCCTGAGTTTGAAACCATGAACACTGTGGGTATCGATTGGAGTGGCATCGTTATGGCGGTTGGTCCCAATGCGAACAAATATAAGGTTGGAGATTCAGTTTTTGGAACGAACATTAATGGCGACTCACTTCCATCACATACGATACTTCATGAAGACCTAGTCTTGCCCATCCCCGACTCCATGACGTTTAATGAAGCAGCCACTATGCCTGCCGTTGCCGCCACGGCGTGCATCTGCCTTGTCCAGACAGCCAAATTGACCAAAGATGACACTATTCTAATTCATACCGCGTCTGGTGGTGTTGGACTGGTTGCGATACAAATTGCTCAATCAGTAGGTGCCCGTATTGTGGCGACTGCTGGGAGCAAGAGGAAAAGGGCGTACCTGCGCAACCTTGGGATTCAACACATTTTTCACTCTCGTAATACAAACTTTGAGTCCGAAATTAGAGCTGCACTTGGTGGTGACGGGGTTGACGTGGTGCTCAACTCTTTGACCGGTCCTGGGTTTAAAGAAGCTTCTCTTGCCTTGTGCAATCAGGGTGGCCGATTCATAGAAATGTCAAAGCTCAATACATGGACTGAACAAGATGTTAGTGCACTTCGACCGGATGTGGCCTACACAATTGTTGATATATCTGCTTCAACCGGGGATGAACTGAAATCTCACATTTTTAACGTCGGGTCGTGTTTGAAAAATGACGTTGTCAAACCAATCCCATACGTTAGATTTGATGCAAGCGAAATTCGAGAAGCTTTAACATACCTGCAAAAAGCTAAGCATATCGGAAAGATTATTGTGTCCATGCCGGAACCTGAACTGGATATGACAATCCCAATGTTTAATGATCGATCGACCTATCTTATTACGGGAGGGTTGGGTGGAATTGGGCTGGAAGTGGCGAAATGGATGGTTGATTCGGGAGCCAAAAATGTCGCCCTGGTGGGTAGATCCGCCCCTAATGAGAAAGCGTTGGATGAGATTCGGAGGATGAACAACAAAGGAAATAAGAACGTTTTCACTCTGCAGTACGATGTTGGCGATGAGAAACAATGTGCCGAACTTTTGGAGAGGTGGGTATAAAATTTGTGTAGTAATTTTTTTTGGAAAAGCAAAACGTGATATATAATAAAATTTATGGTTGATTGTTCATAGATTGAAGAGTAAAGAACTTGGGCTCCCAACGCTGCGAGGAATTATGCACGCCGCAGGTGTACTGTCCGATGCCATCTACGCTAACCAGACTTGGGAAAAGTACTGCACGACATATAATCCAAAAGTGCGTGGGGGCTGGAATCTTCACAATATGACGAAACATCTTCCTCTGGAACATTTTGTCATGTATTCCTCTGCAGTGGCTGCACTTGGTAAAACAATAATAATATTTAACGTATATTCAGTTATGCATGTTAGTTTAAGACATTTCTAAATGAACAAATGTATGTACCAAGGCTCGTTGGGTCAGAGTAATCATTCATCCGCCAACTTTTTCCTGGACTCGCTTGCAAACTATAGACACTCTATTGGTAAGTTTTTTTTAAAAATAAGGCGATCAAGAGAACAGAAATTTCGAAAAATATAGGATTTTGTCATATTTATATTTGAATGTGTGGGTACGTAGGTCTCCCTGCAACAACAGTGAATTGGGGACAGTGGGGTCAAGTCGGTGTTGCTAAAAACATTGAAATTATTGGGCTTAAACCGTTTACCACTTTGCAAGGACTTTCAGCGCTCGAAAGAACCATGAAATCCCATCAACTTCAAATGTGCGTTTGTGATGCTGACTTTGGCATCGTGCGACAAATTTTCAGTGCAACGAAACGGTAATAATCAATTTAAATTTGTACTGTATGACTTTATTTATAATTGTGAAAACTATAAATTGTAACAGGTACACGGAAGAGTTGAAACTAAATCAGGGTGAATCGTCGAAAGAGATTTTGATTAACAACGAACAATTTTGGGACGATTATGACTCTGCTGATGATGAAGAGACAAAGCTTGAAGTGGTGAAACGCTTCGTTCGCTCCATGATTCGTCAAATCCTTAAACTCGGAAAAGATGAGGTTATGAACGACGACGAAAATTTTCAAGATTTGGGAATGGATTCGCTTATGCTGATTGAGATGAAGAACGTTGTCCAGTCCACCCTGGGAAAGAGGGCAACCATCACCGTAGGATCTGTAAAAGATTGTCACACAGTTAATCAACTTGCCAATAGGTAACATATTTAATGACTAAATGTGTTTATCCTTGTTGACAAATATTTGTTTAACGTTCAAATACTTACGTGTCCGGTTGAATCTTTTCAGATTGTGTCAACTTCTCGCAGGCGATGAGGATGACGATGTGCGTACTCCCACCAGAGAGGAGCTTTTGAAACTAATGCGAACAGATTCCATCCTTCCAGAAACAATCCAACCCGCACCCATTCCAGCTTGTCTACCATCTGAAGTAAAAACTATTTTGATCACCGGAGCCACCGGAAATATGGTAAGAAATGGTCAACTAATAATAAGTGACATATTTGTACATAGAGTAGCCCTTTAATATAAGAAATCTCTCCCATGAACCTGAATTGAATTAGTCAGACTTATGTATGCAACGCACATTTCTTAGTGATTCTGAATTTTTTGTAGGGACCCTATTTCCTCCGAGATATTTCAAAACGATCCCACATCACAAAAATCTACTGCATAGTCCGCGACGAGAAAAATAATTCAGAGGCCAATGCTGTAAAGCGAATAGAGAAAAAACTGGTGGCGAATGGAATGTTGGAATCTGTCGACATGAGTAAGATCGTCATAATTCCAGGCAATCTTAATCGACCTCACCTCGGCCTGACGGAAGAAGAGTATAATAAACTAGCCCAAGAAGTCGACGCAGTCTTTCATCTCGCCGTGAAATCCAATTTTACCGAAGAGTACAAAAAATTTGAAAAACCAGAATCCACCGATATTCGTACAGTGAATTTGAAAGGAACTCTCAAAGTGCTCGAATTTGTGACGGCACAGAAAACAAAACTCCTTTTCCACGCCAGTACCATCGTCGCCAATAATAAATTGGACAAGGATTTCAGCATTTCAGAATTTTGGCCAAAGGAAGACGATTTCGATGATATGCCAAACACTGCGTACCCAATTTCTAAATTTGTATGTGATAGACTCATGGCTTCTGCGGTGGAAGAGAGAGGTTTGCCAATCAAGGTGTTTAGGTGGGTGTGCTACTAAAAACTAAAACTTGGTTTACGATAGCTAACTTTTAGTGCATTGATTGCAAATTAATATTTTGTTTCGGATTACAGATTCCCCGCAGTTGGTGGCGATAGTTTATCTGGAGCTAATGTCGACTATGAAAACAATCAATTGATGTTGCGAATGATGAGTTATCTGCATTTAGGAATTATGCCTGCAGTCCCGATTCCATTCTTTATCCTGCCGGTGGACACCTGTGTGGACCTTTCACTTCGTATATTTTTCGATGACTGCACACCCGACGACATTTATAACGTGTACAATCCATACCCCCACAATGAAACTGAGCTTGTCCTCATTGGAGAAGAATTGGGATACAGGGTTGACGTTGTGGAACCGGATGACTTCCAGACACAAATGGATGCGATCAAGGACTCCAAGCTTATCCACTTCCTTAAGGAAGCGACTGGGAATAAGGACGCACAAAATAGATTTGTAAGTATTAAACGATTTTTCTCTCATTCTATACAAATAAGTCAATGACCGGATGACTTTTTTTGCTCCATAGCTAAAGGACTCTCCTGCCATCATGGCCGCATACACGAGGAATCCAACGCATGCATTTGTCAGCAAGAAGTTGACCCAGTTGATGCCCGAGTACCCTAAACACATCGAAAATACTTTGGGTGTGATTAGAAGAGATTTGGAGTATGCGAAAAAATCGGGAATTTTTGCAAAGTTTGGAATTTAGTAAATTTGTAGTTTTTTTACTAATTTGACTACAAAAAGATACTTTTTAAATTAAATGTACACTAGGTTAAGCTATACTTATTATTATTATCAATTCATACATATGCGTGCCTGCCTGTTGCCTATATAATGCTGCCTTAACAAGATTTAATTAATAAAACCGTGTGAAAACTAATCGATTTGTATTTATTTAAAACTAAATTGTGGTTGAAAGCATATACAAATTATAATTTCGTAAGCAGCATTTTGCCAGTTTTGTACGAGTTATTAAAACGTGTTACACGTATGTATGATTTCAGTATTGAGCGAGGTTGTTGAAATCAATTGGCAAAATTTTATTGAATTCTGCTCTTACCATATTTTATTATGACATATGCAACAGTTATTGTGCACATTTTCAAAAACTATTATTATGAACAATGAAGTAGTTAATACTTAACTTTTCATAATAAAATTTAGGTCATGCTATTGTTGCACGCAGTAACTTAATGCAATTCATTTATTGGGAACAGAACAATACAAACGGTCCCCTCTCCGATTTGGCAATATGATTTGCCAAATTGTTCAGTTTTTTTATGCTGATCACAAATATACTAAAACTACGTATTTGACTGGCAAATGAAAATTGAGCCCACAATCGAGCTTGCTTGTCCTAATTACCATTTATTGGCATCCATCGAGTTGAACTACACATTGAGAGAATCTTATGTGGGAAAATTCTACACGTTGCTCGAATAAGGCTCGAATCTCTTCGATCTCCTCATCTCCTTCCTTATTGTTCATCGTTTCTTTCGTCAAAATTAATCCTAAGTCTTAAGATTTTAGAATTTAATTGAAAATTTAATTTTTGCAAAACTTGCATTATAATCGATCTAACAATCGGTCAATTATCAAGTAGTATCAAGCTTAAGTGAGTAGAGCTAGTTAGCAGAATTATAAAATTCAATTAATAAAAAAACATCAATAATCAAAATGATGGACATGACGACTCAGGGGGAATTCATCCTGGCTCCAGGAGAATTCAATGTCATCTGCCCATATAATATGGCCCATGTCGTGACGTAAGTTTACACAATTGAATAAATAGCTTGTTCATTTTTGTTAGATGAATTTAGAACTGATACAAAACTTTCCAATTTTACCAAATTAATATTAGTAATGCCAGGCTGATTACCCACTTGACAAAGTGTAGGACTCAATACCAGAAAGATTGTGAAAGGACTGGGAAGCCAAAAGATATGCGAATTTGCAATTTTAACGATAACCACAGGGTGTTCGCTCCGGAAATTAATTTTCATCATGAAAGATGTGAAGATCGGTATAAAGTGGTGGAAACTATACGATATCATGCAAGTGGTAAGACAGGTGGACATGTATATATAGGCGATATTACATTACCGATAATATATAATGTACTTTTTCCTATCATCTCTAGATGAATTTGCAAGAAAGATAGAAGCTGATCGTCGTCGGAAGGAAGAAGACGAAACACGTTTTGGTGGGACGAATAAAGACAAGCATGATCAAGATAAGAAGGACCATAAAAGTAGATCTAAGGATGCTGGTCACTCTCGTCATAAGTATGACGAAGATAAGAGATCCTCTTCACGATCGAAACATCGCGACGAGAAACCAGCTCCGAAAATTTGGGGTGACGAGCAAGAAGATTGGGAATCAGAGTCGAAAGGGTATGATACGTTTAATTTACTAATTGACTATTTAGTACTCTGAGGAAATCTAAATTAAAAAACAATAGCTACAAATTGCTATGTCGTGAATAAATTATAGAATACGTTTTTTTTGAGGATGCGTACATAATAGACGTTTGATAATAGATATGAAGCGGCGTATGACCCCCAAGAGAAACTGAGTCATGGTGGGATCTTGTACCAACCTCGAGGTCTTAGCAAATCAGAACGCAAACAATTCCGAGCCGAACAAAAGGAGAAAGCTAATCAACGGAGCCTGGCTGAAACTGAGTCTCTGAAAAAGTTGGATTTAGAAGCAACTCCAACAATAAAGAAGGAACGCAAAGAAGAAGTGATGTGTGACGCACCTTCGCCATCAAGTAGTTACAAGATTAAGAAAGAATTCTCTTTGAAAAAAGAACCAGTAGTTGTTAAGAAAATAGAGAAAAAGGAAGAATACGATGATTTTACTGGAGAAGATCCGTTCAGTTAAACATGCCTAGTTTAATTTCTTATTTAAGTAATTTAATGTGAAATTTTTCTATCATTCGATCAAAAAGTAAACTTTCGTACTGATATTATTTAATTCTTCTTATATTCCAAGTAATGGATGAAATTAAAATTTAATCCCACTAATTATCTGCTAATTTGACAGCTTATATAAATGCCTAACTGAATGAATTGTAATGTTTAACCACGTAATTTTTCGACAAGTTATTATTAAAAGATTTTCAATTATTTTAAGATTTATGTTGAAGATATAAGTAGGTTGACCGGCATTGGAGGACTTATTTGCAATTCAATTTTGTATAAATCTTACAATCTGACATTTATAATTGCCCTCATTATTATAGTAGCAAATGGTCACATTTTATTCTATAAAGCAGTGATTTGCAAGGTCCTTAAATGCATTTAGTTACGTACATATTCACGTCGTAACTAATCGTAAGTACATTTTAGGACCTTAGTGAATTGTAAATTTGTTTATATTTGTCTCTGCCATTTGTTGTAATAAAGTGTCAAAACAAATTGAATTTATTATTTATAAAGTGTCAAATAATCCTGCTTTGAGAGATCTTACATGCAAATAATAAATTCTCAAAATATAAGATTTTTTGACACTAAACTTAGTATTTTTGAAAGTAATTAATCAACCAATCAGAAAACCGGAATAAAATTGGTTGTTCCCTTTGAAAAGTACTTTTAAATCAAAAGTTTCAATTTTGCAACGCCATTTGAATCAATTGAGGTTTTCCAACTAACCAACATCGGTCTTTCCCTCTACTTCTCAAGCCAAGTGTCATTTATTTTATTGATATGCTAATCAGAGAGGGTAACATCAAATTTTGCGAAACCTGAGTTTGGCAATATGTACATATATGTAAAATGTAAAATCCATTATATGTAAAATTTTAGAAAACTGTCACCATGTCTCACCCAGCCCAGGTACAAATGAATACTTGTTTCCTTCAAAAACTGGCGGAGGCGGTATGGGCCTGCTTTTTGCCCCTCAAAAACAAAACTCGTAACTGCCAAACTTACTTTGAACTGCGTTTGAACCTGCTTTTGTTTCCTTTTTTGTTTTTTTTGGCCGTGTCCTGCGCTGAATTTTCAATTCAATAAAACGATTTTCCTTAATGTTTTTAAAGTTAATGTGCATTATCGTTAATTCCCTATAAGAGAGTTTTACAATTGCTTAAACATCGGCAAACCGTGTCATCATGGAGGAGGAATTACTTTCAAAATTTTTACAAGAGACGGGAGGTCAGGCTGACTATTTGGAAGCGATTCCACCAAGTCAAATTCAACATGGGAGGCTAGTGGGTAAGTATTGATAGTGACGTATTTAGTAATTAAATATGAATTACACATTTCTGTTCTTTGTTTAGCTATTCATGACCGTGTGAGGAATGAGGGTACTTTTCTTGTAACTTCACACTATCCAACTTTGGCTAATGCCGTCGCTGGAGAACCAACACCTCCTCCAGACATTATCTCTGAAGCCGTGCGGATTATTCATAAGGGATTAATCAAGCTGAAAGAGGAAATTGGTGTGCACGGGGTTGAAGTCAACAAATTTAATCCAGAGGAAATCAACCGACTTAGAAGATCTTTGGCCATTATGATATATCTTGCACATCGTGGATTGTGTGGGATGGAGGCAAAATCTGTTCAATTTGTCCTTGGGTCAGGAAATGTTGGAGGAAAGGGGAAGAGTTCAGTAAGTACTAGTTTTCAAGGATTGTTATTAGTTGTCACAGATTTGGATGTACGATGTATTACACGGTTTATTGTTGTAATTTACAGAAAGCTGCGTCTGCATTTGGTGGAAATGACGACGCTTCTGGGATCAATTGGAGGAACTTACGATCAATGATTATTGAGGACTTGTTGGAAGTCTTGCAACTACCTGTAGAAAAAATTTGGGATGACACTGGATATGGGTATAGTGTCCCAAGGTGAGCAATTTATTTAAAAAACATTTTTCGATACATGAATCAATAATAAAACGAACTGCGGACTAAATTATTTGTGTCTCTTGCTATGTCTGAGCAGGATGTTGATCCGTACTATGTGCAGTAACTTTAACGAAGCGTGCCTTGCAAAGGAAAACTTACGAGCTGGAGATGAACCGTACAAAATTTTTGCAATTGTTGCTAAACGGTTCAATAAAGCGGCGGATGTGTACCAGCGATTGTTTCCTGTAAGACTTTACAACGACATGTTTGTTGCTGGTATATTTTATTATTTGGAGTCATTATTTGTCTTTACAGCTTATGAAGTACGGAGAGGATGTTGGCAAACTGATTTCCAGATCTGTTGAGGTGATGGCAAATGACTATGAGATTGATGATGCTGTAGTAAACGCATTTCAAACAATAATGACCATCGTGGAGAGTGACATGGGAGAGTCGAGCAAAAATGCCGTTTTGGCTGAGAAGGGTGCCGCGCAAGTACTGGGAGATTTGTGTGAACTAACGCCAAAAGACGTGATTCAAAAGGCTGGATTATACTTGGTTCAGTTGTTGAAGGTTGATGTAAGATGCTTCATAATTTACGTAATGTTTGACATTTTGACATTTTTACATTTTTACACATTGTAATCAGACGTAATGCTTTTCCCTAAATTAAATACATTTCTTTTATGCAGAGCGTTTCAATTCGTAGTGCAGCAGTTCAAGGAACTGCAAGTCTCATGCGTTGGCTGAAGAGTACTGACGGTGGTGGGTTAGAAAATACTGGAAAGCTAAGAACACAAATCCTTGATGAGATTTTAGTCAAACATTGCCGTGACGTTAATTCTTTAATTAGATCCAAGGTACAGACAGGTTTACTGGTTGATTGATCTTGTTACAATATATTAAATTATTTATGTTAACTTGAATATATTTTAGTGTCTTCAAATTTTGGCCAAATTAATTGATGAAGCTATCTTGGAACCGATAGAAGTTGCAATTTGTATGAATGCTGCTATTGATCGAATAAATGATTCTGCAATCTTAAGTAGGAAATATTCCATGCTAATTGTCAACAATATCTTGGCCAAATTTCCTGGAATTTGCAGTGTGAGTTTACCCTACTACTGCAAGCAATATACTACTCACTGGTTGAACTTATTTCGAAAATGCTAGTAATCATTACTTAATTCATTTTCAGGCTGAAATAAATTACAAGAAAGAAGTGGATTATCACAGGAAACGGTTATTGGAGATAATGGCTAAAACATCTCCTCGTAAAAGTTACTATACGTGTGCAATTGTTCGAGAATTTGCAGAACAAGTTCAAGTTGAAGAAATCCCTCTGCCTGATATTTATGATGCTGATGTTGAAGAAGTATGGAAAACTTGTTTTGTTTGACTAGTACATTATTTGCTATTTTAAATATAATTCCTATTTATTTTACCCTACATTTTCTGTTTAGGGAATGACAAAAGTACGCCCGTTAATTGCTGGCCTAGTTAAAGAAGATAAATATTGGGATGCTTGTCTTATCCTTTATCATTGCTTTCAAAGATATGGGAAAGATGTCGGAATTGCGTGAGTACCGATAAATTAAATTTATACATTCATTTCATTATGTTCAACCAAATTATACTGACTATGACATACTGTTATCTTAGCGAGGCTGGAGTAGCTTCCGCCAAACCAGAGCTTTACATAGGATTTTTTAACAACGTTACCACGGGAAGTGGAGACTCCGTAGATTTCACAAGCCAAAGCCAAAGGTCAATGTTGGAATGCTCACTCGATCTGTCCAAGTCAATGACAACTCATGAAGTTGAATTAATGGAAAATGAAGAAGTTATTAATGAACGGAAAATACTTCAGTTTTCGCAGGTACATAACAGTAAATAGCTGGAATAAAAATCAGGCGAATTGCTCAATCATTAGGCTACCTATAAAACTGTTTGTATGTATTATATAACTTTAAAATTATTTTCAGGGTTGCTTGAGGATGAAACAAAAATTGAACAGCTTGGTTGAAAAATTAACCCTTCTTTTACAAATTGGTCAGCCAAACGACCGTACAGAAGTTATTGGCACTATTGGAGAATTAGTCCGATGTGGATACCCAGTAAATGAGAAGATTACCGGCCCTGTTGTTCAAGCTATTGCGATGCTAGCTAAAGATTCTGCTGGCGCTTTGGTCCCTGCATTCTGGAGCATTTTCATTGGAGACCAAGGAATTGGGTAGTTTAGCAAAAAAATCACAAATACGGAACGCTATTTATTTCCTTCAATTTTAAATTGTTTTTTTTATAGAAACGTCGACATGGTCCGCAACATTTTCAAGATTCTTGATTCTGTGGATGCTGCTACTAAGGGTCTTCTCAAACCAATAATCGGTGAAATGTACGCAGTTGGATCCCTTTCAAAACCGGCTGTAATAATTCTGTGGGACGCGTTCAATCGTGCTTATGACTCATGGTCTGCACATGATGCTAAAAATGCTATCTTTGTTCTTGGTGCAATTGGAAAGTACGTTTTAATAAGTATATGATATTACATAATAGAGTAAGTAATTCATGAAAGTGTCCATGTAAAAGACTCTTTAAATCTAATTAATAGGTGTAACAAGGATGTGATTACGGCAAATTTGGGCTTTATTTTAAAAGCTGGACTTGGCGATGACGCCTTAAAGGACTTTGGCCTGATTCGATACACTCTTGAAGCAATTTTGTTTAGTTTGAAGGCAACAAAGAAAGGAGAAAGCGATGTGCAAACCACTCATCGTCTAAGCAGGAACCATGCACTTTTTGACAGACTTGTGGAAATCCTTGTATACGGAGTAAGTACGAAAGGAAACTGGGAAACTCATCAACACTTTCCTCGGGTTGCCGAACTAGCTGTGCAGATCATATATAAACTCTCATGGGATCACATTCCATTTACTAACCAAATTTTGCGTAGAATTCCCCCCATTGTCTTCGGGTCTTCGAATGAAAATCAAGAATTTCCTAACGTTGAAATTAAAGATACTGAAGAAATCTATATTCGATTCATGGCCATTATGACAGCTTTGTTGGGAACTCACATTAACTACTGTGAAACGGTTGTCATCCCAGAAATCAAACGACGGAGAGCGTTGGAGGGGGCCATATCCAAACCTGACCTTGACAACAATGTATCTAGGTCACGTAATTCAACTCTAGGTGGTCACACTTCAAATGTGAATAATAGCTCCCGTATTTCCGCTAGAAATAATTCTTCAACAATGAGCCGTGGAGGAAAGCGAGGTCGCAAACCTGCTTCATCATTCTCTGCTACCCGGAATGCAGATGCATTATCGGAACTTGAGGCCGTCATCGGAAAATCTGCGTTTGATGGTGAACTCGACATTATTAAGTCGTACATTGAAAAGCTATTGGATCACGGAGCATTTCGCCAGTTACGCCGCATAACTCTATACTTTTGCCAAAATATTACAACCATAAAGCACCGAAAACTGAAAATATCAATTGTCAACTCCTTCGCGAAGCTTATGTTGGTCAGTGCAGAATCCGTGGGAAAACTTATCGAGCCGTTTATTAACTTGTGGACCATTGTGGACGATGACCTGGTTAAAGTTGAAATGCTTAAACATCTTACGGCTTTAAATGTCAAATTTCCTAATCAGGTAAAAACTAACTAAATTAGTAACTAACTAACAGAATATGGTGCAAATAAATATGTGTATAGCTGACAATTTGTTTTGTTGTAAAATAGATGGAACCATGCAATGTGATAATCAAAAACGGATTAATGAGCGGCAATACCCACATCAAAATGACATGTTTGGATTTCATGGGATATATGGCATTGGGAGACATGGTGAAAATTCGGGATAGTATTGCAGAAGTAGCTTTATGTTTAACCTCAGAAAAATTGGTCATACGAGAATTGGCTCAAGATTTCTTTGATGTATGCGCCGAAAAAGATAATGTTATCAGCAACGCCATACCAGAAGTTATCTCGCAGTTGTCAAACCGTGATGGTCTTTCACAACAAGATTTTCAAGGCGTCATGAAATTTCTTCTAGTTCGTGTCAAGAAAGAAAAACAAGTTGTTGGTCTGGTTGAAACTCTGATGAACCGTTTTAAAGGATCAGCTCAAAATGGACGCTTATGGGAAGACAATGCTTATTGTTTGTCACAGCTTCCTCAGGGGGACAAGACGTTCAAAATTATTCGTGATAATTTACGCTTGTACACTGACAAACTAGAGAATGAAGTTGTGTACACTTCGTTTGTTCATATAATTGAAACTTTACGGCGTGGAAATTTAAAGCCTGATGTTAAAGTAAGTACGATATTAACTATTTTCATTTTATTTTTATTTGTTTTAATTATATTACTATGTACTATCAATAATAATTATTTATTTGTTTTACCTAATTTCAGGCAAAAATTGAGGATTACGAACGAGAATTAGAGGAACTGCGTGAAAAATGTCTAGAAAAACATCGCATTGCTCAAGCTAAGAATCGGCAGCAGGGGAAAAATAATAATAATCGATCTAAAAGCCAGGATGCGTCAAGCTTAATGGAGGAGCAGAATGCAATGGATGTTAGTGGAGATGAACAAGACGAAAATTCTGCGGATGAAGGTGCAGATACTGCTCATAAAGACCAAGATGCAGATCCTGGTGACGAAGGTCAAGACAAAGGTGACGAAGGTGAAGATAAAGATGACGAAGATAAAGATGCTGCTCCTGACAGCACAGATGAAGATCCTGCTGAAGAAGATGATGATTCTTCCGATTAAAGTACAAAGAATCATACAATGTGTTGGATAATTTATGGTATGAATTTTATGCATGTGAATATGCAAATAAGTGGGAAAAATTTATGAGAATAATATTTGGAAGTTATTTTTATTCCGTAGTTAACTTATATTTAATATTCCCGTCTTTACTTGTGCATATGTATATGCTCGTTTGTTTCTTAATAACTCAATCCGTTTCGCGTATTATTGAACAATTTCTAATCTATATTATTGGTGGGCATGTTCCTTTTACAAAACGGCAAAATCGTCTGATTATTAAATACATCGTTTACTCAAGTACGAATTTAGTTGTTATGTTATGCTTTAATTAAGTTGAGGCAGATATTGCATAAATGCATAGTCAAGAAACAATGTCTTAATATTGTTATCTTGCTATTATTGGGTAATATCCTACTATTTACACTATTTTTATGATAGCAACACACATTTAAAGTTTACACAAACAAACATTAATATCACAATTTTCCTGTCGAATAAGGCTAATCGAGCCTTATCGGCATCTTTGCTATATTTTTAACATTTCATCCCCTTCTCGATCTCACTGTTTGATAATAGTATATAATAATATTGCTTGATAGTTCACGTATATATCGTACGTCATCATTTTGTATCCAGTCCATCCTCATCTTATTATTATCGCTGAACAATATTTGCTACTACTTTCTAATGAAATGTGTATAATAAATGACAACAATAAAGTGCATACTTAAATACGTACAGAATATTATGCAAGTGAATAATGAATTAATAATAATAGTTAATTAACTAGTAATAATATCATTTCATATACGAATTTTGCCACTAATCGACGCGCTCTCATTCAAAAAGACAACATATGCATAAAAAAAACTTTGGTATGGTTGTGTTATATCTGAGAGGTAGTAATTTGCACAATAGAATAACTTAACTAAAAATATAACAAAATACGGTGAGTTGTTTGTCTGCTTTCTAGTAAGCAAATTATTAAATTTCTAAAAAATATCTACCAAAATTTGTAATCTAAACCTTCCTTCGTTTACTTGGAGGTGATTCTTGATCGTGCCCAAAAGCACTACTGACACGACTTGCGGCAACGGCTGAGGTTATCATGGGATTTCTTCCACTATGCTCCAATCTAAAATACATCATGCAACATGTCCAGATAAAATTCGAAAATATTTATGTACAAAGACTACGATTAATATATAGAATAACACTCACTTGAAATATTTAATGAATGGATCATCTTGTGGCAATTCGTCTGGTTCGTGTGGTGTGAAGACAAAGAATTGGGCGTCGAAAAGGGAGTGTGCCTGTTCCACCAAGATTCCCATGCTGACTCTTTTATTTCCACCATCCATAAAAACTTCAAACTCGTCCAGCTAAATGATAATTTTATTAATTATAATTTTACTCGTTTATAATTTAACCTAATAAATGTACAGGAACATTGATCATGTTCATTTATAGTAATAACCTTACCATGAAGAAAGGCGTTGGCATGATTTGTCTTAGGGCAGAAATGTAAGCCATAGTTGAAAATGAACGTTCACCACCGCTCAATTGCATTGTAAACTCTTTGAGTCCTTTCCTATTTATATTTTTAAAAAAACAATGCTTAGATTTATTAAATGAGAATTTTGAATGCAATTCCACTTTATTTTATATACTTACCAATCAACAACGACTTTACCGGAAACTTGATTCTTTGTCACGTATGCTTGCGCCTTGACTTCACTCTTTTTATCGACACTGACATAGTAAAATAGTTTTTCGTCTGCAATATCGAACAGTGCTTTCCCCTGAAAAATAAATAACAGTTGTTTATATTTATTCAACATTTAGTCAAAAATATATGTATGTCATCCCTTACCGTGTATCCCCTTAGTTGAATAAATATTTGGTAATAGGTCTGGAAATTGGTGAGATGTGCTTTCTTTGTACGTTCCAAGTGTTGTCGTTGTACATTTGTCAATGGTTCGACCAGCTATTATAACATAGGGCACATTATTAGTTTTATCATAACTAGCATTCTGAGAATGATAATTTTAGCTGGACAATGATTATATACATACCCCTAAAATCTGGCTTACAAATTCAATCTGAACATGAATTTCGGTGGCAGATTTTTTCCATTTTTTCGCCGTGCGACGGACCCCTTCCTTCATTTTGATTGTATGTAGATTTTGTTTATAAAAATTTTCCCGTCCTTCCAAATCTGATTGAATGTCCTCCGGAGATCTATTGGTTGGTATACGTTCACCTTTCTTTAGATCTTCGCTAATCTTTTTCTCCAATTCCTTCTTCTTTCCTGTGAGTTCCTTTTGAAGCTTTTTCCTCTCGTTGTTCAAAGTTTTGAGGGTGTTGTCACACTCGCGGATTTTCTATAAAAAATAGTTTAAATGATTTTAGACATTGTAATGCCTATTTCATAAACATGCACATACTGACTGCCCGAACATGAATTTTCCGATTTATGTACCTTGTCCACTTTGTCACACTGCTTTTGAAAAATTCCCTTTTCGTCATCACAAGCTTGGATCCGTGTCCTTACTTCGTCCAACTGACTTTTTAGTGTTCTCGATTCTTGGTCTCTTTCATGAAGTTTGGTGTCACAGTCCTCTTTCGCAGCAACTTGTAGGGCGAGTTCTTCTTCGCGTTGTGACAGGGTTGACTCCAATTGAAGTTTTTGTTCCTCGATAAAATCATTCTAGTGGACACATAGATAGATAAATGAGAATTTCTAATTTAGCCATTGATAAGCTACGATTCGTATCATAAACCGCGTTATCTACATAGTTTACATACCTGAGACGCCATATCCGGAACTTTAGATTTTATTAAATCCTCCAATATTTGTTTGCATGCTCGGTGAAGGGACTTGGCCCGATTGAGTTCATCACTTTTCATTTTAATTTTTGCTTCAACGTCTTTAAGTTGACGAACGAATCCTGTTGTAATTTTCTTGGATTGTTGCCACATATCGTTAATTTCAGCTACTTCGGCCTTTAAACAGTCAATCTCGTTCTCTAATTCTTCCCTAAAGATGACAAAATAAAATCATAACGTAATCTTATTTGGAGCACCAAATGAAACCATTTTAATTTGAACCTTAATATTTTGTATAGCTCACCTCGCATTTTCAAATTTTGTGGTTTGTAGAAAATGTGATTTTTTTCGTTGTTGGAGAGGCTGAACTTTGTAATTTGGGCTTGGAGTAAATTTGAAACAATCTTTGCTCACTCCGTAAACGCAGGTGCGAGGGACCCTGTTGACATATAAATAGAAAAGCATGAATCACTGCTTCATTTATCAATACATAATCATGATTCACTTACCGCTTGGCATCTTTAAAGATGTGACAAGCTTCCTGCTCTGTCTTGAAAAGAACAATTCTCTCAATTTGTTCCTTGTCAATGAGAGACTCTAAAACTTTAGAATGTTGAATATCCAATACATCAAGGATTGTGGGGTAACCAGGTATTACTGCTTTCCCTTTTTCCCACCACTCCCCATTCTACAAGGACAGCAAGGATTAGCAATATGTAATTAAATACGCATAAAATATATCTATATTTCACAACTACATAGAAAACATACCCTATTACTGCTAACGACCGAAGTAATGCCCGGCTTTCCCTCGTTACTATTTCTATACACCTCTTGAATGAGATGTCTCAAAGGATTGACGTCATCAGGATGATCTGTGGCAAATGTTCTCAGAGTTCTGCCCAACGTCTCCTCAATCACGGGAGCGTAAGTTTCATGTTCTTTTTTCACCGTAAACCAAGCGCCCAGAGGACCTACGAGACAAAAAAATGTTAATGTTTGTGTTCTCGTCTTGACCACGTCCAAAAATCTCAACCAGGCATCCAGAACATTTTATATTTTCTGATTTTTATGAATAAAGATCCAATTAAATGAAATACGTACCAACCGGGGGCCGACCTTTCCACCTAGTTTCACCAATTCGTTTGACTAAAGTTTTCACTCTGCTTCCAAATTTATCGTATTTTGTTATTTCTGCGTCTTGAATATTTTTAAGGCCGCGGACTTTATCCTCTGAAGAACAAGTGAAATCATAGTCCAATTAATAAACTAAATGATGTTAAGTGGTATTCAAGATCATTTAGTATTGACTACTTACTAAGCTTTGTTTGGGCATCTTGAAAAAGGGCATGAGCTTGATCTTCTTTCTCCTTAAAATTGGTCTGTTGTGTTTCCAACTCATGCTTTTCTGCTCGTAGGATCTCCAATTGACGACTAGCTTCAGCGATTGTCACATTATACCGTTCCATTTCATCTTCGGTCTAATTTAAAAATATTGTAATTATAAACTAAGGTAAAGCCTACAAATATTTGCATATTTAATGCAAGACTGACTTCTCTCTTGATTCGTTCATCATCATTTGCCTTCACAGACAGGGAATCCCTTCTTTGTCGCTCAAGCTCTTTCAATTCTTCCTTCAATTTGGTTTTATTGTCATTTAATAGTTTGATCTGCTTCCCAATGCCCTGATTCAGTTTGCTAACTTCCCTGAGAGCAAGATGTGCTTGTTCGTATTGTGCTTCAATAGTGGCTGCCTCTTTACGTAGTTCAGAGACTATAGATTTTTCCTTTCTGCACAAAAATGCATAATTATTATTACCATTATGATTGAGTGAGCTGTAGGAAGCTTATAAGTTTCAAATAAAAATGTGTATGACATACTCATGAGATGAGACCATGTTAGCTTTATTTTCTTCGGTTTGTTTTTTCTCTCCTTCAATTCCAGAAATTTTGGTATCAATTTGGGAAACCTGAGACTCGAAAGTTGTAACGACAGCTTCAATCTGGTTGATCTCAGCGGAACATTTTTCCCTTCGAAGATGTGCGCATAAACCTTTGTACTTTTCCATTTCAAGAATTTTACGAAATTGTGCTTCAGCTTCTTCAGCTTTACGTTTACGGTCTTCGTATTCCTATTACATACAAAAAATGTGGATTCAAGACATGGGTACAAGGAATAGGTTCATATGAAATTCATCTTTTTGGCTTACAACAATTTTAATGGATAGCGTCGATTTAGAAACAGTTATATTGTTTTGCGAAGACTGAAGAAATTCTTCGGCGGAAGAGATTTGTGTAATGTCTTTAAAGCTTTTGTACCTACACGGTATGGAAACATGAAATGTAATTTTACCACATATCCAATTATACGTTTGACTAAATTAAAAACAATTTTCTTACAGTGCGGACGCTTCTTGTGTATTGAGAAAGTTAGTTGCAACCTTTTGTGTCAAGATTTGTACAGGGTTATTAAGGTGGACTTGAAGGGGTCTAAGAAGTGAATCTAATGCAGCCTTTTTTAACGTATTCCAAGTTCCGTCCTTTAATTGGACTTTAGTCGTGCTTGAACTTTTTGTAAATTGTTTTCTCAGTCTAATTTCTTCACCGTAACGTCGTTTACTGTGAGTTCCGTTGTGATTCGAGAGAACCAGCTCGATCATGGTATAACTTTCACCGCGTTGAATAACCACTGGAAATAATTACAAGTTTATTTTAGCATTTAAATTAAATTCTTGCAATAGTGTACGATTCAATAATAAATAATAGTTTTATAAAGATATTTAAACAAACTTTGTAATGAGTCGGCCCTCCCTGTTGTGGACGCTTTGGCACCACATACCAACATAATCGCCGTTTGTATCGCAGTTTTACCGGAACCATTTTCTCCTGTTATGATGTTTAGCTAAAATAGTCAATAATTTAGCTGTTTTCTTAAAATTCTAATACTCAGTATAGTTTTAAATGCAATTCAAATGTTTACATGAGGTCCAAATCTCCAATGTTTGTTTTTATGACACATAAAGTTAATGAGCCTCAATTCTTTGACGCAACCATCCCTCATTTTGTGCCATTCACATGCCTGTAAAAACTTTGCATCTTTATCTTGCCAAATTTTTTTAGTAAAAAATGTTGCAATATTTAATACCTCAGGTGTCGGAGGGAACTCTACTCTAGGAAACATTCTCATTTCCTTGACCGGTGTCTTTCTTCTACTTTTATAAGGAACTACAGCCATCGAGTCGTCCATGTTGTTGCTGTTACTACTGTTACTATTAGTGCTTCCGGTTGGAGACTCCTTACCCCGTTTTTCTCCCCGAAGTGAACACCTCTTCGAGTCAGGAACAACCCCATCGCCCGAATGAGCGTGACCTTTTCTTTTCCTGGATGACAATGTTTTAGAATCTCTGCCATGATCGTCGTCTAGTACTTGGTTTGGTGGCGTATTGGGAGCTTCCGAGTCGGTAAATGGTGTGTACGGGTTTGTTGTTTCGTTCGAGTATGGTGGTGAAAGTGGAGAGTGTTGTGGTGTACTTAAGTCTTCGTCCAACATTTGTTCCATTAAACCGGAAAAGGAATAGTCATTGAGAGGAGGGACCGGGTCCAGGACGCAGTCGAATGAGAGTGGTGCTGTCTCTTGGAGAGAAAAGGCTATCTTATTCTTCTCGGGGGTATCCAAATCAAGAAATTTGTTTGGGCTGGAATACGACAGTGAGGGATACAATTGCTGATGATGTTCTAATGACAGAGATGTTAGGATTTTAATCTTCGTGAGTGTGCCATACCTTTCCTGGGTCATAAAATGTTGAGGCGTCTGCAGTCCATCAGGTCTAGGACTGGATGAGCATGCGGGATAACTTTTCCCAATAAGGTCCAACTCTTCTTCGAGGGGCGAGTTGTATAATCGTTTAATTGTGGATCGAGTCGATCTTGGGGGTGGGATGGATTGCGGAGTTCCTGGCGTTGGAGGAAGTTCATAGCAGGATATTTGGTTTACGACGGGGACGGTTTTTTCGTTGTAACCTGGTTAAAATTCAAGTTTAAATCCATGAGTACTTTAAATGTCCCAAGCTATCGTGTTAAAATATGTACGAATGATCATCTGCGTAAAGGTCAAGTAGAAAAATTCAACCATGTCATATGCTGTTGAGCAACGACTCAATAAATCATGAAAATTTGGAACTGACGCCCTTTCCCATTTTATATCAATTAAGCATACATCCATAAAAGAACAAGCTCTAGTTAATTTCGGAGATACAAAGGATGATTTTAATATACATTGTATTATGCAATAACGGCAGAGCCCGCCAGCCCTACCCACAATACCGTTCTTGCATGTACTGCTGGCTTCCCTACACAGCGTACTCTTTTACAACACGTCTCTATCTCTACTATAGCGTAACAACACCACCATCTTTTTAAAACCATTTCCTTGGCCTCATATAACCCCGTAAATTGTGCAAATTGACAACATTCACTGACACTAAATTATAAATTCTAGAAAACATCACAACAATAAAATAAACTGAACTTTTCACAGAAAACTCAAAAATTTGAGAGGTAGACCAAAAATAAAAATACCTGTCCTACTCCTCAAATTCTTGGCAGGACTGTCCCCACGGGATTGATAGTATTTTGTTGCGTACATGACAATCTCACTATAATGCACTGTCACTAAAGATAAATTTCCTAAAGCTATTTAAACACTAAACAAACAGTTGAAAAATTGGTGAGAAACCACATCCTGTGCCTGATCATGTTTCTCATTGCGAGTGAGAGAGAGTGAATGATGACGAGAGAAATAAAGTTGAGGCCGTCTCCCCATTTGCCTGCCTGGCATCAAAAACCAAGCTGGGTGGTTTTATTCAAGTAGAAAATGGTTCAGAGAAAGAATGGCCTCCTCGTATAGTGAAAAAATAGTGAAGATACCTGGCAGAGGCCTCCCAATGCATTTCTACATTTACAGACATTGTATAGGCTATGTTGTAACATGAGAATGGTCGTAATGCTGGTGGTGGTAAATATCCGCAGAATGTAAAATGTTAAGGTTGGTGTTGGTGACCCTCTGGTGGATAGTATTGGCAAATTTGAATATTGCAGTTTGAGTGCAAGTGCAATTGAAATTTTTCTTGGTTATTTAACAAATAGTGACTTTAAAATAGTTATACAAAAAGTTTTTCGTCTTACATTATATCAAATTGGGGCATTTTTTGAACAAACAAAAAGATAAAATTTGACAGTACTGCGCAAATTTTACAATTGTGCAAACCTTTTATTTTCGAAACATTAAGCGCACGTTGCAAATATCAAACACTTGTTTTCTTTACTTAATTGTCAAACTACTCTCCATTCACACACAGTTGAACTTTTACAGAAATTGAGAATTCTGAGAAACTACGCAACTGCCAGTCTCAAAGTCCCTTATCATTATAATTTGAGGGAATTTGAGACTGACAGTGCCGTAATTTCTCTGAGATTTCAATTTCTGTAAAAGTTCAATTATGTGTGAATGGAGAGTAGACACAATTTTTTACCATTTTACCCACCAGAAGAGCATCAAGCCTATAGCTCCGACTTAACGAAACCTCATCCATGTGCCTCAATTCATGTCAATGTTGTGGGCCTCATATGGCCTCACGTTACTAACGGGTTGGATATGCAAGAACGCACGATGACTACTCTGTTATAAAGCGTTAAGTGTTGCTTTCAAAGAGTAACAAACTAATGCTCAGTTCAAACTGTAATACGATATAGGAAATCCCTAGTGGCTGGTTTTTCTTTGTATGTATACCCGACCATCAAGGAGGGAAAAACCCTCTTTGTGTAGTATATACGATCTTTTTGGCCGGGAGTAATCCAAAACTTTTTAGCCCATGTGCTCCACATATTTGCTGTATATGTGGGCGTTATACTAAAGTACGTAGTTATGCATACATACATGATTAGCATAAGTCGGTTATGAATGCAAAATTACTTTTTCCATTTATTGACCTACAGTCCCCAAACTTTCCGAGAATGTTCACGGTCACTAATAGGTCGCATAGGTTAAAGCATGTTTTCGCATATTGGTAATATTTTCGGGTTAAATTCTGCAATCTAATTTTATTTACTTAGTTATGATTGCAATACCTCACTAAGATTTCCCTTTTTTGGGCTTGTTTATTCGTTCATTTTATGACTTTTTGCCAAATTCTAAGATTTTGCATACCAAAATACCAGAAAATGACAAAAATTCATTTTTTAATGATTCATATGAGAAATTTACAGGAATTTATATTTACGTTCGTCTTGGGTGATATAATTCATAGCCAATGAATTAAATCATCCCAGAACTAGTTTTTTGACAAAAAAAATTGTCTCGCATAAGCCAAAAATTACAAGTCATTTTTGTGGTCATATTTTGGGGATTTTTACGGCCATTTTTCATTCATATTTTAAGGTTTCATTCATATCCGACGTCTGATGATTAGCTATTAGTTATTAATATACTATACGCTATACATGCCAACTACTAACGTAGCAAAAATGGGAAGTAGCAATTTACAGCGTATTTTAATCCAACGTACGAGGGGGGACGGAAATTAATCGGCCTCGCCATGATCCGGTAATAAATTTGAGGTACTTGCCCTACTACTTTTAAATGTAGTCCCCTGCGAGGTCAGCACACTTGGTCCGCTAAGCTTCAAATACTCTATCCCGATTATATAAATGGTTTTCGAAAAAAAAGTCAAAAACGCTGTTTTTACCTCATCAATCGTCGAAATCTCCTCCCCCTGAGGTTTTTTTGAAAATGTCGAAATATGCATTAGTCACCAGAGGCCAGGTGTGGACTGTAAGGGGGATAGCTGAAGCGTCCAGAAGCAGAAGTCCTTCTGAGTCCCAAAACCGGTGGCCAAAGTCATCATAGCAATTTCTGTCCCGGTTTACTCCTTTGTGTGTGGGTGCTACCACTGCTTGTTGTTTTGTCTACTTTCAAGGTCACAGCATTGAACCTAGGTTCATTACCCAGTGATTAAATGCAAAAAGAAGTACTCGTTTCCGTTTTGAAGGTCTAAATCTACGTATCAAACCTGAGCTCAATTTTAGCAATTTTTATTGTTTCGCTGTTTTTGTTCACATCTGACGATCTCCTCGACTCGGCCGTGACCGTGAATTTTTAAGTTATGAGATCTGAGATACATATGAGTGTATCTTTCAATCCAGCAAAAAAATTTGGGCAAAATGACCCTCCTTCTAGGCGAGGCCGATTAATTTCCGACCCCCCTTCGTAGTTTACGACGAAGGGGGGTCGGAGGTCGGTTATGACTCATGTCACACGAGTATGACCAGACGTCGGATATGAATGACCGATAAAACCTCAAAATATGAATGAAAAATGACCGTAAAAATCCCCAAAATATGACCATAAAATGACTTTATTTTTTAAATTTTTGGCCTAATTTTTTGATATATTTACCTGTAATGCTCAATTTTTATCAATTAAACAAGTTCTGGGGTGATTTAATTCATTCCCAATGAATTAAATCACCTTAGGCGAAAGTGAAAGTAAATTTCTGAAAGTTTCTCACAATGAATCATTGTGAGAAAACTGAATCTTTTGTCATTTTCTGTCGATTTGGTTGCCAAATCTTAGAATTTGGCCAAAACTGATAAAATGAACGAAAAAAGCCCGAAATATGATCGGGAATATAAATATGTCCCAAAACCCGAAAATATGACAAATATGAGAAAATATGCTTTGACCTACATGACCTACTAGTGACCATAAACATTCTCAGAAAGTTTGGTCATTGTAGGTCAGTCAATGGAAAAAATCATTTTTCATTCATATCCGACGTATGAGTATGACCATGTGCAACATATGTACATCTGAAGAGTAGACTCTTGTCCAAGAAGTACACAGCATTTTATTGCAACTTAATCAATAATGTTTTTTACAAAGTAATTGAAACAATAATATACATATTTATAATGTAATCACTATTAAACATGACTATTAAGGGTGTCAACTAGTGGCGAGATCAGTTTTCAGGCCACGCTTCTACCTTTATGGATCACTGCATCAGTGACCAATTTATTATCTGAGACAAACACAACTTTAGACCTAACAATGATCACCATCCACTTACAAATCGTGAAAATCGATCTCGTAAAAATATATTTAAGGGTCTGCACTAGCTAAAATGACATGAATAAAATATTTAATTTTTTTCATTTCTAGGCTAATTTGATCTGAATGTCCTACTCTCACTTATTGATGTATTGAATGAATTCAAAATATGAGAAGAAAATTGATTAAAAATTATGATTTCCCTGGATTATTGCTTGCACGAGATTGCTATGCAAGTAATTTCTACAAAACTGAGGACGATTACATATGTAATTCGATTGTGTTTTGTCGATCATAAGAGAATGATGATACCTAATAATTTACTTCAACTATTTAGCCTTAAGTCAACATTTTACAATGTTGTGTTTAGTTTAAGCAAATTTTCTCGCAACAATCCTTGAAGTCCCGGAACTTCTACATCCGCACTAACAAGTTTGGGCTGATTAACGTGTATACTCAAAAGTTTATTATTGGGATCAATCAACCCCAGAATGGGTTTCTGGGCTTCATTCGTTTTGTTTTTGAAAGAATTTCGTTGTTTGAGCCCAACCGATTCCATGAAATCTATATGTAGTTCAGATACAAAAATAATCCATATTAATAAAATGATATTATCATTTAAAATTATTAAGAAATGCTTCCAGAATCGTCAAATGCAACAGATAAGCTTACCGTCGTTCTCTGGTTTGACCCTAATTTGCTCCTTGGGTTTCCGTGTAGTTGCTTTCGAAGTTGTTGTGATTTTGGTGGTTGTAGTTGACTTGGCAGTTGTCGTCGCTGTAGGACGCAAGGTTGTAGTGGATTTCGGCAATTTCTTCCCAAGCGACCCATTCCTCATAAAAGCTTGGAAGAAAGCCGCATTAGCAACACCATTTTCCTTTGCAACATGCAGCATAGTATTATTGTTAACTAAAACATTTGGAATGTTTTTAGTTTCGTTGCCCGGCTGGTCCTTAATTCCCATCAAGTTATGAACTGGTAATGGCGTCGTACTTAATACATCTTCAACGAACGAATCAGTCAGATTGGTGCCCGGAACCGGATTTAACCACGACGTATTTCGCCGTGTTATAATCGTTGTATTTGTAGTAATTGATGTTGAATTTTCAAATTCCCAGCTACTAGAAGTATTCGTTGCAGCATTATTCCCCAAAACAAAGGCAGTATTATTAGACGTTATAGACTTGTTCTCTGTATGAATTGAAGGAAGTGAGGAAAGCACGTATTGAGCAATTGGAACGGGCCGCATTGTAGTAACATATAAATTAAATGAAATCATAGATTTCGTGTACCGCATATCTTGATATATAGATGATGCCTTGTCCACAACAGGAGAAATACTAGTGCTTTCAGGCAATTTCTGATTAGTAGAATTTAATTTAGTTCCATTACGGAACAAAGTTTCCAAATCATACCTGGACAATGTACTGTTATACTCAATTTCATACTCGTTCTGATTCATTTTATCACAGTTTGCAAATTTCAATTTTCTTTCCTGATTCGCTATCAAAATAGATTTATTATGGCCAAAAGCGTTGTCTGTCATATTTAAATTTCTCCGAGTGCCATTTTCTAGCGTATCAATATTTCCTTCAGCTTTATCTGCCGGATTTTTATTGCTATCACCATTCCCAGAAGTACCATTCCTTTCCTTGCCTGGATCGCTGGACCCATCTCCATTCCCGCCGGTGTTATTCAGCCCACTGCCGTTGTTACCGTCTGGTTGATTTGTTTGGTTTCCATTCCCGCTACCGTCAGTAGGAGAGGTGCCATTGTTCTGGGCGCTTGGATTGATTGCACCACTTCCAGTTCCTCCGTTATTTGGAGAAGTGTTATTGTTATCGCCGTTGGGTTGGTTTGTTGAATCCCCACTCTGTCCGCCACTCGGTGTTGTGTTGTTGTTGTTACCGTCTGGTTGGATGGTGGCACCAGTTTCACCACCACTTCCATCGGGAGACGTTCCGTTGCTGTTTCCGCCAGGTTGGTTGCCTCCAGCTCCTTGGTCGCCACCGTTCGGCGAGGTGTCATTGCTATTTCTCCCGGTCCCGCCGTTGTCGGAATCAGTACCATTCCCAGTTTTTGGTGGTCGCGTGGCATGTTTAGCCATTAGGAAATGTTCATCTTGTGGTGTTTGTGTGGTAGTTTCAACTTTGGAAGAATCGCTACTTGGCAAGGAACTCCCGTCAGCCGGTTTTTGTGCTTGCGATGGGTCACTGCCATTCCCAGCGGTCGTATTTGGAGTATTCTCATGTTCTCCTCCATTCAATGAAGTATCGTTCTTGGTTCCGTCGGGTTGATTTGTCTGACTTCCAGTGCCCCCGCCATCAGCAGACGTGTCATTCTTGTTCTTGCCTGGATCGCTGGACCCATCTCCATTCCCGCCGGTGTTACTCAGCCCACTGCCGTTGTTACCGTCTGGTTGATTTGTTTGGTTTCCATTCCCGCTACCGTCAGTAGGAGAGGTGCCATTGTTCTGGGCGCTTGGATCGATTGCACCACTTCCAGTTCCTCCGTTATTTGGAGAAGTCTTATTGTTATCGCCGTTAGGTTGGTTTGTTGAATCCCCACTCTGTCCGCCACTCGGTGTTGTGTTGTTGTTGTTACCGTCTGGTTGGATGTTGGCACCGGTTTCACCACAACTTCCATCGGGAGACGTTCCGTTGCTGCTTCCGCCAGGTTTTATGCCTCCAGCTTCTTGGTCGCCACCGTTCGGCGAGGTGTCATTGCTATTTCTCCCGGTCCCGCCGTTGTCGGAATCAGTACCATTCCCAGTTTTTGGTGGTCGCGTGGCATGTTTAGCCTTAAGAAAATGTTCATCCTCAGGTTCTTGTGTGGTAGTTTCAACTTTGGGGGAATCATTACTAGGCTGGGAACTACCGTCATCTGGTTGTGGCGCTAGCAATGGGTCACTGCTGCTTCCAGTTGGATTAGGTTGAGTGGAATTGGCACCATTATTTGTGACATGGTTTTCTTTCTGCGTGGGTGTTGTGCGTCTCACATAATCCTGTGGGGCCGTTGTGCTCGCTGGAAACGGAGGAAATGTTGGAAATGGAGGAAATGTTGACAAATGGGGAGTCTCTGCCTTATGTACAGTGGGTGGTATAAACATTGTTGGTACATGTTTTTTTGGTTGGTGCTTTTGGGGATTCCTTGACTTGCTATTGTTAGACATCAGCCTTCCTAAGTGTTGATTCTGATTAATTTCTTCTGGTTTTTCCGTAGTATGAAAATAATTATCAGGAACTACTTTTGTTGTTGTGGGATATGTGGACCTCACAAAATGATCGTCTGTACGTGTAGAGTGAGGTGTTGTTGCAGCGTTGAGTTGCCCCTTGATGTCAGGATCATTTCGAACCGGAATTAAGGTTATTGGGTTTCTGTTGGTTGTATGTGCGTTTTGCAGCTTAGAAGGTTTTGTACCTAGGTTTAACATCTCATCGTAAGCGCCATGTAGCATTATAGAATTATATTATATAATGCTATAAATATAAATATGTAGCTGACCCAGGACTACATCATGTGCTGCTCACAATCCTATTTTTCGATTCGCTAATCAAAATTCAATTAAAAATTTTCAGCAATTAATAAATCGGGTTATGAGCAGCACATGACGTGAAGTGGGGCCAGCTATGTAATTACCTATTGGATCACGAGATGTTTTATTAATTGGTGATATAGCAATTTTATTGTTGTCTTTCTCATGTTTGGAAGAATTATATGAAGGGATGAATGCAATTTTATCCCCGGATATCTTGTCCTTTTCTGAGCCAGATTGGTTTGGTCTTGACTTGGGTGTTATGTTCTGGGTTACTAAAGTCATAAGATAAGCTTTATACTTATTAATTTAGCGGCTCGGTTCACTTTTGTACGTTACCGTTATCATGTTTTAGAGTGTTATTTCCTGCTCTTGTGGACGGACCCTTGGATTTCTGATAATTTTTTGATGGAGATTCAGGCAGTATTTGTTTGTCTGGCGTCGCTCCCGAATTTTTGTCGTGAGTGGGATCATCACCTTTAGCAGTGGATTGCTGGGGTGATTTAATGGTATTCGGATGTTTGACTGATGGAACATTTTGATTAGGTATGGAATTTGATTTAGGATTTGTGGGGTATGAAACTTTTGGGGTGAATTTATTGGGTATGACTTGAGCCACGACTCTAACGTCTCCTTCTTCCACATCATTTACCTTCTTCACAGTCGTTGTTTTACTGTTGACGAGATTTTTGTTCTTGTCGTAAACGTCTTTCGTACCAACCATCGTCTCGGTAGTCTTGTTTTTCACCAGCGTCTTTGAAACCTGCACTGTTGTATTTGCCAAGCGATACTTTGGATCTTCTTTATAGTACGGACCCACATCACTAGCATCTGTGTTTTGTGAATACATTTATCAAAATTCTAGTTCAAAGAAATATTTAGTTTTTACCAATTGAGAGTAATAATTTAATATGGTTTAAACGTCAAGAAGCTAAGATTTACTTGCCAGGGACACAACTTGTAGCCTCTCACTTTGTGTCGAGTTAGTATAGTTTAGTAGAGGAGTTTTGGACACTTTTACGTTTTTTTTCGAATTCTTGGGATTCGAAGGTGCAACCCACTTGAAGTATTTCTTTGTATGAACTCTATGCTCTCTTTCGATATCGTCATCATTATCCATATCGTCGCCGAAATCTAAGGATCGAGAATTGCGTCGATTTGACCCTTCTGTAAATTCAATTTCTTCCTCCCCTTCAGAATCTCTTTCGTATCTAAGATTACCTGAGGAAATTGAGTTTTGCACTGGGTTGGGGGGTGGTGATTTGACAGGAGGGATCCTCCTTTGAACTTTCGGAGGTGCACATTTTGAGTTTGGATCAACTTTGTTGGGTGGGACACAATCCGTTAGAAATTCGTCGAAAATATAATTTTTTGGACATGAGACTTCTTTCATGTAAAACTTATTGTAATAACGGATTCGACACTCCATATATTTGCGGCAAGAAAGATGATGCGATCTTCTACGTCGATTGTAGAGTTTTGAACATATCCATGGCGTATTGGGCCCCTTTCGTTGTATTGAAGACGCTATATGCAAATTGAGTGGCAAATGTGTATTAATTCAATAAGTCGACCCAACAATTCATTATGTGGAGCATGATAAATGTTTAAGCACTAGTAATTGTTGTTCAATGGATTTGTTACTCACCCTCTTCTATGACTATTTCTAACAAGATCGCCATCTTTGTTAATGTAAATGCAAGAACAGAAAAACTAATATTCAATCTCATTTTGTACTCACTCACAATCACAATGGTTTACAATTTTGTAGGCAATAACTGCATAGTTATTTCTAAATGCTACAATGCTATGTGTTATGTCTTTGAAACTGAATCGTCACTGCTTCATTGTAACTTATCGAAATTTCATAGTTTATAAAATGACTTGTTAAATTTTATATAACCGTTGACCTATATGCTTAAAGATCCAACAATATTAAATCACTTGTGATATTATTTATTTTCTACCGTTTTCTATGATTTGTAAGTTTTTTAATTTATCAAAATTCCTTAAAATTTTGCTTACGGTTAGGCATTAAGAAATGTGACTATACCTAAAATATCATTCATAACTGAATATGGACGTGGATTCATTTTTACTACTGTAATGGCATTGCATTGTTCATTATTATTTTACCACAACCGACGTATTTTAATTAGTCGGATGAACAAAATAATAAGTCATTTTGGATGTTGTGCTGGAGTAAGTTACATATATATGTACATTGTACGTATCTAGATTAAACTTTAAGCACAGGAAATTATTTTATTTGTTCAATTTCAAAATTAAGATATTCTGCATAAATAGTTTTACGTATTCTTCCCAAGCTCGTCATCTATGTTCTTCAGAGAATCCGGATCTGGAAAATGTTTTAAATTAATTAAATACCTTATGAGGGTTTCTTCAAAGCCAATATGTACCTTCGACAGAGGAGCTGACGTCTGTGACCACATTGACATCATCCGATCCAGCTTCTGCCTGTGTCCGACCTCCTTTTCCAGCTATAGCGGTGGCCACTGCGACCTTTTCTTTATCTTGAGATTGATTTCTGGCTCCTTGTATTTTCGCCGATGCCTTAGCAAAACCTCCTTGATTTGACTGTGCTGTGGCGATGGCTGACCCTCCAATTTTATTCTGTGCCCTCGCAATTGCATTTCCAGTTTTAGATTTAGCATTTGCTGTGGAATCTGCTGCTATTTTCTGGCTGGCCTTGGTATCAAGTGTGGATGAAGGCTTCACCATTGATTGTGAACTACCCTTGTACATCGCAGATCTCCCAAACGTGCTTTCTAATCCAGTTATTGAATTTTTATGCTCCCCCATGTCGCCTTTAATTGTTCGAGACGCTGATAATGTATTTGACTCGATCTGCTTGGTGCTGACTCGGTCCGCTGGAATGGTCGCACTTCCATGCACAAATGGAAGACTGTTGTCTGACCCCTTATGGAAAGTAGGAACGATTTTTTCCTGTTCCTTTCTGGGATTAGCAACATCTGAACCGCTGGTTGACATTTGTACTTCAGCTATGTCTGTAGTACCTGTTTCTGTGGTCTGCAGATTTATAGGCACAGAAGTATTACTTTTAGATGGTGCGGGATACACTTTTTGGGCATTGGGTAGATTTTGCTCTGTACCGGATAAATCGGACTCATCTGAAATTTAATATATTATAAGGTTTGGAAGGACATGATTGGAATGTCCTTATCCCTAGCAGTTCTGAAGATATAAAACATTTTGGTAATGGTGACAACACCGGGTCCTGGTACAAATAAATGATTTACTTGCCAAAGACACATTGTTTTTGTCAGCATGGGTTGCGTTCTTTGTCTTTCTCCAGTTTTTCTTAGTTTCAGGATCAACCAGCGGTTCAATTGGTCTCCAGACGAATGCACTCTTCGTTGGTGGGGAGATGACCATCTCTCGTTTTCTAACGTTGTGTCTTCTCTGGAGTGGAATTGCATAATCTTTACATCCAGGTCGATTTGGTGATTCGATTTGGTCCTCACAATCTTTAAGATAATACATTTACAATAAATTAACAAAAATTAGATCAAGTTAGTTAGGACACAGTCAACGAAGACAACTGCGCATTAGTACAAAATTTATAGTTGATAATAATATTTTATTGTACTTAGTCCTTCTGCACAAATGGTCTTTAGTGAGTTTGTCAGGCTTCCGACCATGAATGTACAAACCACTAAACGAATTATCATTGTAATTGAGCGTTGCTATTTTTCCCTCAGCAGCATGTTATGCAAATCTTCTCATGCAGGTCATGCGTACTGCTTGATAGTTTTCAAAGATGCTTTATAAAACTAAACTAAACTGGTTGAATGGATAAGGAGATTTCCGATAGGTATTTATTTTATACATTCCTCTCAATATCATAAAGTAGTGCATATTATGTTACTCCATTGTGATAGAGACAAAGGAATAAGTTGGTTAAAACTTGTATAATCATTAATTGCCCCGATGGCATTGCATTGTGTATTAGCTAATTACACACCCATTTACAACTGTATTCCGCCTAGGACGTCAGTTATTTTTGGTACCAATTGACGAGCGTTGTAAACAAAAAGTAACGTTTTTATTCAACATTTTCAGCCAGACGGAAATTTTACCCCACGGAATTTTGAAGTAAACTCAATTACTATTCATGTATCCGTTACATGATTAACTAAGTTTTAATGTATACGACGATTTGTATTAATGTGGTCCGGATAATAAATACGCCATGTAATTATGTACTCACAAACAACATTTAACTATGTCTCACAGGCTGTGAGTTATACATAGCTTTACTTTCCTTACCGTAGAAAAGGAGGTCCTATGACATATATATCTGTAATACACAAATACTTAAACGTTGATTCGTCCAATAATGCAAAGTCTGGTTCAGACCTCACAGTCCCCAATAAAAGCTAGAATTTCACTTATTCTTATTATGTTATGAATGATAAATTCAATTCAAATACTCGTATAAATTGACCGGTCCTCTTGGAGAAAACTTACTGATTATGTATGCAAATATTTATTAGATATATACTACGTACCACTCGTTTAAAAGAAGTCGCTCTCCGCCCCCATTCAGATCGAGCTATTTTTTATCATTAAATGTTTCCTGATATTAGTCCAAAAGTGGATTATATGTAGTAAATTGAACTGTACAGCATGATGCACAATATTATGGAGAAAGCACCTAAAGTGGTGTTTATGCTTCACGTCATCGTCACGTCCTCCTTCAAATCCGATTTTTTGATTGGCTGAACCAAATTATCACTACGACAATTAAAAATTTTAACCAATCAAAAAATCGGATTTGGAGGAGGACGTAACGATGACGTGAAGCATAAATGCACCTTAAGTCACGTCGTCACGTCACTTAACACAGGTTCCCATTTACCTTCAGATGCGAAAACCATGTGCACCACGCCCCATTTAAACCGCAGCAACCTTATTTACTTTTTAATTGGAGGATATCAGTGCTATATCTGACTCGTCTCACTTAACTTTTACATGCGTGTTATAAAATTTTGTATCAGCAGACCATACTGTATCGTATCCATAGGTCCTAAGTATTTAAATCTACATTATTCAGAATCGTCAACGATTAAAGCTATTTGCGTGTGATATTTAGCCGTAAAAGAAGATACAAATCAATAGCAATTAGTAACACAATTAACGAGAAGTAAAGCTGTGCAACATGTGTGCCACCGTTTCATAAAATATGTAGCTAGCATTCATTCATGTAATGTCAGGTAGTCATGCAATCTATTTAATTCTGGGCTTTCGTATAAACTAAAGTTTGATGGAATAATATTTATTAGTGTACATACAATTATAGTGCTTAGAGAAATTAAATTAACAGATGATTAAATTAGGCAGTGCATATTCTGGGAGAATTGGAATATTTAATTTCAGATAAATGCAACGAATCCTGAATTTATGTTTAATCCTCTAACCCAGACCGATAATTGGGTAGTTGTTGTCTCGTACGTATGTAACAAATCAGCATGATAATTATTTTAGATTAAAACTATTTTATAATGAATACGTACAGGAACGATGTTTAGCGTACTATCGCCCAATGTTAATTAAAACGGGAAGTGAGACTTCAAAATTGGGTTGCATAAAGTACATAACACCTTTCGCCATTAATAATCCTCCATCTTATCTACTAGATCAGATTATTAAAAGCACATAACCTCATGTAAATGCATTCCATGTCTTTGTGTGGTCTCTCACCTAAAAAAGTATGCAAAATCTCAATCTCCACTCACGGTCTAGCTCCACCAAAAGCTAGAGTTGACATCTGACAAAAAAGTTAATTTATGGAGATCTATTTTTATCATCTGTTCTTGAGCACCAAATATACCACCATTTAATTACGATTTACACAAGTTTCGATCCCATTCGGTTTATTTAACCTCATGAATCGTTCTAGCTTTTATACTGGCATGCCATCGTGTTTCAATCGTGACGAATGTCGATGTTGTATGACTCCAGAAAAAAAAACAGTGGTATGTATGACACATATAAACTTCATAGCATAAAAAACACTAGTGCAGTGACTGGGTAAACGGTGTGGGTAAAGTTGGCACTGTTTAATCGCAAAGCAAGAAAGCGACACATGACAAATAAATTTAGCAAGTTCTCTTTTTGCATTCAGCACAGTTTTATTGCAATTCTTTCAAGATACATGTGTGGGCTTATTTGTAAATATACACATGTTACAATACATATTTTGTCTAATCAGAGATTTTGATTTTGGACACTACATCTCACCAGATTGCTTTCTTGTTATAAATACTTTAATGAGCTACAAAATAACATCATTGAAATTGAGTATATAAAAAATCTAGCGGTGGTGCTCTTCTTTGCGTTCATGCCCATTGGAATAATTTATTTGTTCATAAAGTGCTACAATAAAAAGTTGTAAGTAATTTATTTCTCTATTTGTCCAAATTATTCACAATTAGTGTGTATCTCTGTATTCTGACATATGTAGTAACGCTAAATGTATAAATGCATGCAGTTGCTGTCGCCCAGAGGAAGAGTCTCTGGAACAGATTACAGACATCGAGTTGAGAGAACAGGTCATGTCTGACTCCAGCAGCCTGACAATGGTTACACATAACGCCACTCAGATTCCAATCATTTCGATAGAAGAAGTTGAAGAACAGAATGAAATCGTGACTGGAATAGTTGTCAGATAATAAATATGATATGTAGATAACTACCTATTTAAATATGTAAATACATATAAGGTGGTGCTCATTCCTTGTTTGATGATGATGATAATAAAAAAATTGTGTTCATGAACTAAACAATTTTTAGTCATACTTTTTATCCACCTGTACGCAACCCAAATATTCTTTAGATTCTCGATCATAAACTTTCACAAATCTGACTAAATCGGTGTCACTCTCATCGTCCGACTTACTACCCAATCCGTCCCCAATTATTTCCTTCAAGCCCTCCTCACCATACACCCCCATAGTCAAGTGTACTTCCTCTAAGTTCTGCAAGGTTCTGCAAATTTTCCTAAAAATTTCCATATTAGCAAAAACACAAAAAACCAAATCCAACTTTTTTACGGATCCAAATATTTTCCCAAACCCATCTAAATTCGATTCGTTCACCTCGCAAATTTCTAGTTTTACACACATCAAGTATTCACTTAAGGTTACGTTTCCATCTCCTTTCCCTGAACCTCCTTCTTCTTTATCTCCCCATAAAATTTGAGAGCATTTCAACTTGAGCATTTTGAGCATAGGTAAACCCACCAAAATCCCTAAATCTAATTGAAACCTGGTTAACTCTAATTTAGTCAAGACTGGCATCGGAAGTCGAGGTGCGAATTTTATAATTGAATTCTGACAATCTAGTGCCAATTCTTCCACAGTTGGTGACAAAAACTCAAACAGGTCTGTCAACCCTTTTTCTGTGCACATGTGAAGACCTCCTTTCAGACTCTTTAATCGTATTCGATTAAAAATTATACTCTCCAATTGAGTCGGGTAAATATAGTTGAAGTCGATGTGAGTCAAATTTCTAAACTGGAAAGATTTCAAGCCATTATCTTTTTCTGATAAGGTATCCACATTTTGGTATATAATTTCGAAAATGAGGCGCCCAATCTGTTCGCCAGCCTCAATTCGACAAACGTTTGGAAAATATGGGATAATCTTTTCCATGACCGGTCTTAAGCTGGCTTCCCGTCCAAACCCGTATATTGTTAAGTCTTTCACTGAGTTCAGAGGTGGACCAGGAGCGTCATCGCTCAATGATGCGGGCCATATTTGGACAAATTCTTTAAAAGTAAAGATCACAGATTTAACATTTGTGATATTTTCCAAGACGCACATTCTCAAATATTTTAGTCTAAATTGGGGTCCAGTAAAGTCCATTTGCACATGAGTGATGGTGGATTGGTATTTTTTGAAGAAAGTTCGAAGCAGATAGTTATCATGGATTAGGTTTAGTCGTATTTTGCAAAAGTAGAAACGAACGTATGGATATGGAAATGAATCGTCTGTTGAAGGTGGGAGGTGGTTGCGACAAAATGTTGCAACATATCTGGCAATGTCAGTTACATGACGAAATTCAATCAGTTCACGGTTTTGGAGGATGAGGCAGACGGATCGGTTCCATGATTTGCAGATTGGTCGAAAATTGAGTAGATCTTTAGTGGGCAGGTTGGCCAGGACAGTTGTGATTAGCTGTGAATGTTAAAATCGAATGAATTACTTACGCAAACTTAGAAATTAGTTAATTTGAGGTTTAGTTTAACTCAAGTGTACCTTGGAATTAGTAAAAAATGAGTCGTAGTCCATGATGTTGGTTGGGGATGAGATAATAATCCTCGGACAAAGGGAAGTCATTTTAATTTTTTTAAAACAATGGATGCACACTATTTCCTTAGGACTTTCTATGTACCAGAAATCTGAACAAATGACACTTTTCCCAAAGGTAGTGGAGTTTTTTGTTATGCAACTATGCACATTGTAATTGTAATACAAGTTCGTCATCGAATAACGAAATCATTTATTGATTATTGTGCGTGATTGAATTGTACACCAGGTACGGACGTAAGTGGGATGGAAAATAGAATATCTGGATAGAGTATCGTCCAATAATTAATCCCACGGGAAATTTCGATATTGAACCATTTTCTTGACGTTGACGCATGTGCTTACGTTACTTAGTACGTTATACACAATCATTAATGAAACAATAGAAAATTTAACAATCATACGCAAAAAGACGAAAACGCTGTCGTTGAACTGAACATCCAATTACAAGAATCAGTGCATAAATTATCATCTGAATTTGTTTTAGATTGAAGTAATACATTTCTATTTCTAATAATTCTTTTTAAAAAAGCAACGCACAAATCAGTGTAGTGATATTTCATATTTATTATGTATATGCGCATTTATAGGACTATTTATAAGGGGTCAAAGTGCGTAAGCTAATTTTTTATATACTCAACCTTTAATTCTTTTAATGTAATTCAATGTACTTATGCACGCGTGCCTGAGTCGCCGTCCGTGCAAAAAGCCCTGACATTTTTGAAGGATAGAGATGGGATCAATAAGAAAAGCAAGCCAAATGAATAACCCAAGTAAAAAATAATCAACTGTTATTACCAGTTCAACTATACCGTGATAGATTTTTAGAGAATACTGCAAGAGAAGTAATGAGTATGCATGTATACATGAGTATGAATCATTCATAGTTTCAAGCCATTTAATACAAAAATTTTAAACAATTTGTAACAATTTAAATTGACCTATTCATTTCCTCAGCGGTTTTCAGTTTTGCATAGCAGGTTAAAATGACTCAAATTTTCAATGCAGAGTTAAGCATACAGAGGTTTTAGAGTTTTATAGATCTTGCACTGATGTTACAAAAACTATGTCGCAAAATTGATTTTCGCATCACCTATTTATATGTAAGAAACAACATTTTGTGGCAAATATATAAAACATACAACGATTCCAATTTTATTAATTTGTTAAACATTTGTAGCACATTCATTTAAGCTGGCAGAGCGAAACAAGACGTCATAATAGACACAAAATTTATAAAGTACAATTTTATCAATAATATATGTATGTACATATGTAGGAGCCCTTTTGACTCTTGTCACTCACCTTAATCACTAAAATAATCGTAAGCAACGAGTAAATTATCACTATTATCAGTACGCACATAAATATATCTGTACGGGTAATATAAAGTAATTTCTTGTTTCCTGAAATTACTATGCTATGCATTTCATAATCGTAATATCAGGCAAATCTCAAACGTTGAAGAAGCCTCGTCCTCTTACACACAAGAGGACTCCACCCCACTTTTAGTGGTTACCATCAAGTTGACCGCTTTGTTGTTCCCATTTACGGCCAATAAATTGTTGGCGTTATTGGCATTTAACAAGTTTGGGGAATTATTAGAGTTCACACCACCTCCCACGTCCATGACTGACATGCAGTTCGTTTCTGGGGACGGCGGCACTGCAAAGGTAAAAATAAGTCACAAGGGTCATACAACCATTTATAAAATTGATACTTGTATACATTTTATTGCATGCAGTCTACCCGAAGAGTAGACATGTGTAGAGACCACGCTCCTACCAAAGGACCCATGCCTCCTGTTACGAGTATTGGAACCCTCGGCACCCAGATAAGTCTCCTTAAAACGCATCCAGCTCCTTTTTAGAAGAGTCGACACCTCTCCGTTAAAGTAACTGAAACATATCGGATAGCAGATGAGTTCTCGTTTTTAAGTGACACTAAAATTTGTATTCAAATATCGTTGTTCTACTCACCAAAAGATAAGGGCCACCATAAACCCTTGAATGCCATCTAATATATCATTTGCATAAAAATAAATTTCCGTCCAGAGGCAAACCCTAAAGCAAATAATTGGCAAGACAGATAATATAAAACTGAAAATGTTTGATGTAAAATTTTGACAATTTTATTTGTACCCTGTTGATGTGGGAGGTCGATATATTGTGACGAGGAAGTGCAGTCCAAAAAGTGGGAGGAGGACGAGTGTTGCTCGGACTGCTTTCCTAAAAGAATTGAAAATGATACAGAATTTTAGCAAACTTTATAAAGTTAGTGAAACATGTATTTAGCATTAGTTTGAGTGCTGTACATACCTGTACTGACTTGGCTCTTGGGCATGTGTTGCCCTTAATTTTGTGACAAGGACACGAATAATATTGATGAGAAAGAGGGCGTTTACCTGCAATGTGCGGAAATAATTTTCAAGATTACTGCCCATTAAATTAAACTCTGCTGCATATTTTTACGCACAATGAGAGAGAGAAGGCTGGGTCCGTTTAGTACCCATTCCCATGCTTCTTCTGGCACTACCCAGCAATTCGAATTCGCCCAGCCAATGCGGTACACGGTGTAAATGACCGTTGGGAAAATTGGAAACACCCATCCAAGCAGATGAAATACAATCAACGACTTCTGCTCGGCGAATGCAGCAGCAATTAATTTATGCAGATCTACAAGTTAAAAGAAATACTTATTAAAATTAGATTTACTAAATTTTTCATCTAAACACTACTTGTTTTGATGTGATCGTTTTTTAAACAGACTTCGTCATCATAAAACAATGAATACAATCATAAAAAGCTAGCTCCAGTCACCAGTTTTGCACATGCAAATTTCAGTAAAATAGTGTCTTCAAATTGCCATAAGAATTAGTATATATATTTGTGTATGGAAAAAATCTTTAAAAAACTTTCAGTATCCTTCGCAAAACATCATCATGTAGTTGGTCATTCTCGAGTATTTAGTCAGGATCAAAAGGAGCCGGCAGCTGATGCTATTCTGTATAATCAAAAATAAAATTTATTAGGACACTGCCATATACTTATTATATTATACTTTAAGAGTATGCAATAGTACTTCTTCTACTATGGAGCTGCCCTTGTGCTGAATTTCGTTCAACATAACAACCGTCTTGAACAGGATTACAAGCACGCCGTTCAACAGCATGGAGATGAACAAGTTCTAAATAAAAACAGCATATGGTTTACTTTTCACATTTACAAGATTTAGTAAAAGCTGGAACATTCATTTTTAGAATCGAATCATTTTGTCAAAATATGGAAGTAATAAATTGTGCATACTCACCCGATGTAGGATGATCCGGTGGACACGAAGTTGTCTGAAACAAAGGCAAAAACGTCACAACAAATGCATAATATTCGGAAGTTTATGTTTTGCAATTTTTGTTACTTGTATGCAAAGAAGATACAAAGGGCAGGAATAATGGCGACGATGGACAAGGCGTAAGCCGATATGAGAACATAGGTCCTTCTCAGCTGCAGGGAAACGGTAGCAGAACCGCAAATCTGGTAGTCTGTCCATTCATCCCCAGTTCCGTTGTTCTTCCGGAGCCAATGTGCACTTGAGGTGCATTCTTTCTCCACAGGGACTAAACATTTTTAAGATGCATGTATAAAATCAGAACTTCCATTTGGACACGAAGTATTTTAACTTTATGCGCATCGATGATGGAATCGATTTTAGTATAAATAGGCACCTATGTCAGGAAAGATTTATTGGATTATCAAGTATTTTGGAGAAAAAACTTGTTCCAATAATTGCAAAGTTTTCACACAACTTTGCAAAATGTTTAGTGATATACGTTTGCGGATAAAGTTTCATCTTATTATCTAATATTTCTGACATGGTGCGATCAGGAATTGATGAGCTTGCGCTTTGTACTACCTATTACGTAGGAGAGGATCATACCTTTGCACTCAAGATTTTGATTCTCCTTTGGAATTTGGTCCTATTTTTGCAATCTTGGTATTCAAACTGCTATAAATTATGTAACGGCTCAAGTTTGCGATGATGGGCTGGAGTCAAACTCCTGAACCAGTCCTTGACACTCTAACGCCAATTTATTTCAATCTTGGGTACTCGTTGTTGAGAAATAATGACGATTTCAACTCACTCTCAAAGAACATGCATTTGAAGCTAATGTCCCATATACATAATCGGGTACAGTGCTCAGCTCATACATATGTCACATCCTAGGTATAGCAAAAGTTCCAGATATTCCAGGTAATCAAAATCTGTGAGTGCAAGAGGGTGAGAGGTTCTCCTCCTTAGCGTTCTTGACTAGAACAGTTTCTAAATCATGCTTCAAATACATATGTAGTCCTTTTTGGCTTTTTCTGTGTGGAAATGGAAAAATCCTGTCAGGTCCAGTGTACATACAAACAGAAATAGAATTGAATACAAAGAGTTAAACCGACTTAAATGTCATCATAAAAGAGTCATCACGGAGGAGGGAGGATGAGGGATTAATCCAAGAAATAAATAAGGATGTCCCCCACACTGATGAGCTTACATAGATTGTGGCTTGGTGATTGTTGGTGGGCGGTGGTATTTATAGGTCATCCATAATACCAAGAAAATCTATTGCTCACAATTTCTATCAACGTTATGTACTTACTATCAACTCTTCTATCCGTCGTGTCTATTATGTAAGTAACCCATGTATTTTCTGTTTCACGAAGAAACTAGAAAATGAAGGAAAGAAAGGCTTCTTTCTCGACCATTGAATGGTGACTATTGAGCAAAGGTAAAGTGTGTCTGTCTGTATGTATGTACATAGCTTGAACGACAGTTGGTAGACAATCTGTCCTCGATTGGATTTTGTTGCGTGATTGAGAGAAAGTTATAAGGGTTTCCAGTTTCCAATTCAATTAGAAAATGGACAAGCCGTATATGTATGTAGCGCCAGAACAGATAATAAATATATAAGTACAAGACATCACACTTATATCTTGTTCGCCTTGTCAATGATAACTTTATGATACAAGTTTTTCCATTTTCATAAAGTTTGATAAGTGCATCGCGTCAAAATCAACAAGATGACGTGATGTCTACGCGGTACATTATTGAGTATTACACAATCCAAGTATTCGGTCAACTCTCGACACAACAAAAACAAACCTCCTCCTCCACTCGAGTCACCAAACCACGCCGGATGGTGGTAAGTGCCGAGTTGTATTATTTTCCAACAAATTGTTGACAAAAGCCAACTCTGGTCGAGCAACAGTTCACACTTTTTCTCAAGAAGTTGACAGTTGAAAGAAGAAAAAAAAGATTGAGTTGGTGCTGAGAAAATAAAGAAAGTCCATTTTCATTACGGACTTCATTTTCCTGACTTTCTTCTCGTTTTCATGCGAACGCAGTGCTGTCAACAATTCTTGGTCACACCAACCTTAGATTTTACTATATTACGTACGAATAGTATACCAATTCTATTGCTACTAACAATTACTTACTCGTGCAAGTAGGTGGCTCCGTAAGGAAATAGATGTACGGGGGGCAGAAACTCGACGCGGTCACCCCCGCTTGGGTGCTGTCCCAGCATTGCCACCCATCCCACGTTGGCGGACATGTCGACCGTTCCGGAATAACGAGCTCCCAGGATGATTCTGTATGAATAAAATGAGACCATTTATTTCACTTTGATTTCCCATAATAATTAATTGAATCAACCCTTTCGTAACTTGTAACTCTCCAAGTTTGAGTTTGACTTTAGATATTTAAATTGTAAATTTATTCGGATGAAGAAAACAGCAAACAGTTTTGGTTCATTTCTCGAACTTTTGACTTGACTTGAACTTAGGGGACGAGGAAGAGAGGATCAAATTAACATCTTACCCTATTCCCCTCTTACTCTTCGTATATATTAACGTCGTTTTAAATTCATGAGAAAGTCAAGCAATTAGAGCATAAATTTTCACCACGTGGTTAATACGATACGATGAATATTGCCAAGTTTTTCCCAGCAATCCTGAAAAACCTCTCTCGTTTACTTTTACTACGTATGTATGTACATACTTCTAAATGCCTAAGAAAGTTTAAAAGTTGAGTAAAATCTGTGGATGATATCAAGAAAAATTACGAGAGCTTATAGAATGCCACGCAAGTCAAACGAGGCAACCAAGTGTGTATCAGTGACATGCCTTGCTTTTGAGTACGGTATCACTTAGAATACGTGCGACATTTATGACAACTCGTAAAAGATGAAATCTCTCTCAAACTTCTCTCTGACTTTTTAAGAAAGTGCGATGAGATGTGATCAGTTTCATTTTTTCTCTCTCCCGACACTTCTTACTCTTAAGTAAGTAACTTCACTTGTGGGGATCTGATTAGCGAAAAAGGTCTGTGAGAAAGTCAAGTCAGTGCGGAAGAAGATCTGCTTTTCTGCATTTTGGAACTATTCTTCTACCACTGCTACATAGACCATGTCATGGAAAGTGCGCATTTTGAACAGTTTTTGGCACCAGGCTTCCCAACAGTCTAATGGTGTCACTCTCACTTTGTGCAAAAGACAAATTGCAACTCCATGTTCATGTCAGTTCCAAGGCTGCAAATTGCTATTGATTATCCCATTTCTCACGGGGTAAAGGAATCTAGCTCATTTCTTGGAGTAAAATCCACAATTTCAATTTGAATCATGAATATATAAATCTATTCGGGGTCGTCTCAAGGATATTTCGCTAAGGAAAAATTTACAATTCATCAACACAGACTGGATGATGGAGCAGCAATAGCATCAATTTGGCAAGGAACTGAACGTAAATTTGGCCAATGCCCCAGGATCAGCTTACTTATTTATATTTCCTGTCTTTGCCACAGCAGTGTTCAAGAAACAGAACAACACGACCATAAACTTTACTAATTAGTCATTTATGTTCTTTAATCATCTCCGGACGAAGAAGCGCAGTCAGTCTGCAAACCGTGGTGTCACCCCCTAAATGGCTCCCATTTATTATGCTGCTCGCACAACAATTGCATAAACATTCACTGGGGCAACATAAGAAACTATTTTAAACTAACTTATGGTTAATTTCCCCATTCAATTAAGGGGCAAACAGACCGTCTGCACTAATGAATTGCAACAGTTGCACCTGAACCAGCCATATCATCCTACAAATGGAAGTGGAGCAACAACACAATAAAATAAAAAGTGCAATTCATTTTAGTAGAAAGGAAGGAATCCCACATTCCCCAGCGGTTCGTTGAGATAAAAGGCTGCGATGCCCGTCCCTTGCTTTAGAGAAAGTTCGTATCACTGCAGTCCTCGCATCGTACTAACTAACGTCCTCTCGTCCTTGTCCGGATTTTGCTGCTGCTGGAGGGAAAGTGTGCGACACGAGTGTATTGGAGGAAGAATGACAAGGCACCATAATTCACTTGGGGCGGACATGGACACCGAGCTGCTGCTGCTGTTGACAGTGACAATTGACACCAACAGGCAGCAAGCAGGAAAGGAGCAAACCGAGACAGCAACCTTGCTCATTCGGTCGAAAGAGGAGGAAACAAAGCATTTCTTCCGTCAGACCAAGGAAGTACTTAAAATGGACAGTCCTTTGTACCCTAAACTCCAAACGCCTTGAAATAAATAGTACTAAATAATTGTAAAAGATTCCACATGTATTTACAGAGAGTGAGGAAAATGAAAAATGTGCCTACTAAACAGTCACAATAAGTTGTACGTAATAAAAACATGCACCGGAATGAGTTGGTGGAAAAGTGTAGTGGAATAAGTACATGGGAATGAATGCTACAAAACATGAAAGAATATGAGAATAAAATATTCTAGGTCGGAATAAAACAAATTTTTCTCGAGGGCATAATCTTGCTTGCACAACAATAAAACCAGCGGCGGATAAGCCCAACCGTTTTTTGGAACAACTAAAAGAGCATGCACCACGGTTAGCGTGGGTAGTTTTTTTTGTACGGCGTTGAAATTGATTATTTTAAAGGAGGACGTCATACATATCTGAAGAGAAAGCATGAAGTATGAGGAGGTGAATAATGTGATGTGATGTGAGCGAATGCATGATTATTATTATGAAGCACGAATAGGATGGGATTCTTATGGCTTAGTTTACGGGCAATAAAATCCAGCCATGGGAGATTTACATGGAAATAAGTGGGTGGTTCGTGCCGTCGGTTGGATGGTCGTGATGTTGTGGAAATGTTGGTCTTACTGGTCTTGGCAGTTCAATTTTCAAAATTTACCAAAGATTAGAGCAGCCCACACTTTGACACTACACAAGTTTTTAATCATACTTTGCTTATTGCTCCATAATTTTTTTACGCGGTTCCTAAAATGACGAAAATTGGAATATTTTAGTGAGTAAAAGTATAAAGACATCAAAGTTTCCACTTTCCTTCATATGGTTAATCGAGATTTTGTAGACATTTACGTATGCATATATTTACTACGACGAGCTGAGCTTCTCCTGAGACGCATACAATATTTGGGTTGTCCTATGATCCGAGGTTGAATTACAAAACCGATGCAATCTTTGTAGGACGAGGAGGAATTTCCATTCAGCAGTGTACACAAGTAGAACGATGGGATGAAGAAGAATAAGATTTGAGAGAGAAAATAAGAACACGAAGGATAAAGTGGTTGGTTCTTGGCGGTGGTGATGGTAGGCTGACGAAATAAATAAAAATGGGCCATTGGGTTGTCTCCTTGCGAAGAGCGGCTCATAAAATAAACCAACTTTCTCTCTCTCCGAGACCCGTACATGCACGCATGATACCGTTATGATGAGGACGATGATGATATGATAAAGTGCTCGGGCTAAAGGGGAAAGCAACGTAAAGTGGCGTAATTGACCCGTAATGTCCCCGTCCAGGATCAAGATCTTTGCCACAATAAAACACAGTTATAGACTTCACGAGAGCAGAGAGAGAGAGAGAGAGTAGAAAAGGAAGCGAAAAAAAGCGAGTGCGACTGACTGCTTGCTGAGATAAAAATTGGTCCAGGATTTAAATCAATTTCTGAAGAAATTGTAAAGTGGATCCAATTTTACAAAGCAAGTAAATATCAAATCCAATGGTGCATGAATTGTAGGAAATGTTTCAAATGTCCGTTTCAGAACTATGATATTGGTCCAGGCACAAAGGAATCGAGGAAAATATGTTTTATCCCATAATAAATGACCTTTACCGTATGAAATTGGATGATACGGTAAATTGAATGAGTTAACGACGTTGCTGTATACATAAAAGTACGCTGAATTCAAACACAACAGTATTGAGTAGAATGGGTTGATCCATGTATTTGTTGTATGCCCACCTAAAGTTATTACGATTTTTTACGTGAAGAAATCGTTTATACGGAAAGGAAGAAGACAGTGTGATCATTGGAGAAGAAAGAGGTAAGCAAGCAAAGGAAGAATGATTCAAAGGGGAATTTGATACCCAAACAAATGGGAGTAGTAGTAGAAGAAGAATTATCGGAAGTTCATGCCAGGGGACGAAGGTAGTCGTGGTGGCCGTGGTCGTCGTACAGGGTAAAAAGTTTGACATCCTTTTGGTGGAGAAAGTTCAGAGAAAGCTCAACAGACAGAGAGCTAACCCGTCGTCTCTCTCACAATTGAATGGACAATATCAGTAGTATGTTATATGGTAGAAGCATTTTTTCGTCACCTTTATAATGCTTTTACTTTACTTAATTATAAAGGAAAGTGACAATGTGTCAATTTTTATTCATAATTTTGCATTGAATTGTCCAGTCTAATAATAACGAGGGAATTAACTATTTAAGTCGGGGTGGGATTGATTATTCGTAGCAACCACTCGAAAATATAATCATCCTTCCTGTTGGTTCCCATAGTTACAGATCGATTCATTAATGTCAACTTCACAACGACATCAGCTAACTAGCCGAACAAACATCTCTATCCTTATACACTTGGTTTCCTTCCTGCGATGCTACCTAATACCCAGCAGTCCCACCCATTCTATTTTCCCCACCTTGCAGCAGAGACCTTGCTGAATTGACTTGGAATTTCAGCCTTTATATTTTCACCCAAGCTCAAGTAAACAAGCGAGATGCTTGGGTAAGAGAGGAACTTTGTCCAACAAACAAACACACCAGGCAAAACCGTACCGGATGCTGCTTGTTTACTTTTACAAGTGAAGGTGAAGTCCAAACGGAAAATGAGACTTATTTTCTCACTGCACAGCAATCTCCCAACAACAATGGTCATGCAAACGACCTCCTCGGCACAAAACAGGATACATTTTCACGCATTCAATTCAACTCTTTGCTTTCATAAATTCTTATTAGTCTTCTCCATATTTTATGAGACTTTCGGATCTGCTACCTGCGTGCTATTTTGTAGTCGCCAAATGAAAAAATAAATTCTAAACGCTGTTCAAGTTCGTGTGAAACTTGGCCAACTATTTATACCTACATATGTGCTTATGTACACAGATACGTACTGGTCGCAAGCCAATGGAACGTCTCCGCTTACCACTACTGACTTTATTTACTTGACTGACGCACATCTAACTGACATGAGAAACATACAAAGTAGAGTAGACCATTTAGCCGTGTAGTATTTACAAGAATTACCTCTGACGTTGTCAGTTACGTTGTTGTGTTATCCTCTCTTTCTCT